TTTTTTTACTCTTCCCTCCTCCCTTTCCACTCTTCACTCTTTCCTTTTCCCCTTTTACACCCGATTTTTTTCGATTCCTTGGCATCAAATCAAGTTCGTGATAATACAAACCCGACCGCTATTCTTGGAACCTATCGCAGCGTTTCATCAGCCGTAAACAACCAAACAACTGACCGTTACAAACCATCCTTTACATCTGCGGTCATTCTATAGTCCCGTTTTGTCGAGCCCAGACCGGGTTAGCTCCCGCAGGCGTCTGACCTCCTTAGCAATGATTAGCATGATTAGCATGAGCAGCATGAGTTAGTAGCAAGATCTCCTATCGTACATTGGTGTAGTATCACCGGCGAAGTTAGGAATCTTGGGTCATCTGAGCGTCATCACGATGTCCGTGGGGTCCAAATAGCGACACACCCTGCGACAACCTTAGGTCCGTACCAGGCCCGTACCTTGGCTCTTGGCCCCAGAAATAGCTCCGTGATATCGCAGCAGGAATGCGCTCGGCGCTTGCTGCACCTTTCCGCTGCCCTAGGCCAGATTCGGGCCGAGACGGTCCTCATTCGAAGCTTACGAGCTGGAGCATATCGTCCCCTCCTCTCCGAGGAATACCGGTCAGACGGGTTTACGATGCCACGCTGATCGGGAGGATAGTTCCGAGTTTCATTCGTCTCGTCTTGTCTCGTCTTGTCTTGTCTTGTCTGGTCTCAGCCCTGCAAACCAGACCGGACGCTGCACTGGGTCTTGGGACCGCTAAGATCGGCGAAAACGACAGTTCGGCGCGGATGCTGTTGCCATTAACGGCCTTCTGCAGCTCGCTTCGAAGTGCCTATGCCCCATTACCTTGGCGAGCCCACGTCGTCGTCCGAAATAACACACACATATAACACACAAGAGACACATACGCGCATATACATATACATACTTACCTATACATACTTACCTATACATACACATATACATATACATATACATATGCCTACATGGTATACATATTATACATGCCATACATGCCCATCTACTATACATACCATACATACTATACAGGTATATTACACTTACACACACTTACACGGCTGACGTATTATTATTAGTGAGCCTCACCCGGCCCCCCGGGTGTCACAAGGCTACGCTTCATGCATCCATTGCATACCTAGATATGTAAGGAGACCACCATGCTGTCGTCTTCCGCACGTGCTGCCGGGATACACCTCCTTGGCTTATTTCTTAAACACTATCCCGCGCTACTTGACGTGGCATTTCCTGATCATTCCCATCTTCTCGTGCGTGCGCTTACTCTCGGAACGAAAGGCAAGGGAAGTGTAGCAAAGAGAAGAAGAAGAGTAAAGAATACCTAACGATGATAAGAATAATAATTGCATTGCTACGTCGTTAGATTACCTTACGTCCCGTGTCCATTACGGTAATTTGAGACAAATGTCAGCGGTGCTGGGGGGTGGCGACAGGGCGACAGGGCGAACAACGGACCATCGATCGTATCGTGGCCACTGAATTGGACCGGGGGCCGGCAGCTGAGCATTCTGGTGCATTTTCAGTGCATTTTCAGTGCATCTCAGTACATCTCAGTGCATCTCAGTGCATCTCAAGTGCAGTTCAGCTGCTTACTATGCTGCCAATGCTTGGCTACACAGCTTCGTTATCTCTCCTCTCCCCCACAGCTTCGTATCCCCTTCTCTCGACGATATCATCTCTCTCCTGCAGACTTCTGCGTCTCACAGAGTGTCAGATTCTGTGGGGATGGTGAAACGTACCACAGGTCCATCTTGTTTCCCTGCCGGCTGAAATTAAGAAATAATAATGATAATAATGATAATAATAATATTATTATTAGGTACTATCTAATTGGAAAAAAAAAAAAAAAAAAGTTGGATGCCCGGTCCCAGAAGTAGGCCGCAGCGCAACAAGGACCGCCTTTCCCTGCTGCTAAATTTATGCATTTCTTCTGATTTTCCTTTTTTTTTCTTTTTTTTCTTCATCTGCACGTTTCCGGGCCAATGCTGTGGAACATAAACGCCTCATGAAATTTTTTTAAAAAAAGATTTGCCTCGCCGGGTGCAGCTCTGGTTGGCCGTCCGGACGGCATTCGAACAAGGACGGGCCTTGCAGGTTAGGTATGCGTGTCTCGCGGAGGTCGATGCCATCGCCGGCGCTGCTCATCAATGTGCCCGTGCGGATCGCGAAACGCACATCGCTGTTCGTTCTATTACTTATTACCTATTACCTTGGTTAATGCTGGGTCACGACAAACACACCACGCCCGCATCATTTATCATCATGCCACATCACCTTATGAGGGAACCGAGATTGCGCCAGCAATGGAGTGATATATCAAACCATTCCCGACTTCGCAGGTACCCCCTTCGAAAATAAAAAATAAAAATAAAAATATGAAAAAAAGAAGGGAAAAAAACCTGAAGGTCCGATGCGTTTTTGCCTTACGCTCCAGTGCTCCGTACTCCGCGCCTGTGCTAGGTCACCGCCGTCCCGTGGTGGAATTGTCGCGCAGCATATCAGCGGTGGCCCCAATATGGCTCCCTGCGCGATCGAGAGAGAGAGAAAAGTTCCCCTTCATCTCCCCAAACTCAGGCGATATGGCGCGTGTATGTACCGTTCCAGGGGTCGGAAGACACGCGAGCTAATCCATTTTCCTTGTTTTCCCTTTCTTATTAGGTTATTTCGCTGCCTTGTATAACGTGGTGCAACCCAATGTGTTATATATCTGATGCGGCCCTACTGTACCTCTAATAGACGGCGCAATCCGATATCGCTAGCTTCCGGCGCCGGGGAGAAGGGAAGGGGAAGGTGACCTGTTTCCTTTCTTTTTTCCCCCTTCGTCTCTGTCTTGTGAGCTTGTTCCTGTGCTCTGCTCATTCCCAATCTCCTCTTTCCTGTCGCTCTACCTCGTCATTTACACTGCTTGGGCGAACGATGGTAATCGCGTGATATCTGGACTGATCGCGGCCCGGCGCGCGCTCTCTGCTGAGGTCTGTGTACATTGCCCCCTTCATGTGCAGTACATCCATACGATTACGAAAGGCGTCCTCTTTTTTTTTTTTTTTTTCAACATTCCCCTCTCTTGTACCACCTTGCCAGTTCGAAGAGGGGGGGTAAAGAGTGACGAGAATGATGCCATGGACGCGACAGGTGGACGATGCAGTGCGATGGGGGATGGAGCCAAAGTATGCGCTTGTTTCGACTGCCTGCGACCTGTGGCGCGATAACGTCGTTGTGTCGTTATGGGTGTGACAAGAATGTCTCGACTGTGGCGGATGATGTATTGCGTGTTCCGTGCCGTGTGCCCCTTTTTTTCCCTTTCCCCTTTCAGGTCATCGCTAAATTCCCTCATGCCTTGTCTTGAAAGGATACGGGTGAATGAGGTAATGAGATGAAGAGGAAGCACTGTTGTTTCCTATCCCATTACGGGTACCGCGGCATCTTGGCCAAGCATCGCGATGGCTTGCCAAGCCGGACATGGCGAGGCGTCCGAAACCCTTCCCGTTGGGCTGCATTGTGTGTTCTAGCCCTCTTCGCCTGAACTTTAGAGAGATGAGCGGTGTAGAGACAGTAGTTAGTCAGATGTGAATAATTCGTATACGACGATCCTTCAATATCTTGTTAGCGTGCTGTAGCGTCTATGTATGTAGGTATGTAGGTATGTGTGTATGTATGCACTGGAATGGTGTGTAGAGAGTTCCCAATTAGATACCTACCTACCTACCTAGGTACCTACCTATTAGCATTGTAGAGCCCCTAGATAAGTGGAATAGTTAAGCGCCATACTTGGGATGATGTACTTCAGTAGTAGGTATTGTTGAGGCTCAATTGACCCCTTTGCACTAAGCATGTGTGTCGCTGTGTAGATAGGTAGACTCTAAACCATCGCTATAGTTCGTCGTGATGTAGAATATAGTAATACGCGTTCATTAAGCGGTGTGTCGTATTGTTCTGAGAAGGAATTAGCTAATGTATATGTTTTTGTTTCTATTCAAATCGGAGTAATTATACTTATCGTACGCTGTAATCTGGACCTGTTTTCAATGTCGATCACATCCTTCTTCAGGAGGAATGCAGGAGTATATAACCCTGAATTGTTATAGCATCAATCTCCTGATCCCATCGGCTGTTGCAAGTCATCATCGCCACCAGCCAGCCAGCCTCCCTCCGGGCCTACGTAACCATTCCGTCATGAAAAAATGAATCTACTCCACCGATATCTGGACCGGTCCGTCCCGTTCCAGGATCAGAATACCTGGCAACCACATGTACTGTACATGAATGAGGGATTTCCGGGAGTTCTCGATAGCAATCCCTTGCTTAAACTAAGTAATTAGTATGGTTACGCGGGTTCTCGATAGGAATTACGACTCGGACGAGAATCACAAGACTGCATTGACTCGTGTAGACTGTATCTACCCCCTCTTAGGAATGAAGTAGATAATGTTAGCACCTATTACTAACATTAGCTGACAGCCTTGAAGGTAGGAGATGTAGGGTCTTAAAAGTGGAGTGAAGCTTACTTCGACCTTCTTATTCTTCCCCTTTTATGTCGGTCCCGACTTACTCGCTGACATAACAAGGCATCCATGTTGTGGCTTCGGCCGAGGCTCCCTAGATAGGTAGGTAGATAGGTTAGGTTTGACATAATCATACCCTGTTTCCCCTTAGCCAATGTGCTGTCATCGTGTTTGGTAAACGATCGCGGCTTACAGGAGATGCTTATTAGACCTCGAAGTAGCATAACGTGGAAAGAAGGAAGATAAAAGGGAAAATTGAACGCCAGATCTTTTATAATTTCTTTAAGTTGATGTACTTATTGTAGCTACTTTGTACGCATGTGCATCAATGCAACGTATAACCCTTTGCATCCAGGCCTGTTCGTTATGAAGTACATCTCTACCTACCTTATACAGCCCCTTTCACTGTTACACATCAGTAAATTCTACATGGCATTGGATCAGAGCTGAACAGCAAGGGCATCGTGTGGGTATCAAATTGATATATTATTTACAGCGAAATGAGTTAGCCGGCCCGTGACCTTGATACCTTGATAGGTGCCAACCTATCTACTCCCCCCTTTTGATATTACATTAATTACCTGTTGATATGTTATTGGTTTTTCATTGCTGGCGAGGAGACGATGGTGGCCTGACGCCAAACTGAATCTCGACTTCTGTCGTCCGTACAATGCCGTTGTATGTCATAATCTCCTCTTCGCTGGTTGTCGGCGAGTGACCCCTTATCTCTGTCCGCCTCTTCATATCTCTCAGAGCAAAAGATGACGTACCATAGAGGTGTTCTCCCTTTGAGCTGTTGCCATTCGTGCCAGACTTATTAGCATTTCCTGTATCGCCTGCATATCGTCCATCTTGGTAACGGTAGTTGTTATTCGTGGTCCCGCGAAGTGATGAGAAGAAACGAGGGAACCAAATCATGAACAATGGTCTTAATGCTGGTCCTGAGGCCGTGATTATTGCCAGGTTTGTTTCGACGGCGGAGTATGTGAACCTGATATCATACGAGTAATCGTATTTCATCGGGTGGAGAGAAGTCTCAATAATCCATAGCATCCGAAGAATGCTGACGATAGTAACGCTGTGGAGAGATATGAGCTACATGTCCCCAATCTGTCTGTATGTTTGATCAAGGAAGACTCACACTGCTCCTAGGAGAAACACGACCATTATAGCAAACTTCACCTTAGGAGCCATCTTCAATCCCATGAAAATCCAGAACGGAAGAGCAAGGACCAGAACGTCAGTGAAGATGGTCAATGCCGCAGTCGTCACATAGAATATCCCAGTATTTATACATCCTCCCTGAAGAGTTGGATTGGTGATGCGTTCCCAGAAAAAAGGAATTGGCGAACACTGGAAAATCACGGTCACAAATATGGCGATCATGAGCCCGATGTTGAATACGTTGAGGGCGTGTATCGAATATCTTATCTTCCGCCTCTGACCCCCTATTCGTAGAAGGAATGTCAAGACGGAGCACTTGACTAGAGCGAGTATTGGGTTATAGATGATCTGGATAATATAGTTCCAATACATTCCGAGGCTTATGTTGGCCGTTATCGGTATATCGTACACGTGAACACCTAGATATGCCGTACGCATGGCTGTAAGGAGTAAAGGTCAGCCACATCCTTGTTGAGCCCTTCTTAGTCGAAATAATCTTCATCTTTCTACTCACCCATATAAGAACATCCCGTTTCGGCGATCGAGAACATCTTGATATTTGTGAGTACTATGATTGCCAAGAGGATGAGGCTGTTGGATACATACCATTGCGATGCACACCAGAGCATCGTCTACAGCATCTCATCAGCTACAGATTCATCGGACTGGATGCCTCTTCCACCCTTTTTACTTCCGGTTGGCCACTCACCCCACCCAAACTGCCTGCTTCTGAGCCTTCCATATATCCTGAGACCAACGACTATGAATGCGATTGCAGGGAAAAAGAATAAAATAAAAAAGCCGCCATGTTGAAGGGACGAATAGGGGTAAGAATTGGTAACTTCTCCGGAAGGTTTCCCTGGACCTTCGGCTGCTTGCTGTCTCGCTACGCTCGAGATAAATGTATATAGAGAAGACTCCATAGCTTCATAGGCTGGTGGCTGGTCAACATGTCCGCTAGGTCAAAGTCCAAGTCGTGCTCTTCGCTTGGAACAGATATCTCCATTTACCTATATAATCAGATATCCTTGGATTCGGGACGGCTTACGCAGCACATACGTAGTATCCAGGGGCAACACGGAGGATCAGATGCATTGGCCAATGTATTCTAGTCCAACAGAAGCCTCGAATTCAGCCTCTTTTATTATACACAACCCATCTCTATCTGGTTAAAAGCAACTATGTCACCGGGATTGGACTGTGTTCACGGACTGTTTCTGCAGCCAAGGCCTTTTATACAGCTTCCCCATACTTCTCTACATATTCTTAGTTAGAAAGATATGTTTGTTGATTTCAAAACGGTATTAACCTGCAATGCGACCGATTCGCTTCCTGGACCCTATCCGAGCTACTGGCTACCATATAAGTAACGAAGATAAAAGGTTCGGCGTCAAAGTGATACATATAGCACCTACTTAGGCGGATACGCAAAGATGTGGATAAACTATCTAGAGGATTTCCCCGTCTTGAGATCAGGAATAATATGACTAGGACACGGCACATGTAATGGATCAATATATGATCGCCAACTCATTGAAAACCCGAATTCTGTGCTAGACATATTCGTCATGAGGAATAATATGCGTAATATCCTACCTATACCGCACTTTGAAGTGCTTATTATGTAACCTACGTGTTATGCCCAATGGTCATCTATCGAATGATAACCGAGATTTGACTCTTCCTAACGTCGTAAAGCAGGGAAAAGGTTAAGGTATCACGGCATATCGTTGCGAAGATCACAAGGATATTATGCGGAGGGAGGACTTATCATATGCTGATCTAGAACGCGGCCCGTCTTAGAAATGCATTAATCATTGGGGAATAACCTGGGGCAAGGGTCACCTTGGACAGTTGCATCGGGGACCGCATCTTGTGGCGGTTATTTCATTCGCCGGGTCAATTTATCCAGCCCGTCTGGTCTACAAGGGTCCGGGCAAAATTCATACCTCCTTGTCTCACGGCTTGATCGGGACGAAGTGAAATACGATTCTACCTTTGTGTAGGTAGGGAGGTAGTCAAGCGCGTCTATGTTCCTTCGAATCTTGCTTTACTCTGCCAAGGAATTCAGACTCGAATCCTTATCAACTGGGCACTTTTGATAGAGAAAGTCTTGGACGACATCCAGATTCCCGATCTTGATTAATAAACATCTCTCAGCCAGCTTATAAAAGCTTTCTGCAAGAAAGCAAGAGCATGACAGCCTCAGTTGGATACCTATACTATTTCGCCATGCGTCTTCCGGTACCTAGACCCAGCTCGACTCCCCCTTACCATATTACCTACAGTCTATTACGGGTCCTCGGCAAAGCTGCAGAATAGTGCCGACACTTTCAGATATCTAGGCTCTATGTATATTTTGTTGGGGTAAAAGGACCCTCGCGCGAGGATCCGCTGCTACTGTTGGTTGTACTTTGTCAGCAGGTTTCCATCGCCGACAAATCCATGTGGCACGCTCCGTCAAAGCAGGCGGGTGACGGTGCCCTAGCCGGCATTCCTACCGGATCCGACGAGTTGTCGTAAGACACTGGGTACTATGTAGAATATATACGGCAGCGGCAGACATATTATACAATTTTTACTCACGATCTTTCCTCCAAGTTAAGCTGTTGAAAACTGAGCTTGTACGGCTCTATGAGCACGCGTAGCATCGATGTCTTGCTTTAGGAGAGTCATCGTAGGCACTCTACTGATTTCACAGCCATGCATCGTATATGGCCAAACAATTGTCGTGGGCAATTCAACCGTTTGTTAGTTTTCACTTCGTAGAGGCCGGAAAGAGATACCGAAATTTATTACTGATACTCCCTTTAGCGGCCAACGAGTCTACGGTAGCCCCCGCTGTAGCTATCGTCGACGCGAAGGAATCGAATTCAACTGCCAATCTCTTCGATGGAGAGACGCAACAATTGACCGATGCTGTCATAGCAAATCTCACCGACTTGGAGCTATCTAACATCGCGCTGTTCAGTTTTCAGAATGAATCGAGTCTGAACGAGACGTTAGCTAAGCGGACTGTCCCTGGAATATGCAAGACATATCCAGATGACCCATTTTGGCCTTTCTCATCAACATGGCACTTATTCGATATCTTACTTGGCGGAGGTCTCATCAAGACAGTCCCGTATGCCTCCTCCTGTTATAGTTCATTCAAAGATTATAACTCAACCAAATGCGAGTTCATCACCAATAACTGGATCAATGCATCCATCTACCAGTGAGTTCCAAGGTCGCAGGAACTGCCAAACAGGGACAGCGGCTCTAACCAATTCTAATAGCACCGAGGACCCTACTTCAATCAACGCGGTCTTATTCCAGGGATCAACCTGTATGCCACCGGCTCTGATGCCAGCGCAAAGTGAATGCACGGTTGGCGGGTATCCCGAATACGCGGTTTCGGTCCGCAATGTAGCTCAAATCCAGCTCGCGATTAATTTCGCGCGTAACCTCAACCTGCGCGTAGTGATCAAAAACACCGGCCACGACTTCAGCGCGAAGTCCGTCGGCATGGGAGCGCTGTCGATCTGGACTCACAACCTTAAGCAGATCCAGTTCTTAAGGAATTATCGACAGGGCTCCTATCGTGGTCCTGCCTTTAAACTCGGTTCCGGAGTCCAAGCTTTCGAAGCATACGAGGCGGCTAGGAAGAATAATGTTACTATTGTGGGAGGCGAGGGCCGAGTAAGTGGTTCACACCATCTAATGCGTAGGAAGTATTGCGAGTGCTAACAAGGTGTTTGAGACTGTTGGAGTCATGGGAGGTTTCCTTCTAGGTGGTGGCCACTCGCCCCTATCTAGCCTCTATGGCATGGCTGCGGATCAGGTACTATCGATGGAAGTGGTCACATCTGATGGGCGGTTCGTAACTGCGAACGAAATAAGCCACCCGTCCTTATTCTGGGCGTTACGTGGCGGCGGAGGTTCTACTTTTGGCGTAGTCACGTCGGTCGTCGTTAAAGCATATCCGAAGATTAAGGTGACGACCTTGACATACATTTTAGCAACTGGGCCGACTATATCCTATACACAATTCTGGGCTGCGATGCGCGCTTTCTTCGACGGCTTCATCACTTATACTGACGCTGGTAACTACGAGTATTTCCGAATCTCGAAGCTGGGCGAAGGTAGATATTTCTCGGATATGGGTCCGTGGTTCGCGCCTGGAATGAATAAGACGCAACTGCAGACGTTGGTAGCACCTTTATTTAGCAGATTCAAAGAGCTAGGTGTTGAGGTCAAGCCGGTTTACAAGGAATACGACGATTTCTATGATGCCTGGTATGCGAGCTTTCCAGTCGAGCCTTGGGGTAGTAACGCGATTCGTCAGGCGAGTCGTCTGTTCCCGAAATCCAACTGGGAAGACGCGGCTAAGCTGAATGCTACGTTCGACGTTATCAAAAGTGTTGTTGAGGAGGGTGGCTACATAGTCGCATTCAACATCGCGGCGGCGCCTAAGACAGGATACCCGGACAATGCGGTAAATCCGGCGTGGAGGAATACGGTGATGCATGCTATCATGGCAACGCTTTGGAATACGACTAGTTCCGAAGCCGAGATGAAAGCCGCCAGCGACAGGCTCACGTACGGTTGGATGCAACGCTGGAGAGACGTATCACCCGGCGCGGGTGCTTACATGTCGGAGGCCGACTATATCGAACCTGATTTTACCCAGGCATTCTTCGGGGACAACTATGCGAGGTTGTATCGAATCAAACAGTTCTACGATCCGTTCGGTGTGTTTTACGCCCACACTGCTGTTGGATCGGAGGATTGGAAGATGTCCAAGATGATATTAGGAAACTTGCCGTCGCAAAATAGTAAATTATGTAGAAAGACTTAGAAGATATAGATTATTAATTCATCCCTGTGATATACTAATCCCGAGCTGGCAGGTTAGGTGAGTATTTTGGGTCTCACACGAGCATCATTGAGAATCTGTAAGAAAAAAAGAAGAAAAAAAGGGAAAGGTGTTGGTGGGACTGTTCAGACTGTTGAGTATGTTGGCTTGGCAATATACCATATACTCATCATGAACTGATTATCTGCATAGAAAGAGCGGTGACATGTCTAGGTCTGAGATACGTAAGACGGCAAAGAGATATAGAGGCACAGATGGATTAAAAAGAGGTGAAGCATTTACGTTAAAAGTTTGATGATGTTGATTGAGCTTTCTAATGATATGAATGAAAAATGCGATGCTTTACCGTAAAAAGGGGCTGCGGGGCTTAGGTCTTAGGGCGCTAGGTACAAGGTAGGGGCTCGATTCCAGGTACCTGGTGTAGGTACCTGGTCTGCTGGTGTAGGTAGATAATCCACAATAACAACTCAAATTCTCCATCACCGAAAGTGAAGGCAAGATGGCCGAGTTGGTCCATGGCGCGAGGTTAAGGTCATAATCTTAACACGATTTCCTCGTGGGGAAACCCTCGTGGGTTCGAATCCCACTCTTGTCATTACAGATTATTTTTGTCCATTATCTTTTTGTTTGTTTCTTTTGTGCGCAGAGCTATTTAGTAGTAATGGTGCTAGTGTGTTAGGGTGCTAGTGATTATTCTAGCGAGTGTTCTAGTGGTTGTGGCGTCAAATTTGGGCTGGATTGTGGGGAACGCAATGGAAGATTTGTAGCCCGGATGCAATTCTAAAAATCGTTCTTTCGAAGCAATAAAAATGAAATGACGCTACAGCCAAGTCCACCCCCGGATCTTCATGATTACGTAAATCATTGTCGCATTATTATTGGTTTCTTGACGTCGCTAATGTAGGTCATTTGTTGATCATCCGGTTCCCCGAAATTTCTTAATAACTGTTCCACTCAGCTGAAAGGGAAAAAAAACCAGGATGGTCACAAGTTGGCTCGAGTGGAATGTGGAATGTTAAGCTGATACGTAAATGCGACATCACCGCCGTATGATATTTTTTCTTTGCCGTTATTTGAGCTGTTGGTTTACACTGAATACATATTACAGCGTATGACATTACGAAGATTCGTATTGCTCTAAAACTTCAATCGTGGATCTTAATACTTCACCCCTGCAGCCCTGACAATGAATGCCAGGCAGGTCAGGTCATACCCACCATTCGAATGAGATTCAACTTGTTGATCGAATGTTGGAATCTCTTTAGAAGTTTAGATCTCAAAGCCGACCTTCTCGTCGGCCCGGTAGTGACAACAAACCCCTTTTCATAATAGCAAACGACCAGTCTGCCGACTCGGCCGAGTATTTGTTCGGCTGGAAAGTGGAAACGATCTTGGAGTACGTAATTTAACAGCTGCCACGTGTCTTGAATCCATCCGTCCTTTTCTTCCCTCAGATCATATTCCTATTCATTGTTTTAAGCTACATTTCCCATGACAATATCACACAAACTGATAGGTACCTACCTAGTATATACCAAGATGAAATTCTTTAAAAAGATTACTAATTCAGGATAATAGTAATTAAAATTCCCTATGATCTACTAAACTATTGCAATGAACCTTTTCGACAGTAGAAGAGGTTGGATAGCTTGGCAGAAAATATGACGATCCTTGTTATAGGTTCAAAGCCGTATTCGGCCTGGAGAAATCACAAAACCCATGTACAACACTTTTGATGGATGCCAACCTCGCGCAGATCTCTACTACGCAAATGGCCTTCCTTATCGTATCAACTGACATGAAAAACAATACGTAATCCCTTTGGAGCGGCCTCGTCAAGATAAGTTGCGCTCTTACCGGGAAATTCTCATCTTATCACAACTTCCTAGATAGTAGAAAGAGCTTCGGCCCTTGCCTGCGGGTTTGCTAGATGTAGACATATGGGTGAATGATACTGTATCATTCTTTACCTACCTAGGTATGAAAACGTAAGTGTCCTCTGCTTTTCGCAATTATCTCGTTGGATTTCATTCATTCTTGTTTATCAATGTATTACAAGCCTCTAATCCTTTTTTAATAGAGTACGGGCCATTACACTTGATACGCAACAAGCCTATAAATTGTAAGTATTATGGTTCCCTGTTTCTTAGAGAGTATTAGCTGTAGGGCACCGTATGTCCATTAGACCTAGCTCTTGAAACTTGCCTAGGTACCTAAAACATAGGTAGTTGCATTGACAGTCGTGTGGCACAATTTTCCGGGGACAATGCCCATCATCTGAATCTGAATCTATCCGCCCTTGCGTATGAATATGACGAGCAAACTCTTTCCCTTGCACTTTTGGGGCCTGGGTATATTTCTTTCTTATATTACCTCGAAGGAACACTCTTAGAAGTTAGCACAAATGCGATCCCACCAACGAAGTCAGACGTTTTCCTAATATAGTGTAGTTGGTGAGAGTCGCCGCCGAAATAGGCAACTCGCACAGATATCAATGTGACCAAAGGGGATATTTCAGTGTAATTAGCTGGATGAGGGCAAACACGTGGTTATAACGGCGACGGGAAGAAACAAGGATATGACAGGGAATGTTCTGTTTCGAGCTGCGAAAAATCGGGACTCTACCTGTTTCCGACAGTATGGACCCGGTTAGATCCATGGATGTACCCGAGTTGCTGGGATCGTATGTTCGGGTACGATGCTAACCCAGGTGGTATAGCCCGCCCGATGCCATTTTGTGGTGCGTCGAATCCGCCAAACCAAATATCCAGACACTTTGCGTTCGGGAACTAAGTACCTAGGTAGGTAAGTAGGTAGGGACCTACCCGAACATACCTGAGTTCACTTCCGATTACTCAAGGAGTTACCTATTCAACATAGTCTATGGAGATACAATCAACTTGTTCTAACCCTTACGTACTTAGACTCCGGCCTGTCCGAAATACTAACGCGTCAAAATATCTTTCACGAGAGTCCAAGCATCGAAATATATGGTAAATTAACAGTATCTATCGACTACACTAGGACCGATCAACCAAAAAACAGTCTCGATGATCGACTAATTAGTCTGTTAGTGCGAGGCTCAACACCACAGTACGAGGTAGACAGAATTTTAATATGGGTCTAAATAGCCTCATAAGATGTTATACCCACTCGCCCAGCTAGTAGTGAGATACAGGTTTCGATTAGCCAATGCTACCACATGTCATACTTAAGAAAGCAGGGAGCCAATCAACAAACAGGTTGGATTGTAGATTGGGTGATACAACCAACATTGCACCAACATTGGTGAGCCGCTGCTTACGCATAGTACATCCTCTCCTCACGACGGAGACACCCGCCCGCCCGCGGGCACTACCACGATGCGGATAGGATTCGGGGTTTAGCACCCAACAATACTCAAACTTGGCTGCGATCGGTAACTCAGCCTACATGACGTTACACACCGAGCCATCACATGGGCGGTTATCATAAACTGCTTTTTCTATATATTCGCGGGGATCTATCTCAGATCGTCGTGCCTACTACCTAGGTAGCTTATCCTTTCTTCCTACTATCCCTTATACTCGTTTTTACGAATACCCCGCTCCACCATGTATAGCCCAATTCGTTCTGCTATAATCTCAAGTCTGTTGCTTCTCAGCTCAGTCACAGCACTTAAGCCTAATGTAACCGCCGTTGCCGCTGTAGACGGACATTCTACTATCCAGTGCTGGCAGCTCGATAACGAATTTACTTCCAAGAATGTCCTAAACCGGAGTAGCATTTACTCGGCGGATCTCGGCGGCGTCGCCAACTTATCTTACACTTTCATCCCGCCTAACTACGACCAAGGTGTCCACAGCGCACCATTCAATCAGTAAGTACCCCATTGCTATAGGTAGTGGGCTATTCGACGACTACTAACGTGTCTAACAGATGGGTTATTTTCATTAAAGGAATAGGTTTAATCACTGTTCCTAATGATAACACTACCGCCTATGTTGCTCCTGGTGAAACAGGCATCGTATTCGCTGCTGATACTCCTGATATTACTTCCGACGGTCACCGGTCTCAGTATCTCGGCGTTACGGAATCGATCATCATGCAAATACCAGCCCTAAACAACCAAGTCCCGGCGCACACCGTATTACACCCAGGAGGCTGCGTTACGTCTGAGATGTCCGGTTTATGGGAACTGGCCTTGGGTATCTCGTCCCAGACTTGACTTCAACATCTATCAAAGTTGACATCGAATGACAGGGAGTTCATATAACCAACAGAAAGACAGCGGAATTCTTTCGATAGATTTCAACCCCTTTTCATTTATTTACGGGCTATGGGTTTGAAGGTGCATCTGGACGCGCATTTGGAAAAGAGGGTGTAATTTTCGGAGGGTTGGTTTAACGGTAGCATCGGGGAGTTCTTGGGACTTGAACTTTATGATCTGATTTGATTTACGAAAATTATCGAGGACGGTAGTTTGGGAATATGCAAGGGAACAGGAATATACTATGTACCACCACTTCCGACCGAGGCCGGGATATTATGTAGCTCATGCCCCTGCATTAACTAGTTTAATAAACTAACAGACACCGGTCGATGACTAAGTGTCTACTAGGAAGAGAGCTCCACAGACGATATGAAATTGCCACTTATATCGGGCCTTAGGTCCTAAATATATATCTGAAAACATATTAAGAAAGGGGTAGTGGTTAGTAAGTAGGTGTGTTATCGTCACCGCTATCCTACCACGACATCCAGAAATTTCTTAATATTTTATCCATTGCACCCCCGATTTTTATCACTTTCCTCACCAAACTCAAAACTTGGGTGCCCATTGAGAACCGAAAAGTTGTGTAAAGCTCTAGTCATCTGGGAATTATCGTCGAGACCCTCACCATGGGTGAGCTCCAGTAACTTACCCGCGGCTAGTAAGTGCTGATTGGTTCTCTCAATTACGATCATACGACCAGACACCTGAATCTTTTCTATTTTGCAATCCACAAAGACTGAGGCCCGCTTGACAAGTCATTTAATGCAGTTGAAACTCATCGGATCATGGTCATTAAACAGCGGTGGGCGCGTACCCTAATATTCTATTCCACATTGTCAGGAGTATTTTATAACAGGTATCAATCATTACTGTTATAATTATTACGAGTTGTTATATATATAATCATGGAATAGGTCCCTAACTCGTCACCGCTTATACAATTAGTTACAGGACCTCTTGTAATACCTACTGAATGTACGAATGCTGCAATAACCCTTCAATGTAATCGGCGCCGGTGAGTTTCAAAAGACCGCTCCAGCGTAGTAGGAATTTATAAATTTCTGTGGTTTCTAAACGGTATCGCAAGAATCTAGGGATTAACTATACTAGGTACCTAAGAAATGTTCTAAGTAACCAGAGCTCGTTTAAAGTCAGAACCCAGAGTACTACTTACTTCCTGAGTTCCACAAACTTGAAAAAGAACCTCATCCCCTATCCCCGCCCTAGAAGATTCAAGTGAAACTTATACCATGTGGTGTGGAATTTCCAGCCTTCTGGTTTTCGTAGATGTCTTGGGGTTGGATCTAAGAAGGTTATTGGGGATCGTGCTTTACTATGTGTATTCGTCGATTTTGAGTATTTAGCCTAGCCACATCCTAACGTGAAATTAAACTCATGTTTCATGGAGTTATATTTCCTCGATTTGAATTTATCATGGTCCTTTCTCCTTTTTCTAGCCCTGTTCTCGTCTAAGCTACCTACCTATCTTGCACTTATCTAGAGGTACCTATACTAGGTTAGGAAGTAGAGATCTTTGCAAATATTGCCTACTAGGTAGTCTTAATTCTTGAATGAACTAAGCTACTTATCTATGTTTGATAAAGTTAATGACATACTCTGATCACCGATCTATTCATATCTGTGAGGTTTTTTTTGGTTAAGCAAGTGTATTATCGCCCTTGTTGTGCTCCTGAAGATGATCTTGCCTCAATGTATCCAAACCACATTCCTCAACCACGAAGTTTGTCTAAGTTCACCATTAGTTATGACGACCACATATATTAATTTGAGGACACGCCATTACGTATGTGGTTATTACTAGACTTGAACTTGAACACAAGTATGAGGTTAGTAGGTATATAGGAAGTTTTCTGCGATATTGCCGGCAATCTAGTCTTGACGTGATGCCATCACAGTCAAGGGACGGGTGAAGCCTCAGTCTCTGTCATTACTATATAAGCCACCTAACCCGCCTTTTAGAGATGATTCCTCCCACCTTGTATAACATCATATTTCAGCTAAACGCCGAATCGTCCATGTCAGTACCACAAATTCGTTGGGCTACTTCTCGCCCGATCGGGGTCGCTCTGGGCAATTATATAGGAGCAGTATTAAATTCGACTTGTTCATTCTGCGCTTCTAAGGATCTGAGCCTTAGACATGATCTATAGTCTAAGAATACTACTGGTTGTCGCCACAATTGTGTCAACCGCTCTGGCAAACTTCACGATCTATATCGCGAAAGCCAACGAGATCACAGACGCCGGCGTGACTTTCAGCTCCACAGAACTACAAGTTCATAAGCACGCGCCGCTTAGCTGCTCTGACATGGGCCACGTGATTCCTATTTCTGCAAGCACCATCAACGATGCAAGCAAGGGTAGATGGGCGTGTGATGGATGTAACGCAAACGCGCCTAGAGATTGGATCATCAGCCGCTTCGAAATGTACAACCGAAAAAACGCCATTGGTCGTTCCACCGACCACCCTTTCCCTTTATTCAACAGGGCCACAGGAGCCGTTAGTAAGTTCGGCTACCCCATCTTCCAGTTGAGCCTCGACAAGTTGCTAACGTCGTCTAGCTTTATATGGAACAGGAAATGGGAACTATGACATGAGGGACATTAACAACACCTTCCTTGGGACTTGTAACCGTCCGCGCCACCCACAGGAGATGGACTGCTGGCAGCTTATCTCGGCCACCTTTCTCACGCACGTATTTACTTGTAAGTGTGAAATCACATCGCATAACACTCTTAGTGGTTTGCTTACTAATATGATGGCAATTAGGTACTAGCGACCTCGTCCCGAATGAGGGGCTCTGGATATGAACATGAAGAGATAAAAGTGGAAAAGATATATACAGTAACGAAAAGGAGCGATGACTTATCAGGAAAATTGAGATAACAGTGGTGTGTTTTGTCCCCATGACTTTAGTTTGATATTGATTGTTAAATGTTATTAGGACTTCACAGCAATCATCGAAGCAAATGTGGCATACCAGCCTGCCTCTTCGGCTTCTCGGAATTCTCCCTGGAATTAACTAGCTTGATGTTAATTGCTGCGTTCTTCTTGAACTTGAAAGGCTCTACTTAAAGTATGTGGTGGATATGAATCGAAGAGATAACGAGAGATGATCTTACTTGGTGGCTACCATCTAGCGTTAAGGGGCTTATGTGATTTATAAGACAATAATAAGGGCCGCGGTGGGGACACCAGGCTGTCTTAGATATAATCTCGGGAGATGGATGTTGCTAGTATCATGGATTACATACCTCCTAGTAGTATTCTAACTACGTGGTGAAAGCAACTAGGTTGTAATGATGTCCGGATGGAATTGCCATACTATCGAACAAATACTCATGCTGTTGGCAGCTGTAGGCTTTAAGTGATAGGCCCGCATGGCATCCAGAAAGTTTTCCACGAGAAACATCCCATTGCTGTCTTGCTCTCTCGCATTCCCACGAGAAGGATCGTTGGTAACAAATATTAGAAATCATGTTAAAAATAAAAACACATTTCCTGGTTCGTGGACCCATAGAATTTTTAATAGATACCTAGGTAGGTATGTACAGCAGCTTCGTTATTCGGCGTGGTCTTATATGTTAAAAGCCACGTTTCTTGTCATACCAATACATTCTGTCGAGTTCTCAGAAGCGCCAATGTCTCAGCCTCCACACTCCACGCGTCAATGTATGCGTATTATGTAAGTAGCTGTCCTGACTGAAAGTTCTCTGAACAATCGGATGGAAGAGGGGATTTGAGACATGCACATGCATCTTGGTTTGTGCTAAATCTGGCCGGCTTCGCTTATTTTTCAACTCTTGGGTGCATTGCGCTACCTATGAGTGGCGAAGGTGCTTAAAGTGTAGCCGTGATGCTGGCTGAGGTATCTATTTGTGCAATAGACACCAGCTTATCACTGGCTCTAGGCTGTAGGCTCATGGCGCTGTAGCCGATTCCTCTCAAACTTGGCCTGCTTGATGTTGCGTTTATTTAGGGCCGTACGCCTGTAGAACAGAGGCTATGGTAACATATATAGGTACATGCTGTAGGTACCCGCTCGCTGTAGAAGGATCTGTATCGAATATTGGTGACACCAGCAAATAATATAACTTCAAGGTTCGCATTTCGTTTCGATTTCCTCGTCTGAATGTAAGCATTAGCGATATGTCTCATCATCTAAACATCGGTCAGCATGTTATATTTATTTCAAATGGTATTGCTCTTCGTGAGCATGTCTTTGGGCGATCCCACGCCGGTCTCCATAATCCCTGTTGATAGTGGACAGTCAAGTTCACGTTCAATACAAGCGCCTTGCAGAAATGTGCAAGTGAAAACGGAAATTACTGATTTTGTCGGCGAAAGTGAAAGTAAGAGAATACTCCCCAGGCTAGGTAACTACCTAGTATCTATATATCTTCTCGGGTTGTGGTTTTATGACGACTGAATAAAACACAGCGTATTTAACCCCCCACGGCACAAGCCACGAGGGTGCCTCTGAAGACGCCACCAGCGGGTACACAACACTCGAAGTAAGAGATGCAACAATCATTCGAACTACAACCCCAAATTTAGACAAGAGGCAATCTGAAGGATTAAACCCAGAGAGCATTATCGGAATTGTGATCGGCGTGGCATCTGTAATTCTTACCATTATCTCGATTGTATTTTTATACTTCGGTTGGAAAAGACGACGAAGCTTTTTCGGAAGATTGTGTGGTAACCACTGACGATCGCTCCCCACTCCATCATCGGTCGAGGGACGGCTCCTAGATATCTACGCGGCGATGACAGGGGTTTCCAGATATGGTTATAGTCATCCAATGGATACTAGGTATATCTGTAGAGAGTGAGAATTGTAAAGGGTAATTGTTCAAGGATCTGGAAATAGAGTATTATGTTAGATGCGTACCTGCATTCAAAATGGAAGATTAAGGGAATGCGACCTACTTACGGCAGCTCTGGGGCCTTCCTAATTGGGCGATGTGATCCCTAGAAAGAGATGTGCAAGAACATCAACCCTCTGTAAACTCGGAGTAAACCTCGGCCAATCATCCTGTCTTTTCATCACGCGACGATATATCACCAGAAAAGGTAGCTCATTACCTAGATATCTACATACTAGATACCTAACAGCTCTAGCTATGTATGTACAATTAACATTACGTAGATAAAGCAGGTTGCATTTTCTCTACTTGGAATACTACCCTATTGGTGCTGGTGCTGATGCAGCGGGTCAACTGTCAACGTTGCAGGTCATCCGCAATAATGTTAGTTCGTCATCAATAATCTCATCGCTGTTATCTTTATTCTCACTAACATAAACCCTTTCGCTCCTGAATCGATATATTGTAACGTAGTGGTATAGAGTATGAGACCTCTTGCGACGCACCAACTAACTGATCGGCAACGAACTTGCCAAGCCCGGGATCATCGGCCGATGCACGACAGCGCTGCTCCGGACCCCCTGAGGTCAGATGTGGTAGAGAAGAGGCTCCTTGTCCGCCATCACGCCGACTTCCTCTTTAGCATGTGTACCATAATCGACGCGACTCCTTTCCAAGCCCGGAATCTCCTTCTACTACAGTCTATGCCACGTTCAGGAATGCGATCACAGGCTTGCCTTATGTATTTTCTCCAAGTACTGTGACTGGCATTCCACGTGCATCATGTAACGTCTCCTGACATTCTCTACCTATCTGTTAGCTGGGTAGCTACCAGTCTATCTACCTATCTACTAGGTAGGTAGGTTGGTAGGTTGGTAGGTATCGAGTTTTCCAAGAGCTGTATCTGTCAGCTCTCATTCCTCGAGAAGGATAAATAAGTCAAGATGCTCCTCAGCCTCTGAGTCTCTTCCCTCTCGTTCGGCAGGCACAAGTACCGCTTCAGATCACATTCCCTTAACACATTCCCTAGCGCCATAGAACCTTGGTATCTTTGACAGATCATCCGCTTCTTGTATATAGCCCGTTTCTGTATTTTTTTTTTCATCTGAATCGACCATCATGCATTTCTCCACCCTATGTAACGGCCTCGGCCTCATGGCCGGGTTAGCAGCAGCTCTTCCCCATGCTCATATGACACGCCAGTCTTCAGGTGCTGAGACCGTTGTCTACTGGGGTCAGAATGGTGGCGGCACGATCGAGAACAACGATCTCTCGACTTATTGCACCTCCACATCCGGTATTAACATAATCGTCTTGGCGTTCTTGTACCAATGGGGTAACGGAGCCACCATCCCCTCTGGTACTATTGGCCAGTCTTGCTTCATCAGCACTTCTGGCGAGGGACAGAACTGCGATGCCTTGGCTTCGGCCATCAAGACTTGCCAATCTTCGGGCGTCAAAGTCATCCTATCACTGGGCGGAGCTACTGCCTCTTACTCTTTGTCATCGGACTCGGAGGCCGAGGCGATTGGAAACTACCTCTGGCAGGCCTATGGTAACTCGGGCAACTCGAGCGGCGTACAGCGACCTTTAGGCGACGTCGTTGTCGACGGCTTCGACTTCGACATCGAAGTCAACCGAGGAAGCGAATTCTACCCGGCCATGGTCTCCGCATTGCGCACCAACTTCGCGTCCGACCCTTCTCGCTCATACTACACAACGGCGGCCCCACAATGCCCGATCCCGGAACCCAACCTCGGGGTAGTCATCGGCAATGCCACGTTCGACTACATCTGGCCCCAATTCTATAACAACAACAACTACACTTACCCATGCGCCCTTCCCGTCAACGGCAACGCGCCCTTCAACTACGATGGATGGGTCGAATTCACCGCCAGCGGCCCATCGAAGGACGCCAAGATCTTAATCGGCGTGCCGGCGTCTCCCTTGGCTTCCAACGGCAGCCCGAGCGGAGAGACGTACTACGCGACCCCTGAACAACTCTTGACCATCGTCAACAGCGTCAAGGACGAGTCTAGGTTCGGGGGTGTGATGATGTGGAGCGCCGGGTTCTCTGACGCGAATGTTAACAATGGCTGCACTTTCGCGCAAGAAGTGAACAGCATTCTGACGAAGGGCGCTGTTTGTTAGACAGTACATACCTCACCACACACATACCGCATTATACCCATGTACATAGATATGGCATGTGTCTGTAAATAGCAAATATAGCTTACATAACATCTCTTTCATATTCATGTGTCTCTGTTGGTGCTATTCTTCTGTAGATAAATTGTTCCTCCTTGATATTGTCTCAGGGGCTACATTGCGAATTGCTGTACAGGGGGGTATCAACCCTATAGTTGGCTTCGGAGCATACTGGTAAGGCGGAACCCGGATTCCCGATTGCTATTTGGTAGGTGCGTAGAAGTGCGGACATCATTCGGTATCGACTCGGTAACTGAAAACAATTTTAGTTCATATTTGCACAGATGCGCTTCTTAAATGCCTATTTTTTCGGGTTTGGTTTGGTTATGGAAGGTCGCGACCGTGGTAAAATAGCGGCTGCTGACCAACCATCTTAGTTGTAGGTGACATGGGACAATTAGGGCAGTGGATATCTAAACGCGGGGGGACTTCCTACGCTAAAGGGTGCTAATAAATGACAGCGCTGGAGATTGTCGGAGCGGAAGGATAGGGGAAAGGGGACCCTAGCGCCCGGCTCAATAGGGGTAGGCTTGAATGTAGTCTGAATAGATTGTTGTAGGAACTACCTATGTCTATGGCGCCGTAATAAAGAGGGATTGGATATATTCCCCCTACGTAGGTAGTGACTGAACAGGCACTCATATTCCAGTATTAATTCCTGGCAATCTTATGAGGGCAAAACCAAGAATCTGGCGGGGTTGGTAAAATATTTCCTCCTATCCCTAGCAATCAAAGAGGTTGGTGGGGTCAACGGGAATGGCCTATCGAAGAATGAAGACAGGCCTAACTTCAAAAGTTTTAGAAGGGGTTCTCACTATCGCATACACATTCCAGAATTAGACAATGAAGGGATGGTGCCTTATCATGGTCAAATGAGATCCGATATCCATGATCGAACAAAATTCCCCGCGCGTTGTGGCGGAGGGGTTAAGCAGGCGATCGGAGATGAATAATTCACGGTAACATGAATGATGGACTTATGACCGAATATAAACATGATATCTTGCTGAATGATAATCCTAATTGTTAGTAAGGGTAGTGTGTAATATCATGGGTAGTAAGCTTTGAGATCTGCTAAACACCATGATCGTTGTTGCGAGCGGTTCTATTTGGTAAAGATAACCTTAAAAAGGAAGTCTTCACGTAAACCCACCTCACGATGCTACGTGATAGGCGGGATAGTTGGTTGCCATATCTAAGTCCCTATCAGATAAAACCAAGTGGGGTAATCTCTTATGTGCGACAGTAGCACGTACTATGTAATCCGATCCCGTCTATCACTTTTCCCCTCGTTTGAGTTCCGTAACCGTCTAGATAGAGCGAATCTAGTTAATGAAGATATTAGTTCGTGTCTATCTCGTTGGGCCTAATATAAAGCGCATTTTCCCATAGTGTATTACGTTAATCACTGGAAGACGTTAACTAACTTGCCAACTCGAAACAGCCATGGCGTCTGCCCCTTTTGTTGAACTTGCCGCGCCTAATGGCATCAAATATGCTCAGCCGACAGGTCTTTTCATCGATAACGAGTTTATTCTATCGGTTAATGGTGAAAGCATAGACTCTATCGATCCCGCGTGAGTACCCCGAGTTGAAAGCAGCAGGGAGCGAATGCTAATATTGAAATTTCGTAGCACCGAGGAGAAGATCGTTGCAGTACAGGCTGCTGGTGAAGCAGACGTAGACATAGCCGTCAAGGCCGCACATAAGGCGCTTAAGGATCCTTCTTGGAAGCTACTTCCTGCATCTGATCGTGGAGCGCTTCTGTATAAACTGGCAGATCTTATACAAGAAAATCGGGAGGTATTCGCGACCATCGACGCATGGGACAATGGTAAGCCTTACGACACCTGGTCATTCAGGGGTTTCTTGGATGATATTATGATAATAGGCATGTCGAATTTGGGGAGAGTTGAAATAACAAATGATTCCTAGGTAAAACTTACGCCGATGCCTTGGAAACTGATTTGACGGAGGCCGTAACGGTGATCCGCTATTATGCGGGCTGGGCCGACAAGACATTTGGCCAAACCATCAACACTAACCACCAGAAGTTTGCTTACACCATTCGCCAACCCATAGGCGTTGTCGGACAGATCATCCCATGGAACTACCCCCTTTCGATGGCAACTTGGAAATTGGGACCTGCTATAGGTAAAAAATGTTTTTTTCCGTTTTATAGGAAACGCTAACAGTATTTATAGCATGCGGAAACACGGTCGTCCTCAAAGCAGCGGAGCAGACGCCCCTAAGTATCCTGTTTCTTGGAACTTTGATCAAGAAAGCGGGATTCCCTCCCGGAGTGGTAAATTTCATCAATGGAATAGGAGCCGTGGCGGGATCGGCCCTAGTCAGCCATGCTCTCGTTGATAAGGTCGCCTTCACGGGAAGCACGGCAACGGCGAGGGCCATCATGGGAACAGCTGCTAAGACACTGAAGAATATCAGTCTCGAGACCGGAGGCAAGTCCCCGTTGATAGTCTTCGAGGACGCCGATATTGAGCAAGCCGTTAAGTGGTCTCACCTTGGAATCATGTCAAATCAGGGCCAAATCTGCACCGCGACCTCGAGGATCTTGGTCCACGAGCAAGTCTATGATGAGTTCTTAGCCCAGTTCTTGGAAAGGACCAAGACCACGAGTAAAGTCGGGCACCAGTGGGATAAGGATACCTACCAAGGTCCTCAGGTATCGAAAGCTCAGTACGAGAGGGTTTTGGAGTACGTAAAGATCGGAAAGGGCGAGGGCGCGACCTTGTCATCAGGCGGTGAACCCATCAAGGTCGACGACAAGGACAAGGGATTCTACGTCAGTCCTACCATCTTCACAGACGTCTTGCCAACGATGCGGATATGGCAAGAGGAGATCTTCGGCCCCGTCGTGGTCATCGCGAAATTCACAGAAGAGCAGCAAGCCGTGGATCTTGCTAACAGTACCACCTACGGACTCGGCGCTGCCTTATTCACGGAAAAGGTCGAGAAGGCGCACAGAGTGGCTGCTGAGATCGAGGCGGGTATGGTGTGGGTGAACAGTTCCCAAGACTGCGATCCGCGCGTACCTTTCGGTGGTGTAAAGCAAAGTGGAATTGGGAGAGAGCTTGGAGAAGCTGGTTTGGAGGCGTATTCGCAGATTAAAGCTGTGCACGTCAATCTTGGGAACAGGCTATAGGCTATAGGCTATTGGCTGATGTGATATATCTGTCTTATCGATCTCTTGAGCGAAATGAAACCTAATGATAGGCTGAAGCCATCTCGGTTATCTTGTGATAGTGCACACCTCTTTGTGTTTGTGTAAGTGGGGTATCTTCGATAGGGGGGGAATGTTGATGTATCCATGGTGAAGTCTTCTCACTAAGTTTTAGGTACTTATAAGGTAGGTGGGTATTTATGCTAGTATATTCCGGCTGCCCCCCTTCCCTCTTTCCCTCCGTATTCCGGCTCCTTCCTCTCCATTGCCAATCCCGAATATTCTCTTGGATGTGAAATACGGGTCTTCCGTCTTGGCAACTCTCTCCCGGATCGGAGACAGATTGCAATCCGGTCACGACATCGCCCACTATGTTGATGCCATACATGTGTATCTTGTCCACCTCTAGAACACACCACTGCAACGCCAGAATTCCGCAATAGGCAGGTGCCGGCCACAGACCCCGGCACCAATTACGCCGTTGGTTATATCCGCCATTCGAGTTCAACATTGCACCATCAATTAAACAATAAATATCATTGAAAGAGACAAACAACACAGGCGAGAGATCATGAAAGGGGTAAAACGCCTCACTTCATCTCCAAATGTTTACCTACCAAATAAGTGGGAGTTAGATATATCTTAACGTGCTCGCAGTAAGCACATCGTCTGGTCTTATCTGCATACGGGGATCTACCCATTCCTAGAGGATGTCGGACATCATCGAGAGCGATGTTTCGCCAAAACCTAAAGGGACCATAGTAACAGAAGCGCATGTTGCACCCGTCAGCGACGAAACGAGTGCAGCTCATAAGGTGGGCTCCGAAGACCCTCGTCAAGACGATGATACCGTATATGTGAAAGGGCATCCAGTGATTCGGAATGGTAACGAACGAGTAATTCCCCTCTTTCTAATGTCCGTGACTAACACATCTAAATAGGCGCCGACGTATCCAAATACTTGGTATCGTGTCGCGACGATGGCGACCCTGCCTTCACCTTTCGTTCCATCGTCTTAGGCACTATCTTCACTGCGCTTTCAAGCGTCATTACCATACTGTACATTTTCAAGCCCTTCCAGGTCCAGGTTTCGGCCGTCTTCATACAGCGTAAGTCTTCGTAAGGAAATTGTTGACCTTTCGAGAACTCATCTCACTTATCTCACTCAGTCTTGGTCTTCGTCTTTGGAGAGGCGTGGGCGTTGTTGACCCCGAACCCAAGTCGATTTAAAGGAAAATGGCTGCAAAATACGCTACGTTTCCTGAACTCCGGGCAGCCGTTTGGGATTAAAGAGCATGTGGTGGCGTCGCTCATCGCTTCGTCTGGGAATAATGGATTATCGGGAGTTGAGGTGAGTTTGAATTCAATTTCATAACATCTTCCTGGCCTGACTGAATTGGTATTAACTTCTCTTTCAAAGGTATACGCTATAGAGCGACTTTTCTACGACAGAAGTGTTTCTGCTTCCACTGCGGTGCTCGCTACCTTCTCAATCTCGCTTTGTGGATTTGTAGTGGCGGGATTACTGAGACCACTGATCATTTACCCCGCCGAGATGGTCTACTGGTTATCGTTACCGCGTATGTGATATCGAGTTCTTCCCTCCTCCCCCCTGGCTTGAATTAAGGAATTTTTCTCTTAGAACTTCTTCCCAAAGAATGAATTACTGACTCAAGTTACAGAGGTGGTTCTCTTTCAGAACCTCCATTTTGACCGCATTGCCAACCGAGGCCGACTAAAAAAGTTCGGTTGGGCTCTTGCTTTTGCCGCTGTCTGGGAGATATTTCCAGCCTATGTCATACCATGGTTTAGCGGTATCTCAATCGTCTGTCTAGCGACGATCAACGCCCCCAAAAGCACCCGAACCGTTATCGCCACGATCTTCGGAGGAGCTTCGTCTAACGAAGGACTTGGGATTTTCAACTTCAGTCTCGACTGGCAATACATCCAAAGCCAATATTTATCCCTGCCGATTAAGCAACAGTTGAATTCTTGGATTGGCTTGGTAATCTTATATGCCGCATTGCTTGGGCTTTACTACTCGAATACTTGGAAAGCGAAAACCTTTCCATTCATGTCGACGTCGCTCTTTTCATCCAACAGCACCACATTCCACCCGACGAATATCTTAAACGACGAGGGCATCGTCGATTATGATAAGCTAAACCAAGTCGGCCTACCGTACCTAACTGCATCGACAGTGTGGGGTTACCTGACCCAGTCCGTTGCCATCGGAGCGTTGATAAGCCATGTGCTTATATTCTTCAGCAAAGACATGGTCGCCGCGTGGCAGCAAGCACGAAGCAGAAAACAGCCCGACCCCCATTACCAAGCCATGTTGAAATACAAGGAAGTACCGCAATGGTGGTACATCGCCCTTTTTGTTCTCTGTTTCTTCGCAGGATTGGCTGTGAATATCCTGGGCGAAACTACGCTTCCCGTCTGGGGTTATATCATTTCCCTTCTTTTAGGCACTTTCATCGCCCCCTTCTCCTGTATCCTCTATGGGTTATACGGAAGCGGCGTCGCGACTAATCAAATATCCAAGATGGTCGCAGGTGTTGTCCATCCTGGCCGTCCTTTAGCGAATCTATATTTCGCTAGCTGGTCTCACCAGGTTATCCTTCTCGCCGTCAACCTTGCGAATTGGCTTAAGGTAGGAGTTTACACGAAAATCCCTCCGCGAACGATGTTCACCACTCAAATTTACGGCACTCTCCTCGGCGCAGGCCTGAACTACGCGGTCATGACAAGTATCGTGAACAGCCAGCGAGAGATACTACTCGATCCTTCGGGAAACAATATCTGGAGCGGGTCGATCGTGCAGAGCATGAACTCCCAGGCAGTGACCTGGGCGCTAGCGAAAGAAATGTACGGATTATCGGGACGTTACGTGATCGTTCCTCTCGGACTCCTCATCGGAGTCTTCCTCCCAATTTTCCATTGGGTTATGATCAAACTGGTTCCCCGAATTAAGAATTACCCTATCAATACGGCATTGATAGCTGCGTACGCTGGCGTAAACTACTACGGAAACACATCGTGGATCTGGTCCTCAATCGCGGTTGGTATCTTTTCGCAACTTTGGCTGAGGCGTCGGCTGCCAAATATCTACAACAAGTACAACTATCTCATTGGAGCAGCATTAGATGGAGGGTCGCAATTGGTCATTTTCGTCCTTTCGTTCGCGGTTTTCGGGGCTAGTGGGAGAGCATACCCGTTCCCAACGTGGTGGGGAAATCCGGACGGTAACCCCGATCATTGTCTCTGAAGGCCAAAGGTTTTTCAATTCTTAACCCTATTATAATGCCGTTTTATTTGGCGATTTATCTTTAAAAATAATTTAACTATATTGCACCCTATGCTTGGTCTCCCAATTATCCAGGGTGTGGTGCGGGATAATCGGTGATGGCGACACATCGATCTGAATGCTTTGCCATTTTCCTCACAGTCCGGAAAGTCGACGACTTGATTGACTGCTCATGTCTTTGTGAACTAATTAGCCTCTAATCCCCTTGGATTAAGCCGGCATGATACGGTAGGCGTTATTTTGCGCTCCCCATCATCTCGCTGGTCTAACCTAGCAGCCATGACCGAGCCAGCTAGCGCGCCTCTTACCGAGAGGCGAATGGGTTGGGACTAAAGATTTCTCCTTAAAACCTCGGACGGGCACATAAACTTGGGTTCCAAGAGTGACATCGCCTTTTCCCGTATAAAAGTCGATCAATCGACTCAAATCCAGGCCCGATAGTGTCCAACAACTCTCGAAACTCTTAGGAGGGTGATTCGACCGCGCATATACCCAGCCGAAGGATTCTCTGAAGATCAAAGTCTAGGAAGCGCGGCTAGATTCAATGCAGTAATACGCATTTAACAATCTAACCAACCAGCTCACCCCGCCCTCACACAAACCTCCGGCAAAACAGGCTCCAAGAACGCCGTCGCCATCCTCCAGCCATAAACGCCATGCCAACTCCTCGGGCCACGAAACGGGTCCAAATCGACGTCCACATCAGCCACAACAGGCGTCGCGGCGCTCGACAACGTTGTGTCATACATTCTAACGAAGTAATCGCACAATTGCGGATCCGCGAACACGGGTTGGTTCGTTACGGCCTTGATGAAAGAAAGCGGGTAGGGCACGTGGTTGCGGGAGGGCTTTGCGAGGATGGTCATAAACTTGCTGGATCCGGGGGCTTGGCTGTGCGTGTATGTCGTGCCGTCGGACAGCGCGGTGTATGCGTCGCATGGCGGGTCGAAGGTCGATGGGTGCACTGTCACGCCGTACCCCTCGGCGCCCTGGATGGCGAGCGAGTTGCTGGAGGAGATGAGGAAGGTGCTAGCCCACCGGAAGGAAGACCGGCCGTCGCCGAATATGTCGACGAAGGGGAATTCTAGGGAGGCGCGCTATGGCTGTTAGGGGGATGTCTGCTTGCTATCTACTTGTGGAGAGGATCGGCTTACTGAAAAGTCTGGTATTGAGGCGTTGTATACGGGTAGTTGTACGTCGTGGTCGTGGACGATTTGTGCCATCATGGGATACATGTCCTTGGGAAATGAAGGTAGTAGTTTTCGGTACGCAGCTTCGGCAATACCGTATTCCTTGGGGATGAGCTGGCGAGCAGTTTTCAAGGAAATGGGTACAATTAATGTGGTTCCGTTGAGATTTCCGCTCACAAGCTCCGGGTGTTGCTGAGCATGTTGGTTTGGAGAGTCGTGTGTCATGCAAGTATCATGTTGGGAGGTGATTCGTTGCTGTGAAGATGAGGTTCCGTGAATAGCAATTAAGATGAAAACATAGAATAGTAGGGAGCGCGATAATCCTGTTAGTGAGAGTATCGGTGAGAAGTTATGAGCTCGGGGTGACGCCGAAAGTGCAGCCATGATGATGGCGTGCCTTCTGAACAAGGCTGTTGATGTACTGAGACTTTAATTGATATGATAGTCAGTGAACTCAGCCGCTCAGCATGGGTTGTGAACCAATATTAGTCGATTATATCTATCAACGGAAAATGTGACTGAAATCCTGAGCGGGTAGAGTTAGATTATTATCTTGTGATTTTCTTTAAACAGTAATTATAAAAAGCTGTAGCCTAAATATCGCGCGAGACCGACCACGTAGGCGGAGCTGGAATGTGTCGGGAGACGCGATCTGAAACGGATCGACGATCCCCGGAATTGTAGTGGAGCCTGGAATGCTTGTTCTAAAGAACAAAGAAAGCTAAGACTCTAGAATAATCCCACCGAATATCCATTGGCGTGTTTGGGAGTAGAAACATAATGTATATCTGATTCTAGAAGGGGTATATAGACCGGTATATATATGGTCTTCTCATGCTGTATAGTAGTTCGTAGTTTTTGATATAAGCTTCTTCTTGGCAGCGGCCTACAGACCCTGTCTAAGGAAGGCTACCTACCCAGGCAGCCCAGGTTAGAGGTTAGAGCAAACACCGATGAGTGCTCCATGTTGACCATCAGTCACCGCTAGTATACAAAGAAAAGTCATGACGACATCAGTAATCTGTTGTGAAAGAAGGCGAGCGCCTCTTTCGAAGCCACAATTTACTCTTACTGCGTAGTATGAAATGATCTTCAAACCAACACCCAATCAAAACATGATTAGTTGAAACGGAACGAGCTCAATCCGGGGCGGCACTCGCATAAGCGCGTTTGCAATTACCCAGTTGAGGTGAGAAGGGGAAGGTACTAATAGGTAATACCGTGAAAGAATCGGGTGCAGCCGAGGGAAAGTTGTTTCCGGGGGGTCGGGTCTGTGGATCCCGGATGTGCGACTTCCGTAGCAAGGTTCATCGGTATCATACCCATCCGTGAACCTTACTAGTATCAAACGTTTTTCTGATAGGTTGTTTCTAGATTTCGGTCCTTGTAATCATTTCCGGTCCGATCTAATCTTTCGAAACAACGCATATGGCGTCGCCGCGATACTTGTGATAGTGGCACACGTAAAATTGTTTTATAGATGTTGCGTGTAAGTCGATGATTTAAGCGCTTATCTAGGGGGCGGCGCGTGAAATACGAAGATAAGATCCGAGGAAATCAACAACGCTAATATCTCTAAAAAGGAGACAGACGAGTAAATCACAATAGCTATCCCAAAGCCGTCGCGGACGAAGACGTAAGATTCCAATTAGATGCATTTCAAGCGCCACGCTTATGCGGGGAACTCGGCCAGCTCGCCTCCTGCCACACTCGCTTTACCCGCCCACTGCAATTTACTCGGGACGAGCGGTTGTAGGACTTTCAACCAGACAGTATCGTACAGACTCGGACCACCGTCAGCAGATTTGCTCCCAGGTTCGAAGCTGCCATAGTTCTTAGAATCTGTGCAGCACGGACTCGCAGAGCCCCAGAATGGACCAGCCGCCCACGCCGTCCATCCAATATACACGCCGTTGTCGTCCATGTATTTGATGAAGTCAGTTAACATGTCATCGCATCCCGTGTTATTGTGTCCGCCGAACTCGGTGATGAACGCTTTGAGATTATTCTCCTAAAGAAATAGTCAGTAATTCCCGTCGACTAGACCGTGTAAAGAATCCACTCACTTTAAGCCACGCTGTCACATCTGCTAAATTAGTCGCCGGCCCACTAACGCACTCGCTGTGGCTACCGCTATAGTCCACATCGAGATATTCATGAATATCGATTGCCGTGTTGTTCAAAGGATCCTTGAAGTCCTGGATGATTGCACTATTGGGGTCTGGACCCTGGGACCATGCGTGACCTCCAGCCCAACTATTTCCGGGAAGAAGGATTAAGTTGCTCGCGTTCGCGGCACGGATAGCATCAATAGCGGCCTGATTGTTCTTCAACACAAGGCTAGTTTCCATGTCGTGCGGCTCATTCATCAATCCGAATATGACTTTCTCATTATCCGCGAAGCGTTTGGCGAGCTCACCCCAGAATTCGCCAAATTGCTCCGTCGTGGCAGCAGTGGAGTCCGATGTGTTACCGATCACGCTGCCGGAATACGGCTGGGATGACGGATCATTGTATCGCATGTAATTGTGAGGGTCTAGGATGGCATACGCGCCCTTGGTGACCGTTACGTAGTCGACTGATTCCTTGAAGTAATCGAAATGAGTTTCATTAAAAGTCTTCCCCAAACCAGTCGCAACTGGGGCCATTCGCTCGAGCAAGAAGGCTATGCGAAAGAGATTTAGGTGATTTTGGTCTACGTGGACGTCGATTCCGGTCTTATCGATGAATTGGTAGTCGACGCCAAAGGTTCCAGGCAAACCGGTGCCCTTCTTGGCATCAGCGCTCCATACACCAAATTCGCCACCTGACTCGGCGACACCAGCATAGTAGATGGTGGCCGAAGCCGTGGATACTAAACTAGTAATGAGAGTCAAATATTTCATGCTGGGTAAAGGTAAATAAATGCTTAGTAGCTAGAAGGTAGAGGGTAACCACCTTCTCCTTGTGCACGAGTGGTTTCTTATAAGTAGGCGTTGGCTAGTATAATATATATTAGATCGATCTACATTTTCGTTAAAATTAACCAATCTGCATCTCTAGCGGAAGATGACGACGCCGAACCGATTTCCATTTCTAGTGAAACCGAAATGCGCATTGCAAGCTTTGAGGCCATGTCGGCGTAATCTCGTCTTATTCAAACCCGGACCTTCGGATCGTACTTTGAATGGACCGTGAAATTTTATTGTTGGGGTATACACAATAGTAAAGGTGGCCGACAAGTCCAGGCACCGGTAAAAAATAAATAAATAGAGAAGAGTATTGTACGGTCTATGGTGGGTATCATTGTTGCAATATGCGAGATCAGATGTGGAAGCAATTGCTCCGCCGATGGTTCGGAAGCTTGTCTCGGTAAGTTGACGCGTGTTTACCGTTACGCTTTACCACGAAGTATCAGTGGAATGGTGTTAATCCGGAGGGCGATGTAGAACCGCAGGGCATCCAATATTCGGCTGAGCCGCCAAATGTAGCCGGGTTTGTTAATATCGACATTCTAACTTCGGTGCGAGTCGGCTCGCTATAACGCGCCACCGACAAGACTGACGATCCACATTGCAATTCGGACCTTTAATCCGACTCGCCGTTCCGTTTTCGCAAAGTCGTCCAATGTGACAGGGTTTGCATACTCCTGCAACCACTTTTGCTCATCTCCTAACCTCTTCTTTAAATCGGGGTCTTGAGTTACGATTAAAGCGCCCGCCTCCAGGTCGTGGGAATAACTGCGTTTGGTGTAATTTGAACTTCCAATTATGCTCATTGACGGATCCTGCTCCCGGGGAAGGGTTATCCATAATCCTTTGGCATGGTATGTCCATCCACCTGGTTCATTGACAGTTCCTCTTCTCCATTCTTTGAGGACGACCGCCGAATTCTGCTTTCGCTCTTGGATCGCACGAAGAAATCTACGGGCAAGTAGAGTGTACGCATCTGGCAAAAGTCCCGATACGCCTTTTGACTTGTAAAATCCATTTGCATGAGGCGATGCTGTTATTACCACATTGTTTTGCGAGGCTGTTGAGAGTAGTAAGTTTGTGAGCGACGGCGCCGGGTTGAAATACCCGGCCGTAAAAGTCCAAGACGAGCCCGTGTACTCTGGCGTACCCAATGTTTTCAATACATGTGTAACCGCGGGGAGTTCAGTTGATGTGTCGGGTTTCATAAGTTGAGAAAGCTGACCAAGCATATAAACAGTCGTGTTTGGTGAAGTAGATAAGCCGGTGTTTGATGATTTTATGCTTCTGGTTCTATCGCTCGGTGCTATAAGGCTGTTCACAAGCTTTGTAGCTTTTGAAATATACTCGGTAGGGTGTTCTAGAGGCGAAGGGGCAGCATTGGTCGATGGCCAGTGAAGCCTAAAGCCTGCAGCCTCATCATTTGCAGGTCGCACTAAGAAGCTGAGTGACGTGACGCCTCGATAAAGCTCCCAGAAATAGTTCGTAACTTCACTAGAGGAGAACAGATGGTATCGGTCCTGACGATTTGTGAAGTAGTCGTTAGAAAGATTTGCACTAAAGTGCCTATGTTAGCGGATGCCTTCTACTTAAATATGAGCTTACGTACCCCGAAAGAATAATCTCATCATCAACACCATAGAGTTTCATATGCTGCAAGCCCCATCCTTCATTGATACGCTTGGGTATATGTTTCTTTCTTAAGCCAGTCAAGTTTGGAGTATGATACATCCGAATCTCAACGCGATCCGGACCAAATTCTGTGATGAGAGGGGCAAGGAGAGAAGCGCATGAGGGGTCAGGTGCTTCTCGTGTTCCACGAAGCGCATCAGTAAGGATGCTCAACTGCAACTCGGGATTGGCGCGTAGAGCATCTTGAAGTGTCACAATCTCAATTCTAGTTAGCACAAACATTTATTTCGATACAACGACTGAGTTGTCCTCATACAAGTTCTTCTTCAGATTTCCCGATGTATAGAGTAGATAAGAATATTCGTTTCTTGGCGCTACGTATCCTGGCCTAGCAATGTCAACGTGCTTCGTTCACTCTAATATTCAAATGGCATGACACAAACCTTCAATGTTTCGTAGAAGTCTGTAGGAGTTTTGATAATATGTATTTGAGAGCCACTGATCTTGAAAGATGGTGCGATTTTGTCTAGTTCATTTGTGAATGGTGCCAACATTCCACTGGAGCTTAAAGAATTGCTAGCTGTAGGTGCATGACTCGATGGTATGGAATATCGGCGGCAGCATTGCTGGCCATATCGACTCATTGGACGAGACAAGGTAGGTCGCAGCTTCAAACAGCATCTTGATGCACCCCTAGTTATCATTGCAATTGTTGAGAATGAACGTAATTTCTCATGATAACGTGGAGGGTGAGCGAGTGAATTGATTCCTGGTCGTGTTGAGAGAAACAGCTATGAATTTTTAAGCTCTTTTGGTTGAGATCTCGGAATGATCTGACAGGGATCTTATCGATATGCTTCTAGCTCTGCGAAATGACGTTATCATAGATTCGTGACGGATCCCAGTCAATTACATAATGTATACATAGATACGTGGCGGACCGATGAATACCCGAATGGCTAAGCCGGACAGCTCCGCCCAATTGAATTCAATGCGATGACCTTAAATCAATGTTTCCACTTTCACAATTGAAGCAACACCTGAGGCGATAGGACATCGGACTTCGCCCAACATGTCGACCATTCCAAGAACTATCGCCAATTTTTGGCGAGTAGGAATCAAGGTAAATAGCGAGCTCTCAAGTCTAATACGTTTCTGCTAACATTGCGATAGGATGCTTGGCGCCAGATGCAGGTACGTCGAAACGCTCGTCGATGAGTTGTTAATTCGAAACTAACGATCGCGTTCCCCGGAACAGTATATCGGTACGGCACAATATATGTTGAAGTAATGAAGAGGGATTCCTAACAACCTTTAGGCGATACTAAGGCTGGTACTTTGATTGGTACCGATCGATTCGGCAACAGATATTTCGAGAACAACGAAGAACTGCCCCGTACGTTGCCTTACTATTAGACGGGACAATTGGAAATTGGTGGCTTACTGATGGACTATAGTTCGAACACGATGGGTAGACTATAAGGTCCACGACTTCGATGCGTATGTATACCTCGAGGATTATATTATGAATCAATCGGCTAATGCCTCAGTTCAGAGCCCAGATTGAGCCTGGCTGGCACGCTTGGATTTCCTACTCCGTCAACAGTCCACCTACCGAAGATTCATTGCTTGCATATAAGAGAAGACCCTGGGAGGACACCGATGCCAAGACAATCCCTAACTATACCTTTACAAAGGGGGCATACAGACCATACAACACGTATGTCCCTCTGACTTAGATGCAATCGTAGTATTCGCTAATACTTGCGCAGGACGAAAGCTAAGGTTACGACTTGGGAACCCGTCGCCGCCGAGAGGAAGTAAAGGAAAAGAACAGACTGCTATGTACATATTCACAACATGACGCCCAAGGAAATCTAGAGCCAAGGCGTTAACAATCATATTCTATTACCAATCTTTTATTCGAAATTGGTCCTTCGTGTGGCAACTGCGCTTTCGGACAAACTAATGAGTTATAGTCTTTATAATACCTATATTTCTCTGTCGCAAAAGGCCAACACCGGAAGGCGTGGTTTACAGGCGCAAAGCTCTACCGTACTACCATATAACGTATAAAGTGTACGAAAGCAGTGCCAGGTGTATATTTTCGGCGCGAGAGCTTACATAAGCGAGTAGGTCTAGCAACATTCTCCTTTCAATCTCAAATTTCACCGTTTCATTTTATCTGAAATCTAGGCATATACCCTAAAAGACGAAGTGATGCAGATTTAGATATGATTTCTTCTTATTAACCTTTTTAGCTGACTTGGAGTGGGGTGCCTATTGTGCAAAACCTCGAAAGAGAGATGGGTATACATCTCAAGTTGTTTTTCCTATTTTTCTTAATTCGCAGTTATAGCTAATGGATTGTAGAGTTAAAAGCTTGCTTGATCTGTGGGGGCAAGTCGCGGTAGGGCGATAGCTTGTCACCAACAAGCAGCTCTTCTAAGGTGGCTTTTGGGTAGCCTTCAACCTCCCAGATTTCCTCGCCAATAGATTTCACCAGCGTTCCATTGCCCCACGTTTTGCGACACCACCACGCCAGGGATAGCGGGATTCCATTCTTAATACAAGTCTCAATCTCATTGTCGACTTTTTCCAAGCTGTGCTTGAATATGTGCGGTTCCACTCCGTATTTCTTCTTCAGAGCAGCAGCGATTTCACTCCCTGTGGCCTTTAGTTCTGAAACGCCGATGACCCGACCTGCCAGTTCAGCTGGAGGCGTGCGGGCAAATATCGATGCGTAGGCTGCGGCGACATAGTCCCTCGTACTTTTCACACCATCTGTTAGCTACCGAGCTGCGATAGTAGCACGAGAGGGTATGATACTAACCATATGTTCACCAACTGGTTAGCACTATCGCCGGTGAAGACCATTCGATTTCCTGTATAATCGATGCCCATTATACTATATATGAGAATGAGCTGTTAATTCTCTCTTTCGGAATATATTAGGTGTGCTACACTTACCCGATCGAGAACGCCGATTCAGCAAAGCAACCAACCTGCACCACGGCTGTGGAAATGCCTGCCTTCTTGGCCGCGTCGACAACTTCCTGCTTCGTCTTATTCACAGGGACACGTAGTCCTTGCTCATCGTTCACTCGAATTCCGAGGTCTGAAGGTACGAATAGCTTGACGTTGGTTCTCGGTAATGCCTTAACGAATGCGTGCTGTCTCAGTACGCCTTCATGGCCGACTAGGGAGCTTTGGCACCCATTAGCGGGAGCAAGGATGATTGGAAGTCATGACATTCAAAGGACTTACATGACGATGTCAATATCTTGCAGAGCAGCAACGAGTTCTTGCTGTTGCTTCTCGATATCCAATTCAACCTTTGCTACGCCCGATGGCACACTGGAAACGTCGGAGCCTGGACGGTATATCACCTTGACTGGTGCACCTGAAGCTACCAGGGCGTTGAAGATGGCCGAGCCAGCCCAACCACGATGGCCATAGACCGCAATACGATTGTAAGACATGATGTTTATGTAGTTGTGTATGCGTGTATTAAATATCCTGTAGGCCAACAATCAAAAGAGTCGCAAGGCTACGTTTTATAACAATCAGGCTGACAAAATGCGAAATCCATTTTAGTAATATTTCCTACATATTCATTACTTCCAGAGACGAAGGTTACTTATTCCGGAGGGCGAACCCCCGATCGAGCGTGGCCTGGCAAAGGGCGATACTGTTTGTTCGGAATTAATGCCAGTTTGTAAAGCCGAAGGCATACGCCAAAAAACCTCATACCTACTAGGTAGGTAGATTACGTGACTCACGCCGAAAATCATCAGCCAGCGTGAGGCCAATAACTCTTCCGCAACTTGAAGAACCAAACGTGTCCTTAAGATGTGCAATCGATGCCAATTGGATGTTTTAACGCCGGCTTACAAATGGTATCTGAAATCACGATGGCACCATACCTACGATTATGCACTCGGACAGCAAAGTGCCAGAACACCTCACATTAGTCAGCAGACCCTATCTTTCAGCCCCTGAACCCTACATGCAGCTCTCGTCTACCTACACAATGGGCGCATAGAAGCTGAACTTCCTTTCCGGATCGTACTTGTTCTTCAACTCTAGCAGTTTATCCTGACGCCACTGCTCATAGCCATACATATTCTGCTTCGTTTCCTCTCCGTAAGCATAGTTAACATACGTGTGCATCTCCTCCCGACCCGAACCTTCGTGGAGAATACGACGGAGATTCTCGCCTAATTCAACAGCTTTCGCGTCGATTTCCGCATCGGCACCAGCTGCGTAGTTGATCACCGGGGAGATGAGCAGGTTATCGCCTCTGAAAGGATATGCGGTGGACTCGCTAGGGATGGCTTTTACGCCTTGCGTAGAGTAGCCCTCGAAGAGGAAGAAGGATCCGTTTAATGCCGGGGTCTCCTTCGTGGCAGATGCGAAGAGGTCGTATACTTGACGCTGGGCCGGGATATTGTATGATTCGACATCAATTGGGAACCGGTAGTTGACCAACCCGGCCTTTTTGCATGGTGGGGAAGTATTGGCGTTGCCCATCCAGGTTGCCAAGTCAGTGAAGACTCCTCCCTCACCATCGACAGCTATAGGGTTCAGATCATGGAAAGGCTTCGTATAGGTTGGGTCAACTATCATGTTTCCTTCCTGGATAATGAAGAACATGATCAAGGGCTATGTGGGTTGTCAGTAATACCGAAAGCAAGCTAATATCATACTCGGACAGGTGACTCACATTGTTCGGATCGACTTCCGGGTTGTTGAAGAAGAACGAATAGTGCATGATATCAACTGGGAGAGAGCCGCCATTCGGGAGGTGGCTGTTGATGTTTTCATACAGGGCTTCTACCTTGTCACCGGTGAAGATGAAGCTCTCGTACGCCCAGTCACGATGTATGATGTCGTAGATCTTCGAAGTGACAGAAGTCACAATGCCGAAATTGTGACCAGCTCCTTTCATGGCCCACCAAAGATCAGAACTTTCGTCGATAGTTCGCAGACTTCCATCAGCCAACACAATATTCATCGACACGAACTGGTCAGAAACAAGTCCATATCGTCCCTGGAGAACTCCATGTCCGCCTCCTAAGCCGGGTCCTAGAATGCTAGTGCACTCGCATAATCCAGTTACTGCCTCTATGTATTAGATATAGGTGTTCGTACCTACATGAAAGCATGAGCTTACCTGTCTGTTTTCCAGCAGCCCAAAGCGCATCGGTGACGGCCTTTGTTTTCGCGCCGCCACCAATCTTTGCCTGAGTCTCGTCTTCCGAAAGCTCGACTCCATTTAATTGATGCATCCAAATCTGAATTCCGTTTTTCATCTTCCCGACCGTCTTTATTGCACCGTGGCCCCCGTTGACAGCAAGATAGGGCATACCTAACTCGTTTGCATATTTGACCTTATGCACGGTTAGCATATAATCAAAACAGCCGAACATATCCGCTCGAATTCCTTACCGTCTCAGCAACGTCATTCTCGATGCTAGGAATCACGACGAGCTTGGCTTCCGGGGCGTGTGCTGCAGACCAACGAGTTGTCGCGGCCGCAAAATTATCTGACCCCGGCGTATAAATGTGCGCATTCCGAGAAAGCCTCTCCCCGAGTTCTTTGGCGTAGTCCCTTTGAGGACAAATGCTCACGAGCCAGCTACTAAGAACGGCATTCTGACAGGCGGACGCGATAGCTCCTGCGGCCACGGCAGCTATGACCTCCATTCTGAACCTTCTTGACTGCGCAATCAAGAAAAGGACAGAGAAGACAAGGCACCGAAATAAGAAATGGGAAAGAAATCCCACACTTTTAAGAAGGAGGGGGAATCAACCGCTGCCAGCATCTGATTCGTTTCTTAAACTTGGAGTATAGCTTATCCCGGACCGGAATTAAAGAACCACGGTTTCTACGGATGCCGTGAAACAATAGCCTCCAATCATAGGAAGATCCCGCATATTTGTGCCGCAGGGTAGTTGGTGATCCACAGCGGCGGTGAGATTGTTGGGACTACGTAGCAACGTACCCAGTATTGGTATGTGCACGACAACTTTCCGAGTGTTAACTGCGGGAATACTATAATAATAGAATCCTCAATTAACCATCTCTAATACTAGGTAGGTAAGTAAGCAACGCTGCTGTCTAGTAACTAACACTACTTATACAATTATCTGTTCTTCTGGCTTCCTCTCATACCCCCCACTAGAACTGAATCAACGGGACCACACTAGGTACCTAAGTATTATCGTTGAATATTTGTTGTGATGTGGACCGAACCAGATATGATCTTGATCTCGAAGCTATGACCACAAGCTTGGCATTCAGCCCCTATTATATAGCCGTCCTAAGGCGATCGTCGCACGAGACATACGAATGACGAGAAACTTGGTTGCTCGGAGCATGTGTCAAATACGACGGGGAGGTTCCGCGACTACTGATGTTATGTAGTTTGTCGTAGGTAACACCGAACGTCTGGTCAACGTGAATGGCGTCCCTAGATCCGGCGGTCCGGGAAGATCGGGAACTAAATAGGCTCTTACTGGAGCTCAGAGCCGGCTCCCAGATAAATTTCCTGAAGAGAAATTGGATCGTTGGAAGACATGCGGCGAACACCCCAACGCCGCTTTCAACCATACCCCAGTACAGGCAAGCCGTTACTCCGACTACAGTAGTCTATGTTAACAACTGGAGAGAAGAAATAGTGTTGTCGAAGAGAAGGCACTTACGGATGTTATCGTCAGTCATGTCAAAATTACCTATGAAACTTCCAGCCATCATGATGAATCTTATCAAAGAGACTATGACAGTGCTACTAGATGTCAGCTCAAGTATGGTTCATGTTAGGTTATCAGGCATCTTACACTCCCCCAAGAAAGAACATCAGACAAACACTAATCTTCTTGGGCTTAGACAGATTCAACCGTAAAACCTATTGATATGTCAGCCTCGACATCAGTTGACCCATATCACAACGCCACGAACCAGTGGAACAGGTATGAAGAGTATGAATATGTCGGTAACGAAGTCCGTGATACAGAGTATGAGAACTAAGTTGACAGTGTAAGAGCACCGCGTCAAGAACTCCGTTTCCGAGTTCCAGATTCTCCAGAAGTTGTGGTTGCACTCAAAGAGTGTTGCGAAGAAGAACGCGATCATCCACGCCGCTGTAAAAGCAATGGATACTCTGAGGATCTTGTTGACGACGCTGCGTTTTTGGATCGCGAAGACGCGCATGTAGAAGAACAAGAAGCTCGCTTTCGTACATCCCAGTGCTAGGGGAAGCATGAGGAGGTAGGCCCATTCGATCTAGATGTCCTCTCGTTAGAGACCATAAAACAGTGTACACGAGCATACCTTACCTGTGCTTTGAGTGCTAACTGCGGCGTAACTAGGTCAGAAGTTTTCCCCGTATAGCCTTCTGGTACTTCAATGCGATATGCAAGTCCTCTCTTCGAGACTCCGTAAACTTCAGCAATACCAATTCCTACAGTCAAGACCTAGAGATTAAAGATTAGCCTGTAGGTTTGGACCGGGTCCCGTCCAGGTTTATAATACCGTGGCTGGTATCATCAACCAGTCGTCCGCTTTGGGGGGTTGTCTTTGAACCTTCCGTGCCCAGAACCGAAGAGTAACAGCCACGATATCGACTACAGACAATGCTATTGCAGCCGCGACGACATGCCCGGGACGCATATAGTAGGCTGCATCGTCTCCGGCCATTATGAATAAAGCTTAGATTTTTGATAATGAATAGGAAAGTATACGGACATTTGAGAGGACGATATATCAAAGGATATAAGAAATGCCAAGATTCAAGTTAAACTTCGTGGGGAAAGGGGGGGGAGGATACGCCTCATAGCTCTGGAATAACAGTAACAATAACAATATTACATGCGTACCTCTACCGGCAGAGGGTGTATAATATGACTGTAAAGGACCGCAGGGTGTATGGATGCACCCTAAATCCCTCCATCTATAAAATTTCCGACCTCTAGCGCATATTCTCCAGTCAGACAAGGATGGCTGCATACATTTCTGTCCCAAGTAGGGAGTCTTGATGGTTAACGAACGTGAAGGTCATTCAGTTAAGGAATAGTCTCAGTTGTCAGTGTCGCATTAGGCTGATTTGAACCGACGCTGTCCTCCGTGGTCATGATAATGCATTGTCCTACATTGCACAAGTGCAAAGGGCTAACGCCACCTATGATCGAGATCAGTCTTTTTGATTGTACACAGATAAGGTGGGAGGTTACAGTGTTGAATTTGGTACGGGACCGAAAGTCCTCCGCGGGTTATTGAGGACAAGCGACCATGCTAGTATGTTAGGTGAGGTAGGTAGGCACATGCAGAATTGCGGCTGGTTTGCCGGAATCACGAACTTGTCATGAACTTGGCTTCCTGCTAAAATCCTTCAAGATTTTTGATGGGACAATGCTGACCACTAAAAAGCTGCACTTCTGCAGGCTATGAGATATTTTGCATTTGTGTAGCACACTTGACACCCTCCGGCCCAGTGATTGGATAACTGTCGATTGGGGGCGTCAAGCCTATCATCTATCATAATGCCCTAGAATCCTTCCGGTCTCGATTGAGGACAGTGCATGGTGGATAAGGATATCTTGGGGCAGCTACAGGCCATGAACAGTTACCGGGGTGCCGGCCATTTAACCCTAACACGATGCTTTTCCTTGTCTACCACCATGTACTGTAGGCCAGCATTATTATTAAGTCAATCACAGAGTCTGCAGGGAACACGCACCTCTTAGTAATAAGCGTCATAGGTATATTCACAGCTTCCCTTTGATATCCTTTTCATTCATGGGTAGATGGATAACATTCTTTTTCAAGTGATGCGAGGTAAGGTAGAGTGTTTCGTGAGAGTCCGTTTGTGCGTTGCGACCATGCGGTCTTTGACTACAAGTTTCTCATTTTTCCAGCCGCCCGGTCTCCCCAAATTTGCTTACTAGGTCCCTAAACTAGCTTGTTTCTCACCTAGGTAAGAATTGCACTTCAAGGTTACCATACCATAGTTCGCAGTCGTGTTCAAATGTTGAATGATCTAGTTCAGCTTGTATAGGCAAGTTTTTCATTAGTCTGAATGATTTCGCGAGGAAGGAAGTGAGACTACTATTGTTAGAAATCTGGACCGATCGGAGTTCGGTCTATACAAGACCTGCTGGTGGCTGGTCCTGAATAAGAGTAAGCGAGAGTAGATGGTTCATTGCTCCTCGCATGCCAGGTCTGTCTCGTGACACCTAGGTCCTACCTTAATATTTAGAATAAAATCTGCTATTCTGCTAAATATTCTAAATCATCGCTCGGCTACTGGGTAACATTGAAATTGTTAAAGATTTTAGTTTATCCTGCGTGTTCAAAATGAAACATGATTCAGTATCGGTGGCTTAATGGATGTCGGGTAATAAACGCCTCCAAGCCAGCTATTTTGTTGAGACGATGCAGACCTGATGTTGATGAATCTAGACCATTTCCTCACCCAAATCGCAGGTCAAGTAATAGAATATCCTTAACTTAACAGACTATGTGGTTAGTTATCTCGATGACATCTTCTACAGACATGTGTGTGGCTAGAATACTTGGGAATTCCCTGTTTCGTCCTTGATTTTGAAAATTGGCCAATCAGCTTTCAGGAATCAGCCACCAATGACGTAGGGGGATGCCACGCCTGACCCTGTAACACGTTGGGTACTATGCTCACTTACGTAGATATTTGCGATATAGGTGACATGTGCACGTTGTACCAAATACGCCACCAGGTATATACTCTGTATCTAAAAATGCATTCATCTCCCTCTTCTCTTTTGGTTATCAAGACGTTACGATTCCACAGGTACCTACCAAGCACATTCCCCCATCCCACCCCGCAATCCCATCAAATTACCAGCTGAGAAAGAACCTTGAAGAAATCAAGATGGAATGGGCAAGGCAGAAATACAACGAGCAATATGAAATCTGGATGCCGTGGATCGAGGATTATTTTCTCAAGTACTTCACTAAAGACAACAAGGTCAGCTATGCAGCAAAAGGTAAATTATACCCCCCTATCCCATTTCCATCTGCGGAAATGACTCTAACGGTGTTGATCTCAATAGAGCAACTTGACAAGGCGAAAATCACCGGTATCGAACAAGTCGACACCATCCAGGACGGTGTTCATAGCTTAGCAGCCGGGCAAGTAGGGCAGGGCGGCCTGCTAGAGCCTGTTGGTAACCTTGTCTCGAAAGAAGGCATTAACCGAGCTGAGCGAAAAGGGAAGGATGATCAGAACGGGTATCTGCCGACTTCAGTTCCTGGGATCTCAGGATTGTTGAAATAAGACTTACGCCTTTCGATCGAATAGGTGTCGATAATGACAGAAACGGCTTAGAAAATCAGGGAAGCCGTCCGGAAAAGAGGGATTCAGATGGGTGTACCATCTGGGTTAATGATAATGGGAGGGGAAGGACCATCAGCGTGTTGATTGCCATTTTTTAATTCATATTTATTTGATTCTGCCTGGCTTTTGTCTTAGAAATTGGGAGGGAGTCAGGCAAGTTGCACGTTCTATTTCTTTTTCGTATTTAAATGCTGGGTTGCATCGCCGATTCATACCTAACACATCAGAAGATTGTAAACCTGTCATATGATAGGTATCATTCAATAAATAAGTTCAATTCATACGAAACTTCCGCTATTTTCTGCAGATGTCTTCCCCTACGCGCAAATATTCTTACTAGCACCACCAGTAATCGTCCAATTCGAATTATCAGCACAAGGCGACTCTCTCACCGTCGTCCCATCCACCGTCAACGTAATCCAGATATCCTTATTATTCGGGAACTCATCCCGCGCAGCCAGCCTGACCTCTCCCCCACCATTGACCTTTCCCCCACGAATCGACAGATTATAGCAGTTCTCGATAAGAATCGCGTTGTTCCCGTTACTCGCAAGGTCAACCTCCTTAATCACAGCCCCACCACTCTGCGAGACACAGAAGATACCCCTCCCACCCCCACGGGACTTCACCTTGTCGATGTACACATTAGTGTTATAATTCCCATTCGCGTTCTGCCCGTTGTTATTCGCCATTCGGAACGTCGCATACCCAGTCCCCTTCGCCACATTATCACCATCCACAAGTCCGACATGCGCGTTCGTCGTCTTCTGCAGGAGTAATCCACACTCGCCCACATTCTTCGCAATAACCTGGCCGATCTCAAGACCATCGATATTCCACGTCTCAACTGCGTGGCTGCCAGCTCCGGTAACCCTAATCGTGTCCATCTTCACGTTCGAGTTCGCCGCGTTGTCGCGGTTGAACCTGATCCCTAGGCCGCCGCTAAGGTTCATTGTGATCTGGCCGAGAGCCAGGTTCTTGGTGCCGTAGAAGAGCATACCGAAGTACGGGTTGCCGGTCATGGTGAGGAACGGGATTTTCACGTCCACCGTATTAAGTGACTCGATGGCACCGTGTCCGGCGCGGTTCCCAGTGTTGATAGTACCGCATCCTTCGAAGATCTTGCCACTGCCGATGGAGATCGTGTTTGCGCCGATAGAGCCCGATGCCATGACGGCGACGCGCTGGCCACTGCTGATCGAGTCTACCGCGGCTTGGATAGCTGCGCGGTAGTCAGAGCCCGAGTATAGTGACTTTGAGCCCTTGGTAGCCTTGAAAGAACTACCTGAACCGGTCACTGTCGCGTCTGGAGTACCCTCCCCGCACGTAGCGGCGTTGATGGTAGGGACAAGCGCGAGCGCTGCCACGAATACAGATAGTAGAGTCATTGTCGCGTTTCCTTGGCACTCTTTGGCTGTGGGCGATCGGTCGTGACTATCAAGCATGTCACAAGGCGGGCGACTTATTTATACCCCTTAAGAGCACCTTGAATTATACAAGAAGTCCCATTTCTTCACCAGGGGTCCTCTCGTACGAAGCCTTGGCACAGTCTCGCCCTCCGGAGTATTCAACTCCATCGTCGACGTCGATGTAAAGGATAGGATTACCCCACCAATCCGGTAGAGGTATGCTATGTTACGGCGGGGATAAATCTAATGTAGGTAGCATCCATGAATAGCTCCCCTGACTCCGCGGGTAATCTCAGTGGCAATAATAAACCGAGATTGCTTGAAAACCCAAGAAACAATCTCTGCTTAGTCTCTTGGCTTGCTTGACGTCCCAGGTAGTAATGTCTTGAAATAATGTTAGTACGCTGTCTGTGCAGTAACTGCATTAAGCAGGTAGTTTCCATCCTCGTAAAATCTAAGAAATGTGAGATTTCCGAGACAGACATAGCCATGAATAGCAAGATTCAAACATTAAGTACAGAATAAAGAGGTTGAATATGAATATATACTTACATATTTGAATACCTATTTCTGCAGGAAACTTCAACACCCTAGTGTAGATCAGTTACCACACAGACATCGCACTAAAATCATCCCAAGGATTGATCTGTATGCCCCTTTTTCGCGATTGACATCCATACAAACGTGCTGCGCAGGGTATTGACCGGGGATTCCCCCCTCCCCCGCATTTCCAAGCTTTCACGCGATGCACCTATGTTCCAAACCAAAATAACCATCCAATTCAATGATAAAAATGGTAGAAAATACTACCCACTACCTATTCTCTCCCCTATCGCCAAGCTCGTTGGCCTTATGCCTAGCTAGATCAAGGACCAGATATCCAAGCCGAACACGACGGTCAATGATGCTATTATAGGCAGGTTCGCCGACCCTGGATATCTGATTTCAAAATTGAGTTTCTTGGATAAACCTCACAAATTTTACGGCTGTCTGAAGAATAACCGCTCCGTATAGGCATGCTTAGGTAACGATCCTTTCTTACTAATACTGACTAAGCAGCCCCGATCCGCATGATGTAAGCAGATTATCTAATCATAATGCTTACCTAATCGACTCTTTATGTGAAGCCATATTGAGAGATACACCTGTTAGTTAGATTTAGTACGGGTAAAGAGGATATCTGGAACTAGTAAGACTACCTAATAATAGATGAAATTAGCGAAACCTGACAGAAGCTGGTTCGCTGGACCTGGTCGAGGAGAGATCCACTAAGGGTGGCCTGGCCTCGAGTACCCATCTCCCTACTTGGTAGTATTAAGAGATGTAGTAGTAAGAAAGTGCTAGAAATATGGTTAATATAAAAGAGGAAGAGCTTAAAAATCTCTCGGAGTGAAATATAGCGAAAAACTTGGCTTAGTTGCTAAAGAGTTGTTTATATAACATGCGTGTCTCGAAATTCTATGTCTTGTTCTTAGACATTGCTCCTGAAAGTGCGAAGAAATGAGAAACATGATATCCATGACTCTAGGTATGTAGAATCTAAATGCAAGCAGGATGCTTATATCTAAAATAAATGCTCCAGATAAACAAGGTGCTTCTATTCTAGGTTCGGGCTTCGACAGCTGCTTTGATGGCTGGTAATCATGGTCAGCTGTACGTTCAAATCAGGCGCTAGGGAGACAAATCGCTTACCATCGCAAGAAGTTTTAGCATCGCCAAACAGCATCTTCGTTCCGGGCATGTAGAACATAGGATTGGGAACATCAGCTGGTGAATCGTTAGTATATCTAATTTAGGTGGATCGTGTCACCGGACTTACCGTAACCACTGGCCATTCCACGCTTCATGACCACCACCTGTTTACTCTTCCATGCATGGAGAACAGGCATTCCGGCAATTGGACTACCTGGTTCCAGGGCAATCGGATTTACCGTATCATTGGCGCCAATAATCAAACACATATCCGTGTCGCTAAAATCGTCGTTGATTTCGTCCATTTCGAGTACGATATCGTAAGGAACACTTGCTTCCGCAAGCAAGACATTGCACTGACCCGGCATTCGGCCTGCGACGGGATGGATGGCAAAGCGAACGTTAATCCCCTTTGAGCGCAGCATTTTCGTTATCTCACTGATGGCATACTGCGCCTTCGCAACCGCCATACCATAGCCCACGACGATAATCACGTTCTCCGCATTGATAAGCGCATCGGCAGTGTCCTCGACGTTTGTCTGGGTTACAGACCCTTCGACCTTGTATTCCGTAGTCGCAGGTGCAGATATACCACCGAAGAGTACGTTCGTGAGGGATCTATTCATTGCGACACACATGATGTATGAGAGAATTGAACCGGATACTCCAATAAGTGCGCCAACAGTGGTTAGAAGTGGGTTCTCAAGCATGAACCCCTCGGCTACCAAGGCGAAGCCACTGTAAGCGTTAAGAACCGTGATGACGACTGGCATATCTGCCCCACCAATCGCCGATGTCGTCGTAAACCCTTTCGCAAATGAGAGTATTGTGCTTGCGCTTAGTGCCATAGCGGCAATCATAGGTGACCCAGGCGCCAACGTAACAAAGGCGCCCATCGTTCCAATATTGGCGGCAAGCATACTAGAGTTAATAAGATGACGGCCCTTCAGAATGAGTGGTTTCGAAGACATCTTTCCAGCTAATTTCATGAATGCGACGATAGATCCAGTGAACGTGATGCCGCCGATGAACACGCCAAGGTAAGCCGTGACGAGATGTAAAGTCGAGATGTGGTCAAGGCCACCCATAACACTTCCGATACTAGTCAAAACTGCGGCCAGACCAACAACAGAATGGAGTGCTGCGACAGTTTGAGGAAGATCCGTAGGCGTGATGCGTTTACCAATAACGAAGCCGAGAATGCTCCCGACGGTAGCGAGCCAGCCAAATTGGGCCAGCACTTCAGGGCTGAACCCGACAGCTAATAGAGATGCGAGGACACCTGTGCCGACACCGAGGATTCCAAGTAGATTGCCCATTCTCGCTGTAGCCTGAGAGGCTAAACCTGATAATGAGCTTATACAAAGAATTGAGCTGACCATGTACCCTGCTTGGACAAGTCCCGCTGCACCAGTTGAGGCCGCTGCGAGATACCCGCCCGCGAATAGCACTCCAGGAACAGCATATAGCCATGGATATTCCGGTGGATCGGTAGGTCCTAATTTCAGTTAGCTTCCGCTGGCCTCATTTATATAAGTGACGTACGCTTAAACATGTCAAGCATTCTCTTCGTGATTACGAAGCCACCAGATACATTAACGAAAGCCAGAAGAACAGATGCAGCACCAAGGCCTTGTGGGATCGTTTCTGGGACATATCCGCCACCCAAAATGAAAAGGCCGCCAACACCGACCATTCCAGATATAGCATTGGTGACACTCATTAAGGGTGAATGTAAAGCCGGAGTCACTCCCCACACGACGCGATATCCGATTAGAGAAGCCAGTGCGAAAGTGAAGGCGTTGCCCATGAAGAGCGGCCCAGTAAACTTGCCAAGAGCTAGAGCGCTACCCATACCAGCAGTTACGGCAGCCACTTCTCGAGAAGTCTTTTGGAAAGGGGTTAACAGAACCACTTCTTCCTCTGGCTTAGTAATCGCTTTGGGTGCCGGGGCAGGTGGTGGAGCTGGGCGAGGCGCAGGCGGCAAGATTTTTCCATTATGAGTGACAATCGCACCGCGAACAACTTCATCGGTCAAGTCAATTCCGAATGATTTCTCCTGAGGTGCCATCGATAGAAGGAACTTAGCAATGTTGTTCGAATACAACGTTGACGATTGCGTAGGCAGCCTAGATGGTAAGTCGGTATAACCTATAATACCATGAGCAATTCAACGTGAAAGAGTTCAAGGAATGAAGCCTTACCAATGATTTTCACATCTTTATGTGTCACCAGTTTACCAGGTTCAGTCACCTCGCAATTGCCACCTGCTTCTGCAGCCAAGTCTACCACAACAGAGCCGGGCTTCATAACTTCAACCATGGCCTTAGTAATTAATTTCGGCGCGGGTCTTCCGGGAATAAGAGCTGTTGTGATAATGATATCAACGTCTCGAGCTTGCTCAGTAAATAATTTCATCTCAGCGGCGATAAATTCAGGGGACATTTCTTTGGCATAGCCACCAGCACCGGAACCGTCTTCCTGTATCTCAACCTCAATGAATTCGGCACCGAGCGACTGCACTTGCTCTCTTGCGGCAGAACGTGTGTCAAAACCACGAACGATTGCGCCCATCCTGCGTGCCGTAGCAATCGCACTCAAGCCGGCAACACCAGCGCCAATGACGAGAACCTTGCAAGGCGGGATTTTCCCCGCCGCTGTGACTTGACCAGTTAAGAAACGACCAAAGACATTTGAAGCTTCCAGAACCGCTTTATAACCGGCGGTATTCGCCATTGAGCTGAGAGCGTCGAAGAATTGAGCAGAGGAAATTCGGGGAATTTTGTCCATGGCAAAAGCGGTCGCTTTACGAGCGGCAAGACGCTCGACGATATCCTTGTTTTGGTCCGGTTGAAGCATTGAGATTATCGTCGCCCCTTCCTTAAGATTATCGATCTCCTTAACATTGGGTGCGCGAACCTTCAGCATGATATCGGATTGATTCCAAACTCCATTCGTGTCGACTAGGGTGGCGCCGGCCTTCTCATAAGCTTCATCCGGAAAGTCGGCCAGCGCACCAGCACCACGTTCTACTAAAACATTACGGAACCCCTTCTTCAAAAGAAGTGACACATTTTGAGGAGAGATTGCGACTCGCCGTTCATTAGCAAACGTCTCGCGAGGCACACCTACAGTAAGACCCGAGTAAGGTATGGACAGCGGCTCAGTAACGGTCGAGTAAGATGTTACGGGGATGATTTGCCTTGAAAATGCCTTTCCCCTCTCAAACTTCTTGTTCGGGAGAGCGGGAATGACGATAGGTTGCTTCGCGCGTGTGCTATTCCATTGTCGCCGACCGCACACAACAGTAACGGACCCACTGAGCTGCGCATTCCAGTCTATTAAAGGCGTTTTCTTAGCACCTCTTATTTTTAGGAAATTGTATTGAGGCGCATCAAAGCCTCTATTCATATTTCATGCATTGCAACGAACCTGAGAGACGCGACACAGCGCGGCGAGCAAGACCTTCTGTCGTACGAGAAGACGCATGATTAGCGACCAGTGCTGGCCGGATTAATGACCGAGACAGAGGCATTATATCGACAAGACACGACAATTGTCTGTCATAAAGCGAAGACTTAGATCCTCATTCGTCGTTCGTCATTCGTGATACCAACCCCCTTGCAGACACATTAAACTGCTCACATATTATGAGGGAAGGAAGAAAGAATATTGTTGAAAAGGTCGACACCACGCTCAAAGAACGATGGAGAGTGTTTATGCCATGAATGCGACCAAAGACGGATAAGAGCGGAAACCCAGAGGGCCTGGGACAAATAAAATAGCCAGCAATCCCGGTTGCTAGATCTTAGTGAGTAGTAGTCACACGTTAGGTTCGATACAATGGAACGGTTGACGCCCGAGGCTTCCTTTCAATACTAGGTACTCCACTCTGGTCGACTGGCATATTTGACTTGCCATCTGTGCCATCTTTGACATCCCTTATCCCTCATCCCTTTTCTGCCATCTCCCCGCTTCTGAATCTGTGAGTACGGCTAGCCCCTGGATGGCTGCAGTAGTAAACCTAGTAGCCCGGATCATCTGGACATTTAGCGAGGCCGGGCGCTCCAATCAAGAAGTCAAGGTTCTTCAATCTGAAGTAGAAATATAGCCGATAACAATGCGCATCGCACGTCGCGTGAATAGGGGGAATGTGTTGATTCTGCCTAAGTCGTCAGGAATAATTGGGAGCGTAGGACAAAGGTGACGCAAGTTCAGGAGCTAGGCGACTTGTGAGAGGTGACCGCGGAAAGACGATGAGACATAGACCCGCAATAATGTTCCATTTTTGGAAAGTGGGGCGGTCCCATGCCAGACCATGCGGCGGATAGCGGAGACCGTGAGTTTGCGGGCACCAATCAGAACAGATTGAGGCAGTTGTGTTAGACTGGCAAAGCTGCAAAGCACTGTACTTCCTAGATGCGGTAGAAGATAAAATTCCTATCGAAATTTCATTCTATCATATGACATCATACCATTTTTTGAAAATATCAGTCAATAAAGTTAGAACTAGAGCTTCATCTTCAATGGTCGCATCTTTTGGATCGATTGGATTTCTCACACACATTGAAGTCAAACGCGCCTCAAACAGCAACATTAAACATGCAAAAATTCCATCAATTTGACATGCCTTGCGATCCGGTATGAAAATGCACTTATTGGAAAGTTATATCGCACACCGAGGCAACGTTGCAACTTATATTGTAACCATTTACACGGTACTAATAGAAGTCAAGATGTCGTTCCCGAGTCTTCCCGGTTATAGTTACACAAGTTCCTGTTTACTAAGTAGACGAGCAAACCTTCTCGGATGCTGGGATAAAGATGGAAGTCAAGAGTGAACCTCCCGATTATGTTCATGTCTAGATGAGATCCGTATGCTAAGGACGTTCTCCTTAGTTGAGGAACTGGTTTTTGGACCCCAGCGTTATTGGACAAGAGATCAGATATGCAGTCCGGATGCTTAATTATGGAGAGAGCAGCAATTTACCGATGGTTCGTAGCTGTTGTAACTGACCAGACCTTTACAGGTGAGAATCATATCTCTAAGTTGCGAGAGTCTCAGGTTGGTTGTTTAAAGAAGTAGCCCCACAAAAGGGGCTAAAAAGGGGGCTAACCCCCGAACTCGCAGGCTATCCCTTGTATTACTTCATCCACGTATTAATCAGCCACAATACGTGTGAGCTGCCTAAGTGGGTACATGAAGGGATAGTTCATAAGTGTATGCTCTTTGTTAATAAACTATATAACAATAAGCATTTATTGTGATAAATCATATAGCAAAGCACAAAGAAGTAAGTTGTCAGGTACATGTCTTCTGATATCAATCACTGTTATCGTATTAATACAATCAGATTGCCATTTGAGTATATATATGATAGCAGATAACATTATAATATGAATAGCGCCATTTAAAAATACCACGAAGGCCACATCTAATATGAAATTTATCTACAAGCTATTGATTCTCCTCTGGGTTATACTACGGCTTCCTAGAGCATAAGCTGCGCACGATGTGTTGTTGGTTAGCTCTGGAAATTTGTTGTATGGAGAGTAGACACCCCGTCCCATTCTCACTCAAGGCACTAGCTGCTATAGTACTATGTGACGACGTAAACCAAGCCCGCCAATCCGAACAAGAGGGCCATACACCACGACTATCGCCCATACAGTGCGGTAAAAGGTGCCCAAAATTTGATCCCCTATACGTACGTATGGAACGCATATACTGGTCAAAGTGTGATAGATGCTGTAGGGCGACAACGTTGATAAATGATGAGTCTGAAGAAGACCATCTAATTATGACTATTGAATTCAACCGTCTCCTCCGCAAAGACATCGAAGAACAGCTTCATAGAAGACCGTACGCAGAACTTGTGCGGGCTTTTCCAACTGAGTTTGGAATTGAACGACGCTTTATGCTGGACGAATGCCGATGGATAGAGGCGCCACAACCCACCGAAACCGACGCTCTGGGTCCCCACCCTCCTGTCGATTCCACACTCGATGGTCTGAAGTGGTGGAATGAGCAAGGAATGGGTGGCAAAGTCCATGATGAAATTTCTACGAGATTTTACGCCTTGAACGAACCAAAAGATCTCATGAGACAGAACGTCCTGAACTGGATGGAATGGTTTCCTACAAATCCAGATCAATTTTCTGTGGTTGACAACCGAACTCTATCAACCGTATCTGCTGCGACATCTTGGGAAGATAGGCAATCTTTTACCGATAGACCTGTGATTCATTTTGTGCCTTCGCTCGATTCTGAAGATGAGTCCTCTGAATCTTCGGGCTCGGAGTTGTTGTAATATCGTTTCGGTATAGCGCCTACATCAAAGTAACGTACAGTCATAATTTAGATACCTAGTTAATATTAACTTACTTCCACATATCACAGGAAATATGCCGATTTTTCAATATGTACTAAGTTTTATAATGAATGTATGCCTGGGCTATGTACAACTCTCCCATCTATCTACCTCTATACAATAAAAACAAGATAACCAGCAGGATTATGAAAGGTAAGTTCCAGGCCCACTGCCACCAACAGCACAGTTTTCTCTCTATGTAGTTTTAGGTTAACATGAATGTGTGTGGTTTAATGAACGAAATGAACCCCTTTCTTCCGAGCATGCGAGAATTTTCAAGTGACCCTCTATTGCTAAATTCAATGACTTATTAGCATATCTGTATATAGGTGACTATTGGTAAAACTTACGTCGAAGCAGACGTAGGTGCTCTTGCAAGCATGGCCGTTTCCATCAGTGTATAGGACATGGTTGTCATCCTTGAAGCAGTTGAAGCTGTGGAAACCGTTGTTGCCAGTTCTATGTTGCAAGCGTTTGTTAGCAAATATTTCCCTGTACACTGAAATTTCATAGCACTTACCCAACATTGGTGGAACCACCAGCTGAAGCAGCACCGCTCTTAAGGTTCCATGAGAAGGTGACACCAGAGCCGAATTTGCAGCTTGAAGAGCCACCCTCGTGAAATCCACCGTTAGCAACGCAGGTGTTGCTGTTGCCGGGGAAAGATCCATCGTTGCTGTCGTTGGAGTAGTACTATACAAGTAGCCAATTTTAGTAAGTTGAATCCCATTCACGAGGCTAATCGAGACAAGCTGTTGCTTGGTTACTAACGTTGATGGCCTTGTAAGACGAGCAGTCGACCATGTGAATGGATTCCCTTGCTAGACCGACGCTAGCGAAGGCGAGGAGAGCGAAAGTAGAGAACTGCATGGTGATAGTTGAAGAATTGGTTGGATCTTTTACTAGAAAGAATTGAGATGAGGATGAGAAGATGAATCGGTGATTGTTGTTGATGCTGTGTGCTTGAGTTGGTTGATGCTGTGGTATCTGGATGAAAACTGGGCGGCGCTCTGAATATTTATACACATATCGTTGCCAGTGTCGGCATTTTGTCTAACATCCTTCATAATATCATCGACGAAAAGATTCCTCAATTCATCAACAAAATTTCCCGGCCTGCTGTGTTACTGCCTCACGGCGTGTGTTGCTGGCGCTATCAATTTCAACGAAGCTAGGAAGCTCGACTAAGATCGTGAGTATGCAGCAGTTTATCGACCAGTATAAGATTTCGTATAGCCTACTCAAGTTTAAGCTGTGCGTAAGCCGGGTCTTGGCCAATAAAGCAAATGCGGAGGTCAGCACTTGAGTCTACCAGGTGAGACGGGAGTCGGTATATGATATTACTTGTCCAGAAAACCGCCGTTCAATGCCGAGTAGAATTTTCAGCTACAGATACAGATAAATGCGACTAGTACGAAAATAGCTCCTTGAGAACACACCATAGTCCAAGCTCTACAGGTACTTAGCTATGAATTGAGAACCTTGGAAGCGTTCTATAACTTTACTTGATCTCCTTTCTAGACCTCCTATAATACATAGTATCATATCCGTCCAGTTTCCTTGAACGTGTAATATAAACGGAGGTTGCTTTCTCCCCACTAATGGATGGTTAAGGGGTAAGTATTACCTACTCAAGTATAGATGCTTTGCTAAGCTGAACGCGAGGCCACTATAAATCCTACATGCTGACAATAAGAAGTCGTGTCACCAATCGGATGTGAGATACCGAGTAAAAAGCTTATTTTAGGTAATATCGACATGTTTTAGGCCAAAGCCGGGTATGGGGTATACGGACCCCTATGTCATATAACTATCAGGTAGGTATTGGAGGGCCACTTCGGAGAATCCATACCTTATAGACGCGGTGTTGACATAGAAGATGTACTAGGTGGTAGCACGTAAGCTGGAAAGCTTATAACTACTTGGCATCCAGATAGGTAATGAGAATCGAATATGCCAAGTCGTTGCTAATATTGCATGGTATTCCCGAGTAACTATTGGATCTCGACATACACACCTGGGCATGTAACACTTACCAAAATACCCACTAAAATGATAATTCCAATTGTAGCAGTCTCCTACCAATCTTCAATTAACATGGAATCGGTCTTCCCTTTTTAGCTTCTAAAATGGCTATCGTGAGATCTGAATATAAATTGAGCCGATACGATGATCGTGGGCAAGGGGTGATTCGCATTCGTCTCCCAGGTCAGCAGCCACATCTCGAACTCTGTCCAATAGACCCTTCATTTAGTATGATCCCACCACAATGTGTCGTCCATGCCTACTATGTAGGTTTACCTCACATTTCAACACGGCTGAGAATCAGATATATCCCGGTCTATAGAGCTCTAATATATAAGGTATGCTTGCCGCTAAGTATCAACTGTCAGCATCGTTCAAGGAACACAAGAATCTGTCTTGCATATGGTGGTGGTCATACAGGCAGACACTCCGCAACATCTCTACAAATTGAGACATACCTCAAATGATACTAGGTAGCTCTCATAGCGTAAACGTCGAAGGTGTATAATCGAAGCGACTAAGCCCACCAAAATTAACAGGAATCCTTGAATTTAAGTTGGCTGAGATCGAGTAGGATGAACTTCTCTGATATCGATGACTATCACGAGGCAGAACTAAGCAGCATGGGGGAAACGAAGTTGTCACGAGGCGGAACCAAAAGACTAGGAAACAACGACGTTGTTGCGCGAAGAGCTCCTAACTGCTCTCGCTATGGAGAACACGGTATACTTACAGGTGAAGCTCTTTATCTGTCCTGCTCCTAGGACTCTACGGACCGAATCCCGATCCCATAGACCTCTAGCTACTGACCTGGAGGAAGACCGATGTCTGACAGAAGTTGTTATACGAAGAGCTCTAACCTACCGAGTGCAGTATACCTAGCACTTACTTACAGATAAGGCTACTAGGTATTCTAACACGCCTACTTACCTAGGACCCCTTATGGGCTCTCATAGACCTCATTGGGTCGAGTATACAGTATTAGGTACTACCCCGAGTACATGCCTAAAGACAAGAATTGATTTGTTATATCCAATATCCATTTGCATTATATGTCTATATAGAGCAATAGCTCTTCAGATCTATGATATCATGAGCTCATGAGTCTGTCTATACTACCTAAACTCCTAAGACGTGACGTACATTCGCCCACACGATGTGATCCCACGTCTTCATAATAACACATTACCATTATCCCCGGGCTTTCATCTAATCCAAAGACCCTCCTCGCGATTTACCCAGGCCATCTATACAGCGCCTTAAGAAGGAACAACACAATCCACCTCCTGCACAAAATCATGCGTCCACTCGCTGCCCTCGGGCAACGTATTCAACTCCGCGCAAAGCGGCACGAACTTAATCCCAACACACCCCTCAGGGAGCGTCTCGCCCTCATACACGTACTTAACAACCGTAAGGTTCCCCCTGACGTACCCGATAAACCGATCGCACACAGCATAATACCCAGCGCTCAGCCCGCCCAACCTGACGTCCTCAGCGTTCGTAACCAAGCTGACCCCGTTCGTGCCCCCGCCGACATCGATCTCGACGTCGTGTTCGCCGGGATACGTCGCGTCGCTGCTGTCCCGGTCCTGCACCTTAAAGCCCCAGGGGTACTGCGTGCCGAGGTCATTAAGCACATCGACGTAGCCGTCTGCAACCGTGCCGTTAGTGTAGAAAGGAGTGCCAGACGCGTTGTGGCTTCCTGCCACAGCGACGTTTTGGCCCGCGCCGACGTGCACGGTGCCGATGAAGGAGCCGGCGACTGAGGGGTCGAGGTCCTTGGTCGGGTCTAGGAGTTGGATTTGAAGCTGGTATGCTTTGGCGCGCGAGAGCTGTTGTGCGGTTTGCGGGACGGGTGTGGCTCCTGCTAGGGAAAGGAGGGTGATTGTTGTTGTGAGGAGTGAGGTGAGCATTATTATTATTATTAGATGGGGATGGGGTGATTTATAATGGTGGTTGGTAATAGTGAGGATGGAGTGTAATTGGTAAAGAGGTGTAGATTCGATGTCTTGGTATTAGATATTAGGTAGTATGTATATCTTAGTAAGGTAAGTCTTTGATGATTTGGTTTGGTTCAATGAATATTATGGATCTAATAATCCTTTGTGATCGTTGGGAGACCATGACTTTATATCTCTCTTCACGATCGTAGCTCAGGTGCTCGCGTGGCGAGAGCCGGTCGCGAAGCCGCAGACCGCAAGGCGATGACGATACGAAATTGCTATTCTACCCGTTCTACATGATTCTTCAAATGAGCAAAGTATGCACATATCGTGAGCCTTACGAGGTCTCCACCTGTAAACACGAAGTAGTAGGGATTGTCAGCGGCTAACAATGATCAATTTACACCTAGATCTTAAGGTGATCGGCAGATGCAGGCTATGAATCTTACCGTTGATTGGACAAAATTACGTTAGAAAATCTAGACGGCAATGTCTTAGAGGCTGAGTCTTAGATCACGAGAGTAATCCTAGCTGTGCCGCTGGGTAGCAGCAAAGCAGTAGGCTAATCCGATTCGAGCCATATTGCTCAATGTGGAAATGAATGTCTCAAAATAGGATGTTAATATGATACGTCAAAAAGCCACCGATCTCTTGCATATTTATCGATACATATGATATGTAAGCGACAGCAAGAGATTTTAAGCGAGACTAAGTACTTAAAGCAAATGGAGGCACTGGCCTGTCCTACCCAAGCTACCAAGTTCGTTGATTTGATAGATGGATGAACTACGATCACGGGGATGCCTCAGATCCCCATCTTCCAATATCTTTTCAGGTTGGTGAAAATGTAGAGATATGGGAATAAGCCAAAGCTATGGCTGTGGTATAAATACCGCTATGAAGCTAAATGCCGTTCAACGTACACGTAAATAACGAGCGATGCCGCAACCTTGAAACTACTACAAATCTCTGCTCGCATTAACCAAATGGCCTTCCCAAAACAAAGTGAGTGTTTGGGCAAACTCCCACTCCCTGCCTTCTCCCGTGTTTGAATCAAGCCTAAGTAGGTTTAATTGTTGATGCAAGGTTTATCGCAATGGGCGATGAAATTTGTCTCGGCATCGTTGCGACACTTGCCACCACAAGCGCACAGGAGCTCAACCGTAGACGGCTGTTCGTTCATACAGACGAAGACAGCTTCAGAAACATCCGTCTTTGGTTTGCCATTAGCACAGAGCTCTTGCAAGCCGTTACAGTAAGCCTTGCTGATATCAGTGGAACCGAAGTCTGTATAGGTACGTTAGTAATAGCGTATATATTCTCTGGTTTGAGGCCGTACTGTGACCGTTAGAGGTAAGCATGTAGCCACAGTAAGTGTATCCCTTGCCGCATTTCGGACCGCCCGGGGAACCGCTAGGCGATGGACCAGAGCCGGGCGTCGGCACGGCTCCACCCGAAGGAGGTTCGCCAGTCGGCGAAGAAGGAAGTTGGGGAGAAGAGCCGGTTGGCTCAGCCCGCGGAAGTGGACCCCTCCAAGCCAGCACAGAAGCGGCTAGGAGGGTTGAATTAAAAAGAAAGGCAGATACCCTCATATTAGAGTATAATGTAAGAGGCTGCTATTGTTAGTTCCTCGGTAAGATCGAATAGATTATGATCTATGACCTTTTATAAGGAAATCCACTGAATGAAATATCGAGTTTTAGAGAACATTTCAAGATAAATGCCGATGAATAACAGGCATGTAGATGCGAACTTGATCCCTAAAACCTCGATACGTCTCGGTAGGACGCCATCGTAATATTACAGGACACCTTTTTTCGGAAATGAGAGGCGAAAGTTTAAAGCAGTGGAAATCTACTTGGCCATGTAGAGACGTATTTTCTAGATGAATTGCCAGATTCGTCTGAACTTGCTTGTGATACCTCGAACAAGAGCACAATGAAGTGCAACTTTGTGAGCTTCGCATCGACTCAACCACGCTCGGATGAGGCATCCGGTCACTATTCAGGAATCATAACATCCTATACTCTTCGGATTAATCCTGTCTCCTGTAGAGTACAAGGACACATACGCAAAGTTGTAGAAGTGCGCATATGGTGTAGCGACGGTAGCAAGCTTTGTGCCCCGTAAAGATGTAGTGTTGGAATTCTAGAACTTCTTGCGCGGAACAAAATGTATGTGGATGTGGCTCTGGCAATCGGGTGGACGAGTAGGTACACGCTAGACATCGGATTATATTCTGAACGGGAAATAGGGAAAATACTTAGGGGATTTGTTTAAGACATCCTCGTCGATTGAAATCTCATAAACTACGAAGTAATCTTGACAGAAGAAGATGGTTCTATCGTTCTTGACCTTAACCTTAACAAAATACTAGGTAGGTATTAATGAATTCCATGATTAGAGTTGAGTTAAGAAATAAATAAGGGGCGGCAAGAGCCGACCCGAATACGCACTTTGCACCTGCAGGACCCTGTCCGGTCCGGAATACGCTAAGATACCGTACTTGCCCCTGCCCCGCTGTTGATGCCCCTCCAACCCTCCATCATCGCATCCTACGTCTAGATCCAGCTGGCTTAGACCCCGCAAAAACTTCATAACTCTACGATCCGATTCTTCCTCAACCTCGTACTACATCAACGAAATCCAGGTACAAGCGGGGTTTGTGGCTTGTAATACGTATCAATTGCATACCTACTCGGACCAATTTTTTACTTAAACTCCTGTCAACCACGCCAGACCGGTTCATCATCCCCAGCGCATCTGAGATCATAGCCACGACCACACGACCACACTTACACAACCACAATCACAATGTCGACCACCGCGGCGTCAGACACGCCCAAGACCGTGATCCGAGTCGGCACTCGCAAGTCAGCGCTCGCGCTCCTCCAAGCCGACTACGTCGTCTCGTCTCTGCGCAAGCTGCACCCAACAGTCGACTTCGAGATCAAGGGGATGCACTCAACAGCCGACAAAGACAAGATCACAGCACTATACAAGTTCGGCGGCAAAGGGCTATGGACGAACGAGCTAGAAGCCGAGCTTAAGCTGGGCCAGGTCGACTTCATCGTGCACTCGTTGAAGGACATGCCGACGGTGCTGCCGGACGAGTTCGTGCTAGCCTGTGTGACGCCGCGCGAGGACGCGCGCGACGTCGTGGTCGTCAAGAAGGGGCTCGAGGATAAGTACAAGACACTAGCGGACCTACCGGCTGGCGCGGTCGTCGGCACCAGCAGCGTGAGACGCATGGCGCAGATCAGGCGACGCTACCCGCATCTGGCGTTCAAGGACATGCGCGGCAACATCGATACCCGTGTTAAGAAGCTGGATGCCGAGGATAGCGAGTTCACGGTTCTGATCCTGGCTGCGGCGGGCTTGCTAAGGTCGGGGAAGGAGGACCGTATTACGCAGTACTTGGACAGTACGACGGTGGGCGGCGGCATGTTGCATGCTGTTGGCCAAGGTGGTCTAGGCATCGAAGCGCGAGTTGGTGACCAGAAGACGCTAGATTTGCTGAAGGCCTTGGAAGACAACGAAGCTATGTTTGCGTGTGAGGCTGAGAGGAGTGTCATGCGGACGCTGGAGGGTGGATGTAGTATTCCTATTGGTGTTGAGACGAAGTGGGTAGGAGACAACAAGCTGAAATTGACGGCGACGGTTGTCAACGTTGAGGGCACTGAGGCTGCTGATGCGGAGAAGACTGAGGAGGTTAAAACGCGCGAGGAAGCTGTCGCATTTGGCATAAAGGTGGCTCAACAGTTGGCGGATAACGGCGCACAGAAAATTCTGGATGTGATAAATGGGGAACGGGCAGCGACCCAAGATAAAAAGGAGCCGTGGGTTCCAGCATAGAAGCAGCATTTCGGACTGGAAAAAAAGGAGGAAATAAAAATGACTGGGACGATGCTTTATAGATTTTGCTGGCCATCCACCTAGATACAGATGTATCCCTAGCTAGAATCTCCGCGGATAAATTTCGCCATGATGATGAGAATACCCCAAACGAGTTTATGATACAAGGTTGAGCCCGTTCTCTCTCTCTCTCCTGCTCGTTGGTTGTTGAATGCCATAATATTTCCGTTTCCGATGAACACCTACCTACCCCTTACCCCCCAGCCAACAAAATTCTTGACCTTACTCTACCCCTAGCCCCTTACCATCATTTCGTACCGTCGACATTTCGTGACATATCATAGAATAAATTTTACATCTACTCCGACGCTCCGGTAAATGCCTTATATTCCTCGAGGTCCATGAGCGTCTCAAAATCCTTGATGCCCTGCTCGTCGACGGAGACCTTTGCGATCCAGCCACCACCGGCTGAGTCGTCCTCAGGTACCTGGTTGATGGTGCCCGGCTTCTCCTCCAGAGTCAGGTTGATGCTGGTGATCTTGCAGGCGATGGGGGAGTTGATATCGGCGGCACTTTTAACAGACTCGACGGCACCGATAGCGTCGCCTGCGCTGACCTCCTTGCCCTCCTCCGGAAGTTCGACGTACACTACGTCGCCTAGCTCCTCGGCCGCATACTCCGAGATGCCGATCACGCCCTCCTTCTTGTTCGTGTTTAGGTCGATCCACTCGTGGTCTTTAGTGTACTTGCGGATATCTCCTGCAGCACAAAGAAGTGGTTAGTGGCTTGTAGTTGAGGTATGATTATGCGTGGTATGGAAATAAGCAATTTGGGGGAAATAAAATACACTCGCGACATCGGAGAGCTTACTTATCGGTGAGGCAGAGAATGCTCGCAGCGACGCCGGTTGCCAATTGGATCGTGTGAGGGGTGTCGTCTGTGCTAGCCGAGAGAGAGTCGACGGTCGAGCTGCCCGGAGGCATCGTGCGATTGATGCCATTGTTCAGAGTAGAGAGGTTGTAGTGCGGAAGGCGTGCGGGAGGAGAGAAATTTGAAAGATGGTAGTTTCGGTGAAGCTTTTCTCTCGAAGCTGTTTGTGTGCGACTGATATCGTATCTATGATACCACTATTCCGTAGGTACATCAAATTGTTAAGACTGGTACGATTTTCTAGAGCTCGAGGCCGAAAAGTTACCCGATGAATGAATCCGCACTGTATTTTATGGTATGATGCCCATAGAGTTGTACAGTGCGCGACATAGAAAGTCCCGGTAGAACCCGGTGCCAAGCTTAGCCAATCAGAAACTTTGAATTGGCCCCGCGTCATGATGAAACTCCGGCTGACATTGAAACTCAATTGATAAGAGACACCATTATAAGCATATCTAAGGATATCTGCGTCTAGCTTCTATTGGTTAATTTAATGGTCAATGCCGATTGGTTTGATATGTAGGTGTTATATGATGTTGCATTTTGCGATGGATGTTTATCTAAGAGCCTGCATCAACAACGCAGAGGAAAACAATTTGTCCGGACCGCCAATTATAATAAACAACGTCAACAACGTCTACACTTGTCTGCTGACATCGACCTTTTCAGCTATGTATGCTGATAATCGAATGGTCTAAGACATGCATATCCATTCTATTCATGTGTTTCTAGTGGAAGAATTCATCATGTCCAAATCACATAATACTTACATACAAGTACATATGTACTTGCTTTGTGGTAATAATCAAAAGTGTTTCGTGTTTCCTATCGCGAAACGTCGTTTACAAGGCTCGCGTCGCGTTCGATGAGTTGATTAACCTCAACCCGTTTCCTGTTACCCTATTCGTCGACCGTTATTGGTGCTAAGCTTAGCCGCCCCGGATTTGCGATTGCCAGCTGGGTTCTACGTTTTAATACGTGACATATTACTTGCTAGTAAATGGGAAACAGCGTTAAAATGAATAGGGAAAAGGTACGTGATACAAAGTTTACAAGAGGGGAAAAGAAAAGAAAAAGCAAAAGAGAAGAAAAATAGTTGAATTCATTTTCATTGATCCCAACTTCCATCTCATTCTTGATACCCACTACAAATCTTAAGAGGCTGCTTCCATTTGTGGCATATTACAGTAACAACCCACCTTAGAGTTCCTCTAGCCTCTAGGTAGCCCCTCAATCACGTACAGTAGGTATTTCGTACCTCAGGTTCCACCCGTAACATCTCCCGGGATCCCGCATCATCAAAGGCAAGGTAATTTCTAACTTGGCCAACTTTAAGAACTTCAATCGTGCTCCATCCATCCCCCAGCTGCCCAGGTCGTTGGACGTCGAGACCTTGTTAACGGACCGCTTCGAGGTACGAAAGGTGCTAGGTATGTATGCACAAAATATTCTATAATTCCTACCCAAACCAATTTTGGGTCTGTCCTTCATTTGTCATTTGACAGGAACCAATCTTCGTCGTCGCCATCTCCGTCTCCAAATTTCATGGTTTCGACCTCCCTTTTCCCATAAGGTCTACATACATAACCATCTCCATCACTATCTCCATATTCATATCCATCTACCCATACCCATATCTGCATCTGCATCTGCAACTACATCCCCGGATCAGCAGTCTAACCCTTTCCGAGTTGGCCACCGAATTCATCTTCCCATATTAACTATAGATGTGTATCAGCATCTACCTACACTAGCACTGACGCTGACGCTGACGTTGCTCCTCATAGACAGACGTTCTCTGAATCGCGCCGGACATCCCTCATTCATCGGAGTCCTCCTACATTCCAAGACAATCCAATGAAGTTAGACACAAGGGGCTAATCAGAGACCTTCTCGTCATCCGCCCCAAACTTCATTTACATTCCTTACGTCTGGATTACGGCCGACTGCTGCTATCATAACCCCTCCTCACCATCACCTCTCAACGTGGATTCGTCAACATTATCAACAGGGTCTGGAGCTCAATTCCACGACGCCTTAGATACGATGGAGCAGGATCCTTTTACCGCAACGCCGCCCGCAGCCCCGCGCGTTCCCCATGATGCCCTCGAGGATACCCTTGGCGGCATTGAAGGGACCACGCATTTAGCGGGTGACTTGGGTATTCATGAGCCATATCATCGCCAGTCGCAGTCTCTTGACCAAGGTCTAGCCAACGTCAACGGCAATGCTAACAGCGCGCAACCCGACGAAGTCGACCCGAACGTTCAATATGATGCTCCACAGTACGATACCACCCCTCCTCAACAACCCATAGGAAGACCTACATCGTCCATGTCCCCTACCGGCGAACGTCACTACAGTGAACATGTTTCGCGAGAAAGTAATGGTAACGGAAATGGAAACGGTGCGGATCGCAATACGCGTAACCACGTTGTGATCAAGGTTGGCATGGTAGGAGATGCGCAGATTGGCAAGACATCCCTGATGGTCAAATATGTCGAGGGTAGCTGGGATGAGGATTATATCCAGACACTAGGCGTCAACTTCATGGAGAAGACCATCAGCATACGCAACACCGAAATCACGTTCAGCATTTGGGATTTAGGTGGCCAACGTGAATTCGTGAACATGCTACCCTTGGTGTGTAACGACGCGGTCGCCATCTTATTCATGTTCGACTTGACGCGTAAGAGCACGCTCAACAGTATCAAGGAATGGTATCGGCAGGGACGTGGTTTCAACAAGACAGCTATTCCCATCTTAGTTGGCACGAAGTATGACCATTTTGTCAACTTCCCTCGAGAGGACCAGGAGGAGATTTCGAACCAGGTAGGTTCATTATATATGAGTAGAATGGAAGGCACATGACTAACAACTAATTTAGGCAAAACGATTTGCTAAAGCTATGCGCGCTGCTCTCATCTTCAGTAGTACCAGTCATAGTATTAACGTCCAGAAGGTTAGCTATACTATACATCTATACACACTTCCCCTTGGAATGGTTATATGCTGACTAATCCTGCATAGATATTCAAAATTGTTCTATCGAAGGCATTCGATCTCAAGTGCACAATACCCGAAATCGAAAACGTCGGCGAGCCTCTTCTGCTCTACCAGTCAGTTTAGATTCGGGCTCAGCCCAATCTTTGGGGGTTTGACATGAACTGGCTATTATGCATCATGCTTGAACACGCGATACGACTGCGCGCCTCCAACCTATACCACGCTGGCACACTTTTATGACACTGAACGGCCGTTACGAAACTAATTAATCATAACTCGTTTAGGGACCTGAACTTGTCATTGCTTTATCGTCACAATAAAGCATGTTCTTGGCACCAACTAGACTATTCACGATCAACAAATCAATGAATACTTCATGCACTTGCAAGCATCTTGGACGAGCCAGCATAACACTATCCAAATCGCCGAGAATCCATCTAGAAATTTCCTTTGTTTGAGACGTCACTAGACGGTTTCCATCTTCACACGGGTTTACAACATAGTCTCGCATTCAGGAGTACATGCGCGATTTCGAACATGAAGGGGGTTGATTTGCTAGGTAGCATGGCTCAACGATAAATCGCTAAGACGAAGACCATCAACCACCGACCACCGCTAAATCCGAATTTGCCTTTTCACATACTTGTTTTTTCTGCTCCCGAGGAGGTCCTCAAGGGGTGAGGTACCATGGGGCGTATTGGTGTAATTACTAGTCATCTCACGCAACGTTGGCGTTGGCGCGTTCGTTTTCCCCCTCCTTAATGTTTAGCCTTGCGCTTCACATCAAACCTAACACTCCTACTACTACACAAATCACACACACAAGCACACTACGTCTTTGCGAATGGTTGGATGGTATAATTGATGCCGAGTTGGAAGAGGATGAAGTAGACGAGGCGGATGATGACGCAACTATTCCTGCTACCATCACAGTAGCCAGTTGAAGTAGAAGAGAATTCAAGACTGATGAAAAGCATATATTTTCTTTTACTTCTGTTATTATTCATGCTGCTTCATCTTCGTGAATGTTGATATTCTTCTTTTTCTATGTATTCATGTCTGTCATTACTACCAAAAGGTATTATAGTAAGTACGATAAGGTATGTGGACCCTAATATAATGATACCCAACCTATAACTGCCTAGGCTCGGAAGGATATGCGAGAGTAGGGATCTTTTTGTCTATTCATTACATCTTATCGTCACATTTCCTTCTTTCTATAAGATACATACAAGCCCGATGATAAACTTGTCGATTTGATTTCCCCTCTCAACTCCCATTACCTATAACCTTTCCTATTTTCCCTACTCCCCCGGTTTCGTTCCCTTTTGCTGCGTGGTATCCCGGGATGGCTTGATGCAATTCCGTACTTGTACACTTCCCCTATCTCTGCTCTGCTCTTTTCAAACACAGGCAAATAGTAAATCTTAACTGGCTAGGAGTTAGAGACACCACTCACTCCGATCCCCCCTTCTTAGCCCCCTCGCCCTCCCCCTTCTGCGGGTCCTCGCGCGGGTGCTCCGCCGCGGTCTTCTTACTCGGCACATCGCTCGAGCTCGCCGCCGCGCGCGTGTCTTTCTTTTCGATGATCTCTTTGTACTCCTTGTGCGCCTCCTTCTTCTCCTCGTAGTTTGTCGCTAGGGCGGTGTTGTCTGCTGGCGGAGGAGGCACCTGTTGTCCTGTCTGCGAGCTGGGGGGCGTGGGTTCGGAGTCCGGCGGCGGGGATTCGGGTTCTGAGGCTTCGGATGGTGGTGGGGTCGGGGGTTCTGATTCGGATGATGATTCGGATGACGAGTCTTCGGCTGCTGTGTCGGATTCAGACTCGGACTCGGACTCGGAAGGCGCGGCGTGGGAGCTGCTGTGTGCGGAGGGTTTCTGCGATGGGCCTGAGAGCAGCCATGCTAAGCCGACGACGGTGGCGCCGGCGGAACCGATGAGCCTGCGGTTGAGGAAGAGTGGTGTGTCAGCATTCTATGCCGACATGAGTTTGCCGAAACATACGATTGGGATGATCCCAATTGGTCTGCTGATTCTCTCCTCTCCTCCGGGCTGCTTACATCTGACCGTGGAGGGCGGACAAAAGGAATGGAGAAAAGACTCACCAGGGCATATCGCTCGAATTCTCTGCGCTGCCGCCATGGGCACTACTCGCGTATCCTCTCCGGACAGCTGAGCGCACTACTAACGGCCGACTCGTAGATGTTCGCGCAACCCGTCTAGTGGCGATGCGGAAGGTAGAGATGAGTATGCGAGACGTCGACATAGTTCGAGTCTATTCCAATTAAGATTAAGGCAAGCGGATTGATTGATGTTGGAAGTGAACAAGTTAATTGCCGCCGAGGTAGGTCGGAGGATTGAGGTGAGATGTCAATGAGTGAATGAGTGAATGTTTGCAGGATTCCAACGAATGTATGTGTAATACATGTACTTGGCAGAGAAGAAGAAGAACTTTGGAATGCAATTGTCTCTTATGTAAGTCGGCTCAACAATTGCGTTTTGGGTTACTTTTACCTACAAAATACATGTAGGCATATAGCAATACCGAGGTATTCCGTCGTAGTATTCCGGGAATTGAATCCGCATCCAAGGGAAAAGAATTTCACTTATTAATATAGATAGCACATGTATATATTAACCTTAAGTGAGGTATATTTGGAACTCTCGGCCTTCACAAAATACTACACATGTCTCAAGGTACCTCTACGTAGATACACGATAATCGGAGCTTGTGTGGGGCTCTTCCCCGATATCCCGGTCAGACTTTCATGAAGCTTTACCTTTTATCGACGTCATTAAAACAGATCGATGCTAGTTTATCGGGTCAATTTGATCATAGCTCTTTTTGCTTCCGACTTAGCACATACAGAGGCAGAACAGCACATCAGCAAATTACGAAATTGTTTCTTACAATCATTGATGCAATAGTAGCTATGAACAAGTACAAGGTGTATGTACTAATTCTAGGTGTTTTTTTCTTTTTTTCTTTGGTCTGGCATTATGTGACATGACCTAGCCAACAGCCCTGAACCGAGAGTGTATGCCGTGAAGTGAATAACGGATATCTTTCTGCGTAGCATTAGTTGATGACTTGTTGTAGTGCGTGGTGTCGCAATCATCCGTCAGATCCTTCACAATGCAATTCTCAAGCTCACTCCCACTCTTCACTCTTCGCCTTCACATGCCCATCTCCTTATTCTCTTCACGCAATGTCTTCAGCTGGCGTTCAAAGTCCTTGTTGACCCATTCCCAGTACTGCTGCCAAATGGGATTCTGCACCGACTGCTGTACCTGAGCTTGACCGGCGCTACCAGGACCGGCAACTCCCGGTAGCGTAGTCTTGGTCTTCTCCACAAGCAGAATGGTGACGCGCAACACACTCTTAATAGCCTCCTCTTGCTTTTCGACTTCTTGCTTTACCGCGCCGTCTCTAAGCTTAGTGGATAAAGTCTTCCTGTAGCACTCCGCCACCGTATCTAGCCGTCGAGTAGTTTCTTCCGGGTCAATGGCAATCAGCTTGCTAAGCATGAGATTACAAAGTGACCGAATATCATTCTCGTCGTTGAGGCCGGCGATGATTCGGTCATAAAACTCAAGCGAGCTAATGCGAGAGAACGCTGTTTCCATAAGAGCATACAAGGTTTCGTATGCGCTCTTGATGCATTAGTTAGCAACCTGTCTTTATCATTGATACACTCATTTACTGTGACTTACCTTGCGAACCTCTAATCCGTCATCTACAAGATGCTTGAATGGCCCCATCTGAACCTCGTGAATAAGCTCTGGCTTGATAACGGATTCGGTTATGACGAAGGGTATTAATTCGCCGAGATGCGGTAGGATTAAGTCGGGTTTGTTGTGGGTTGCCGAGTTCAATGCTGTCATGCCAATGCGGCGGATGTCCATGTCCTCATCTTTCAATACTCTTAGGAGCATGTCGACCAGTACGGGCTTCAGCATAAGATCGAATGACTCGTCGCTGTCTGGCAATGTGTATCGGAGGGCCTGTACAGCCACGCCTCTGAAGACAGGTGATTTGTCTCCCAACAATTCCTACAATGGTCAGTTATTAGTTAGTAGTAATACTATGAAAACATACCTGGAGTTTGGGAATATAGGTCTTGGGTTCCATTATAGCTAGTCGTCCTATGCACTCTGCACAAATGGCTCGGTTGTCTTCAGTTTGAGACGCCGTAAATAGCAATCCCCAAATCTCACTCTCATACAAACTAATATCAGCCGATGATGCAACAACCTGGTGCAAGACTTCCCGAATGGACTGGAGAAGCAGGTACTGTTGGCTGCCCGACTTCTTGATGGCGGTTAAAATAATCGGTAGGAATACGGACATATTTCCCGCACCTGCACGGCCTAAAGCCACGGCAGCAGAGACTGATACCTTGTCCGGCTCATCGTGGAATTGCTCCAAGAAAATACTTGGCTGAAGGTGGGAATTTGGCCCGAGTCGCAAACCAATTTCTCCTAGGATGGCTAATGCGAGACTTTGTCGGGCAGTATCAGGTGGCGTCAATCTACTAGATTTGTTAAGTTCGTCGATAAAACTCTCGACGTTCACACCAACCCGACCCCCGCTTGCGACGAACAGGGCTCCGGCAACCTTTCCAACGACAGTCGGATCACCCGCAACGCCAACTCCTAGAACACCTTCCATCAAAGGCTTACCCATACCACTTAAGCCAACATTTGACACGAGAGTGACCAAGGATTCTAAGGCCAAGCCACCGACATTCTTCTTGAGAAGTTCGCAGATAGTATCGATGAAGACTGTCGAAGATACTAGCTGAGGGTGCTCCAATTGCAATTGGGCGACGACTAGCAGGGCCGGGCTTAAGAGATAAGCATCATTCGCAGTAATCACAGGTAAAATAGCAGCTACAATCTCGCTAGCTGTGGCTGCTTGAATCTGACCTTTGACTACTGGGCTTAGAATCAGGTGCTGCAATGCTTGAATGCAAGAGCTTCGAAGAGCGCGGTTCGACTTCCGCAGTTGACCGCAGAGCTCCAACGTGACCTTCTCGATCCACGCTGTCTCGAGACTCCCCGGGGTCGACGAATGTGCTGCAACGTTGTCGATTGCTCGTACAGCATATAGACGCGTTGTTTCATTTCGCAAGCGATCTAAAAGCAAATCTAATGCACCTTGTCGCTTATCGGCAGGGATCAGAGCGATTCCGTCTGATGATGATGTCCTAGAGATCAATGTTCCAAGTGCTTGAATAGCCTTCTGGCGCACCTCAGCGTCAGCGTCAGCTGCTGAGGCACGATCAAGTATAATGTCGTACAGCTTCTGCAATTGTGGTTTGTACTTCTGGATCGTAAGCCTAGCCCTGGGAGGAGTGATAGCCTTGACTAACTCCTCCGCCGTCCGAATAGCCTCACTTGAGATCTTGTAAAATCTATCGCGAACAGCAGATACCACTCCTGTAACGATGCTCTCAAGGAAATGTTGGAATAGACTCGAGGAGTGCGTCTTTACGATATCGCTTGTGAAATGAAGGACCGCCACTCTTAGTGTAGTAGCAGTAGCCGATGCGGCACCTGATAAAGTCATCGACGTCGAGCTTGCACCCCCTGTCATACCTTTGGTAACGTCGATTATCGGCTGCATAACCTGGTCGAAATAATCGGACAAGCCGCCATTCTGCACTGCAATCAAATCGTCTAACAGGTTGATAATTGCTTGCTTCGTAGCAATCTGTTTGCCTTTTAGTAGTTTTGTAGCTACTTTGACGATCTGGGGGGTGAGTTTTTGAAGATCAGCGCGCGGTCCGGTAGGAGGCACCGATTCACGAGCGGGAGACGTAAGTCCAGTTGCCCCAAGATAGGGCGCCTTGTTAGTATATGCGATACCACCACTGCTCTGTCTGCGGCGTTTTCGGTTCTCTCCGAGAGAAGGAACAAGTTCTTCGTCGGCTGAGATGGATTGGATTACGCCTTCGCCGGTTTTGCGAATTAGCAAAGACATAGTGCTGATGACTTCAAGTCGAACACTCTCCTCGCGTTCGTCGAAACGCTTGACCAACGGGGAAGCAATGTCATTATATAAAGTCCCCTTTTCTAGTAAGTCGGCGCTGCGCATCGAAACTAGAGTGTACAATGCTTTTGCAGCACATCTGCGGACTTTCCAGCTTGGATCATCGTCATCGTCAAAACCAACATCGTCTTCAAATTCATCGTCGTCATCAACTTCTTCGTCGTCGTCATCTTCTTCGTTTTCATCCATCTCTTCATCTTCATCGACCGCATAGTTGGGGTCGTATTTTAGATAACGAAGACATGCAGCAATGACCTTATCAGTATAATCTCTCATCTGTAGACCACAAGATGTGAGAAACGATTCAAGAGCGACTAAAGCAGTCTCGCTGATTTCGTTAAACTCAGGATGTAATTGATCGTTGCCCTCATTAAGCGCATCCAGTCGGCTCTGAAATTCCTCTTGGCCCAAGGGAGATAAGACGAATTCAATAAGCAGTGGCAAGTAGCTGCCAAACTTGTGAGGAATCGATCGAGCAAGTGAACCCATGATAGAAATGTACAGGCGACGTATGACGGGATTAATTTTGGGTTGCTGGAGATTCTTGCGAAGTTTTGTAACGAAATTATCGAGAATTTCAGTCGTAAGATAAGGCGCAAGGATAGCAAGCGCAACAACTGCTCGTTTCTTGGTGGGGGATGGTGTGGACGCTCTCTCCAACACCTGGACCACGACATCTTGTAGTTTCTCAACCTCTAGGGGTTGCAGCAGGGGTCCAAAACATCGAACAACCTCGATAAGTACATCGACAGCCTCAGTATCAGGATCTCTATTCCTGTCCAGTATTCCGCGTGTCCCACCAATTGGATGATCGGGGGTTGAAACACCCAGTATGCGTGGAATGAGGGCACGGCTAATGACTGTGTAGGTTTGAATGACATCTTGAGTTGGAGTCACGCCTCGGACGGGTCTGGGTAGCGACGTGATCGCGTTGCGAAGGGCCATGGACTGAATGGAATTGTCGACTGCGTTCTTGATTTCCATTGTACAAAGCTTATCCAACATAGTAGACAATGCCGCAATAGGAATCTTAGTAACTAATGGGCCAATGCTATTATACAGCCGTTAGTAACAATTGAAGCTCAAGGATTATATTTTTAACGTACCACTTGACTGCTAAATTCTGTACCTCTCCATTTTGGTCGTCCAGATGTGCAACAACGCTATCCATAATACGCGATGAAGTGCCATAATCGTGGTTCAAGAACTCTGCCTTCTGCTTGGTGAGGATCTGATGCAAATCGTTTAACGACATGAACCGAAAGTCGGGATCAGCATCTGACATTCGGGATAGAAGAGAATTGATATTCTGGGGGTTCGGATTATTAACGGCGGAGGACGAAGAAGCCATGGTGGGCAGGTTGGAAGGGTAGTTGTCTAGAGAGTCGTCGGAAATTCTGGATGCGAGAATGCCGGTATGGATAGATAATAGGGCAGTCCTAGAACCTGAAAGATATCATGTAAGTAATAGTTACTACATGGGAAAAAAAGGTTTCCATGGATGGAATAGGCGGCTACCTAGTACCTTCTAGACTTAATCCCAAGCTGCCGTAATATACCAATTATGTGGTAGAGGCAAGATCGAGATGTCCACTTCACAACCAGATAAAAGTTCGGTATGGATGTATTGGGATGCTGAGAAAGGGATGCAATCCTTAAAAATTAATCCTATCTCGGGTTGTCTCTGGAAAGAAGTCAATAGGGCCTAGTCAGGCGACTGAAGCAGCTCGTCGCGTACCTTGATAGAATGAAACGGACGTTTTAGGGAACCAACGTCACGAAAGGAAGGGAGAAAAAGAAAATGAACTATCAAGGACTCTCCAGGTCCAGAAGCATGCTTTTAGAAAGATTATCGCCGGCTGGAACGAGAAAATTCATGAAGGTTATCGGGAGAAGGGAGAAGAGAATTATTGGTGTACGATGACAATGAATTGTGAATGTTAGATCTAACGTGAATGGCAGGCGTTGGAAGTCAAGAAGGTGGGGGTGGGGTAACTTAAGCTTCTCCTATTAAGTAAGCAATCAACATCACTGGGCAGCAGCTTCCAAAGCTCAAAAGGTACCTACCTACATACCTACCTACTAGGGTACCAGATTCTAAAGTTGAGGCATGTAGCTGTATTATGTCAAGCACGTACAATATTGAATACATCATGGACCCAATGGATTTCCACAATCACAAACGCAAACGTTTCATACCTAAATGTACCTATTTGATTTGCCATAGCAGCATCCTGGCCAACTGCACCATTAGATCTAATGTGCCCCTTCAATCCTAGCGACCAAACATGGCAGTTTAAGAGACACGTTCATATTACATTAAAGCCAAAAGAAGGTTGGAAAGAAGTTTGGTAATGCTGTTAATAAGATCGCCGTGTCTACTAATCTCTGATATCTGTCTTATTCTTCTCTTTAACCTTGTACTTACTTGATTAACTACCTAGAAAGAACATTTAGGAAAGAGCACCAGCATTGATACGAATTATATCTACTATTAGTAGGCAAGACGGTGCAAACCTTGGAATGAGTCATCATGACCTCGGAATATGCTGACTAAAAGTACAGCTTACCTAATCATATGATTACCTAATTGGCTCCGACACAGTGCAGTGACGGGATTTCGGACAGTGTCTGGTGACATAAGCTACTTACATAAGCCAAAAATTGATTACCTAATTATACTTACATAAACATAATCTCATCTTTGGTTAACTAATTGCGAAACATTCATCCTCTTTTTGAAACTTCCTACCTAGTAGTTACTAACGGCTATCAATACAATATGAGTTCGCAACCAAACATCCATATCCTGCAATGCAGGAATACGAGTACTTGCTAAGTACCAAAAAACGACCGATCCAGGTGATGCACATACAATTTCTCCCTCCATACCTAACTAATCCAGGTTGATATACCGACAATGGGACATAGCCTCAATCTTTAACTGTCATACTGGATTGCGACGACTGATCGCTTTCCTTGCTGTTTCCGCCCATCAATATATACTGTGAATTCCGCTGTGGCTCCCAGAGGTTTGAACTCTAGCGCATAATCCAGTCTCTTATATCTCTTCCCGGTAAGGCTTGTATGCCACTCTAACTTTTCCCAGGAAACGTCTGGAACCCACTCAATCTTGCACAAGGTCGATACCGTATTGACATGCCGGTTCGGGGCCGGCTTTTCCGTACATTGATAGACTTCCGTACACATCGTTTTACTGAAGCCCGTTTGGAACGTCCTATACCATTCAGCCCGGGCGGGGTTGCACTTAGTCACATCATCGCCCTAAATCAACGTTAACACTGAGTTCAAAGAAAATCATCGTCTTATACAGACCCTCTTCAAATACCAATGCATTTGATTGCGTGCCATCCACACATCTTCGTCGAAGTCCCATACTCTGTCTTCTTCCAGGTGTTTACCTTTTTCAAAAGGCGCTAGGAATTCGACTCCGAAGTTGGCCCTCGAGATCGTCGAGGTAACGGCGATTGGGGGGACGGGTAGTTTTTCTCGACGGGCGTCGTCCATATTGGCCCTGTTATTAATGAATCCCTTGAAGACAGCACCCCGACTTATGGCCGTTCGTCTTTTAACCAGTATCTATCAGCCATGCTCATAATTACTTAACGTGTGGATACTCACGGTCTTATGCCACCAGACTGCAAAACCTGGATATTTTGTTTCGTATACTTGGTCCTGAGGATCTCGTATAGATAAGGACTTGAGCCAAGTCCACCCACAAGGATGATGCCCTAAGATACTATTAGTTAATATCACAGCTTTATGGAGCTGGGTTTATATTACGGTAGCATTTAAGCCCTTCCATTTCACAGAGTCTATCTGCCCATCGATGAGCTTCTCGATTTTGGCAAATACAGTGGTAAATGCTTTCTGTAAGTCAGATCTATATATGTTAGTTTCGTGGGGAGAATTCGCGTTATATAGAGAGGGGTGGATACTCTTTGAAATGGATGCGCCCTCTCTTGATGAAGGGCAGACGGCTGGTATCTGTTTGAGAGGATATGGTGAGGAAAGCTTCAGCTGGGACCGACACAATGTATTCTTTCTTGCTGTTTAAAACCTTGAACTGTGGTTTGATAGCTTGTTCCCACTCGCCCTTCATTACATCTCGGACGCCTGCTTTGCTTAGGCGACCCCAACCCATTCCAAGCCGGTTCTTGCAAATCTGTTCGAACGCTTCGTCGATGAAGATGCCACCGCAAAGCCCTCCTATGAAGGGATCATCGTCAGTGGTATTTCCTTCAAATCATCATGAGAATAACACTCACCTACTCCTTCTGCTACTTCACGCACAGCAAGTGGATTGGCCTGTTCGATCTCATAACTAATTAAATCCTATGAAATTAGCTCAAGCTCAGTGTATCTAGAGAGGGGCCACGAACAACAGTGCCGCCACCAGCATCACAGATGATGTAAACATCACCTTTATTAACCCGCCTTCCTGGCTCGCACAGTGTGCTAAGTGCTGCAGCCTCCGGTTCTGGGGCGAAGCTCAAGGTTGTATCACCGGCATCACGCTCGTTGAGGATGCCAGCTTTCTTGGCAGCCTCTTCCATCCCCTTTCGGGCATATCCTTTCCAAATGGCTGGAAGAGTTATAACCACGTGGAATCGAAGGGCATCGATAACTCCCCGGCCTCGGGCCTTCGTTATCTCATGAATGATATGATCCCAGAAGCCTCGAAGGTAGTCTGCGACGAGTTCCACCACTGTTTTCCCATTCTCCCGCAACATCTTTCGTCCTCTGAGAATGTAGTCCGAGGATCTAATTTCTGGCGAAAGATCCTCATCCTTTAATAACAACAGCTTGAACCAACGGAGTGGGTCGGAATCAGGAGGGACATCATAGCCCCAAGTGACTTGTCCATCCTCGTAGCAAAGCTCGGTAGGGGCCTTGCCTTCCTCTCGCCCTGTTCCCGGCCAGGAAGTAATCAGATTGATCTGGTGGGCCTCAAAGTCAGCAGCGGTAGCCCAAGCAGCTCCGGAACTGTTTGTTCACCGAGTCAGCAATGTCTTACTACGATGGTGATACTAAATAATGAACTCCGAATACGCGTACTAGGTAGTTCCAAAATCTATCCCGATGACCATCGTGTCATCCTGAAGATCCGGATCGCTTGCTTCAGTATCACATTCATTATCGCTAGGATCTCGGAAATAAAAGGACCCCTCAGATTCCCTTGGCCGTCGCACCAACCCGGGCGTCCAAAATCGAGATGACATAATGAGAATAGAATGAGTGTTTACGTTATACAACAATACATTTCAAGCTGGAGATTTGATAGACTTCTAGACGGACAAGTGTAGCTGGAGCGCATAGAATTATATACATCTATGTACCTGTTCAAGATCATATGTTAATGAATACATACCTACTTCGAAGGTAGGTAAGTACTCAGGAAGAAATCTAGATACGAATACAATCGTATTTTTCGGCACTGTCTCTAACGAAACCCTTATTTTCATGCTTAGTACATGTAGCTTATTTACTCGATCCATCACGTATCTGGGGAAGGTCACATGCCGCATTTGTTACTAGATCCTTAGATGTATAAGTTTGGTACTGTGCTGCCCAATTCTGCCGCCGAGGCATGTGTGGACGAATTACATCCCACCTCATCGCCAACAACGCAACCATATTCATAACACCGGCCATGCGTGGCCCCAAATTTAAGAAACATAAACACGCGAGGCTACCAATGACGAACATTCGTAATATTTTCTATATCTTCCAGTTTTGATAACCAGCAATTCTTGTCAGGCATTAATGCCTCGTCAACCCCGTTTATCGCCTGATGTCGTGTTTCGCTCTGGAGCGCGGTCTCGAAATATTGACTCTTTGACAAGTCAGATAACCCACAGTGCGCTTTCTTACAACACGATGCTATACGGCATGCAGTGTAAAACCAGCCTAGTTGAACTATTGGCCATCTTTTATGAAAATAGTGGTCAATATAATCGAGTAGTCATGGAAAATATTATTCTCCATGTCACCTGCCTATTCAATAAATCCAGCTCATCTGTACATATCTACTTACTAACAAAGATTCTAGTGCTCATATCTTACTCTGTATTACATCACTCTAGACTTTGGTTTTCTGATGTCTATTTGCACTCAAACTCTACTTTTTTTTGTGAATATTTTCATAATGGTGTGGAAAAAATCATGGTTTCCCAACAAAATTTTCAAGCAGACCAGGACACTGATAGTTCGCCCTAAAGCGAAACACTATGTAGATAATGATCAAGCCCTTGCCTATGGACACACGCCAGACAGTCCGACTGGTTTCTCGATCGACCTTGGCGACGGCGCACTTGCCACAAAACGCCCAGAGACACGGGATATAGGGGTTAACACGGATTCCGAGGATACACAATCGAAACCAAATACTGTCTCAATTGACGAACACAACGCAGCCATAGATTCCCTCGCCCACAGCACTGAACAAGAATACCAGGCCCGCACCAAAGCAGAGAATGAAATCCAACAGCTGAACAGCAAGTTGAAGGCTATGCAGACTAAATGGAAGCGAACAGCCAACCAGTTGGACCAGATGCTCTCTCAATCTCAGGGGTTCAACAAAGTCACCGATGAAGAGTTCAAAGATATGGCCTTGCAATTACAGTACAACATACGCAATTTCGCCATCCAATACTTCAGTGATCCAGCCAAAGGGAGTGGGATTCAGGTCAGGTCTTTCTTGCTGAATCACATGCCTAAAGACTTTAAATTATATCTCAAATCTCGAGAGAACTGCCCAGCAATAATCCAGGCATTCATATGGAAAATGCTCACAGTCTTTATTTTCAATAAGTTCCTGTGGGCTGGGTGTGCCTCAAGGGGCTTTAGCCAATTATGGCAACAGTTAAACTTCGGTAAGTGAAGATCCTAGATCCTACATTTATATTCAGGTATTAACATGATTTTCCCTCTTGCCAGAAAGAACTGGAGACCAGAAACTTCACATGTGGCGCGCCACAACAGCGACACTAACTTCCCAATCCATGACCGAAAAAGATTTGAGCCATAATCAACAGACAAAGGATCGGGTTTTACATGATATCCTGGAGATTACCAAAGCGCTGTCGGATCAGGCATACGATAGCGAAGTCAGTAGCATAATAGACGACGCAATAAAGCTGGACAAGATCATCAGCTTGCAGGTGGCCGGAGTGTCATGGAACTTCCAAGACGATCGCGACGAGATACATGCGAAAACCCGTCACGCACCAGATATGGGAAGCATGGTCGTTGTCTTCCCTGCTATGCTCAAGCGAGGCAAGTCCAATGGAGAAGACTTCGATGTTGAGTATGTGCTACTACCAAGAATCAAGGAACTATGTGTAGTTGAGGGCGCGCGAAAGGAACAGAAGGGATAATAAACAGTGAGATATTCTGAAATATCATATGTGTTATGACGGATACTTATGTCGCACTAGAGACTGTCGTGCAACATTTGTGGCTCTTTGCGGTTCAGGGGTTCAGGGGTTCGGGATCCTTCAATGTTTGTAGTGTGCTGACTAACTAAGCCTGATGAATTCATCAATATAACGAATGAATAAGTAGGAATCATTACCTCGTGATTTATTTGATTTGCTTAACTTGGACGGAATGCCTTTAGGAGTTTCCGTTGAAATTTAATCAAATTGAAATCATCCCTCTTGTGAATTAGCGGCGTCACCGAAGGATATGGAGTGCGAATGATCGCATGCTTAGGTACGTACCCTACATACAATACACATCACACGATAGAACTAAGCATACAACTTTAATGTCCTAATTCCTAGCACGTGAACTAAGAGTATAATCCTCTATCATAATCAAGGAGAGAAATGGTGAATAAGGCAAGCTGTTATTCCTATCCCTCAGTCTGGTAGGCCTAATTGCCAGGCCAGCTTATAACCGCGCACTTTTCCCTTTTTTAGTACGTCCTATCAAATACTTGGTGATTGGTGGTTTATTCGAGCCGTCCTCAGACGTTTTGAGCTCGTCGATACTCAAAGTCTTGTCCCAGATTTTGTACTTATCATTAAACTTGATAGCCTGCATCATCGGTAGCTCAGTTGTCCCCTCTTCTAATGCCATCAGTTGGGCGGATAAACACTTCATCTTGCTCAAATATACTTCCCTTGCAATATATGTCCCTTTCAAGTGCCTACCACCTGTAGCAGTATCGAATTGCTTTCTCCCGTGGAGGACGCGCATGTTATCGAACAACACGCAGTCGCCTGGTTTCATCTTATACTGATACACCCATTGTTCATCCTCGAGCAGGTGTCGAAACGTCGTTGCAGCTTTTAGCCACTCGAGATAGGTTTTAGAAGTTCTACCTATAAACAATTCCTGGTCGCTGGACTGAAATGGTGGTGACCAATGGACAGTTAAGCCCGTTTCGTGAAGAACAGGGTGGAAATTTTGGTAATAATGCCCGTTCTTGGTGTATGCGTACCGAAGAGGCCTGGAAGATAGATGCTCTAACATCGAATTTTTTGCAATTCGAACTAGAGAGGAAGCTCTATAACCATCGCTGAACAGAGAGTCTCCGCCCTCACACGTATTCTCAAGGCAGTGTAAGAGTTGAATGCGGGGCGAATGAGATAAATAGAGTAAGTCCTGGTGTAATCCGAGGAAAGAGCTCGTATACGCCACGTTCTCTGCATTTGGTTTTGAACGCACATCCCAAGTCCTACCGTAAAATGTCTCCTGTATGTTTCCGATCTGATTCGCAATGGAAACAACCGACTCCTCGGATTGTGGTACATTGCGTAGAAACAGCAACCCATGAGTATGGAGTCGATGGAGCCCGGAAATAAATCCACTTTCACCCGCCATCCATTCGTTGTAGTCAACGACCAAGAGATCCTTTTCAATGATCTCCTTGTCCCACAAAACCCACCTCGGGGTCGGAATGGATTTGGGTTTAGCATCACGGGCGATCCGAGCTGCTGCATAATGGGACGTATGGTTTCCTTGGCTTAGGAAATCATTTTCCCATACGATATCAAGCCCTCCATCCTCAGTAACTGAGGCTTCGGCAATGGGAAGGTTAGTTGGGACATCGCAAGTGCCGAAATTCTTCTGTCCGGAGTCGGGGTCTACGCATATGTTGCAATTGCAAGAGTCTCGCAGCCAATGCCGACTCAAGATTTGTGGCTTTTGTGACATGCGAACAACGTTAACTGAGGCATCGTTGTTTAATTCGATTTGCATGTCAGGCTTCTCTTTTGTTGGCACCGGCTCTGCTACCCCCTCTAGCTCCGACCGATTTGACAACCTTCTTTTGTTACTGCTGACCATTTGAGTCGTTACTCTACACCTCTTGAACCAAGGAGCAGATCCATATTGAATGGTACTAAACTGATGAGTTGTAGTTCGACCAAGACGGTGGCCTAGATTAGGGATGCCGGAGATTACATGCTGATTCCTAGTGCTTAGAAAACCCCGCGAAATATGAGTAATGGGTTTCATGTTGGCCATCAACAGTAAGAACCGAGGAAGACGAGACCTTTCAATGAATACTGCCAAAGATGAAAAAGAATGAATGTGGGATGATATATCACTTATGTAATTAATGCATATCTTAAATTTGACGAGGTCCTCCCCCGCTCTGTAGGATGATCCGGCTGGGAAATTTAAATTCAACCAATCAAACGACTGTGTTGAAACCCGCTAAACTTCTCCTGGATATATTGGGAATAAGCAAACTATGGTTCAATGCATAGGATGTTGATTTAATGATTATAAGAAGTATAAAGATATATTTAGATGCATAAATTCTAGGTACTACACCTACCTAGGTACTTATATGGACCTCGGTATGTGACGGACTGATTCGCTTCGTCATCTACTAACCGCTAAATTCATAATAGCGACATCGTCAAAGTTTATATTTATATTTATATTGTATGAAGTGTAGGCAAGTTCTCCAGCTGCCCTTCCGGAAACTTCTCACCCGGATCAAGACACACTAAAGCAGTCCTTTTCTTTCCCTGGAGATTACGACGATGTTTTCGCCCCTTGATATGCTTCTCCCATTGATCCTCAGTCTGGAGAGATATATTGCAAATTTCGCAAGTTCTAACTTTCAGAGCGACCGGCGAGGGTGCTGCCAAATTCTCAAAAGCGGATAAAATTTGGTTTGCTGTGCTAGATACTTCTGCTGGTTTGGCCAAAGGCTGCCCGTTGAGGAATCCGGTGCATATTTTAGCCGCAGGTTCAAGAACGTCAGCCGAGAAGTTATGAGCATTAGAACTGTTCAATAAGAACAAATAATCCATCGCCCCGTGATCTTTGAAGGCCGGAATAGACTTGGTTCGGATCCATCTCAACTGATATCTAGCATACTGCCTTGTTGCAATCTTCATCTCTTCCAGGCCGGCATCTTTCAGCTTGTCTTTCTTAGATTGACTCGACCCGTCTTGTTCGGCTTCAAGAAAAGGTTCCATCTGTTTGTACCCGATTGATTGCCATATCCCACGGGTCACATCCACACCATCACCCTGCTCGGATTGTAATCGTCGGCTTTCGTGCAAGCTTCTCACCTCACCCATTAGTCCATTTCCGCACATGTTATCTACTCTCTTATCGAGCCGTTCCTTTAATGCATCGGGGTCCGTGTACACCCAGAACATCAGGCATTGCCAAGAGCCACGTGCTGAGCCAGAGAACGATTTAACTTGTTTCTGTTGAGCATATATGTCCGATGCCCGTTTACCGGTGGTGAGAAATATTTCGAGGGATCGTTTGATCTTGCGTCGATCATCAGGATGCCATCGATCTGCCATGGCAGGATCCACCTCCCGAAGACGTTCCAATATCAAATCAGTTGGTCCGTCCAGGATTGGGAATTGTAATATATTCTCTTCCTGGGAACGATGTTGCGAGCTATCGTCATCAACGCTCCGGGAACTCACCAAGTGATCATCAAAAAGTAGTGCATGTATATAGTAATGGGTACCGCCGACTACAATAGGAAGCTTCCCTCTACTTCGAATCTCGCGAATGAGCCTAGTAGCTTCCCGCGCAAAGATGTCAACAGTGTATGTTGGCTCCGTAGGGTCAATCGCTGCCAGGAGATGATGCGGAACACCTCGCTGATCCTTGGGCGGAAGTTGGTTTGTAATAACCGGCAATCCCTTGTACATCTGCATGGCATCGGCGTTGATGATCTCGCCATTGAACCTAAGTGCGAGGTCTACCGCAAGCTACGCCGAATATCAATATATGATTCATAGATTCGACGAAGGAAGTAACGTACATCTGATTTACCTGTGCCTGTCGTCCCCAGGATAGCCACAAGAGGCTCCTTAGGAGAACATGCTGTAGTCATTCTTAGAACATTTCTAAGGGAAAAGGGCAGAGAGTGTTGTCTCAATGCAAACATGAATTAGGATTTCGTCATTTGGAATACTCAAATCTACTTATTATGCTTTCTAAGTGAGATTTGAACGGGTTTGTCAGCTACAGATTTTTAACTAAATTAACAAAGCTTCAAATCTTTTGCAAGTCTAGCTTAGTCCTAGGTACCTAGGCTGCTAGGTACGGGCTGACTGGGCAGCTGGGGTCGCTAACTCAATTCTTTGGGGAAGCTTCCATTTTGAGTCAAGTGCAGGTAAGGGTCCCTCAAAAGACCCACCGAAATGGGTTTTTGGCGTATCCCTGTCTCTTCGAGAAAGCACTGAGGATCAATTGATAATTACACGTATCAGAGGTAAGTGGCACGTGACGTCAAAGCTAAGCTAGATTTTGCTCCACTCTGTCCCACCCAATCCACCTATCGCATAATGGACACATAGTTCAATTTGCAATTTGGGGCTCAATAATTTTTTGAAGCCAGATTTGTTCCTGCGACCAAATCCAAATCCTCTCTCCTTTTAATTCGAGATTCGAGACAAAACATTGCGACAACCTCTACATCAACAAGAGGGCCTTTCGTCGCTCATTTTTAATCTATTTTTCCCTTCTACCTTCTCCTTTCTCCTTTATTCCTATTATATTCTGTCACGTTGTCACGTTGTCACGATGAGTAGCTGTAAGTTTATGACCTTATTTACCTAGTTCCCAGTACTCCTGTCCCTCAGGTTTGGTCTATTGATGGATCAAGATCGCGACGCGACTATGTATCGGTTGCCATTGAGTCTCGACATGACTAACATGATCTTCATCAGTGCGGTTTCTCGACCTTGTCAAGCCCTTCGTGGCATTCTTGCCCGAGGTTCAACAACCAGAGACCAAAGTTCCTTTCAACCAAAAGTTGATGTGGACAGGTCTCACACTTCTGATCTTCTTGGTCATGAGTCAGATGCCGCTTTATGGTATCGTGTCCTCCGACACCTCCGACCCTCTATACTGGCTGCGAATGATGATGGCGAGTAATCGAGGAACGCTGATGGAATTGGGTATTACGCCAATTATCTCTTCGGGGATGGTCTTCCAGCTCCTTGCCGGTACTCACATGATTGACGTCAACCTTGACCTCAAGTCCGATCGTGAGCTCTACCAGACTGCCCAGAAACTGTTCGCCTTTATCCTCTCTGCCGGTACCGCCACTGTCTACGTCTTCACTGGTCTTTACGGTCCTCCCTCTGACCTCGGCGCTGGTATCGTCTTCCTTCTCATTCTGCAACTCGTCGTCGCTGGCATGATCGTCATCCTTCTCGATGAGCTCCTACAGAAGGGCTACGGTCTTGGAAGTGGTATTTCCCTGTTCATCGCTACCAACATCTGCGAGTCTATCATGTGGAAGGCGTTTTCCCCGACCTCGATCAACACCGGTCGTGGTCCTGAGTTCGAAGGAGCCGTCATTGCCCTCTTCCACCTGTTGATGACGTGGCCTAACAAGCAGCGCGCTCTGCAGGAGGCTTTCTATCGCCAGAACCTTCCCAACATCATGAACCTCCTCGCCACTCTCCTCGTCTTCGCCGCCGTTATCTATCTCCAGGGTTTCCGCGTCGAAATCCCCGTCAAGTCTTCCCGCCAGCGAGGTGCCCGCGGTTCTTACCCCGTTCGTCTGTTCTACACCTCCAACATGCCCATCATGTTACAATCCGCTCTCTCCTCCAACATCTTCCTTATCAGCCAAATGCTCTACTCTCGTTTCTCCGAGAACCTCCTCGTCCGCATGTTCGGTGTCTGGGAAGCTAGGGAAGGGTCCGCTCAGCTCTCCGCCATCTCCGGCCTAGTTTACTACATGTCCCCCCCGCTCAACTTCCGCGACGCCGTCCTCGATCCCATCCACACCGCGGTATACATTACCTACATGCTCAGCGCATGTGCTATCTTCTCTAAGACCTGGATCGAAGTTTCTGGCTCCAGCCCTCGCGACGTTGCCAAGCAGCTGAAGGACCAAGGTCTCGTCATGGCTGGCCACCGTGACCAGAGCATGTACAAGGAACTGAAGCGCATTATTCCCACGGCTGCCGCTTTCGGCGGTGCCTGCATCGGTGCGCTTTCGGTCGCCAGTGATCTCATGGGAGCTCTCGGCTCCGGCACTGGTACACTTCTTGCCGTCACGTAAGTATCTACCTATACAACACCATACATGTATGTATATAAGATCATGCTAACTCAAATTTAGTATCATCTACGGCTACTTTGAAATCGCCGCGAAAGAAGGCGATCTTGCTGGAATGAAGGGGATGATTATGGGATAAACACCCTATGCTTATGATCATAAGTCCTAATTAACCCGCTACGACGGCGCAATGTCAAAAGTGCAATTATTTCACGCTACGTGTAATACCTAAGGAAAGTAAAAGTTCATGGGGATTCTTCACCGGGGCGTGGCGAAACTTGGAAAATGCATCAATGGCGGTCTGCGGTCATTCTCGTCGGGTGTCCTTATGAGGGGGCCCTGGGACGAAGAGTGTATTAGTTTACATATAGTAGTAACCCCGAAAACATAACATGTATATCATATTTTACTAGTTCACTCGCTAAGCCCGCCTTGGGTTGTTCATGTGCGTCTTGTGCATTCCGGGTATCCTGAGGAGGCTTATATACTTACTCAGGCAGGTAATATAAGGCAATCCCCCACAGGATGGTATCTTTTTACTGACATTCATCTTTTCAGTTATTTATAGACCACTAGATCAATCCTATACAGGTAGGAGTCGGTGCTTCAACTGTGCTGAAACAGGTACTACACCAAAAAGGAATCATTTTCACGTTTCTTTATTGGATATGCTATCACGACCTCAGTTTCGACGAAAACGAGTATCTTCGGAAAAGACGCGATACGATATTTACACTGAATATATGTACATGTCATATATACCTAGGTATACATAGGTAGGTACCCAATCCCAGGTTACCGGGCTTATGCAGCCACCCACTGTATCTGCAGCGTCGTTCCGTGCGAGCCCTTCGCGGAGTACACGGTGCCCTGCGTCGACCCACTGGGCACGGAATCGGCGTACCAGTCGTTGCCGGCCGTATTCGCCAAGCTCGACCCGTCCGCGGCAAACACGTTTGCCGCCGCGCTCGTCGTCGATGCAGAGCACGTTAAAGAGCCCCCGGATACGGTGCAGTACCCCTTGCTGGATTTAAGCGTGAACCCGCTACCTGACGAAGTCGCCGTGAAGGTCGCGCAGGTCCCTGTCGTGTACCATTTCCCGCTGCTGATTATGCAGCCTTTTGTCGAGCCCCCGGTTACGGCGTTCAGTGTGCCCTTCCCGGAAAACGTTCCGGTCGCGGTGGGCGAGGAACCACCTGTTGTTGTTGTGGACGTGGGGGGAGATGTTGTGGTTGTGGGCGTTGAACCCCCACCGTTCTTGGGCAGGTACTTGACCCCTGTGCTGGGACACCCGCCAGAGCCACTGTTGTCTGGGCTGGTGGGGACGAATTGCCCGTTGGCGACTGAGCCGTAGGTGTTGAAGTAGTAGTATACTTGCTCGATGGCGTTGCTGGAACACCCGATGTACACGGTTTCCCCGTTGTGGTTCTTGGAGAGTGCGGCTTGGATGTCAGACAGCTTGTATGTCTTGCTTGAGCTGGGCGTTATGCCGGCGTCGGCGAGCCATTTGTAGGTTGGTAGCGACTTGAATAGGCTGACTGTTGTGTTGAAGTAGTAGTGCACTTCCTCCGTCGCTTGGTAGTTTGTGAAACACTTTGGCTCGAGCGTCGATACGCAGGTTCCGTGCTTTCCCCATTCGTGCTCCCAGAACGTCTCCCCTGTGCCGTCATTTGGCAGCCAGTACGTCTCCATGTATGTTAGGAGATCGTTGTCGCCGGACGACTTGAGGATGTCGGAGATGTTGGTGTAGGCGCGGCTCTTGTCACATGTTGCATCGTACGTGCCGTCGCAGTGGTCGGGCCAGAGACCGTGGATCGTCCACGAGTCATCCGGTCCGACGGCCGGGTTTGTGTCCCAGAATTGCGTCTGTAAGAGCGAACCACCGGGGTAGTTGAAGCAGCACAAGTCGGCTACCGTGGTCGAGTTATGACACGATAGCTCCGTCGTGCTGGCGCATGTTTTGGGAGCGCCGCCGAGGACGGCCTGTGCTAGACTCAGCACGGTCAGCGAGCCGGCGGTTAAAGAGCGAATAGATGCCATGTTGACGGAAGCTGCTGTAGTACATCCATTTTTCCAAGTCGAGGTCCGGAGACAGACAGACGTCCTTTTAAAGATTTAACGTTCCTTGGAAAAGGGTTTCTGTTTGCGTTTGGACTTGGGGTCAGGGGAGAGGCGAAAGAGACTGGCTGATTCGTTATCATGTGAACGAGGATGTTGCGCCGCGATTCTTCCCCACTGATGAGCGATCAGCGCTACATTGCAGGGCTCCGGACCAGGCCACCTTCTCGATCTGGCGAATACCGAACGCTCTTCGCACTAGCCGTCGTCGAATCACGCGCTAGATCTATCTATTCTCCCTTCTGCCCTCAAACACCTCAATTAACTTCCTCCTTCAATCAGAAGCCCTAACGGCGCGCTTTCGTTAAAATTGCTATATGTGGCAGTTAAATAGCTTCAATGCCGACCGATTACCAGCTTACTTACCAGACCGGGAAGCTATTGGCTAGTTATTGGATTGGATTAATCAGATACGTCACCGAAGACGGCTTTTATTGATGAGTCGTGGGTGTAGGAGGTCTGAGACTGGCTTTATTCCAGGTTTTGCTATTCTCTGCACCACGTGGGCGGTATCATTCGATTACAAAATGATCCTTATAATGCCCAAGTTCCACGCGCGCATATACCTGGCCACTAGCACGTTGGTCCATCGATGCTAGTGTTTTTATCCTCCTCCCGAATTATCCTAAGCCTCTATCGTCTCCAAGGTCAAGTCCGAGAAAACCATGTATAATCCATTCCTTCTAAACCGTAGCCTTGATGCAGTTCGAGCATCGTTGATGTCCGCAGACTCCGCCGTCCGTACGGAGGCAGAAGAGGGCGGAACTGGGATTGGAGTGTTGTAAAGGGAGCTCGTCGTTGTGGCGAACCGACTCGCACCAGCAACTATCGAGGGTGTCAGCTTATATCCAATACTACAAATAGATTCGATGAATTTTAGGAAAAAGGTGACGGCGGTTGGTACTGACCAGAACCAGACGAATCTCGGCTCCTGCCGCTTCACTCCCGCGTCTGCATCTGTGCTCCTGTTAGTAGGTATTCCCGGAATGGATTTATTAATTGACTTGGATAGGTAGTATTATTTACCTTTAGTTCTGGAGTGGTTCGGCATGGTGGAATTGATCGCCGATGATAGTCGTGAGTAATCAGTGTGAGTGTATTTGAAGATTCGCGTGAGTTCTCGTCAATACGTTTTTGGTTGGATTGTGGATGTTTGACTCCGCCGAATTTGAGAAACTGTGTTGCGGGTGGAAATGTGAGCTCTTGGATGGAATTCACAAAAGATTGTCTTTGTACAAATTTTTATTTTGCAAGTGTGGTTAGGCAGACGGTTAAGATGTTCATGTCACGGCGTTGCATGGTTGCTGTAGTCACTATGATCACTGTGCAAAAAAAAATAGGTAACTTTCCCTTGAGCGATGACAATCCTCGTGATGGACCCACATCATTTTCATGTGTAGTAGTACGAAATGAATGAAAGCGCAAACGTACACACCGGTTACCTAGTAACCATAATATAATATAACTGCATATATGGCATTATAAATATCTTCTATAGAAATATTTACGTCGCAGTTACCCCTATTTTACCAAAACCTCTAATAACCCAACCTAGATCTCAGCACCCCTATCCCGTAGTAGTTGAGATATCACTTCACGACCGTGCACTATCTCAAACTCGCGATCTACAGAGCTCTCAAAATCACCCTTTCCTTCTTGGCGTCGTAGCAGCATGTATATAATGTCAGTCCTATATATCTCTTCTACCAATGAAAGTATACTCTTCCCATCATTGGTCTTGTTGTTGACATCAGCACCTTTCTCTAATAGTATCTGCACAGCATTTTCGCGTGTGCGCCATACTGCCCAGAATAACGGTGTCCTTCCTTGGCTATCCTTTGCCTCAATATTCTCCGTATTTATAAGGAGGTTGAGTGCTTCGCCGAGGCCAAAGTATGCGGCTAGATGTATTCCAATCACTCCCTTCAAGTCAGAGCTTTGGTCCGGCAATACCTGGCTTGATGCTTCAGTATGAGCAGGTTTTCCAAGGAATGTTAAGACTATGGATAACACTTCCTGGTACTGATTCTTTGGCACAAGTTCAGTATGGTGGCCCCAGTATCTAGCAGCATATGTGTAAAAAGGGGCTGACTCAAGTCGTTGCTTGATTTCTTCCTCAGTTTCACAAGATCCACTCGCAAAATTTGGCAGAGAGAGGTATGCAAGGCAGATGTTTGTTATCGTAAGTTGCGCTTCTGGGAACCATTGGCCTTGTGTTTTATCGAAGTATTCTTGCGTTGTGTAGTGAACCAAGCGGATAACGCCGCTCTCTTTCTCAATGGTAACTAATCCAGCACATACAGAGACCATCAGCTCGACTGTAGTAAGGTTTTCTTCGTCAAATTCTTCCTCATCGATTTCAACAGCTAGAGCATGTCGAAGTTCTAGAGTAGTCAGAGGTCTGCTAGAAAAGGTAATCCACATTAGAACCTGGAACGCAAGGTCTTTGAACCCTTGTCCTTGTCCTTTGATTCTATCCATAGCATCGTCGTATGCCTGGCTTAGGACTTGCAACTTTTTGTCTTCCCCTGGCTCTTGGTTCTCTCTCTGAAAGCCTCTCAATGCTTTTCGGATTGCTTTGGGTGTTGTCTTGGCTTTTAGGGAGTCAAAGTAGATTTGTGATAGTAGAAACCTGAATACGATTTAATTATTCACTTCTTAATCAATATAGGTTTTATGAAAACTTACATTCCATCGACTATTTCAGGGATGGTGGTTAATATTTCCTTTTCTATCGCCGGATTTCGAATCGGTAGCAACTCCATGTGGCCTTCTAGGTATCTGCTGACATCGTCTTCTCCTGCACGGATCTCCAGAGAGGCACAACCAGCAAATCTATCTTCAACATCGGGGTTGAACCTAGATGTCACAAGGATGTTTACATCGTGCTCCTTTTGTATACCGAAGATCACTGATATGAGTTTTGCTCGGCATCCATCAGACGCCTGGCATTCATCTAGCGCATCGATGATAATGAAAACTTTTGAATACAAGGATACAACATTTCCTAAGGTTCTTGATATTTGATCTTCAGAGAGTGGCCTCCTTTCTTTAGTATGCCTATTGTAGAGGTCTTTGACAGAATCTGGAAGGGACGATTGGCGTTGAGAAAGTTGTTTAAGTAAACTTGACAACAGATCAGAAGTTCTCTGTTCAGACTTTCGCCGAAAACTACCGTAAATGTATGCGACACCAACACTCAGGTCATCCCGAAATCGATCAGAAACATCATCTATCACGATGGAAGTAAGGATTGTCTTTCCCGCTCCGGGAATTCCTGGGCAAAACAGGGTCTGCTTCTTAGTTCGCATCCAGAGTTGATACTCCTGGGATTCGAGAAACCATTTCCCGGTATCTGGTTGTCGCCGACTAACGAAGTCGGCATGTTGAGAGGCATAATCAAAGGGAGTGATCCAGTCAAGGATTTCTTGACTTTCCTGATAGTCTTGCCTTCTTACCAGCTTTACAACATTAGTAGTCGTAGATTGCTGGTTGAAAGAGTTTAGTAACGTAATATTTGATGTGATACGACCACGAAGATCGCGGATGTCGTCAGGTTCCCATGTTAACTTCTTCCATACCCTTTTTGCAGTTTTGTTGATACCCCTTTCTTTAGAAGCTAACTCGCTATACTTACCCAATGCCTTTTCGAGGTCATTCAGAACGCTCTGGCAGCCACTAGCGATATTCTGGAGATCCTTCTTCTGTTTCTCGTCAGGTTCGTATTCGGACAAGGCCACATCGACGTCTCGAAGAATGATGGTAAGGCTTCTGACTCTAGTGGATGGTCAACAGATGTTTACTATGAGGCAATTGGGGATTTTACTCGGCCGAGATGCCTTCAAATTCGCCCGGGGCATTAACAAATTGTTTCCGGACCTTATCAGCAAGTTCGATCACTGTGATAAAGTCTCCAATACCAAACCCGAAACTCATCTCGATGACCGTTTAATTTCAAGATTGCTTGTAGCTACGTGAGGATTAGAGAGACGGGGTTAGACACAAGACCATTGATGTTAGGCTCGGTAGCCCCTTACGGTTAGTTACTCCTGCAACCCAACCTCTACACATTCGACGTTCATTGGCCATTTCAACGACAAAAGAAGACTACATGCAAGCTTGGAATATTCCTACTGAGAAAGCCTAAAATGCGACATCGTTGGATTTCGGCTTTGATGAGGACCAATCTATGGCATGATTAACTCTAGTGGAAATATTCACACTATGTACAATGTGATATACAGGATTCTACAAACGGTATCATTGGAGTAGTAGTCGAATATAATGCTACAAATCGTTTTAGGGTACATTCAAACTATATATATTACGCCCGTATCTCGATGCTTCAAGTATCTTATCCTATATTAGGTCCAGTAGGTATCCCTACCATTGGGACTTTTTAGACGATGACTATTATTTTGTCAATTGTTAGGTAGATAATAAATACCTAGTGATATTCCTCTTGAAATTTACTTTAAAGTTTCCTCAAATGCCCGTTTAGTTATTGGGTACCTAGGTAGTTGAGCAAAGTCCTTATTTATACCCCCTTAACTGGCAGTAGGCCCCCACCAAGGATTAAGAGGGGGTATACCTGATCACCTATGAAAGCTCGATTCGATCCGCGGAGATCTGCTTGTAAAATAGAGCATTGCTGGTACACAGAATCACATATTATTTATATGTAGCTTCATTCCAATCAGGGTCTGGCGCTCCAAGTCATGTGAAGCTGTATCCCTCTTTCTAATCTACAGTAGCCAAGGGGTAGAGCACATAGAGTGGTAATCTGTAGTTTGATTTGACCTTGAAACTTTGACTAATGGAATAATCTATAACTTGATGTGCTATGCACATATGAAAACTTTTAGGAGCATACCTTAGTCTGTTTGGCTTACATTTGGCGTCTTTGTCCTTCCTACATCTCGATTCTCCACCCTCAAAGTACCTGGGACATTTTCATTCCAACATGAGACGTCTAGAGCTAGCCGGCTATGAATTTCGGCTAGTTTTCTGAGGGTCATGGGGCTCACTGGTGGCGGCTTGAATCTGCAGCTCCAAACAAGAAACATCATCTTTCTGCAGCCATCGAAAATGAGTATCCATGTGATATCAACGATGGATCGTTGAAGGGACACAACACCACCAAGACGGGAACTTTGATCATTTTCTGCCTATCGATCTATGCACCCTTGGTCTAGAATCAAGTATATCTGGGCAAGTAGCTTGTCTACTTGTCTGCCTTGAGAGTATACAGTAGTTTTGAGTTTCGTTTTCGTAACAAATTCGTGATCACGCAGGGACTCTTTTCATTACGCGAAGAGTTTTCCGGTCGACGAGCAGATCGTACTCAAGGTGTCCGACATGAAGATGCCGGCCAAAAGATAGGCGTGCCACATAAGTGGAAGCAGAGGTCAAAGTTTACCTGGTACTCCTCAATTTCCGAAATCCGGCTAGATATGCAGGGTGGCCGTGCATTACATACCTATATATGACTTTGAAGCAAGGCTTCAGGCTTGCACTGTGAAATATTAATAAGGGTACAGACGTAAGGGCGGTTGAAGTTACATATAAGATGACGAATCAGACTAAATGAATTTCTAAACATGAGGCGAGACCCTCTTCGAGACCGTCATGCATCGTCGGTATCGTCTGTATAACCTGTATTTATACATTGCAGTGTAGGCATATATGTATGTAGGCTGGCAAGCTGGCAATTTGGTAGGCTGGTTGGTTGGTAGGAAAGTTGATAGGTTATCTCTAGCCTCTATGGATACTCATTGGTGGAAGGACCAATTAGAAGAGTCGATTGGTTCTTAGTGTCATGCAATGCATGTCGGGAAACTGGTGGTTCACCCCCCCGCATAAGCACCGTAGCATCGCGGGACCGGAACCGGTGAGTTAAACAGACCCCTCTCATCTGCATGTCCAACACTAAAGTAATTTAGTTGGAGAATTCGCCCAGGAACTCGGGGCAGATAACTTATCTGTCAGGTTCCTTCCACGTTCGGTCCTTTATTATGTGAGTCACAACGTGTACCTATGTACATAGGTAGGTATGTACATAGGATGTTAAGCGACTTTCATTTATCTTTATCTTTATAAAGTAAACGGAAATATATAGTCTCTGTAAGATTCTAGGCAGCCTGGCTTCCAGAAGGTAGGTAGCTGCTAGGTACCTAGTATGTAAAGAGATACAAGGTAACATTGAAATTTCCGATCGATTTTTATTACTTAAAAAGTTACGAAGTCACACACTTATCGCGCTGACAAATGAGTTAGTCGGTCTGATGTTTTATACTGGGCAAGTAAGCCTTGCCATATTTAGCTTTTATTCGGTGGATGCATAGCTCCATTGATGAATAGGTATAGGCGATAGGATTAGAAAAAGCATTGATCAAAATTCATCTATACCGGTCATAGATCATCTGGCTCCCCACATTCATATGTAAGACGCATGTTTGATGTTACACGTATGCGATAATTGGCATGCCCACCCAATCGGGGGCCAATTGCAAATAATGATATCACCAGGACAGGGAAACATTCGAGATCAGGTGGTACATGAAGTATTTAAGTGGCGTGCCAATATAAATACTAGATGTATTCCGGAATATATGTAGGTAATTAATAAGCCTTCATGTTACAATTCGGAGTATTTAAACACCTAGACTCTTGACATGAAATCTCATAAACTATATCTGCCTACGTTGGACTAAAACGTATTGACCATTTTCCAAGTTGTTTGTTAACTTTTTGAACGAAGACGCGACATCGAATGGGTGTAACATTGTGACTTTGGACATTACCACGTATCTTGGAAATGATTTACACAAAAAACCCCGTGTAACATACTATATGCGGTATCTGCATTCGGAATTGCAGAACCTGAACTTGCTCAAGGTGGCATAGTGGGGCTCTTTCGCGTGCTAGTCAAACTAAGAATACTAAGGTTGGCTTAGTTGGGTCCGCTATCAGGAACCGAGCTGCTCGTGGCTGGAAGTTACCGAATATTTCTCTGCATTACCATAGCGACTAGAAAGCGGTCTGAACCTGCCCCAGCCCTGGGGATGTATGTACCGTGGGCAAGTCGTCACTGCATCTCCCAAGCTCACCGTCAATGCCGGCCATGCTGTACACCGCGACAGAAAAGAATCACCTGCGACGCCTCTGCCCCCCACCATGGTCCTCATGGTATTATACCGTGGTACTTGGAAGGTACATCTAACGCGTACTATCCGAGTGAATCGGTGGTAGGTTGCGCCTGAGTATTAGTCGTATAATTAGTGTGGGAACGTGCTAGCCTACTAAACGACAGCGCCCCACTGTGGGAAGTTACATTAGGTAGGTAACTACCTGTACCTAGACTGTAGTAGCGCTATGTTCTTCCTTCCATCATCTCTGCGACTTTTTATGCTATCTCTCTCTCTCTCCACCCCCCAGATATTCCCGAGTTTGCACCTAGTTAGTTATCTTCTTCACCTCCTTCTAATTATTTTCCCTTCTTCTCATAACAGATACTCTCCTAGGTTTGCTAGTCTTTACCTTATACAAAAAAGTCTCAGGTCGCTGCGAGGAGTAGCACCGAGCATCGTCTTCAATTTTCTATCAATTGACTACAGATATCGGTCTAAGATTTCTTCAGTCTGGTGATATCATCAAAACGACTACCACCACTCTCGCGAGTGGGGCTGGGGAGAAGAAGAAGAAATATGAGCTTTGCCTCGTGTTCATGGCCGATATGGCGGACTGATGACTTCACCACCTGTTTTCAATCCGAGTAAGTAAACACAAGTATCGGTCTTGTTATTTTTTTCTGTGTTCCCATCCATCTCTTAGTGTGTGTCTCGCCTACTAACGGCTTATAGTTATCTGCAGATCCTTTTCCCGCTTGCTTTAATATCTCTATCGCTACTTCATCTTCTCCTTCAGACTATCTACCGGAATGTTAGGTTAAAACGCACCGACGGCTACGATCAAATACCCGATCATCGAGATCACACAGAAGTACCGCCGGAAGAGGAGGATTGCATAAGCACCGACGACGATGAAGGATTATCTATCAATCCGAGCGGCGGCGGCCGCCTTGCGCTTATCAAAACCACTTCTAAGGGCTCCATCGTCCAGGCCGACACCCCACCTGCTCAGGACTTATTAGTTGTGGTTGAGGAGGTTGCGATATGCGGATTAATAGCTGTTAACGTTGTTGCCCTTGTCACCGATACTTACAATGGACACGGACAACTTGCAGCGATTGTCGGCTTGGTTTCTTGGATCTACGTCCTTATCCTCGCAACGCTTCGACTGTTTCTGGGAAACACCAAATGGCGAATCCCGCGACTTTGGAATCATACCGCTTCTATATATGGCTTCCAGTGGCTTTTTACTCTTATCGTGTTTCGATCCGTCCTCGTCCATGCCAGCTCTAGACTTGCGCAAATCCTGATCATTGTCGAATTTTGTCTAACGACACTCCTGTTTGGGATAGCTCTAAACACTAGAAAGGGCAATAAGACTGTTGTTATGGAATGGGAAGGGAAGATTGAACCGTCGCGTGAACCTTTGGCTTCGGTTCTCTCCCTGCTAACTTTCTCCTGGATCGACCCTATGCTCTGGCAAGGTTACAAAGAACCCCTCGAGATTAAGCATGTGTGGAACCTCCTGCCGCGCGATAAGGCAGCGACGGTGCTGGCAAATTATCGCCAGGTCAAGAAAACGACGTCTCTGGCCTTGCACCTGACTAAATATTTCAAAGGCCTGCTCGTTATCCAGTGTGTCTGGGCTACCATGGGTGGTCTTCTCACTTTTGCCCCGACACTTCTTCTCAAGGCTATCCTTGAATACGTAGAGATGCCGGCTAATGCCCCGAGGAATGTGTTATGGCTCTATGTTATCCTGCTTCCCCTTGCTGATCTTGTTCGTTCTATTGCTGATGGCCAGGCCTTGTGGATTGGCCGGAAGATTTGCATTCAAATCCGTTCCATTATTATTGGCGAAATCTATGCTAAAGCTTTGCGGCGCAAGGCAGCAAGTGGGCAAGACACCGTCCTTGGGAATACAGACGCTGCGAAAGAGACGAAGCTCGATAAACTGAAGAGATTCTTTAGGTTAAAGAAGAAAACAGACAAGGCAGCTGGTGTCCAGAATGGTAATGCCGCCAAGGAGGACGCATCCAAAGGTGCTGATGAGCAAGCAAACTTGGGGACAATTATTAACCTGATGTCGGTCGACAGTTTCAAAATTTCCGAGTGCACTTCATACTTGCATTTTCTACTAGCGGCCGCTCCCTCGCAGCTATTCGTATCCATTGCTCTACTTTACCAAGTGATGGGTCTCAGTGCTATCCCGGGTCTTATCGTCATGGTTTTCCTCTTGCCGATTAATATCCTATTAGCTAAAGGTTTTAATTACACACAGCGTAAGATCATGGCTGCTACGGACAAACGCATCCACACCACAAACGAGATTCTTCAGAGCATTCGGATTATCAAGTATTTTGCCTGGGAGAAGCGTTTCAGTGATATTGTTGACGAGAAGAGGCGTACCGAGCTGAGCGCGCTGCGAAACCGTTATATGATATGGGCGCTCGCTGTTGCTATTTGGAACACGGTGCCAGTTCTCATTACGTTTTTCTCTTTCTTGGTCTACACCAAGGTAGAGCATAAGCCTTTATACCCATCCGTCGCATTCACCGCCATTTCTCTCTTTATGCTTTTGAGAGTACCCCTGGATCAACTCGGAGACATGATTGCTCATATTCAAGAGGCGAAGGTTTCGGTTGATCGAGTCGAAGAGTTCTTAAACGAGGATGAAACCGAGAAGTATGAGCAGTTAGGTTCTGACAACAAGGACGAATATGGCAACAAGGTCATCGGTTTCAGGGACGCGACGTTTATCTGGGGCGGTAAAGACGCGATCGCCGCCGATGGATCAATGGCCTTCCGCCTCATCGATTTGAGCGTGGAATTCATGATTGGCAAACTCAACATTATCGCTGGCCCTACAGGATCCGGAAAGACCTCAATGCTGATGGCCCTGCTTGGTGAAATGACCATGACCAAGGGCAAAGTTTACCTACCTGGCGGTCGTAGTCGTGAGGACGTCCGACCAGATCCCGCTTCAGGTCTGACCGAAACTTGTGCCTATGTTGCCCAGTCCGCATGGTTAGTCAACGCAAACATTCGAGACAACATCTTGTTTTCCGCAACATATGATGAGAAACGGTACAAAGATGTCCTAGTAGCCTGTGCCTTAGAGCGAGATCTCGAAATTCTAGACAACGGCGATGAGACCTTGGTTGGAGAAAATGGTATCACTCTATCTGGTGGACAAAAGCAACGTATATCCCTAGCACGAGCCGTATATTCGAATTCCCGACACGTCTTGATGGATGATTGTTTGAGCGCCGTTGACTCGCATACCGCTAAATGGATTTTCACCAAGTGTATCAAAGGGGAGTTGATGAAGAACCGCACCTGCATTCTGATTACGCATAACACAACACTCTGCGCGCCTTTATCTGAGTATGTTGTCTTACTCGACAACGGAAAGGTAGATGCACAGGGAACAGCAGAAGAAGTGATCGCCTCCGGTAAACTGGGCGAAGAGATTCGAACTAAATCCCGACCTGGCTCATCTGATATTTCGCGCGTTCCATCTCGAGTACCATCAAGCGTCGGCGACGAGAGTGACCAGACCCTTATTGATCATAACGCGAATGGCACGAACGGTACGACGAGCGCGAATTCCAGTAATAAGCAAGAGAAACCGCAGCGAACTCCCCCGCAAGAAACCAAAGCCACGGGTGCTGTTAAGTGGCCCGTCATCAGCCTCTACCTTCGAGCTATGGGCGCCTGGTGGTTTTGGGTCGTGGCTCTGGTTGTATTTGGCGGTCAACAGCTCAGCACAGTCGCCTCGAATCTTTGGATTAAAGAATGGGCCAACCAGTACACATTGGGTCGCGAAAGCATATCTATGTCCAGAACGGAGCTCAGCATATCCTCCCAGTTGGCCTATAGCTCTTGGTTATCTTCGGCTAATTTTGCGTCGGTCACAAGCTCTATCAAAAACATGTCTTTTATCAAACCCGCAGACTATTCAGCTTCTGATGTACCGGAAGTCAACGTAGACTATTATCTCACCGTTCTTGCGTTAATAGGATTTGCGGGTGCGGCGATGGCTCTAACTCGTGATCTCTGGCTATTCTTTGGGTCTCTCACAGCATCTTGGAAACTTCACAACAGACTTATGTCTGCTGTGGCTAGGGCAAAGTTCAAGTTCTTTGATGTTACCCCACTCGGACAGTTAATGAACCGGTTCAGCAAAGATCTCGAGGCCATCGACCAGGAGGTTGCCCCTGTTGCCATTGGTGTTATGAGTTGTGCTATGGGCATACTAATCACCGTGGTACTTATTGCAGCTATAACCCCTGGATTTCTTGTCGCTGGCGTTTTCATTACCGGTCTATATATCCTGGTCGGCATGTTCTATCTTCGAGCGTCCAGAGATCTCAAGCGACTCGAGTCAGTAAACAGGAGTCCCCTGTTCCAACAATTTGGCGAGACGCTCTCTGGCGTTACCACTATTCGTGCCTATGGCGATGAGCGACGGTTTATCCGGGAGAACCTAACCAGGATCAACACGCAGGCTCGTCCGTTCATCTATCTCTGGGCTGCTAATAGGTGGCTCGCGTTTCGAACGGACCTTCTGGGTGATTTTGTAGCATTTTTCGCTGGTGTCTTTGTCATTTTAAGCTTAGGAACGATTGATGCCGGTTCTGCGGGTGTATCCCTGAGCTACGCTATTGGATTCTCCGAGAATATCCTATGGCTGGTACGATTATACGCGATGAACGAACAGAATATGAACTCTGTCGAACGTGTTAAAGAGTACCTCGATGTAGAACAGGAAGCTGCCCCAATTAACGAAAAGAACCGCCCTGCCCCGGATTGGCCTGCACATGGGGGTGTTGAATTCATTAATTATTCTACGAGATACCGCAAGGAACTGGACCCCGTTTTGAAGAATGTTAGTTTCAAGATTGAACCGCGCGAAAAGGTTGGCATCGTGGGACGAACTGGTGCTGGAAAGAGTTCTCTCACCTTAGCAATTTTCCGTGCTCTAGAAGCAGAGGGTGGTAAAATTTTGATCGACGATATTGATATTGCTTCGATTGGCCTACAAGATCTTCGAGAAGCTATTACTATCGTTCCTCAGGATCCGACTCTTTTCACCGGAACCATCCGAACCAATCTTGATCCTTTTGACCTTTATACTAACGAGGAAATATTTGCTGCTCTCAAGAAAGTTCAGCTTATTGGCCCGAACGAAACACTCCCGTCAACTACCCGCTCCCTTTTATCTTCGGCGGAGAACAGCGAGGTTCAGGACTCCCAGGAGCCGACTAGCCCCTCTTCACCCACCACGAACAAGAACATTTTCCTTGATCTGTCCTCCCCCGTTGCGGAGTCGGGCTCGAACCTCTCCCAGGGCCAGAGACAACTTCTCTGTCTAGCTCGTGCTATGCTCAAGAACCCCAACGTATTAGTGATGGACGAGGCCACTGCATCGATCGATTACGCTACGGACTCAAAGATCCAGGAGACGATTCGCGATTTGAAGAGCACGATCATCACGATCGCTCATCGACTCGCTACGATTGTTGATTATGATAAAGTATTGGTATTGGACCACGGCACGGTTGTTGAATATGGCCACCCACATGAACTTCTACAGAATGAGAATGGAAACTTCAGGAGCATGTGCGAGATGAGCGGGGACATGGATGTTCTAGCTAAGGCGGCTAAAAAAGCATGGGATGATAAGAAGCTCGTGGATGACGAGTAGGGAATCATCCGAGTACACTGAACTTGAAGTAACGAATGGATGGGAGGGAATGGATGTATGAAGTGAGAAGTGAGACATGCCTTGACGATCAGGATACACCGCACACACGGTGAAGCGCGTACATCTTCCTATGACACTCTAGGTGTGGTTGGCGTTGGCAGTAACCAAACTGTTCCGGGGCGATTTGCCCTCTGAGATGCACTTGTATATATGGATTAGAGGCGTTAAACTTGCCTGTTTATATGTAACGAAATCGATATTGTTATACGATCCATTGTCTGCGAGTTATCTTACACGTGTATATGTCAGGTACAGTATAGCATTTATTCAGCCACGCAGCCACATTTAGGAAAGCTGCAGATACTTGGGAGGTACACGACGAAGTACACGCTCGGATAGCTGCGTACTAAGTGGACCTTGTATCCGTGCAGGGGACGTCTGACGCGACAACACGTCATTGGTCCAAATTAAAACCAGGGACCCATCGTATCAATTGATTTGACCACATTGCACACAACGTTTTTTCCGCCGCGAACTTTAAGCTTCGACTTCCCCGATCTATGAACTTTATCAATTGATGCAAATTGAAGCTTCTGTACTTCTTTTTCTTCTTTTCCCCTGAGAAGGTCTCACCCCTTAATTCCTTCTTGTTCTTCCTGTCCTTCCTATATATATCCAACCTTCGTCAATTCCTTTGGTCGTCGTGTCAATTGTCTTGTCTTTTGCCCAACATGGTGGCCTTCCGATACTCTGTCCTCGCCGCTCTGGCTCTTCGCGTCGTGTCTGTCTTTGCTGCTGAGGGTGATTCTGTAAGTTTATACAATGATTACGTAGATCGTTTAGAGCAAATCAATGCTAACAATAATTGACTTTCGAAGCCCGTCGCAGATGATGCTGGTAGCCCTCCCGAGGTCGAGCTCAAGGCTGAGGTCGTCGCTACCTTCCCTGAGGCTGACGACATTTTCGGTGTCAAACTCGTCAATGGCCGCCCGACTAAGGCCGTCATCGATATAACCAACAGCGAGGACGAGCCTATCCTGGTAGCTTTTGTAGGAGGTCAGCTCCTTAACCCCAAGGACCTGGGCCCTGATGTCGACTTCGCGAAGTCTGTCATTCGCAATCTTACAACTGTCCGCTATGAGGCGTCTATCCCGGCCGGCGAGAAGGTGTCGCTCCCTTACTCCTTCATCCTAGACATGCAACCCCAAGACGTGCGCCTACAGCTCGTCTCCGTCGTCACCAACTCTGCCAACCAGATCTTCCAGCTTGGCGTCTACGACCAGACCGTTAGCATTGTTGAGGCCCCTACCAGCATCTTCGACCCCCAGATGTAAGCTTCCCTTCCCCTCTTCATCAATTTGTTGTTCCTATATCATAAGCTAATATCAATATCTACACAGCATCTTCCTGTACCTCTTCCTCACTGCCGCCTTCGCCGGTACCTGCTACTTCGTCTACAAGACCTACGTCGAGGCCATGTTCCCCCAGACCAAGCGTCCCGCCAAGAAGGTCCGCGCCCCCGTCGTCGAGAAGGAACCCCTCTCCGGAGGCGAAGGCTCCGCCACCGGTACCGATAAGGGCTATGACGAGAGCTGGATCCCCTCGGACCACCTGAACCGCCCTTCCGCGCGACGTGTCAAGAGCGGCGCCAGCGGAAAGACCAAGTCCAAGACCGCCGAGTAGAAACGGCGTTAAGTCGATGGGCTTGGCTACCTGCTGTCAGGGTTGACTGGGCGGCACGTGCACGTACCTACATATATGTACTAGGTATGATGAGGAAGGGGATAATCCGGCTTCGGCTTCGTGGGGGGTAAGGTTGGAAGAACATACGTGCGTGCATAGGCTCGGTCGAATGACTGGCGGTGGGAAAAATTAAAACGTCTGGTGTCGGGCACAATCACGTCTAGGCTGCTGAGGCGGCTGGTGGGATGGCTTGTTGTCTTGACTAAGGATGCTTATATACGTATATGTACATGAATGGGACTGACACGAATAAGTTCTATGTGATGGTTTTTGATGTTTGATGTGTGAATGTGAAGGTAGAAGTGAGGTTTCGGTGTTGTTGTGAGCCTGAACTCCAATCGGTATGTCTAATGAGTTCGAATCTGGTTAATGATAGTGGCTTACACATTTAGTTCTGATTACATAAGTGCTTATTAAGATCGTACAAACCGCTCTATGGTGTCTCGAGATAGATTTGGGAGCATATCGTTTTTATTACTATCGAATTGTAGGTAATGATAGCTAGATGATGTCTTAGATATCTTGTTCTCATTAACATTTTATTCATCATCAAGAGGACCTTCTCGCCCGATAATTTGACCTCTGTACGTATATATCAACCCCTTTCCATCTCACGCCCAATTATCCAACGTAAGCTAAACCAACTACCTACTATTCTCTTTGAAAGCCGTTTTTCTTTCTTTTTTCTAAGGAAAAACCATCATACCTAAACCCAATCCTCCCACCGCCCCTCCTTCAAATACCCATACCCCCCAAAAGCCCGCCCATCATCCTCCCACGTCGGCCCCTCCGCCTCGGGAATAAATCCGTTGGCGCAGTACGCGTACTTTACGCTCGCTACTTCCCGGTTGTTCAGATAGAAGGCGTCATAGCGGGGGGCCAGCGCGTCGGCGAGGGATTTCACGGTTCCGTCTGGGTGTAGGGATGACCATGGGTGTTGACATTGTTTGCCGGTGCAGGTTTTTAGGACGAGGAGGAGGGCGTCGAGACGGGAGGCGAGTTTTTCAACGGGGTGGTTGGCTGCTAAGGTGGAGGATTGAGATGAGGATGAGGAAGGGGAGAGGAGGTTGTGGAGTTGATCTGGGTCGGCCTGTATTTTGGGTATTTGTGAGTAAGAAAAGGATAATAAAAAGAGTGAAGGAGAGTGCATACCTTCATATCATAGAGCTCATGCTCATTATTGCACCAGACGGAATAGTACAAGTTATACCCCGGCCCCGAGATACGAAGGGCCTTGTACGTGTTATTCTCACGAGGATCCCCTTTAAACAGGTCAGTCCAACCTTCTTAAACTCAACCCCAAACCTGAAAACCAAGTCAACGAAACTCTTGAACTCACGATTATAAACCCCCTCCCCCATCGCAAACCCCCAATACTCAATCCCCGCATGTTCCCTCCTCTCGCCCCTCTCCCTCACCCCCCCAATCTCCTCCTGCGTAACCGGTATCGCAGCCCCGTCAAAGTCCTCTCTCGCCTCAATCCCAAGCCACCCAAAGAACGTCGGCGCAAGATCCGCATGCGTGCTCACCACCCCGCCCGCCGTATAATTCCTCGCAACCCCCGGCCCCCGCACGATGAGCGGGACGTTCACATCCGTCTCGTACCCGCAGCTCTTGCCGGGCTGGAGTCGGTGCTGTCCGATGTGGTACCCGTTGTCGCTGCTATACACGATATACGTATCCTCCAGAATCCCGTAGTCCTCAAGTCGGGAGATCAGACCGTCGACGAGCTCGTCGACGGCTTGCAGGGAGCGCAAGCGTTGTCGGTAGAAGTGGTCGTTGTACGCGACGTTCGTCCCGTTCTGCTGCGGGAGCGTGGTGATCCAGTTTGCGCCAGAAGACTGGTCCGGGTTGAAGTTCGCGGTCCGCGGCACTTTTTCGTTGGGGAAGAGGTGTTTGTGGCGGTCTGCGGGGATCGGCTCGGTGAATTCGAAGGGGAGGTTGTCCGGGTCGCGAGGGCCTGAGTGTAGTTTCATGGCTACGTTGGCGTGGGGGGCGATGGGGGCGGCGACGAGGAAGAAGGGTTTTCTGGCTTCGACGGCTTCGTCTAGGAGGCCGTAGGCTTTTCCTGCTAGGACGTCGGTGCTGTAGTGCCCTTCGTAGCTGCGTGGTTCTTCTCCGTTGCGCTGGAAGGTGCTGTTTAGGTAGTCGTATGTATGAGGGTCTAGTAAGAAGTCCTGGGATTTTAGGTTAGTTGTGATATTTATGGTCGAATGTAATGGTACAAATCTGGAGAAATACCGATCCCGTGAAGCCCCCTGGTGGAGGTGAGTTGTAATTCTCTACCGTGTGCACGTTGAACAGCTTCCCCGTATAATACGTGTTGTAACCAGCTTGCTGCAACCACACAGGGAAGTAATTATCATTGAAGCCTTCCGCTACGAATTTTGGATAACCGCCTATAATAAGAGTTAGAATAAGATTATAGATGTACGCGCCACATACGGTGACGGATATGGTGGCACGTGACAAGGTATATGTATAGGGGTAGAACCTGTCGATTATTCTTCTTCTATAGAACTAACATACCATACGGCGGACTAACATCCGTAACATTCGTATTATGCGCGAACTTCCCCGTCCATATCGTGACACGGGACGGGCAGCACACCGCCGTCGTTGCGTAATGACTGCTGAAATATGTTCCTTGATCCAGCAGATGCTTCTTCACAAGAGGCATATAGTCCAAAGACCCAAGATGAACATCTTGGTCATCCGTTAAAACGAACACAACATTGGGTTGCCGCCGTTGTGGTTGCGGTCCGCGACTATGGCCGAGCGGGACTTGTCCCGGATCCGAAGCGGTCACCGCGGCGCCGAAGCCGATGGCTGTAGCGGCAGTACGCACCAAAGCCGCGATGTGCATTTTAAGCGTCTTATCTGAGGAGCGAACTCTCCTAACACTCAAAATATGAAAATTGGAATGATTAAGAGAGAATTATCATTCAATTCAATCGGCATTTGTTAAAATCGACATACATCATAAAAAGCAAAGGTTGCAGATGGGATGCTTACCTAATCGACGATCTCTCTCCAATGATCAAATACAGGGGTTCTATTGCGTGCTGGGCGATAGCGTCGTCGTAATACAATCCACTAGGCGGGCGACAGTACCCTTTAAACTTGTACTACGGGAATCACTTAACTAGCACTACGCTTTTAAACCGTGGTTCAGCAAGACACGTAATGCCAACTTAAGGAAGTCGTATAACTCGAGTATGCAATTAATGTTCAATAACTACTATATGTATGTTGGATAGTACCTACATAATATAGGTTATACGAACATGTACCGAAATCCAGTCCATAAACCATAACCTATGCTATAAAATATCAATTGCAGTAGCTTAAGACTAGGTAAATATAGATAGATACTTAAGATAAGAATGCCGTTTCGCATTTTCGTCTCTTCATCCCAGGACGCAAGATCACCTAACCGATATCCAGGGACCTTTTCCCAGAAACATAAACGCCCGCCAACAATAAATCCAGTAAAAAACCGCTATTAGTCAGGACGGCCAGGTCTACCCCCCTACGACATATCCCAGCCATCCAACAAATCCGCGCCGGCACCACCCGTCAGGCTACCGAACATATCATCAGCGCTGCCGAAATCGAGTCCGCCGTGGCCCGAATCGCCGCCGAGATGTCCCATATCGCTACCGCCGCCGAGGTCCAGGCTCATGCTCGTTTCGTCCGCCAAGCCGTCGTTCTGGGCGGCAGCAGCCAGTGCGTCTCCGAGCGCCGTGGCGTTTTCGCTTAGGTCAAGGTTCGCTAGTTCGCCTTGTAGCATAGACTCCGTCGGCGGCGGGGCGAGCATCTGCGCCTCGACCTTGCGGTATAGGCGGACGATGATCTCGGCCATGACCGGGTCCGATTTTTGTATCGTCTTACAATCTTCTGCTTCGGCTTTCAGCGCCGAGCGGAGCGAGATCCGGAGTTGTGGCGGTACTACCGGGTGATTTGAAGAGTCTATGAGAAGCGCGGTTTCCCCTGGAGGTGGCATGTTGGTTACATCGGGGGCGCATATGAGGGCGGTCGCCACGTCGTGGGCGATACTTCCGTGGCCGGCTTCCGTGTGCGACTTTACCTCTTCTAAGATGGTGTAAAGGAACCGCCTCGCGCCGTGCATTTTCAACGCGACTAGAATTTGACGGTGGGTGTAGGACGTCGGCATCACGTTAAGACCTGGATGAGCACTCCACGTCACAAACCCCTGAATCATGTGTCGAATCAGCGCGGCGAGTCCTCCATTCGCCGTTTGCGTCCACGCCTCCAGTTCATTATTGGCGGCGCTAGCTGTTCGGCGCGAAAGCCGTAGATTGTCCCTCATCGTCTTCAATAGAGGTTCTATTGCCGGGCTTTTGGGGTCGAATCGTTGGTATGATCTCAACCCATACTCTAGTGGGATTGCGATTATGTTGACAACAGAAGCGAGCATCGTCTGCGCTTCAGAGGATCCTTGCTTCGTTAAGAGAATTAATTGTAAAATTTTCAAGACCGCCTTATGTTCTAGATTGTTATTAATGTTACTAAGCTCAATCCAGAGTTGGTTCGACATGTATAGCATCGCGGGTACAAGAGAGGGGAGCAGGAATGTGTTCACGAGATCTATTAATGTTAGCATCTCATTCAAGGTAATATTAAGGTAACACAGGGTCAAAACTTACATTCGACACCAGTCTTGAGGCTTTCCTCATCGAGGTAATTTGTACTGAACGCAAGAACGATTTGGTGGAATAGCGTTGGAACAAGTAGGTAAAAATCCTGTGGAGGGCATGACGATAACAATTCATCCGCTAGTCCACCAGATTCGATATCAAAAAGACCGTGGATCCATCCGTCTAGGTGACGGTCTTCCTGCTCAGATAATTCGCCCAGCGGCCTATTAAGCTGGCTAACGCCCAAAAGTTTAGCCACGAATGAATCTGAACGAATCCCGAGATCCATGGGAGAAAGGTTATATCGGTAGACGAAGGCCAAAACCAGAAGAAGTACAGACCCGAACTCTTCGTAGACTGGTTGATATTCTCCTTGATCCTCTTCGTATCGCCAATTTTCAAGTAGTTCGCAAAGGGGATGTAATATGGTTATCGGCTTGTCGAACAAGAGCATCACATCTAGCGACAGCGGTTTCTTAGCAAGCTGACTGCAGAGAATTTTTAGAGTCATTGTCTCCTTATTATGGCACAGGCGACCGATCACCTCCGCCAGAGCCTGACAGGCTGCCCCAACGTTGCCATCCATATTATCCAATTCGCCGATTAGTTTGAGGATCCTTTCGGCATCAACCATACACTCATCGACAAGATGTTCTTTGACATACCGGCCTGCTAGTGGTAGAGTCTGGTATGTTATTTCTCCTAGTAAACCTTCTATGCTTGACTCTGGGATCAAACCATGGAGACAGCAAGCAAAGCAGAAGTCTTGTCGAACACTATCGGTAAATGTGTTGTTGTTATTGTTCGTATCATCAAACATGGCAGACAGAGTTGGAAACGCATTAGTATCAACTTGGCTCAGTGCCTCTGTAATGCAGAATTGTGCTGACAGCGGGGGATACATAGATGTCGCTAGAGTTGCTAGAAGCAAAGGCAACTTATTAATTAAGTATGATCGAAGAACATGGCTAGCCTGTTGGCCCTCATTACGAAAGACTGCATTTGCAAGAATGTCAAATGAGGCTAGAATAAGATCAATCGTGGTAGATTGGATATCTCCCTATTGTAATAGTCAGTACCTATGTATCTCATAAAATATATCCAATATGACACACCTGATATCTGTTGTGAAGATAGTTGAAGAGAGCAGTATCATCGATCAACGGTCGGCCAACAAGCTTCATAAAATTAGTTTCTCGTATCAGACAACCACGCAGTAGAGCCTCACATTTGCGTTCAAGTATATATATAGACCGGCTCGGGAATTAACATTTGGTAGTTCAGAGACGACGAAGTTCTCCAAAGCCATAGATGATTCTAGGTCGTCCATGACGGTGTTAGTGGCATCCTTATTCTTATCGATCGGCTCAAACGAAGCGAGCGTTTCGGTACGAAATAGCTCCAGTCGAGTTGCTATTTGTGATGCGCTCTGGATTATTGAAGGTATAAAGTTGCCTAGACTTTCTGAAAGAGCCCTTCGTGCATCTAGTCATAATGTTAGCTTAGTTGGTCTCACAAGTACAGAGAATCTACAACGCAAACACGCACTCTTAGCAAGCGGGCGGCTGAGTGCGCTCAGGACCGTTTGGTTTTCACAAATTCCCAATAGAAGCATTACAAATGCAGCTCTGGCTGCTTCCATTTCATCTCTGGATTGTGGGCTTTGCAACTGATCACCATGTAGTTGACCGAGGCCGATCGCTTCATGTGTAAATGCTTCTGAGGCTAATGAAAATAACGTCATCCACTTGGCTATAAGCTTGCATATTTGCAAAGCGTCGCCGGCATTCTCGATACCAGTCCCTATGGCAACCGCCTTCGTAATGCGGTAGAAGATGACCTCCTCGGACGCGTACGAGCTGCCCCATCTCAACGGGGCTTTATCCTCTGGATCTTCAGGAAGAGGGTGGCCAGCTTTTTGAGCTTGTGCGTGGGAAGTTGAATACTTGTATAATGCCTTGAGTACTGAAGGGGTATCTATAAGCTTGCGCGATGCAAGTACATGGATATAACGTGGGATTCGAGGATCGAGGCTTTCGTGGTTTGCAGGTTGAGGTCTCAGAAATATGTCGGCGATGATTGCTGGAGGTAGCGGATGCTTCGAGTACAGCAAGGTGATATAATTATCAAAGGTATCTGCATCAAGGCGAGAGGAGATACATCGACTAAGAAATTTCGCCCACTCCATTCTCGATTGGTTATGATCGCGTGCAGGTCCTATCTCGGGTATACGCTCCGACATCATCATATCTACGTCCATCTCCATCTTGGAATCGCGTTCTTGGATGCCCGAATAGTTGGTTCTATTGGGTACATATAGTCGGAGAAGCTTCGAAGTAAACTTGATTAGTTGGTGAGTTGAATATTCTACGTTGGAATCGGGTGTAATTCACGAGTTGTTGGTAAAAAAGGTGACGAGGCTGAAGATTTGAAGAACGGTGACTTGGTAAATTGACGTCGGTAGTAAAGATTGTAGGATTAGCTTTCTTAGCGACTTTAGCGCTACAACCTTAAATTGGGACAGTGACAGTGGGAGTTCAATATCGAAGGTAGGTGAGCCTATCTAGCTAAGCGAATTGATCCATGCGCCTGTCGCTAATCCAGTCTAGGCTCCTGCCAAGCCAGGGGCGCGGTAGGGCTAGAACATAACCTACTAAGCAGCTAGGTAGGTCAAACTGCCTAGCAGAGCTACATAGGAAATGGAGCTTGGGCCATGTGATCACTACTTAGGTACCTGCCGCGGGTATGTAGCTGTACGCATAGTAGCTGTATTTTGGCAATATGGAACTTCCCCCCCCCTTATTCTCTTTAATTGTCCGAGCCTACCAGGAACTAGACTAACCGTCACATGCAATGGATGAAAGACATTCGAGCTTGATACCTCGATTTCTCGATATAGCACACTATTCCCATTAATCCACCAACCACATCATGTACGATGCGGGATTCATGATACATGACATTAACATCCGCCCTGTTCAAAACAACACCTAGCTTTTGATTTATCGAAGACTTCCCACAATTGATCATCCATCCTGTGGGTAATAGTGAGCCGCATTTGCAGGACACTTCTTGAACTACCTAACCCCATTATTCCCAAGTCGCTCTAATGGCTGTTCTTAGCTGCTTCAGGATACCTAGTTAGATCACTTTTAGCTCAGTAAAATGAAAATCCGTACGCCTAATCACCCCGAAAAACACCGCATCTGGCCGGCTTCTAAAATCCAATCTCGTACCCGAGGTATGTAGATACCTCAGTAAATCGCCGTTCTCGATGAGGTTAGAGGTTTGTAACGGATATGTAGGTTACGATGTCACTGCCACAGATCAGACATCTTCGCTCTTCACAAGGACTGCCATTTCTCTGTCGACATCAGGTGAGCGTGGACCGACCATCCAATCCTGCATTGCCAGCCACTCACTCCAGTTTGCCTCTGCGCTGACAATCTCTTTCTCTGTCACATTTTGCAGTGGCCGCAGAAAGGGAATGCTCTGCTCATCCGGCATGTCATACTGGGACTTGACTTTCAGCCACCCAGCGCTCTTGGCGGCAAACAGGAAATTCCTTCGCTCGACTTCGTGGAGGTGTCCTATCCCCACAGGCCAGTCATCTCCAAAGAACCCGTGCAGTACCCCAGGAAGGTCTAGGCCGGTGGCTACCAGTCGCCGGACGTACGGTGTCAAAGAGACCGCCATAGGTGAGTGGCCCGGCATTGGGAGCTTCCCTATCGCAATCGACGATGGGGATGGCACCCCCTGAGGTGACCCAGGAGGTTTCGACGAGATGACGGGATGTTGTGGCCTCTGGAATGGCAATTGAATGTTCACGAACGCGGCAACGGCCTGCACCGGCCCGCTATGTTGCGCGTGATCGAGAAAATACCGAACACAGGACTGAAATTGCGGGTACCACTCGAGAATGTCGAATTGGGATTCCTGAAATGGAAGAAAAGGTCCCGAAGGGTTTATGTCTGGTGCCATACCTCGCGCGCCAGCGGATGAGGAAGGATGCGGAGGCGACCTCGACTGGGTTGGCTGGAACGGCATCGGGAAGCCAGGAGGTCCACCACCTCCCTGAGGATGGAACGCCATGCCTTCAAGCTTGTGATAGTGGATAATGTTAAATATCCAACACAATCGAGACGGCCGTCTTTTCCCGATGTCGAGAGGTCCTTGAGGAATGAGTGTCTAGTAACACCTAGCTGAACCGAGCCGTTTGGAAGAAAAGGAGAAAAAAAAGTCTAGATCTTGTACCCTAATGCGTGAAATGTTGTCGATGAAAGACAGTGTATGTGTTAAGTAGTAAGAAGCGAGCGTACCAGTCTAAAGCATCGTGGATGCTCCACATCGAATTGACCCGCAGCACGCCAATCAAGAAAGAGAAATTTAAAGTTGATAGTAGGTCTAGTCGAGGTCTAGAATCCAGTTGAAGATGGCGGGTCGTCGAAGGTTTTAATACCGTTCGGGAAGGCTTTACACCTGTCTCTGCCCTTTTTATTATATCCTTTCGTCTAGACCAGTCCACTTCGAGTCAAGGGAAAGGGGGGAGGAGGCTGTAAGTAGCTATTTGAAATACAAGAGATACAAAGAGGAATAATAATAATTTAAATAATGATAATGATAACAATAATAATAATAAAAAAGAAAATATAAAACAGAAGAAAATAAAAAATAATATATATTATATGTGACTAGGTCACAGAGAAGGTTACAGTAACCGGCCTTCGGCAGCTGAACCACGAGAACTACACCATAGGGTCCGCCACTTGCGGCATGTATAGTCGGTTTAACAACAGGATCTAGATGTAGTCATTGTGGGGGGCCGATCACACTTGTGAGGCTTGATGCCGTACCGAGCAGGGTTCAACGAGCTTAGATAGTTACATAGGAATGGTGGACGAAAAGAGACGTGGCCCGAAGAATAGGAACATGCCAAAACTGCAGAAACTGCAGAAAGTGAACTTCGATATCTTTTACGTCTTGCCTTGTGGAAAAGGTACCTACCTATGTATCTCCCTTTTTCCGTCCTGTTGGTACATTTTGAATATTCCGCATGGGAGCTGCCCAGAAACAGTATAGGGCGGCTCTGAGATGATGACGCAAAGGAATTGACCTGTCGTCTTACGGGTTCTTGGACCAGATTCGAATTGGAGAGTTTAGTTGGCGAAAGGGTTTAGGCGAAAACCAAAGGTAGAATGCAGAGCTAAGCCCGACTAAGATGATCACTTTGTCATCTAATGTAGACTAATGTAGAAAAAGATGCAGAGAAATGCAAGACGGCGAAGGAGGGAAACAAGGGCGGCGATCCCAAGGGGGTTCGACGTCAGTTGGAATGGTATTTTTGGGACCTGCAAAGCATCTAAACTGTGAAAGAATAGTATGATGATGACGATGATCATGTCGAATTCTTTAAAGATGAGGCTGCAGAATGATATCCCATGCATGTGTTCGCGCATGGCGGAAGAAAGACCCTTACGAGCCCCGATGAGGCGTTCGTTGGCTCGCTGGGGAACATGTTAGGTGTTAGTGGTGCAGCGGTGTTAGGGGTTTTAACCAAGTAGCCAAGCAGCAAGGTCCAAAAAACCCAGAAACTGCCAGATTTAAAAAATTGAGAGTCAGGGTCGCTGCCGCATAAGTGATGCCCTACTGATGTAGCTAGGCAAGACTAAGTAGGGTCCCTGTCGTTCACTATAGTTCCTTGTGGTTCCTATGCAAAGAAGGGAGAAGATCGGAGGGAAATGTTAAAGCAAAGGGAGAACCATTGGATAAGAAGCGCACACTTTTGACAGGACAAGACAGGAGCGAGTTTGCGGCGGCGACGGGGGACGGGGAAGTTGGAAACGGGGGTTACACCGGTCCACTCAATTGAACGCCACCAGGCAAATGATTGGAGGATCCGTAGATACAGGATGTATAGCAAGTACAGTACATGTACGTAAACACCCCTGAATTGCATACATAGGGGTGGGGGTTATGGATATCGATGGAAATTTCAGAAGAGCATCATACCTAAATATGGTTTAATACACTACGTATTTCTGATGTACTGTACACCTGTGCGATTGGATTGGATACAGCGCATCAACCTTGGATTTTGGAACACACACATGTGCACCTGGGCATCTACGCCTGCAACTTACACCCTTACACCTACCTACCTAAGCAGCTAAACAGCCAGCAGCTAGAGGTGCAGCTGGTGCAAGTTGCAGGTGCCACCGCAGAAAAAAGCCAGGCATTGAAGCTTCTAACAGCTTCTAATTACATGTATTCATGGATGTACCTGGTGTAATCATGGATGTGCCTAAGAGCTGAAGCTGCGATACACGTACACGTACCTACCGCTAATGCGCTCCTCCGACAGTTAAAGGTAACTGCATCTTAGGTAGCTGCACCTAACTGGACATTTTCGGTCATTTTTGGTCATTGGAAATAAAATTTTCTCTTCTCTCTTTGCATTCATTACATCATTTCGTCATCCCGCCAACTATCCGGCCAGCTATCAAGAATCATCAATTATTAATGGTGAGATCTGTATTATGCCCAGTGGTTCATCAGAATTCCACCATTCTCTCCTAGACGCGTCTTACATACTACTACGTACCCGGTCTCTGATCTGGCAATCTGTTTTGCCTCCCGAGCATCTTTGAACATCTTCGAACATCTGTACACTATCTGTACTGTCTGTACCTGCTGTCTGTACCTCTCGAAACCCTGCAATGATCTGAGACATAGCCGTTACCTCGCTGCCTCGGTGTGGCATGAGAACATCAGGGCACCAGGGCATCGTTGATCATAACGTGCTGTCGCATACGCAGCATCATTTTACACCACCTACGCACAGCTACGTACTACCTCCCTAGTCACCGGCCTAGTCAGCTGCGTAAATTGCCAAGCTTCGATTTTCTTTTTCCTTCTTCGGGCTTATCAAGCTTACCTATCCAACCGTGCTACTAGACACTGGCTAGACTAGGTAGGTAGGTATCAACAGACGAGGTAATATACCTCGATTATTTCTGTGTGTTGTTACAGCTAATCTTCAACCCGGTCTCCCCGAGTGTCCGAGGTGGCTGACTTATATCGTGAATTATACATGAAGAAAGGCCCGATGAAATAAGTCACGAGACGAGCCCCGGAATATGCTGCACCTCCAAAGTAAACCCATCGGTGGTAGACGGCATTCGCCAGTTACGCCGATACCAGGGCATTCCTTGGTCTAGATTCAATGGTCGGATATCCAACCGGTCACGGAACGGCCTCAATTTACCCCAAAGAGACTGATACTTAGCGGGCTCCTCCCGTAGGATGGCCCCGTAAGATTTAACATATTCGTTCTAGCTCATCCTTTCATCCTTCCAAAAATATTTACGCAAGAGAATGAAGGATCTAATCAAGAGAATGAAGGATCTAATCAAGAGAATGAAGGATGTAAGAGAAGCAACGGACCAATGCCAACTCACGTTCATTTTAGTCGTGATGGTTGAAATCGTAATGTGCTCCGGTTGGTCCCGAACACAAGCAGAGGAGGAATTGGAGCCGATTGGCTCCTATAGAATAACTTGATCTGTGATCAGTCCATCCAAGCACTTGTGTTTCCAAAATCCCACGCATTGCTGTGGGTTTTTGGGGGCGTTATGTCAATCAAGTTGCTTCGAATACCTAGCATCATGGAAATCTTGCATATCCAGGGACAGTTTTAGGTAGCAAGTCGCTATGACTTGCATACGTCTCGGTAGAATAGGTTAAGCGCTCAAATCATGTTTTTCGGCGAAGGACGATCCTCTTCTAAAAAGGAACTACGACTTAAAGAGACGACAGCATGCACAACTCCTCAATTGGTTTAACAAACATCATAGGATTTTGATGCCGCAATAATTCCACAACTACGGCATCGGTATTTGCCTACGTGTACCTGAATAATATCTGTCAGGACCCACCGAGCCACAACGCCTGCGCACAGCATCTCTATCATTCCGGAACGTTGCAGCACCAAATCCCAAGCGGATGGGGTATAGGTGGCACAACTGACCTGTTGTGTGTCGACAGCAACGATGGAGATGGCATCCGACTGCAGTTGGAGCTATCTGTGTAGCCCTGGATTCATCGCTCAAAACGCCATCAACTATAGATCAAAATACCAACCATGTATCCTACCTTACATGATACGTCGCCACCCTGCTTGCTTAACAGCCACAAGGGATCTTCCGGTCAACCAGTAAATATCCTTGCGGCGGCTAACTTTCGCCATGATCACCTATTATGCCGCGGGGCAAATTTATTCTTTCCGACGTCGACAACTCTACGATTCGACGGAGCAGGCCGTGGCGCTGGAAGCATGGTTTTGATATCAGCTGAAAACGAGGCCAACCAACAGCTATGGTATATCTTATTAGCGGAACGTATCCGTCCCGTAACAAGATCGCCGCTACGTCAGTAATCAATGGTAAACATTTAACCAGCTTCTGCACAACAGTCCACGACATTCATACCTACCTAGAAGTAGGTATACACTTACAGATTTCTTAGGTTGTCGGGTACTAGTTCCTTGTAGAAGTCAGCGAGCACCGCAGATAACGACAGTCCATTCACATGTTAAAATAAACGCCTCATTCCTCAAGACTAAACAGGCCATGTCGCTCAACAATCTAGGTACCTGCTAAGTCGCTACGACAAGATATTGTAGGGGCGGCGGGTTTCGTCTAATTACACCACGTAGCTTCGCAATGGTAGAAGGGTTAAGGCGAACTCGGTACGTTTGAATACACCTCCACAGCATAATCGCCACACAGTTTGCCGTCGATCAATCTATGATGTTCTTTTAATGTCACATCTTGGCTCAATAGCTACTCTCAGAAACAAGAAGTCTTGTGGATACTAAATGTTTTTCTCAAATCGTAGCTCGGTCAGCGGTCAACGGACCAGGCACATGGCTTTAGTAACCTTAGTGGCCTGGCAGCCTGGTAGCTTAGCTATCAGACCGTCGACTTTAAAATCTCGGATCATCATATACCTAATTAAAAGTTCCTATGCGAAGAACCAGGCACCTGGGCATCTACTAGGGTCTTAAGTCGGCTTCGAGTTCCCGATCTACAAGTTCTACAATAGCTTGAGTGATCGCTGTACAGGGCGCCATAAGAGAGTAGACAGGGGTGGTTCCGTACCTGACTACCCGAATCCAGCACGTTAGTAACACAACAGATCGCCAGCACCAGCGACAAAAGCCGTTCACAGTATTGCGCTGCAGATCCAAGACACGAAGAAACATACATCGCGCTATCGCGCTTCCAAATCAATTGTTCTGAGACTTAGATGCTCCTCTACCGAGCTTCGCACGGCTTTCCGCATGGACGGATGTAAACGTGAACAAACCAGCTGAGCTACGTACCGCGCGGCACGACCTTAAAGATTGAATGGTCACCTACCTACATATGTACCTAGTAGCTGACGAACTTGGAAAGTTTGTTATAAGTTAGTTCCGCAACGAAGGGATTTTGAAGGGATTACCAGTCAGCCAGGTCAACTGTTTCCTAATTTACGCTGAACGGTTAGTCGAAATTCGCAGGTAACACCTACAAAGAGGCGCCACCATCTCTAGAGGCTAAAGCGTAGGTAGTTAGCTGCACCCGATACCATATTCCGGGGTCCCCAAAGCCTCGTGTTGCCCAGGTGCTGCGGAAGTTATCATGCAGGGGGCCCCTTTCCGGCGTCTTCGCCATTCCCTCTCATTGGGACGATCCAGAGAGATGCGGTTTGCGAAAGGTATCGAGGCGCAAATGGCATTAAGTGCCACGCCTCACTTTTCCGGGGGAGCAGTTTTGTGGCTCTCCCATGTCGCTTTCGAAATGACTGTCCGGCTCGCGCCATGCGGCCCGAGTGCTTGGTCCCGATTCCCGTCCAGGCGCTTGGGTTTGATGCCACCACAGCTTACTGCAGCTAGCTCACAATTAGCTGCCGTTGCCCGTTAAGCTAATGGGATACGATTCGTTGACCGGTCAACTATGCACCCTTTTACTTCGGACCCTTAAATGCTCAACGCCGCCATAAAGAGAAAGTATTCTCTTACTGTAGTAGAACTGAGGATTCCAGATATCAAGGGATCCTATCTTAAGAGATCTACGTACTAGCAATCTCATTTCCGGGCTCTCGCTAGAAGGTCCATGCGCAAATCATGTACTGTGGCTTTCATCCTTGAGCCTGGCAGACCATTGAAGATCCCGTTTTAGATAAGTTGACGCTAATTGGATGTATAGTATAGCCGATATTCTCCAAACTAGCCTTTTAACTGCCAATCAACTTGTAATATCTACGAGGTACATGGCAGTACCATTGCTGTATATCCATAGATTGGACAGCTCACTAGAATGGTAAGATATATGGTGATTAACATATACCTAGGTCCATGACCATAAGCAATGGTAAGCTGGTAAGATCAGCTGAAAAGCCTTTCTTTTAGTATCAGAAGCAGAGATGAGGCCGAGAGGGTGTGCACCAAATCAAACCTCTAGTTCCAGCTCGCTCTACGATAGTCGTTCGATAGTATCAAGGGAGACGTGACAAACGCCCCCCTGCTATCGAACATTGTTACCAGGCACGTCTGAAAACCAATCAGTCGTCGTCCCGGTGTGTTACGAACAAGGGAGATGTTCGAGTTCAAAACGTCGACCAAGGTCGGTCTCTTTTTCCTTTTTCGTCCGAAACGGCCTCAGCCGCCGAGAGCGCATATGCCAGATTTCTAGAATGGGATCAGACAGACCAGAACACCATCCCCCCCTTGCCCACGATCAATGCAACATCGTTTCTTTATTCCTGCTTCTCGAACCTCTAGGCTGGGTAAGCGGCGCTCCGGCGGCAAGGGCGGTTCCCGCGATCTGGGTCGATATGCGTTCCCCGACGATCGCGGCATGGGGGCAAGCGGGGGGTTGAGCAAACACGTCCGGGGTCGTAGCCCATACAGACGCGTCCTAGGTGCGCCAGCCCTGCAATTGATACATCAAGCCGCTGCCGTCAGCCGCCACAACATGGGGGTCCAGGACCCCTTCTGTTTTCTTCTAGGGGTCTTCTAAGGGGTGGTGGAGGGGAGAGGATACCCTAATAAGGCTGCTGTAACTCCGACAGCAACGGAAACAGGGCCCCTAGGATGCCGGAGAACGGTTCAGTGCGCGCGCACGTACATTTACTATTAGTACTAGCTGCTAATCTGCTAGGCAGTCCTATTGCCCGGATTGTAAACAGCTAGACAGTTACATCATCCCGTCGTATAGGGGACCGCCGAGGTAATATCCCGCGCGTCCGCCTTGCATATGGATACCATTCCTCCTCACATATACCGGTATACGTACGAAGCAGCGTGCGACCGTTTGATGACCCAGCAGCCCAGTAGCGGGAAGTCCACGAGGTGCGCGACTGTCGCAACCCGCCCTTCCCTGAGCTGGGCTTGCGCAGCTAATACCCTTGCTACATATAGACATACAGACATACAGACATAGAATATACCTGGGCATACACACATGCGGCAAACGGTAGTTACCTATGCCGGCGTTGGCATTCGTAACTCTCCTACATACACTACGACTGCCTGCCAGTGAGACTGCTTGCTTGCTTGCTTTCATGCTTGCCTGCCCGGAAAAGTTTTTTTCAAGCAGTAGAATGGCTGGCTGTCTGTCCATTTGGAGGTGTGGCGTCCGCATATGTCGTGTACCAGAACCCCCTCCCCCCTTGTTCCCCGGGCGTGGCTTACCTGTCCAATAACTGTTCTTTTGGGAAGCAGGTAAAACTTTTTTTCCTGCCGCGGTTTTGTCTTTTGCCATCGTCCACAGGCGGGCGATTTTCATGATTTTCACGGCATGCTTTGATGCGGATTTCCCGCGCATGAGGCTTGCTTCCAACCCTTTTCTCTTTTGCTTTTTTAGGGTAGTTTTCCATGTTCGGACGATCGCCGCCGTCCACATGCCAGGTACGCGTGGATTGATCGTCGGCGCTCCGCTGGCTAGGTAGCTAGCTTAGTAACCGGGAAACGAAGATGCGCGGCGGATGGGTACGGTTTCGTCGGGGACGGAAATTGGAGACATGTGCATACCTATCTTCATGCGCCCCGTCCACCACCCTACCCTACCCTACCCACTAGTATGTAGGCACACATCATGCAAGGCTCTGCAAATGGTGAGGCTTGTTAGCTTTACCCTATCTAGCCTGGCAGGCGGGTTTTTTCGCCCCCGTGGACTGATTCTGGCAGATGCTCAATGCGTGACGAGTTTGACGTCTGCGACGCATTCGCTGCTATCACCACATACTCTACCTGGCTGCCTGGGTTTCTGGGTGTCGACTAGGTTGCCGATGCCTGATGCGTGCGGCCACAGCAAACTTCATGACTGCTTCCTTCGAACACGAGATAGCTCGCCTCACTTAGGCGCATCGCGTGCGTCTTGGCGTGCCTGCGCGCGGTGAATAGGGATGGAGACCGGTCTGTCATAATTGTGGACGGAGATATGTACACGAGAGGTGACGAGTCTGCGAATATCCTCACCGCCCCTTTCGCTTTTCCCCCCTCGTTTGGGTATCCGCGGCTGTAGTTTGCTATCGCTATCGATGTCGAGTTCCGTTTCATACCGCGTCGTCCCGGTTCCTTTACGGGATTTCGAGCGAGCTGCAGTTTAGGTATGGAAGTTACGGTTTTGGGAGGATGGGATTGTGTGGTATTGACTGGGTCGTCTGATGAGGGTTAGATTAAGATGATTACGGCCTAATTTGAGGGTAGCCGGAGCTGAGATAAGCTGACTAACTGACTGACCGTTCACTCTGGAAGATAAGGTTGTGTGTTGCTATCACCACCTTCCTTGTCGGAGTTATGAGGGTGTAGGTAGGAGGTCAGCTCGATTAGGTGTAACTATTCTTAGAGTTTCTTCGTTGTCGTATTTGAAGTAGCAGTCTAGGTGAGAATTGAAGGAGGTTAAGCTAGAATTGGTACTCACTCTCTATGATACATCTGTGTCAACTGAATCCGGTGATGGACATGCCGATTTGGGAGCTACTAACCCTTATTAGTATAATACAGCTATGGAATATATATGTGAGAGCTGAGATAGGTTGAGTTCTTCGGCCTCCTCTAGATATCCTGTTGGATGATAACCAAGAAGCTGCTTATATCTGTTTATACCTACCTCTCTACGAAGGAGGTCCAGCCGTAGCTAATCTTAAGGCCAGTCAATATGACCAAGCAGTATTCAAAGAAGCATGCGCTGGTGTTCCTCACCATATACTCATTACCTTAAATGACTTGGTATTGCGCTTATATGTGTTAGTGATACTTCAACTACCCCTAGATATAAGATATGAAGTAAACGTTAGGCCCAACTCACGTTAACTAAGTGGGATAGTGAAGCATGTATGACAGTAACTTCCATAAGTTATCTTTCAGCTCAACACGGCAGCTTTGAACTCACATACCTAGGCAATTGATCAATATGATCCATTCCCATACTTGGAGTTGTAATATCGCTATTGAAAGTCGGTGGTTGAAGTCATGGATAGGGGTATGGTGATACACCAATCTTTCCTACAGGATTGCTCCTACACAATGGTTGATTAATGCTTACTAGAAGTATTCACATAACCTTCAAGTTAGTATAGCACTTAATGATCCCTCTTGATTCTAGATACTTATAGGCTTTGAGGGGTTGCCCCTTTTCTACCCCTCGTGTATCGTTTATTGTCACTCAGGGGTAGGTGCTAAGAAATTATTTGATATCTAAGAGATTCCCCTCAAAAGAAGAAAAAAATTCCGACTAATCTTGGGGCTATATAGGACATACGTTCCAAGCTCTTGAAGTAGCTACCAGTCGCATTTTCTCGTAGCCCTAGGTTGATAGCTCTATTGGGAGTAATATCTAGAAGGGACCAATAAGATCCAAGTCCATAAAATATTTAATAAAACTTGAATAGAATATAAGGTATACGTTTCAACAGTTGGGTGTATTTACTCAATTGAAAATGCTAATAGCTAAATGTAGGCATGGATGGGTATTTGAATAGGTAGCCTCTGAAATTTGAAAGAGTAAAAAAAAGTAGCACCGTACCCCGGACTCGAACCGAGAATCTTCGGCTATCAAATGATAAACAATTAGAAGGCCGACGAGTTAACCATTTCTCTAGTACGGCTTGGAAGTTACTTTGAATTATTGATACTTATGAAGGAATGAACAGGCAGGAGCAGACGTTATGTTGGGTGAGTACAAACAGTTACGACAAACCCTAACATAAGATGATAATAAGCTTCTTCCGACATATACCCATACTTACTACAAGTATACATCCCATAAATATATTGATAATCTCATATATTCCCACGGTAAAGGTACAGACCTAGCAGGTAGGCATCGGTGATTAGGTAATCAATTGAAGATCCAAAGTTCGGGTTACACAGCCTTACATAACCCTTCACCGGCTGGCCTTCATCCGACATAATACCGGCGCAAATGCGCTGCTCGATTTAGAAATCGTCGCGCGCAGGGTGTAAAGATTGGATTAATCAAGTTGTGCCCCCAGAAATCCGTAATACCTATTTCCCAATTCGATTTGTTTTTCTTCTTTTTGGATTACCAGCTTATATATTATATAATGACATTGTCGTATTTTCGCTTCCATCTCGGCTTTACTCCGTTTGCTGTATATCCTCGATTAGGTCCATAATTAGTCATCATCATCATGTCGCCCTGGATCCAGGCCGACGTCACGGATAGTGTGGTAGTTGAGATAGGTTCAAGAACCACTAACGATGATATCATGAAACAAGTTGAAGAAGAAAAGCCTTCTGATCATTACCGGACTTCATGGGGTATCTTCTCCGGAGACATAATGTGTTATAGTCCATGGGACGACCAAAATTTGTTTGCTCGCGTACGAAATAGCGAGATAAAGAGCGTGACGAAGGGTGAGCCTAGCATGGGGAGATACAAGTGGTACATTAATTACTTGTTGGGGGTTATATACAACGTTGGAAAGGCAATTAACCCCTGACCCGAACCCCTATATTTTCTTACTAAACTAATAGGATGCAACCTATACTAACATATATATTAATCTAGCCATTGGGCTACTCTGGAAGGCTTCGCCCACCATCTTACGAACAAGATAAACGTGATTTATCATGCCCTAGTTTATCATATGGTTCAACAGCTTCAGGATCGACATTTGTTGTGCAGACGGCATCCATAAGGCTCAGTCGTTCGGGGACCCCAAGCATTCAAGATGATGAGCTCAAACAGACAGAAAGTATCAGAAGTGCAGGTCCTCCGAAACAAAACCGGGTAGACCCAGCCGCTCTTCATGGACTCGGAGCTCGCTTTTGGACATTACCTAGCAGCCTGGAACATTTGGACCTATCTGATACCGACTCTGTAACAGAAACGTCGTCCGAAGATGATGATGAAGATGCGGATCCGTTTGATGACTTACATCAGGCCATCAGACAGGCATTTTCATCTGACGCGCAATTGGGAGAAAAAGTCATCAGCTACTTACTCCAACTGCCACCACATCGCCAGGCACAAGTCTACGGGTATAGGGCTATTTCGCAGAGTAATAACCATGGATCTGATCGCCCTAATATCCCAAATTATGATGGGAAAGGCTCTAGGGTTAAGAAAAGAAAAAGGGGGACGAATGAGACCTCTCCAAGTGGCTTAGGGGATAGCAAAGTGAATGAAGGAGATGAGGAAGATAATCAAGTTGTGGTTTCCCGTCGCTTGTCTCCAGAGTTGTCCCGAAAGAGATATGCTTGTGCATATTACAAATTTGACGGAACTAGATACGGGCCGAGGGCTGAATCTCGATATAAGTCATGCGGAGGTCCCGGATGGAAAGAATTCAATCACTACAAGTCAGTACATCGGTCTCCCGTGATTACCTAGATAAACTAATTAAAGAGAAGGCGTCACCTGCAACGGGTCCATCTCCTACATCAATGTTCTCGATGTGGCAAAATTTGTGATAACCCAGATGAGCTTCACAACCACTTAGCGCAAGATCCAAGGTGTCCCAGGTCAGAAGGGATAGAACGAGAAGGCATGTCTCAGCAAATATGGAACGACCTGCAGCAGGCATTCAAAAGGAATCGCAGAGGCCACGATAATCCTTCAGATGAAGAGCGATGGTTCCGCGCTTGGGATGTCTTGTTCCCTGGGCGTGACAGACCAGCTACGCCTTGTAAGTCCGAGGTCCGATTAACTTGACTTCTGAGCTAAGTCTTACTGATCGTAAACCAAGACTACGAGAAGCCGCCTCTTCCTCTTGTTTTCACTCAAATTCAAGGAGTCTTCGAAGCTAGTATAAATACTATACCAGAAATGGCTCAAGATTCTGATCTACGGGACAGAATCATGGGTTTACTAACGAGTGCTATTGACACGGCCACTCAAAGCGCACCATTAGAATTTGAAGCTATCGGCCCCAATACCGACCTCCTACCAGTACCGGTACCGATGTTACGCGACACTAACACGAACTATCTAAGTAATCTTGGAACAAACCCCCATGGTCCTATTTCTATGATTGACTGGGACCCGTTACCCCCTGTGAATGGATCGGGCTCCCTAGAGAACGATCTTTTCTCAGAGGGTATCTTCAATATGAATACTGCATTCGATGAAGACGACACCAATGTTTATGTTGACGCGGAAGATACATGTAAGAATTCTCTGAAAGTCTGCTAGTACTTACTATTATGATAGTAGAATGCGATATTAACTATCAGAATAGAAAATTAAGGGAATTACTTTCAGGTTCCCTATGAATGGGCTTGTCATGCACCATATCCAGGGGTATGACTTAACTACCATGGGCGTTTAAATGATTTGGGAATTAGGTTTAATGTATATATGTTACATATATAAGGTGGATTTAACATTATATTTTTAGTACCTTAAACTAATTACCAGGGCTCGAATTAATTTAACGTTAATCCACTAGTATATACCCATTGTTAAGAAATTTAATTTAATTTAATTTCATTAAGTTTATTTTAATTTAATAATTAATTTAATTTAAAATTATCGTAAATTAAATTAATAAATTAATATAATTAATTAATTATAAATATAATAAAAATGTTATTTTATTATTAATATTTATTAATAAATTTAATAATAATATTAATAAATTAAAAACGTGGCGAAAGTTATAATTAATAATATATATAACGTTAAATAAAATATTTATTCGAAAATAACGAATATTATAATTACGTATTTAATTAAATAATTAAAATTAATTAAAATATATTATTATAATTATTAAAAATTTTTTATTATTTTAATATATATAATATTTATTAAAAATAATTTATTTAATATTAAATTTAAATAAAATAAAAAATGTAATTATATTATATATTTTTAAAAGTAAATATTACGATTAAATAATTTTTTAAATTTTTAATAATTAATATAATATTATATATATTAATATTTATATTAAATTAAAACTTTTAAAAAAAGTTATTTTTATATATATATAAATATATATATAACGTAATATTTAAAACGTAATTATAAAAAATAAAATTTATAATATTACTTAATTTTATTAATTTTATTCGAATTATTAATAAAGTTTAAATTACGAAAATATTAATTTATTATATATAACCGTTTATCGTTTAATATATTAATTTATAAATTTTTAAATAAAAAGTTATTATTAATTTTAATTAATTTAATAAATATTTATTTTTTTAAATTTTATTTTATTAAATTTAATTTTTAATAATTTAATATATTTAAATTATTATTAACCGTTAATATATTATTTTTAATGTAATTTATTAAATTTATTTTAATCGAAAATAATTTAATATTTATATTCGAATTTATTTTTAAATTAAAAATCGATTATAATTTTTTTAAGTTATTTTTTAAAAAAAAATAATAATTATTTCGTTATTATAAAAAGTAAATTTATATTAAACGTAATAAAAAAAAGCGTAATTAAATTTAATTATACGAATATAATATTAAAAGTTTATTAAAAATATAACGATAAATTTACGCGTGTTATATTAAAAAAAAAACGATATAATTTAAAGTTTTTAATACGAACGGTATATAAAACGTTTTTAATTATTTTTATAAAATTTATAATATTCGGGTTTTTTTTAATAAAACTTTTTTAATTTTTTAAGTTAAAAATAAATTTAAAAAAAAAACGTTTTAAAAAAATCGTGGAAATAATAAATTTAAAAGTTAATAATTAAAAAAAATAATTTTTTATTAATACGTTTATTAAATTATTTAATCGTTTTTATTTTTAACGATTATTATTTAAATATATCGTTAAAAATAATTTATTTTTTTTTTAAGTTAAAAATTAAAAATTACGTAAAATTTTTAATTATTTAAACTTTTTTATTACGCGTTACGGTATTAATATATTTAATAAATAAATTAAAAAACGTATTCGAAATTTATTTAAATCGAATAAAAAAAAAATAATATAAACTTTACGAAAATTTTTTAGTTTAATATATTTATTTTTTAATAAGTAATAATTATTTAATCGTTACGCGTTTTATAATATTATATATTTTTTTTATAACGAAAATAATAAACTTTATAAATTTATTTTAAAAATTTCGGAAATTTTAAAAATATATACGAGGTTTAATATTATTATTTATATTATAAATATTATTATTTATATTATAAATATTATAAATTATTATAATATTAATAATAAAATAAAATATTTTACTTTAAATAACGCGTTAAATAATAATACGATAATAATAAAAATTAATAACGCGTATAAATTTAAAAAATTTAAACGGCGTGGTTATTATTTTAATTACGTATTTAATTTTATTATTAAAACGTTAATATTTAATAATAATGTTAAAACTTTTAAAAATAATTTATTTAAAAATAATTACGATAAATAACGTTAAAAAAATTTAATTAATAAATTTTATAATTTTATTAATTATATATTCGTAAAAAATAAATTAATTAATAAATTTTAATTATTATAATAATAAAAACTAATAAATTTAACGAAAAAAATTATATATAACGTTATTTTAAATAATTTTATTTATGAATTATTTATTTATTATATAATAAAATACGTTTTATTTTTACGAAATTAAATTAAAAAATTAATATTAATTTAAAAATAATAATGGAAAAACGTTAATCGTAATAAACGAAAAATTAACGATAAATTTTTTATATATAAAGTTAAAAATATATTAATTAATTATAATTAAAAAATAATTAAAGTTTTTACGAAAATATTAAAATTATTTAAATTTATTATACGATTATTAAAAAGAAATAAAATAATTAAAAAACGTAAAAAAAATTAAATTAATTTATACGGTAATATTTAAAATATATTTTTAAGTTACGAATTTTTAATAAAATAATTCGAAAATTATAAATTTTAAATAAATAAATACTTTAATAATAAATATTTAAAAATTAATATAAATTTATTTTAAATAAAATTTAATAATTATTATAAAAAATTTAATAATATATTTATTTATTATATTATTATTATATTTTATTTAACTTATAAATAAATTTAATTTAAAATTTAATAAAAAAATAAACTTAAATGAATTATTAAAACTCGTATAAAAGTTAAATATATATAAAATATTTAATATTATAATTTTATAAAATAATTTATTATTATTAAAAAAAAAGTACGTTAAAATAATAAACCATTTTTTAAGTAATAACGTTATTAATTTAACTTTTTTACCGTTTTTTACGAAAATAATTATAATAATTTAATAAAAAATAATATATTAATTATTTTAAACGAAATAAACGAATATTAATATTAAATTAATAATTTAAAATTTAACGATAATAAAATTCGCGATTTTTTTATATATTAATATAATTAAAAAAATAAATACTTAAAATTATTTAAAATAACGTTTAACTTTTTTATTATATAATTAATGTTAGTAAAATACGAAAAGTTATTTTTAATTATAAAACGTATAATAATACTTTTACGTAATATTATAAATACGTAAACGATCGTTATATGTTAAGTTTTACGGTTTTAAATCCGGGTTAAAGTAATTAAAAATATCGATCTTATTTTTTTTCCTTATTCGGACGATATAATCGATAGTAAGGTTAACGATATAAGCGACGAGGAACTTGCGGAGTGGTTTAAGGTATGGCTTGAGAGTATAAAAAGTAACAATAGCGTAAGTGGGAATAGTTTTATCGAACAAACTGTACTAATTAACTGTAAATAGGGGGCCCCTAATCTTGTAATATACTAATTAATTAACGTCCACCAATAGCTATTAGTGTATACCATAATCTACTCTACGAGAGGATCTGGTGGATTAGGATCAATCTACTTAATATACCCTCTTGGTGTAGTTGGTGTAGTTGATCCGAGCCCTGCTGACTACCAGGCGCCCCTTTCGCGTGCTTCGGCCGATACAGAAGGACTTACCTTTGTTCATAGTACGGATAAGGGGGTGCGAAGAACTCGGGGGAGGTTACGATAAATTAACTTTGGAAACACTACCTGCGCCTGCTGCCTATTAGTCGCTCATAACGATCCAAATTAAATTTGAGAATATTTGAGTAGATTGACCCCCATATTTCACCAAATCCTGCCTATAGAGATTATTGGAAGGCACTATCTGAGAAGGAAAGGGTGCTTTCGAGAGCATTTTCAAACCTAAATATTTCTTTCTTGTCTTGGACAACACACATATATATTTGTCTTGCACCCCAGCCCTGTACTCTTTGAAGAAATGAGCTTAGCTTTTTATTTATAACATTACTATCATGAGAAAACGACCTAACATACACTGGTCTCCTCTTCGATCTTGGATATTCCAAAGCTATGTAATATCTACGCCTGTCATAGCGGAAATATCAAAACGCATTCTACATATTCTTTTGAGCTTCTAATTCTCTCTATCTATATCCATCGAGACATCTAACCTGGCTCCCCCAACGTCTCGCTATCGCGAAGCGGAACCAAAGAACTTGGAAAAGATGTCAGGTCAAGATTGGTCGAAATGACTAAGAATAAACTCGCTCGGGAGACGAAATAACTTACTAGACGGATGAAGCACCAATCGCAGACGGGTATTTCTTGCTCGACGAGTATGAGAATGAACTCTTATCTACTCTACTCCAGTGCTAGCAACCAACATGCCTACCTAGGACCTCTCATGGGCTCTCACGAACTTCTACGGACTGAGCCCTAATCCTACTTGACCAATAGCTCCTGGTCCTTGGCGGGGTAGCCCTCCAATTCAAATTCTCTCTGCTCCTCTACGCTGAGAAGATCTGTTTCCGAAGTCTTCGCCACAGTATCTAGAGCATGGTATGACTACGCTGCTGTTGGCTTCGGGGCCGGCCGTCTACCGCTCACCACCGGCGTACGTAAGAGATCGTCGCATCGTGGCGCATAGGCCCCAAATCGATCCGCACGGGTCTCCGGAGTCCTGCATAGATACCGACGTGATAATCGGCGTCCTCGCTTGCTGAATCGGGTACTAGGGGCCCTATCCCCTATCAGCAACGATGAGACCCATCCCCCAAATGACATTCGGACTTGGCCTCTGAACGAGTCGCCTCTCGCTTCTCGGGAAGATGATGCAGGTTAGGTTATGAATCTGCACGGAGATCCAAAGGCGAGCCTTGGTTGAGGGATGGCAGTTGAAATAGGACAAGAAGCCTACCCGGCACTATTCTATCTTATTTCTATAGTCCCATCTCCATTACTATTACCGATCATTACTTACCAACCCTGGATCGAACTCCGGTCCGACCAAACTTCTACTAGACAACAACCCATTATGTTTTCACTCAATCAAACTGGTTTTTATCCAAAAATTTCCCCATGTCAGTTTACAGTAGTACGAACCCGCGTGGTCTACTACTACCTGTATATTTCACTTTCTTGCCGGTTGTGTTGAGTTAGCTACGCGTGGAATTTGTATTTAATATGGTTCATACTCTCAATCAATCCCCATATTAAATCGCGGTATCTGCCAACTGAGTTAGCGTCAGCGGCAGCTGTGTAAAAAGCAACTCCAGTTAGTTACCTATTTATATCGCGAAGGTGGCCCATAAGTGGATCTGTTAGATATAGAAAGGCTTACTAGGTACCTAGGCACGATAGCAAGATTTTTGATGACGAGGGGTCATCGATTTTTAGACTCATCCTCTATTTTAAGAGTTCTTAAACAACTTTATGACTTAACTCACTATATCAATGGATTCTTGTTGTTGACCTATCCTTGACCTAGGTAGGTAATAGGTAACTAGGTAGGTATCCGTCTCCCACCAGATATCTGCTTGGCTCAAATCCTCAAGTCACTTATCAAGTTCGCACTCGCTCTATCAAACAAACTACCAAGTGATTAGGGTCTTTTATATCCTTGTATGTGCTAGGTAATGATGAAACAGGTTGGAATTAGCGGTCAAGGCTGACTGCATACTCCTTCCTATGCTGGTCTCCTCATTGATTTAGTGAAGAAATTTTATTCGGATTCGAACATATTGCCAATGATGGCGTAAATTCTCGTGAACTGTGTAGAAGTCAAGTAAAATACCTAGATATCGGATCGTGGCATTTAATGAACGTTTGTAAAGTTCCTCGGGGATGGCATTCGAGGAAGGATGGCGGTCGATCTATTATACCAAACGCCGTGCCGCCGACCTGCCCGAATAGGAGAGATCATCACTCACCCGTCAGCAACGGATACCAGCTGCCAAAGCTGACACCATTTCACCTCGGCTCCGATCAACTGGACTATCACAAACCACTAAATTTATTTCAGACAGTAGTTCCAAGGAAAGATTTTCGGCAGATCGTGCCTTTTCAATCCCTCGCCTTTGCGGGGTTGAGACACCGCACACGGACGCTGCACACAGAGAATAACAGAGCAGAGCAGAACAGAACGGAATAGAGTCAATTAATTCCTTTTTCCCAGCCAGCCTCCCAGCCCACTATCATCATACTAAGTCATAGCGTAACATGGACTATGGCAATATGCATCTCGCACACCTCCACCTAAACGTATGTCGCCTGGTTGCATCAATAAAGTGGCAAGTAGTAATTAGGTACCACAACACGGCTAGAATTCTGGCCTGATCTGGATCTAGCCGCAAAACACCTCCCCGGCTGAACGGCTTGCTGCTCATCTGGCAAAGCCTGGATGTTTGGATGTCTGGATTCAACGCCGCTAAAGATCTAACTAGGGCCAGATCATCCATCATCCTGTGCTTCCTTCTCAGTTTCTCTGCCAGTGTCTTGTCTTGTCTCTCTTCCCCCGCGAGTGACATGCTCATAATCAGATAATCCGGCGCCGGTTATTACTTATCATTATAAATAATGAGACAACTGACGCACAGGAACAGAAAAGGGTTGCCAATACTTTTCGCACATGCATAGTACATACATACAGTATAGTACCTATACCTGTATGTAAGCTGTAAGCTGCGGCGTTTTATCTGCGGGAGCATCCCGTCCCATCTTTCCCAAAGTTCCTTAAAACTCCAGAAACTCCACAAGCCCGGCCGATTGGTGTGCTCGTTCGGGTGAATCGAACCAGTTCACGCGGTTGGTCATCAATATTAGGTACCTAGCAAGCCCCGGGGGATACATACCTACATCCATCCATCCATACATGAGTGATTATATGTATGTATGGATGTGTTTGGGCTTGCTTACATCGCTCTCTAGAGACTAGAGTCTACATATGTACCGGTGGTGAGAGCTCCGCCCCAGTCTGACGTCGCACGAGTCACCCTCCAGGGTCTCATCCAGTAATCCCAGGGTCTCATCAGCCATACTACAGAGGTGGGGATCTCGTCTCAGCTGAAGCCTCACTGGGTAGTTTCGTAGCCGGTCCCGGCAGGTGCAAAAAAAAGTGTTCGCCGCACTCGATTCTTTTGGACAGGTTAAAAGCGGCTCGTCCGCACCCCCCTCCATTACGGCCTGTGGCCCCCCCTTTCGGATTTTTTAATTCCTGCCTGCCTTTTATTTTTTTTTGGTTTCGTTTCTTTTTCTTTTCGTTGCTTATACGATTGTTCCATTCTTCGAATGGTGTCAATTGTTGCGCTCCGTCACCCAACATGACATCCGCCCTCAGGCTGGCCACCTTGAGTTATGCGATCGCTCTTGTTGATGCCGGTTTGCTGTTCTGGTCCGGGGGCCGTCGCGATGCTGGGAATTGGGGTCCGGCCAGACACACTGCAACCGTTGGTGGTGCTGCCGCCGAAAAAGATCCTGTAGGATGGATTCCGCCGAAACCGACTGCGCCGCCGGGGGCCATGCCGTTCGATATCGACCTTCGGAGAAGGCAACAAACTACTACTGTCACGTCTGCTGCTACGTGCGGGTATCCAGTTAGCAATGTCAATGGTAGGTCGTCATTTTAGATTATTAAATTCACCTAACCTTCTCGTGAGAAGCTCTTAACTCTTAGTAGAGTCGGCGATTAGTTGTAACAATGGGGAGTACTGTTATGAGAACCAGTTTGCAAACGCCGCAGGATGCTGTGGCGAAGCAAACCGTCGCGATTGCAGAGTGCCGACGACGTGCATTGAATCAAGCAGATCAGCGACATATTCGTCTGATCCTAGGACACTTATCTGGTAAGTCCAAGACTATCCACGCCTCTTCCTGGCCTCTTCAACTAAGTCGAGGGTAGCAATGACACGGCGAAACCCCGTTGTGTAACGTACTTGTACAATGCAAATTTCTTCGAGAACTTGAATGGGGTTAGTTTTCTAGCGTGCGGCAAAGACGCAGGATCCAGTACGATTGCAACCAGCCCGCCACCAGGCTGGTCACCGACAAGTGATACCAGTACCGCTCCCGAACCCACGGACAGTGACCCGACTATTCCAGTAACTGTTACGGTATTTCCAAGTAGTAGCGCATCATCCTCGTCCACACCAGTTCCAGTAGCAGATAGTAGTAAATCGAGAACCGGGGCTATCGCGGGCGGTGTAGTTGGCGGTGTTGCCGGACTCGCGTTGATCATCGCTGCCATTTTCTTCCTGTGGCGACGTTTTCGGAGAGTAAGGGACGATCAGATGGAAGGAAAAGGGATGGAAGGCTCGCCCCCCTATCCGGGCCGAGATTACAGAATCTCTAGCGTATACCCAGGAGGCATACCCGAGCCGCAATACCAGTCCGACTTTTATGGGGAATTACCTCCACAAATGATTCAGACAGATTCGATGCAGCATGTTACGGGTTATCCGCAGCCGCCACAAGCTAGTTACGACCCGGTTTCTACTGTACCTAGGGATATGCATCCACAAGGAAGAGCGACGACTACGTTTATTCCGATATCACCGAAACCGAACGAAGACGACATAGTATCACCTATCACCCCCGGAGACGGGTTGAACCCTGCCGACGACCCGGCGACGTACACCTGGATCTCGAATCCAACACCGCCCCCACAGTCAGAATACTCCCAGTTCAGCCCGCCGCCCCCTCCGCACTTCCAATCTTACCGTCCGTACCCGGGTACGTGAATACACATTACGTGTTGCCAGCGACAACACACCAGTGCCGGCCATGATATCGCGAGCGATGAAGCTCGTGGAACGAGATCCCTTTCTCAAAACCTCAACATACGAAAATTCTCTGTACATATATCTAGGGTAACGGCGTTTCTCTTTCCCGGGTTCTGGCGTCTCGGCGGCGTGTCTTGCATATGATACCTCTTATTGCGTTTCTTAATCGCGAGGACCTGGGTGCGGAGAGGGATGACTAGTGGGATTAATTCGGGGCTTATGAATAGGAGGTGCAGGGAGGCTTTTTTATGATATAAAATCGATTTTTAAGTCTTTACCTACGCTAGGTATGTCCATCTCGACGAATTCACGCGACTGCACGCGATTTACAATAATGTCCCGTTTTCCCGGATCAAAGCACGATTTAGGGGAAGACAGATTGGGGTGCTTTGATATGTAGGCGACTTGTTGATGTATGAACCAGGATTATAGATCTCCGATGCGTTCTCCGAGGATTGATTGTACTGCGGTTTGTATGAGATATACATAGTAAAGCTTCTTCACTCCTTTGAGCTTGATAAAGCTTGTTAGACCTATAGCACTAATGCATCAGCAACGGCAAACTTACAGCACTAGTGGCAAATAATCTGCTTCCGTTTATTAATAAAATTCGTATAAATATAGGTATTCGGTATATCGTAGGCACTTATCATCGGAATGAGACATCGTGAGATGCCAACGCGGGGAAGCGGACACCCCGGATCGATAGGCGTGTGGGGAAGGCGGCAATGCTTCTCCACGTTTCGGTAATCATTCCGCCGACTTCTAAGGGCGTATATAAGAGATCGATATAGGTATATAAATCTCTAGTAAGTGCTTGGTCATTAACGCCCTTAAAGGATAGCCTCTGACAATTGAGGTCAATACAGAACCCTAGGTACCCACCGCATACATAGGCCGGCTTTCACATTTAGAAATATACTCCGATAGAGAGCTCCCATTCCTAGCCACAAGAAAGCTAGGCCTTAGGACGTACGTAGATATGGGTGTGGGAAAAGGCGACAGATCCATAACCGCAGCCGAAATATCCCAACACAACTCCCCCACCGACCTCTGGCTCGTCGTCGACAACATAGTCTACGACCTAACCCACTTCGCGCCAGAACACCCCGGAGGCACCGCCGTCCTGCTCCAGCACGCCGGCCGCGACGCCACACCCGCGTACACGGAAGTCCACTCGCCATCACTAATCAAGACCTCGCTCCCGGCATCCAGTCGGATAGGCACACTCGACAGCACCAGCGTAACAGAAAACTGGACTAAACTCCCAGCACAAGCCCCCACGATGTCGCCACAGAAGCCGCCAGCAAAACCGCCGTTGGAAAGTCTCCTCAACGCGCACGACTTCGAAGTCGCAGCCGAAGCAAGCTTCACTCCTAAAGCATGGGCCTTCGTCTCCTCCGCCGCAACAGATTGTCTGACGAAGAACCGCAACGGGTCCGTGTACAACGACATCATGCTCCGCCCACGTGTGTTACGTGATGTAGCAGACATAGATCTCAGCACGACGATGTTAGGCCAGCGGATTCGGGCGCCGGTATTCTGCGCGCCGACGTCGATGGGGCGGATTTTCCACGCGGAGGGGGAGCGCGAGCTGGGGAGGGGGTGTCAGCGGGTGGGTGTTCCGCAGTGTGTTTCGACGAGCTGCTCGTTTCCGCTTGCGGAGGTTATGGATGCTGTTGAGGAGGAGGCGGGGGAGATGGTTAGGAATGGGGAGGGGGGAGGGGAAGGGGTGGTTCCGGTGTTTTTTCAGCTGTATGTTGATAAGGATCGCAGGAAGTCGGAGGCGTTGCTGAAGATGGTGAGGGAGCGTGGCGTTAAGGCTGTGTTTCTGACGATCGATGCCCCTGTTATTGGGAAGAGGGAGGCGGATGAACGTGTTAAGTCGGATGAGAATATGAAGGCGCCTATGTCTGGGGCGCAGGCTAAGAATGATAAAAAGGGGGGTGCGTTGGGGAGGTTGATGGGTAATTTTATTGACGCGTCTATGACTTGGGATGATATCGTTTGGTTGCGGAAGCATACCCCTGGTTTACCCATCGTGTTGAAGGGTATCCAGACGTCGATGGATGCAGTGAAGGCCATGGAGATTGGGGTTGACGCGATATATCTTACGAACCATGGTGGCAGGAGCTTAGACACGGTCCCTGCGACGATATTAGTGTTATTGGAGCTGCAGAAATGCTGCCCACAAGTTTTTGAAACGATGGAGGTGTTTATCGACGGCGGCATCACCAGGGGAACTGATATTTTTAAGGCGTTATGTCTGGGTGCTCGGGCGGTAGGAATTGGTCGAGGATTTTTATTTGGCCTAAATTATGGAAAGGAGGGGATTGAACATTTCGTCAATAGTAAGTCTGTCCTATGATATCTCGAGAAAGAAGAAGTGCTAACTGGTTTATCAAAGTACTCACGGATGAGTTGAAAACTACGATGCAGATGTGCGGCATCACTAGCCTTGATCAAGTTCATCCCGGATTACTACATACAGGCGCTGTCGACCATCTGGTCCCCGGATCAGAGGAACCTCCATATGCTAAATGGAGACCCAGGTTAAGGATCAGTAAACTATGAAGAAAAATAAATATAAGGGACAAAAAGCCAACGAAAGTACTTTGTACCATATACGTACCATATACATAGGTACCTACCTACACATCAATTTACGTGCCTGCCTCCTTAATAGGTAGGTACTTAGGTACCCGGCCTCCGTCCGTCACCTCCTGCTCCGTCAACTTTTATACAATATACAACTCCCGGCAGACGCCCCACACCTCTATATATTCACCTTTTTAACACCAACCGCCTGCACAATTTTATTTAATCCTTTTTTACTGCTGCTCAATCAGTACTCGGTACGTGACCGTCTACGATTCTATTTAACAGCATCCCACCCTACAACTATTTGACATCTAACATTTAACACTTCTCATCCCACCTTTCATTCTTCATCCACCTTTTATCATCTTTTCTCCCACAACGTTCTTAACCTTCTCGTCACCGACTTCCATTTTTTACTTTCACCCAATATCGACTCGTTTTATTCACCTCAAACACTTACTTCATCAAATCATCTTAAATACAATGGCTTTCTACAACAAACGCCCCCTCACATCGGACAGCGTCAAGCCTATGGACTCCATCAGCGTCCAATCCATTAACGACGGTATTTTTGTTGAAAGATCCCATGAAGACCAGCTTGTCCCTAAAGAGTGTACTGACTTAATCACCTTTTCTGTGATCAAAGGCTACCATATCATCATGAGTGATACCAGCGACTGGAGTTTCGATGCCGATGGCGTGTTATGCCTGATGAAGACGAAGGACTGGACGTAAGTACATTTAATATTTATCCCCATCATTCATTGCATCTTACTTCTTCCATCTTCATCTACCTTTTCCATTTCTCCAACATACCTGATGTGTAAAAAATTACCACATGGCACCCGTATCAATCAATACCCACAACGGGGCTTAACAAGTATAATACACGAATCTTGATTTACTATAAGTACACTACTAATTTAAATGAACCATAGCTGGGACATGATCTCGAAAATCCTCCAGCGCCCCGTCAAAGACGCGAAGGAGCGATTCCAGCTCCTCACTTCTCTCGCCAAGGACGACGGAGGCATCCCAACAGACATCATCGGGGAGCTCTACTTCCTGAAGATGCGCCGCTACCCCACGATGTTGGATGACATCTTGTCGCGATCTTCGGAGTTCGAGAAGGGAAAGGCCGAGTTGGATAAGGCGTTCAAGAATCGCAGCCTTAAACTCTCCGACAGCCTCAACGGGGCCGGTGGTATTAATGGGTCCTGGCTTGACTCCATCATTCCCAACACCGGAGCTACTGAAGGTAATATCTTTTGAATCCTATTCAGTCTAGAGCTATCTATGCTAACTAAAGTAAAGCGGCAGACTCTCTCCCCGAACATCGCTCGTCGGCGCCCAGCTCAAGCAGTTCTTCCGGCTATGAATCTTCCGGATCTTCTGAGGTGGCCGAGATGGAACCCTTCGAACCCAAGAAGGAAGTCCAGGTCTACCGACCGAAAGACGCCATCATCAACAGTTACGCCAGAGAGTTTCCGGAGATGAAGAAGTTGCGAGCCGACAAGGTCTTCACCAAATGGGAGTGCAAGGCCCTGGCCACTCTCGAGGCCCGTCAGCGCGGTAACAAGTGGTTCAATCTCTCCGCTGACTTCACCAACTTGACCGGACGAGACGTCGACGCAGACGTGCTCCAGGCTAAGTTGGAGAAGGCGCCCACCATGAACAAGTCGGAGACGGCTACCTTTTACGGGTTTGAACGGCCGGCCAATGAGGAGAAAAAAACGAAACGCACTCGACGAGATGCATAGTTCGATTCTTTCCTCGGCACGTTTTTCTTTCGCATCATGGTATGGGCAATGGTACCCCGGGCAATAGCATGGCACGGAGTATAGTAATGGGTTCCTGTTTTTTTCTTCATGGCAAAGGAGTTTGGTCAGTTTTTATGGCATGATATGGGCTACTACTGAAGGATGGTATATGAAAAGCCACTTTGGCATGGCAATCGTTAGTTTTTCCCAATCATGCATTTTGCAGAATAACAATGTTCTTGCAACAAGTCAGTATTATCACTAGAAGCCTTTCGCACGTGAAATGAACATAGACATCAGGGAAGATACGAAGGACATCCACGATGTAGAAGACATTTGACCCATCCACGAATGCCTCTAGGAAAATCTCATAGAAGGACTAGGTACCAAGGCAAAACGACAACGTCCTAAACACCTCCCTCCCAACCCAAACCCAGAACAGATCACAGCCAAGTCACTAATCACCCAACCAACAACCCCAATTTAAGCATCAATATATTTATTCAATTCATTCCATTTAATCGGAGGAGAGAAGAGAGCTCTAAGCCCAACCCACCAACCAACCGCACGCAAACTCACTCACTCTTAAACGCACCTTCGTCTCCGTCGCCGTTCTATCATATGATAACCAGCCCAGCCGTCCCGTTCCAAGAACCGGTTTGCCTACGCCTCTCCGTGTGTTTGAACTCTGAATATTATTGGAACCCCGTTGCTTTTTTTGATGAACTCGTAAAATCGCGCCGTGATAACCCCGGGCCACCCGTTTCCCCGTTCCCGTTTCTAGTATGTCCCTAGTCGTAAAGTTTCGCGGAGGCGAAGAAGAATAAGCAAAAAAAACAGACAGAACATACGCCGTTAACCTTTAAACCCCTTGGTGTGGTGTTGTTGTATAGTTATGTTGACCGTGTAGACCTCGAACCAGCCAGATCCTTTGAACCTATATCCGTAATGCAAATCATATCTCGTCCGAACCTAATAGTCCGTTTCCCATATCGTAAAAATAGTCCGTAGAAGAAATTAAACCATAAATATCGTTCGAGCCCTCGTCTATGTCAACAGTGAGGGCAGTGTACAGCATGCTTAGCGCGAAGAGTTGATGGCCCCTTACGCCGACGATTCCCCAACGCAGGCATCCCGTCTTCAGGCTGTGCTCTGTCTCCCGTTTCGAACCGCTCGTTGCCGACCACGATGACCTTGATGACATTACTAAGTCCAATAGCCAAGCTGGCACGGCCGATTCTCGCCATAGGTCCTAGATTGTTAACGAAGAGGTGGCCATCATCTTCAATCTTCGGGCATAACGGCTGCGTCTCCCATGTCTCCTTTTTACCGAAATGGGAGAACATCCATACTTCCCAATTATTGTCTGGGATACCATGGCCATTCGCAGATTGAGAAGGTTGGTGCCGGCGCCGAAGATTACTAAGCTGTTGGAGACGCTGGGGATCATCATGGCCATCTGCTCGGGCTTTTTCCGACGTCTTCTTTCTAACGCCAGCGATGATCCCAGAAGGCAAAGCGTCCCATACTCCGGGATTTTTTATGGTCCGCTTCGACACCTTTGCTCTTTGCCATGGACAGCACGTTTTCCTCGTGGGGGAAGTAGGGTCACAGAAACACAGCGACTCTCCCTCATTCTGCGGGCTATATGTGTGTACCATCAGGTCTCGAGTGTAAGCATGGTTATATGCCATTGTAAAACTCCATAAGGCAATGGAGCCGCACCGCATTTTCCGTGGCCTCGAGTGAAAACATTTCACGCTTTTCGGTTGAATAGGATCCGTGTTGAATGTATAAATCGTTTTGAGAGTCTGTGAATCCACTAAATCCACGGTCTGAAATCGGATAACGAGGAAGAAGCCCAACTCTGGCAAAGACTGGATTGAGATGAGGTCGCGCTCGGTCGAACTGCCTTCGTTCACTATACTAGAAGGCCACTTATTGTCCTCTTGGGTGGCAATATGAACTTGACCATCACGAGTAGAAGCTATAACTTGAGCAGGAAACCCTTCAATTGTCAGCGACACTGAACTTTTAATATGAGTAATATGAAAGTTGCATACCTTTTTCCGCAAGAGAGCTAACGGAGACAATCGAGCTCCCTTCGGTAAGCATAACGCTTTTCGGTCGTGCTTGATCTGTTCTCAGTTCCGTAAGAGTGCCGTCCCGCCGAATAACCACTAAAGAGGGAATAGTCGCAGAATCGTCAGGAACGAAGAAGAAAGCTTCAGGCTTATGTCGATCCCGCTCCACCTCGAGTACAGGGCCCCATCGAAAATTGACGAGGTTCCATAGAAGAACTTTGCTTGATGTTAAGAGCGCAAGCCAGTGAGACTCATCGTCGATACATACGGCCAAAATAGGAAACGGAATATGAGATGAGTCATCGTTGTCGCTCAACACGTAGCTTTCGCCGCCAGCTTTGACATCCCATACTCGGATAATTCGATCCAGCCCAATGGACACCAGGTGGCCGTCGGAGGAAGCAGTGAGTAAGGCGACATCAAGAGTGTGGCCTCTGCTTAGGGTCTTCACCGAGAGGAGAGGATCGTTATCGGCTCCATCAATCCTCGCAGAATCTGCTAACTCGTCCCACAATAGATAATTCATTAGTAGGCGGACCGCAGCCGCGATGACTATTATAGTTACAATGAAAGGGGATGATTGATGGCGGATGAAGTCGTAAACGGCTGGCGGGAACCACGGCTCGTTAGCTGAAAGGTTCCGATCCGATCCTTTAAGAACGAAAATTGTAGGGTAAAAGACCCTTGCGATATAACTATGAGCATCGGGCTTGATAACGTGAATGAGTTCCCGGGCCGTCTCATGGTCTTGAAGACCTAACCACGATGCTGGACTTCTGCCTTGATGAACTTCGCTTAGAGATGAAGACAGCGATAAATTCTTGTATTTCGGAGAGATGTGGAGAATCCGGCTCAGTGCTCTTATGACACTTTCATTCTCAAAAAAGTGCCACTGGGATATGAGAACAAAACCAACCATTACGATAGTCCCGGCAATGCGTGTTGACATAGCGATCCTGCCTTGCAGCATCGCATCTAACCATGTTTGCCGTGATTGTGGGTCGGAGACAGATCGATGAGATCGAATCGAAGCTTTTGCGAGTGCATCGCTAAGTTCAGTACGTCGAACATCAACACTGAGTACTGAGAGGAAGAAGGTTGATAGGTAAAAGAAATCAAATATTAATGCAATCGCCGTAAAAGTGCAAAATGCCGAAACACCCGGCGATACGAGTTTCGATAGGCCATATAAGATGATAAGATTTTGAGCGACGCTGGTGAGAGCAACGAAACCTGTCTCACCAAATGCATAGCCAATCCTCTTACTGGTGTTGTGTTCCGATGGTGTGAGAATGACAGCATTGATGAGACGGAAGATGTTTTCCAAGCTCATAGAAAAGATCACGACCGGGTATCCTAAGCGGGGGATCCTTGACAAATCGATCTTAAAAATGGCACATATAGTAAAGCTTGAAAATATGGCGAGAACAATCTGGGCTATAACGGTAACCATCAATCCAACCTTCGACTTGACGGCCCGTAACTTAGACAAACTTGTCAAGAAGTAAATAAGGACGAGGGTATAGGCTAGCCCTAAAAGCAAGACATCCTGAGACGACATAGGACGAAACTGAAACTCATACATTTCGCTGGTTTTTCCGTTCGGAGAATAATTAAATATGTCCCAATTATCATCCGTGTTCTGTTTGAGAGCTTGGACTTTCTCTTGCCATTGACGTCCAACTGGAGAGTCTCGATGATGGACAAGGGTGATGACAAGGGCATCAGCGGCGACGAGCCGGCGATCCTGGAAGCGTTTCCCACTAAATACAGTCGAATGCCGTAGGGTCACATTGACTGACGTCGATTGGGTCTTTCTCTCATTTGCGGTGGCAATAATGTCATCATCTTGCTCTATCGTCTCTGAGGAGCACGACCAATACTGAAGCGGGGATTGGAAAAACCAAGACTGGTTCGTTAAACCATTGGCAACATGATAGGAATCGCGTTGGTCAAGCGTGAGATCGGTATTCGTAGCATTAGCATTATCGATCTCGTCAGCAATATAACGCCGTGGGTTAAAATTGACAGTAGGGCCAAGCAGTTCATCTTGAAGATCCAGCGCACTTCGTAGTACGTTTCTGTTTAGAGCCTGAAAATAGTTGCCGTGTACCCATATCGAACGCATAATAACATCAGGTTCGACTCTGTTCTTGTCGACCAGAGGTAAAGTATCGGTCCAGGCATGTTCGGGAAGGATAGACGCGCCACTGGTAAAGTCGGTAGTATAGAGGAAGGGGAAGGGATATATAAGGACGGAAGCGACAGCAACGGAGACCAGCAAGGTTGTCACAACATGGCTAGCAGCGTATCGTCCGTACCGCGCGAAAGCAATACGTAAAGGATGCGATTCCTCTAGTACGGGACCTTCAGTAGTTCTAATAGTGGATTTGGTCAATTGAAGTGTAAAATAGCAAACGGGAGAAGGGAAGTAATGCATACCCTCTGAAAGGATAGAGAAGATACCAGATCATCCTTCACATACACAGCAGGCAAACACCAGCTTGCTCGCCGTCCAGAATATCTCAGCGCGCCAAACGGAAGGGAGGCAAGTGGCCTTTCGTGAGGTCAAAGGAGGGGCGCATTCTCCTCACGGCGTATCACATGCGAAGAGGATGTAATCCAGGGATATCAGGATACGTAGTCAATAGACAGTCTGGGTATATTTGATTTATTTGTCAAGCGGATGAGACATAGTCGTGACGGAAGCTACACTATGTATAATAATCTTGAGGTCGAGTGGAGGAGGCCGAGGCTGGTGGGTATTCGTTGAAAAAGCTGAATTAGGATGAAAGGACAGAGATCGGACATGGAGGCGCTATTATCGACTTTTCGTATTTCATAAAGTAAAATAAAAAGGTGAATTGAGTTAGTGAAGACGCCCTGGACGCCAATAGAATATTAGAAATATGCTAGAAGAGGACTAGAGCGGCGCCGCCGTGTTTAGAGTTGTTTCCTACTGTCTCGCACTTGACTTGGCCGAGTTATGTATCCCATGTATCCCAGGTAGCTGGAGCCATACAAATAATTTGTACCTAATAGTGCAATGCGTAATCGGGCAAGCGTGATGGAAATACGTTAATCGAACTTAATTGACTGGATCGATATGCAATTTCATGGATGTCGGATGCGATTCAGAGGTTTCCGATTTTCAGCTGACCGTACTAGAATATTTCTTTCTAAGATCTGGGAAGGAAGGATTCCGAGTTTCCAGACTTTTTGCGACTTTGAAAACTCCATCGCTCCATCGTAAATGCCAAGTTTAGGACCAAAGTTGACTTGGGTAACTGCGCCGGCGGGGCGGGTTAGCGGGACTTGCGCGGACAACCGGGGAAGTTCCCCCTTCCCTGCTAGCCTTCCAGTAGGCGTCGCTCTAGCCCTCCAAACCCCTCCAGCTCCGATTCTACAGAGATCCATTGTACTCCCCTCCATCCTTACCCCTCACAGCTATTGGGTAGAGTCGTGCTTCTGCCCCTTTCTATATCGAGATCGTACCTGGGTCTTCTCGGTCATTTTTGGTCATTTTTTGATCATTTTGGTCATTTTCTCATCTTCCATACCGCCAAAGTTAGGCATCTAGTTGTCTCGGACTTGACAACACATCGCAATATCGGATGAGCCGTTAGATCAAAATTCTCGACGAAATCGGGTTAGACTGTATATCGCAGCGGTTGAAAAGGTCCGGATAGACGATCAGTGGCTGAAGAAAAAGAGATTACATATTGAAAACATGTAAGCTGTTGGTTAATAGCTGTTATACAATAACTATCAGTTGTTTACCTAGGTAGGTAAAGATATACTGAGTTAAGTTCTGACATCGAGGTGCTTCGGTTATCAAATTGATGAGACTGGTCAATTTGCATGGCAAACGGGGAGGGAATCATTTCTTCAAAGTCGACAAACATCGTGAGAAATTTACCTACCTAGTAGATGAAAAGAAAAGGCATATTTGGGGACTGGGGAAGCTCAGGGAATTTTATATATTTGTAGAATTCTATCACTTTTGAAATCGGCCCATAAAGAGGAAGAACTGACCGCTTATATTGCTACCTAAAAGGAACAAACTCCATCATAATCATGACCAACAATAGGAAGGCGGGGTTCGTCAAGTCAGAATCAGCTCATTTTTTCTCGCGATACCTTCGATTGGCGTAAGGTAATTGGTGCGTCATGGGCAGATTAGGCAAGGGCTTTGTAATTAGATCTACCTAACCCAGATTTCCGGATATGCTAAACTGTAAATATCTGAAAAATCGTCCCATTTCCTCACGCTAGATCCGAAAAAAAGGCTGTAGGGCTGAATTCGCAGATGCCGTACATACGTATTACAGCCTTTACTCGCGTCCTCGCATCCTCGCATCATATCATCATATCATACAGTCGAGGGGATGCATAACTGACCCCAAATAACGCTCACCGATTCCCCGTATCCCCATTCGGTACCCCTGCGAAGACGGAGATTTGGTACCTGATAATTGGGAGAAGATGGAGGATCTAGCCGAAGACCCCATCGTGGAGCTGATCACGAGCTTCAATGAGCTAAATTCTAGTGCTGTCGAAGAGCTAGATGAGGAGCCGAGTCCGCTGGAGTTCATGAGATACGTGGCGAGGAATACACCATTCGTTGTGCGTGGAGGCGCCGCCGACTGGCCAGCTACACAACGCTGGAACGCCGCTTACCTACGAGAGTCTTTGGCCGGACATCGCGTAAATGTGGCTGTGACACCATTCGGGAACGCTGATGCTCCCACTATCGTGGATGGAGAACCCGATCTAATATTCGCTAAACCCCACGAAGAAGAACAGGATTTCGGGGAGTTTCTCGACTACTTAACGACGCAAGAAAAAGCAAAAAACTCTTCACCGGAGAGTGGCGGTGAGGTAAGGTACGCGCAGACGCAGAACGATAACTTGCGGAATGAGTACGCGCTTCTCTACTCGCAGGTTCCGCCATCTATTCCGTTTGCTCGTATCGCGCTTCAGAAAAACCCCGATGCCATCAATATGTGGATAGGGAGTTCTAAATCGATAACCGCGATGCACCGCGATAACTATGAGAACATATATGTACAGGTTGCTGGACATAAGCACTTTGTTCTGCTACCCGCCCTATGTCAGCCGTGCGTCAACGAACGGGAACTGCGGCCTGCCTCGTATATCCGAGGAGAAAACGGTCTTAACGATCTTCGCTTGCAGATGGAAGATGGTGATAACGTCCCTTTTGCCACATGGGACCCTGATAACCCGACTCTAAGAACTACTAAGTATTCGCATTTAGCACAACCTTTGAGAGTTACTCTTAATCCAGGCGATATGTTTTACCTACCAGCGATGTGGTGAGTTGATATTCGCTCGAAATCTGACATGTACCAATTGGACGCTGTCCAGACTCTCCTAATCATTCAAATAGGTATCATAAAGTCTTGCAGTCCTGCTCAGAAGAAGGCATGTGTGTCGCGGTCAATTATTGGTAAGTGTCAATTAAGCACAGTAAACAGCCCCTATTCGTCAACTCCAGAGCTTATGCTTCAATTAGGTATGATATGGAATTTAGCGGACCGCTATATCCTCTCAACTCTTTCGTCCGTAGCCTCCGTAGTCAAACAAGTAAATCATAATATAACCCTTTAGTACTTGTAAAACAGATGATCATAAGTTATCATGTCGAATTCCTATTAGGTATCCTGCTAACTAAAGCTAAACACCAAGACCCATACTCCTATTAAGCACCTCACTTAATTAAGTCTTAAGCTGAATCTCTCGTCCAACCATTCATATCCATAACAGCACGTAAGCCATACTCCAAACACCTTGCCAACCAACACAGATGTCATAAAGACTGTAAGGAGGTAAGACTACACCACCTAAACAACCCACGCTTCCTCAAATATTCACCCTCACGCCGAACGGGTTACGCGTACCATCGTCCAACCATCTGCCCTTATCATCGCCAATCTTCCTCCTGAACAACGCCAGGTCCTCCAGGAGATCATGCATGTAGTCCTGGACATCATTGGCCTTCTCCTCGTAGATATCCGACTCATACCCATCATCCTGATCATAATACGCCTCATCTACCAACCCAGCACTCTCCCTCCTGCCACCCTTCCCTTCCTTAACCCCCTCACCCTCCACCTCATCCTCTCTAACCACAACCTCAGGGATCGGGTTCTTCAAACTATCAAGCGCAAGTTTAAGATGCAACTTCAACGCCTCATTCTCCGTCTGCAGACTCCGAATCTTGCCCTCGGCCACCAGACTCTTCTCCTCCATCATGCGCTGCATAGCCACCACCCGATTCTGATACTCCTCCAACCTCTCCTCACTCTGCCTCGCGTCCTCCTTCTCGCGATGTCTCGTCTCGCTAACCGACAGCTGCAACAACCTTATCTCCTCCGCCATAGCACTGATCTGCGCGTCGCGCTGCGCAGCACTGATCTCATTCTGGTTGACAACAGCGCGCGTGCGGATGCGCTTCGCCTGGTCCGCGTACCGCAGCGTCGACAGCGTCTCCTCGTAATCGCTAGGCGAGATGCACGCTATCATCGCCGTCTTGCTGTTGCCCCCCAACGAGTCCTTGAGCAGCCACGTCAGGATCGAGTCCCGGTACGGCACGATGTCGCGGCTGCGCTGCTGCTTCCCACCACCGCCGCGAGACGACTTCGGGTCCGCGAGCGCTGCTATCACTCGCCCCAGCGTCGTCAGCGATTTGTTGATGTTGCTGCCTTCCCGGAGCCGCGCGCCCGTTGCTTCGGTTGATTTCGCGCGCTCGCTGCCTGCGAGGTCGACGAGGCGGATGCGCGAGCTGCGCTCGGTCGTCTCGTCTGTTCCCATGTCGTGGTGGATTTGCTTTAGCATGATGGTGAACACCGCGTGGCTGCGGCTACTGGTGTCGTTCATCTTCGTGCTTGCCGTGGTGCGGCTCGCGTCGCCGGCTTTCATGTAGCGCAGGATCTCGTTGAGGCCGCGGACCGGCACTTCGGTTAGGTCTTTCACGTACGGGCCGTCGGTTGGCGACTCGCGGATCTTGAGATAGTAGGGGGCTTGGTTGGGGACGACGGGCACGAGGAGGTCTCGCACGTGCTCGTTGTAGACTTCGAAGTATGAGGCGCGCACATGGTAGGAAATGTTCGGTGTCTCGTTCTGCGCGGCTTCGATGCGTTGGAATAAGTCTTCGCAGGTTCGTGGGATGAGGCCGGGCTGGTCGGGCGTTCCCATCATGGTGTATGATTTTCCAGAGCCGGTCTGGCCGTAGGCGAAGATGCAAGTGTGGTAACCCTCAAAGTTGTGGTCGAGGAATTCCTCGCCTAAACTGTTGTATACGTCTTCTTGGTGAGCATAATGTTCGTCTTCTAAATCGTGACTCCAGAATGAATTATCGAATGTGAAATCCTTTTCCTCGATTACTTTGCGGGACTTGGCTCTCGAGTTTGCGGGGTCGTTATCATTCGGTACGTGAAGGATCGTCTGTTGAGTGATCGGGTCCATGCTAATCAAGCACTCGGCGCCCCGTTCGATCTCTGAAAATCAATCCAGTGTCAGTCATCTTTAATCCATCTCGCACAGTTTGCATGCATGGTGCATATATAGAGTTCAAGTTTAGAGTAATACATACCTCTGGGTAAAAATGCCCTCACTCGCACAACAACTCGGACGTTTCCTCCAGAATCCATCCTCATGTGCGGCGGCAACGTGCCATCTCTAGAACGCAACGAAGGTGTCGAAGCAGAGGAGGGGAGAACCCTCAACATCATATCCGGGCTAGGCATTATGCGCGGGTCTAACTTTCCGTTCATTCCAGTATACAGTATTTTACAAATGTTTGCGATGGTGTCTCTAAATCTTAATAGGTGATCGTGCGTTGAGAGACCGTAGACTGGTTGGCATGTGGGACCAAAGACAGCCGGAAGGTCGTTTTTATTTACTTTGGACTGTGAAGTGGGGCTTCGTTGCCGGGGAAGCATAGTGCACGGTTCAGTTTTTGGTAAGTTGCATTGGGATCTAAGTTGGCTGTTTCCAATTAGATTGGAACGCGATTGCCCCGCGATGGGGACCTATGACATGCGTGTGATGTACTGTGTAAAATAAGGAGGGGCACGGATAATGATGTGATGGAGATCCTGCAAATTGAAGAGTTAAATGAAGAATAGTGGTGATCATAGCTTTTGCAAAACTGTGGGAGAAATTATTGTCACACGGTATTTTATTAGGCTTTCGGTGCTTAAATCTGTCGCTATGGAGATTGTACAACGTACAGTACCGAATCTTCAGTAGATCCATGGATGCCCTCCTGAACACCCAATCAGCCCTATATAATCTATTAAAAAAATAAACACCTGCTTGCTATGAACCCAATTCAAGTCTACCTATAGATACCTCTTCAGACATTAATACGAAAGAAATACCTTCCATGCGTTTGATGTATGCATCTTACACACCCCGTCTATTTTCTAGCGAGTCCTTTCCCTAGTAGCACCTGTCCAACATCTCTAGTAAGATCAGTCTTAAACAGTTTCTCCTTTGCCAGCACAGTCCCCTGCGCATCCATAGATCTCAAGAGGTCTATTAACTCTCCTTCTAATGGCAGACAATACGTCATTAGTCCAAGTGCTAAAAGCATGCCATCTAACGCCTCTTTAGATGCCTCCTCTTGTGATATGGCTTCCAATAGTGACGCCGCCAATTCTACTTGGTCATCCTCAGGGAGAACATCACCCGACTCAAATCTCTTCTTGAGATTTGCAGAAGCAACGTTGAATAATAGCGATGTGGCCGCCACTCGGACCGTGCTGTGCTTGTCGTCGAGGAAGCTTGATGAGATGAGCTGTGTGATAGCACTTCGTAACCGGGAATTACCAAGGATTTGATCTACGTAAAGGTGACTTGAAAATAGATTGCTAGCCATTTGCAATGTCATCAATCGTAACGCGTAAGGACATTCCGTGTCCTTATTCACAGCATCCACGATAGCAAGGACTGTCTTGTGGTCATGTTCTTCCGCGAAATAACCACTGACCCGTGCATCTGCAAGAGCGCATCGAAAAAGATCTACAACCGGGAACAAGATTTCTTTGGGTAGATCTTTCACTGCCGAGCACATGAAATTGGAAAATGCTGACAAATCCGGCAGGTGTGCTAACGCGGGGCCCTGACTCGTTTTGGTTTCGATAAAACGTATCATACCCTGAATTGAGTCGTCGTCGGCCTTTGATCCCAGCTTGGATAAGAGTTTGGGAATTGGAATGACTTTTTCGTATATCACCGGTTTTGACTCCAGCCAGGTCGAATGGTTTAACCTGAGAAATTGGTGTGGGTGGCTTGGACTTGCCATTTGAGCTAGAAGACTGACAGTTCCCCTGAGTTTGGCCGCATCTGCACCCGTGAACCGATCTTCTTCTTTACCATGAAGGAAAGTAATGAATGTAGGCGTTGACGTTATGTTGTATTTAGATGATACATCAAATGCTTGGTGTATATCGACCTTGATTAGCGTGACCTTATTCTGATATTCCTGCGCTAGATTGTCGTATAGGGGGTAAAGTACCCTACAAGGGCCGCAGTTTGCCATGGTGAAGAAAACAATCGCGCCCGTTTTCCGAGAAGAGTCAAGTACTTGGTTCAATTCCGAGAGACTCGTCACAACCTTTACAGAGCCCGTATGGCCAGACTTATCCTGATACGATGATGTAGAGGCGGCTCCATTAGTGTGTGGTTGGACATTGTTCTGAATACCCAACAGCCCACCTTGTTGAGCCTTCCTCTGCTCAACCATCTGCGCCAGTTGAGGTTGCATCATCCTACCAAATGGCGAATCGAGCACATCTTGAGGCATGTTTGCTATGTGATCTGGTATTCCCTTTCCGACTAGGAACGTAGAGAAGTCATTACTGAAGTTGTTGCAATTATGTCGAAATAGATCGTAAGCCTATAAAGTTAGCACTAAGAAATGTCACGTAAGAAGAGTATTACAAACTTACCTGAGGTGTATATATCTCTTTCAATGATTCGAGATATTCAACGATTATCTCCATGGGCAGTTCACTCTTGCCGAGGTGTATTCTTTCTAGGGGTGATCCCAAATGAGAGGTTCCCGGTTTTATCACATTGATGCCACTGTCGTAGACATACTCCATGCCCTCTAACTCAATAGAAGTATGATAAATAGCATCGAGTTGAAACCCCAAGAGCGAAAACGATAGTTGCTTGGCTAGACCATTTGATAGGTCATAGACAAGGAGATGGACATCCATTGCGAATGTTTCGTGGTGAATAAGTGATTACGATTGGTGTTACACCGGCAGATTCCAGGATTCTTTATAAAGTTTGTATTGTCAACTACTTGGGAGCAATGTACCCTAACGTTGAGGAAGTTAACCCTGGAAGTTGTAAAGACAATCTCGGAAAATCCGGGACAATTAACGAAGTGAACGGTAAAGTTGAAAATCCAGCTACTTCAAACGCAATTTAAAAGAGTGAAATGTGTAGTCTGTTGTAGGAGGCAACGACCCGTACGTCAGACATATACGCGGATGTGAAGCACCTGCCGGTGTGACAGCACCTTCTAGTAACCTAGGTACGTACCTACATAAAGCACCGGGCTCAAGTGCTTGAATGCGGCTGATTAATGGAGGTCCGACGAGAGGCTGCGTACCTATGTACCTGCTTAATGCGCATACGTGGCTGTGTAAGTGGGGACAGTTAAGGCTAAGAAACAGGGATCAAGGTACGCAACTACCGACCCACCAAAGACTGGATGTTGGAGTTGCAAAGGCCAACTAAATTCGAAAATTCCAAGTCTTTCAGGGGGTTATGGATAAGGACATTAAACCTTCCGTTGAAATTGGCAGGAAAATCTTCGAGACGAGATTGCCATTTGAACAAGTTGCGTTGCGCTCGTGTTCACCTCTCCCCCCTTTTTTACAACATTACATTTTTTATCCTATTTAAATCCACCCCTATTCTGGCATTGATCCTCGCCTCTCTGTCTGGTTTAGGACTTTATTCTCTATATTCTAGTTGGATGTTCAGCTGATCGCTCGCTCTAACATCCTTTCACTCTTTTTCTTTTCCCCTTTCTCTTTTTCCTCCTTTCCCCTTTCTAAATTCCCCGATCCACTTGGGGATGCATCGCATTTGAAGGTTATGAGGAGAACATCGGTCTCGTTGCCTACTAAGCAAGTACACCACGATCCTCACGAGAAACCTAACCGTTACGACTCGGGACACCGAGAACCCGGCATCCTGGAGAAAATACAATCCGCGACGATGAACCAGGCCCAGAAGACGCGATGGCTGAAGACCACGGCTATCGTTGTTTTCATGGTGTTCCTGTTCTACTACTTCTCGCCGAAGGGAGTAGAAGTGGTCAAAGGAGGTATGTTCAAATCGAGATTAAGCCAAATAACTATTTTCGATAGCAATCTAACTGAATACTATAGTATCGCATAATGGCGGTCAGGTACCTTCTGATTCTTCGTATGGAACCGATAGATGCACGAAATCATTCTCCAAGGACAAGCCGATCGTACAATATGTCCTTATGATCGACGCCGGTAGCACTGGATCTCGTATCCACGTGTACAAGTTCAACAACTGCGGTTCGACCCCGGAATTGGAGAAGGAAGAGTTCAAGATGACCGAGAAGAGCGTTGGTGGCTTGAGCAAGTATAAGGACGATCCTCTCGCTGCCGCGAAGACCTTGGACGATCTGATGGCTGTCGCAATAAAGACCGTCCCCGACAAGTTGAAGGGTTGCAGTCCGGTTGCCGTAAAGGCGACCGCTGGTCTGCGAATGATTGGCCCGGAGGCTAGCGACCGAATCCTGGAAGCCGTTCGCACTCACCTTGAGAAGGACTACCCCTTCCCCGTCGTCTCGAAAGAGGAGAACGGTGTCGCGATCATGGATGGTTCGGACGAGGGTGTGTACGCTTGGATTACGACCAATTACCTCCTAGGAAAGATTGGTGGTCCCGACCAGAGCCCGACTGCTGCTATCTTCGATCTTGGTGGTGGTTCTACCCAGATTGTCTTCGAGCCTACGTTTAAGGGACTTGCTTCCGGCGGTATGCCCGAGAAGTTGGCCGACGGCGACCACAAGTACGAGCTTGCCTTTGGCGGTCGCAAATTCGACCTTTACCAGCACTCTCACTTGGGCTACGGTCTGATGGCCGCCCGAAACTCGATCCACCTTAACCTCCTCCACGATATCTACAGCAAGGAGAAGTCAGGAAGTTTCCTACAGAAGCCCATCCTTAACCACCCTTGCATCAACTCTGGCCAGACCGATACCATTAAGGTCAAGCTCGGCGAGGACAGCCCTCTAGGCAAAGGCGAGGTCGAGCTTAACGTTACCGGCCCCGCGACTCCGGCCCCAGCCCAGTGCCGTGCCCTAGCCGAGCGCATCCTATACAAGGACGCGACCTGTAAGCTAGCGCCGTGCTCGTTCAACGGTGTCCATCAACCCTCGCTATCTAAGACATTTGCTACGGAAGATGTGTACATCTTCTCTTTCTTCTTCGACCGCACCAAGCCTCTGGGAATGCCCGACAGCTTCACCCTGCGTGAGCTTCACGAGCTTGCCCACGCCGTTTGCGGCGGTGAACAGGCCTGGGATGCGTTTAGCAACGTGCCGGGTGCTTTGGATGAGCTCCGTGACCGCGGAGAGTACTGCTTAGATTTGAACTTCATGATCGGCTTGCTACACACTGGCTACGATATGCCGATTGATAGAGAGGTAAAGATCGCTAAGAAGATCAAGGGTAACGAGTTGGGATGGTGCTTGGGAGCCAGGTAAGCTTCCCCCTTTTACACTCTTTCATCGTGACAAGTGCTAACATCCCCATAGTCTGCCCCTACTATCCAAGAACTCCGGCTGGTCATGCAAAGTCAGCCAGACGTACTAATTAGATCGCATGATACCTTGACGAAGATCGAGGGCATGATAATAGAGAGAGAGCTTTACAACCTTTTAATGAAATGAGGAAGGCACGGAAACGTGGATGGCACGGTATGCCCTACGAGGCTGGCGTTTCGGATCATGAATGATTGCTGTAAAAGTGTTGCACGAAGCGCGGCTTCGGGCATTCGCGTCTTGATGAAAGATGGATTAGTACTTGTGACGTTAGGTTAGATAATGCGAATCATACACAAAATTACGAACAAGACACATGATATACATATACATCCAGTGAGGTTATGAAATGCCTTTAAACAAGCTTTTCGTTACTACCATTACCAACCCCTAATTCAACACGCTCGCTCTAGTTCTAGTATATACATAAAACTCAGGGTATCAACACCTCCCCACCACCCCCTACAACGGCGCCTCAACCATCCCCAACACATCCTCAATAACATACTCCGCATCCACGCCCTCCAACAACGCCTCCACGGCACCAACCTCGCTCCCCCACTGCAAACTCCTCTCCTTCTCCACCGACGTAATGCGTATGCGGTGCGCGTACGCCTTCTTCGCCGCTAACCCCACCAGCGCCGGCGTCACGTAGTCCAGCCCGTGCAGCGCGGCTAGACTCTTCGCCAGCGCCTCGAAGTGCTTCGTTGCTTGCGGTGTTACGCCCCCGCCGCCTGGGGCGACGGCTCGGTGCATGCGCAGGAAGGAGACGATGTTCATGAGGTACCGTAGCACTTCGATGGATATGTTCACGTTCCGCGCGTGCAGTGCTAGGGAGGTGATGTCCGCGTCGACGAGGACTGGGAACGGGAGCCGCGAGCTCGCGATCGAGGCGCTGTAGGTGGATCCTTGGTCCCCTTTTTTCAGAGCCGTGTTTATCCGGGTGCTATGCGTGCTCCGTGTTCGGCTCACGCGCGGTGTACTAGGCGTCTGCGGATCCCGTCTCACGACGACGCTAGACGCGGACGCACTGTCGGTTGTCCTGCCCCCATCGTCGTCGTCACCGGCATATCTTTCTTTCTCTCCGCTGGCATTTCCAGCTCGGTACCGTCCCGCCTCCTCCTCCTCGTCCAAATGCGCGAACCCGTCCTCCGGGTCATGCCAGTGCGATACGTAGAACAGGTCGTTTAGATGCGAGACCAATCTCGCCGCACCGCCCGACTCCAACACCGCGATGAAGAGGAACTGTTTAGGCGCCGTCTGCACGCTTGTGCGTGTGAGGATCCGTCGCGTGCGGATGAGTTCCAGACATTGGATTTGTACGTCTTTAGGTGCGCGGTCGAGGTTTTTCGCTAGGATTACGTTGGCGAGTTGGGGTGGGGGGTGGTGCGGTGTTGTTGGGTATTGTCGGCTATGGCTGCGGCTGGGGGTGCTGGGGACGCCGGTGCTGGTGTTGGTTGTGGTGTGCCCGACTGCGGAACTGCCGCGGCGCCGGAGGGGCGATGCCGAGGGTGTTCGGGGAGTCGGGGTGCGGAGCTGGTGCTGCTGTTGCGGTTTGGGTGTAGGTGGAGGGGGAGGCGCGGGTGGGTGTAACTGGATAGAGGCGGCGAGGTCGTCGAGGGTTGTGTATTGAGTGCAGTTTACCACGGCGGAAGGTAGGTGGAAGGTCTGAGAGGCGACGAGACGTAGCTCCTCGATTAGGTCGTCGAGCTCGGTGGGTTCGGTGCTGACGATGCAGTGCTCGCGACTGATGAGGCAAAGGAGCGCTGCGAGGTCTAGGTCTTCCAACTCGTGGATCCGACGCAGTAGGTCCTCATCCGCCATCAAGTCTTTGTCGAATTGGTTGCTTGTAGTCCATGAGGATTTGTCCTGGATTGCTTCGAACTTTAAAGGATGGCAGTATTTGAATAGTGAATGTTGTAAATGGCGGGTAGCCCCCCGGGTCGGGGCTGTAATTTGGTTGGAGCGATGAAAGCTCGGGCTACTGCCGAGTTTCCGTCCTCAACCTTAAATTTACTGTCGGCTCCGCTGACATTTGCACCTTGCATTACTAACACCATTTTATTCTATCATTCGAACAGTGAAGCACCAATGAGTATGAGTATAATGATGATACAAGGACATAAGAATATCTACATTGGAATACCCCCTGAACGTGTGTAGCAGAAACAATGGCACAACATCGACCCATCACCTACGCATTCCAATCAACCCCTGGGGTTTGGTTACGACCACCGCTGTGTCCACGATAAGTCAGTTACAATGTACTACATTAAAACGCGGCAGCAAATAACGGCAGCAAAACCACCAATTTCAATAAATTCAATATAATACAGCAAAGATAAAAAGTACAACGAGCAACACGCATGTACTCACGTCCCCTTCCAAAATTTCGGATCAACCTTATCCTCAGACGCCGGCGCGGCGCGATCATGCCGCTTCTCGAAGTCCGCGTTATGCCTTTCGACTTCCTGCTTCTGCTCGTCACTCAGTCCGGACTTGACGGCCGGTATGGCCTGGTTATAGATCTTGGGGCTAGGTGCTCCCTTGCCCTGCGGACCTTTCAGCGCCTCACCTCCGCTCTGGCTCGCCGCGTTGGCGATGCTGCCTCCTGTGGGACTTCCTCCCGTCTCCGTCGCTTCCTTCGACCGCGAGCCGCCCGACTGCGCGCTGGCGTCTTCGGGGGTCTTGGGTTGTTTCTGGCCGGACTCCCGCGCTGCGGCGTCTTTCATGCTCTTGTTAAGCCCGGCTTTGGTCGGCCCGCTGTTGGCTTTCTGGCCTACGTCCGGGGGGTCGGGGCCCGGGTGCTCTGACGCTTGCTGTAAGTCGCTCGAAGGCGGTTGGCTTTGAGGGTTGTCTTGGATAGGGTTTCCTTTTCCATCGCCGTAGCCTTGTGCGTAACAGCGAGAGCCGGTGGTAAAAGTGCGGTAGGTTTGAGGAGCGCGAGTACAAGCGGCTCGTAGGGCGTTCATGGAGTTGCTTATTCGAATAGCTACCATTTTGAACAGCTGGATCTTGGTTCAAAATATTTACTAATTCAGTGTTCCAAAATTGAGGTTAACTACTAGATATTTAGAAGGGAAATGTCTAAGGTAAGCCCTTATGAATGAATGGAAAACATCGGGTAGCTGCTTAACATTCGCCATAACTGTGATGCCATATAATGGGAGATGATGAAGTATGACATCATGGAATGTACTTGAGTGAAGTTCCCCTCGCACTTGCAGGGTTTGTTATTGATTCATCATTCTCAATGGTGAATAGAAGTAGATGCTCTTCTATTCTGTCAAATCGATATCTTATTGACCTCGATACTAAATGCCGAAGGTGATCTAGATCATACATGTACCCAGCTTGTAGAACTATTGACGCTATTGACGCATGTGATTACACAAGCTAATGTCCTAATCCGCTAGGTTAGTGCAATGACGCAGGGGTTTGTAGTTCCTTCTTTGCTCATCGTAGGGGATATCGGCTCTTTGTTTCGAATCTTCGTCTGAAGTGCTAACATGGGACGATATTAACATCTTGTACTGTACGTAAACTCTATTTAATAGTACATAGTCATCACTAAATTAGATTTCAATTGACAGCTGCCTGGAACCTTGTGCCCTGTAAATTCATGTGGCTTCAAAGTATTGGTGAGATTGTGGCGTATCCAGCCACTGTAATTGATCTCGTGCCTGCTAAAGTCTACAAAGCTACAGGGTCTTATCAGCTCCTGTATCAGGTAGGTATCGGCGAAGGTCCGACCAATGCTTTATCACTCGTCCAGGTCCCAAACACCCAAACAATAGCAGCTGCAACTTACCTTCAATAACAACAACCGAACATCACCGTCTACCCAGAAATCGTCCCACATACAATACCTGTCGCCTTCCTCCGACAATCACTCTTTAAGCCGGCGCATAATCAAAACTCCCTCAATCGACTTTTTTGTCCAATTAATTCCAGCTTACAAGAGCCGATCGGCTTGACTATTCATCATGGCTTCTAGGAAGAAGGTCCTCTTGAAGGTATAGCAAATCTTAGTTAGGCTTTATTGTTTTCTTTAGTCTATACCTTTATTTTGGCTGACATTATAATTATGCAGGTCATTATACTCGGCGACAGCGGTGTTGGCAAGACAAGTTTGATGAACCAATATGTATGTTATGCTTGATCAAAATGAACAAACCACCCCTGCGACTCCGCCATTTCGACGACTAGACGACCCGAGGCTGATTTTCTTTGCTCGACAGGTGAACAAGAAGTTTAGTGCCAGTTACAAAGCTACTATCGGTGCCGACTTCCTAACCCGAGAGGTTTTGGTCGACGACCGACAAGTTACGATGCAGGTATGAGGAATACACATGATGAAAGGGTCATTGAATGATGGTCGCTGATTATAAATAGCTTTGGGATACAGCCGGACAAGAGCGCTTCCAGTCGTTAGGCGTTGCATTCTACCGAGGTGCTGATTGTTGTGTGTTGGTCTTTGACGTCAACAATTCCAAGAGTTTCGATGCGCTGGACAGCTGGAGAGACGAATTCTTAATCCAAGCTTCTCCCCGCGACCCTGAGAACTTCCCTTTCGTAAGATGCATCCACGCAGAATTTTTATGGACACCGACTAACGGAATTATAGGTTGTGCTTGGAAACAAGATTGATGTCGAAGAGAGCAAGCGAGTGGTAAGTGAACAAAGCGACTACTTACCTCTGAGAGGACCCTTAACTTACACTCTATAGATCTCAAGTAAGAGAGCAGCAACTTTCTGTCACTCCAAGGGCGACATCCCGTATTTTGAGACCAGCGCAAAGGAGGCGGTGAACGTTGAGCAAGCATTCGAAGGTATTCACTATAGTTATTCCCTTTTCTACGGTTCGGCTATTCTAATCTATATAATAGTTATTGCACGAAATGCTCTAGCACAAGAGGAATCCGAGGAGTTCAGTGGAGAATACCAAGATCCTATCAACATTCACATCGAGAACGACCGTGATGGTTGCGCGTGCTGAAAGCCATCGACTCTTAATTTCACAGCATTTCACCCATCTCACATGCCATCATCTTGGGCGTCCTATCACGGTCTGACCGAAGCTTGGCCATTACTCGCAGATCATTACGCCTTCTCAACCATCGTTCGCCTCTTTGTATGACAGACTTGGCATTTCAGGGGCTCTCAGGAACTATTTACAGATTCGGAGAAGTGGGTTTTTAGAAGCCACATCCGTAATGAGTGTATAGAGCAGTTGATGCATCGCATTTTGAGTTGTTCCGTTGGTACAGGACGGGACCATAAAGTCGAGTCTTGGGCGTCTCATCAAGGTTCACTGATTAGGGACTCCATTAAGGCATTTCGATAATTTCCAGTTAGCATTCAGAAGTGATTGTCTCTTTTATCAGTGAAGTGATCCGGGTATTGTCTTAATCAGTGCTTGTGACTTTTCCTATGGATGTCATATATCACCAGACACATCTTTACAATCGGTATTATTAACGACGAGTACGAAGTAACAATGAGAGGCACATGCCGTAGAATACGTGGCTTACATAATAAATGTAACTATGTTCTTCATAAAATGCATTAAATCCGATATCCCGCTTGTCTCCCGCTTGTGCCAATCCATTAGAGCTTTAGGTTCACGCAGGGGCATAGGGGATAACTGGGATAACTGGGATAGGTGTCTCGGCATCTGAGAGCACCGACGGCGCACTACCAAATCGTCGAATCGAACCTTTCACTTGCACGATTTGTTTCAGAACTTCGAATCCTACCTACCCTCTTTTGACATATTTGCTAGATCTTTTTTATATGTGTTGATTCTTTTTTTCTCCCTTTGCTTTTACTAGTGTCTTCATGTCCTTCCTTGCTCCTGGCCTTGATCCTTGTATCTTTCGCTGCCGATCCTATCGCTCTCTTGATCGTTAAATGATTCTGTCCTACGTAACCATTCTCCTGGAATCGCTTTCGCATATAGTGCGCTTCGCCCACTCGACGACGATATGACCCAGCAAGAGCCACCTCCAGTGTATACGGCGACGGCCGAACCCCAAGCAGAATATGAGGCTCCGAGACGGAGGCTTTCCGAGCTGTCCGTACCAGAAGATAATATGGCCAGTTCGTCCATGTCATGGGGAAGCATACCAAGTCTCAGGCCAAAAGGGGGGTCCTGGAATATGGCAAGGAGGACTCTGGGCATAAGTCTCTTGCTAGTAACAGTATTCCTCTGGACGGTGTCGAATTTCCTCGCTAGCGTGAGTTTCCTATGAATACGAGAAGCAATATGCGTACGTGGCCCCTCGATTGACATGACTTGATGCGCAGTCCATATTCTCCGACCACACCTACGATAAACCGTTCTTCCTAGTCTACATCAATACCTCCATCTTCGCGCTGTCGATGATCCCGATATCCATAAAATATGTAATACAAAACGGCGGCATCTCCCGCGTCAAACACCAGGCGATTCAGGAATGGAGGGCGGCGAGATACGGCGGGGCCGAGAGGCTGAAGGCGCAGGAGGAAGAGGACCTCACGGCGGGAGAGCGGTTATTGGTGGATGACGAGGGGAGCTTCGAAGCGGCGGACCTGCCGAAGCCGAGCGACAAGATAGGGTTCTTCGAGACGGCACGGTTTAGCCTCGAGTTCTGCATGATCTGGTTCCTCGGAAACTACTTCGCCTCGGCGTGTCTGGAGTACACGAGCGTGGGCAGCGTGACGATATTGACGTCGACGAGCAGCGTGTGGACTCTTGTGTTCTGCGCCGCCATGCGCATCGAGGCCTTCTCCGTCCGCAAGCTGGCTGGCGTAATGGCCTCGCTTGCTGGTATCGTGCTCATCTCGACCGTCGATCTATCCGGCGCGGATAACGATGATAGTCGCGGGAACTTCCCGCATAAGAGTCAGAAGCAGATCGCTATCGGGGACGCGATGGCTTTCTTCAGCGCCGTCATCTATGGGTTGTACGTCGTCGTCATGAAGATCCGCATCGGGAACGAGGAGAGAGTGAATATGCCGCTGTTCTTTGGGCTCGTGGGCATTTTCAATATTTTGATTCTGTGGCCGCTGTTTATTATCCTGCACTTTACGGGGATCGAGCCGGTGAGTTTCATATATATGCGTCTACATTACGGCCGCAGTGATTTAGGTACGAGCGGAATTACTAATGCGAAAATAGTTCGAGTTACCTCCGAATGGCAAGATTTGGTTGATTATTATGATGAACTCGATATCTTCCTTCGTCTCGGATATCTCGTGGGCTTATGCCATGCTGTTAACGACGCCTTTGGTTGTCACTGTCGGGTTATCTCTAACTATCCCGCTATCTCTCATCGGCGAGATGATACAATATGCGCAATATTCAAGTTTCGTATATTGGGTCGGGGCCGCCATAGTGCTAGTCTCTTTCATATTTATTAACCATGAGAGTCACGACGACGAGGATGGGTCGAAGGCTGGTTCGGAGAGAGGGGCTAGAGTAGTAGAGCCATAGCTTTGTGTTCCTGAACTTTTTGGCTTCTTGGGTGGCACTAACGGGGGCCCGGCGTCTTGGTTGGAATAATTGGGGTTAAACCGGTCACTGGTTCGACTGGTGCAGCATATACATATAGATACCAGATAGAGCTTACAGCGTACTGGACTTTAAGGTATCATAGAATGGGCATCGTTAAAAACCTTGGAATTGTACTATATACGGGATCGAATGGAATGACGTACATAACCGGCAGCTGTCGAGAATTAAGGCTATTTATGTATGTTGGGATATCTTTTAGACATGTAAGTATGCATATCCTTGTGAGCAGTTCCATGTTTGCTAAAGCAACTGGTGTTTAGTTCCAACTCGAGTAGACGGCCTAGTGTGTTTGGTCCTTGAACGTATCTATCCGAGATGAATCGGGCACGAGACAGTATATGGAGTTTAGTAAATCTCCCTAGTTCAAATCTCGAAAGTAACATTGAATACCTAATGTCAATGCATATTTGGTATTTAATATGGGTAAGGGTTTCCTTTCGATCCGGATCTAGCAGCCCAAATGATTCAGAAAACTAGCACCTAGACCACAACTGCACTAGTTTCGTTTACCTGGATTTATAAGAATGACATCAATGACTCTTGACTCGGACGGTTCAACTAATGTTCTGCCGAATTTCTCATCAGATGAAATTAGAGGCAATCGTGGAGTTCGGGCGTGGTGTTTGTTTAGCACTATTTGTAAGACTCAGGTACTTTTCTTAGAAATACCACTATTCCTTTCAGTTATGCTAACATATATATCTTAGTTAAACCTCATTTATACAGCGTTATTCTTTCAGTTTTATTGCTGATTAATTCAATCTATTTCGTCGCTGCGGACTTCACCGAAGTGTGGTTGTCTGACACCAATAGCCCCGTGAGGCCTTCAGAAGGGTCACATGCGCATACGATAGAGCCGCAAGCGTGTTGGGTCAGCCGCGTGTCTGCCTGCTAGATACTAAGCGAGTCTGAGAAAGCGAGGTGTCCGTTTGGCTGCATAAAGCGCTTGGTTGCTTCCCGTCGTGTTAGATATCCTTCCTTGGCGCAGTGAGGCTCGCAGCATTGCTCTTACCGCACTGTTCAGTCAACACAAACAATCTTGATACGGGAAGGTTATACGTCGATTGGAACTATCTATTTATCCCGGGAAAGTACCATGACCATAGTCCTTCGACGCCCGACGTGACTCGACTTACTACATAAGTCATCTGGCCAGTCACCCCTGAGCTACCATCTGGTCAGCCCTCACACATCTTAGCTCACCTTCGCTTGATTCACTCGACATACCTAGGGCTATTTAACAATCTACGCCATAATAACCTTTATGCTCCTAGGTATCCTTACTCGACAAGACCTAAAAACTCAAATCGGATCGAGCTTCCTAAAAACGAGAACAAAGAATATCTAGCCAAACTTACCGGACCAAGACATTTCACCAGAAAACTTACCCGAGGATCTAAATATCACAATGCCGTCCAAGACCGAAGACGTCGGCACAGCTCCCGAGTCCCGCACCCTAGGAGAATCCATCAACATCGCCACCCGCCCCGTCCACACCAGCCTAAACAAACTCATCATCCTCCGCCTGCGCCTAGCCCTCCCACCTCACGCCGACGACGCATCGAACTACGTGCAAGGGCTGCTACACATCACGCCCATCTATACGACCTTCGAAACCCTCTGGCAAGAAATCCTCGACACCCCTCCCCTAACCTCAGAAGTCCCCGTGGAATCTACCCCTACCTCCCCCATCTCCCCCCGCATCCACACCCTCCTGACATCAACCCACTTCCCCATCCTCTCCCGCTCCGCCTCCCTAAAAGCCGACTTATCCCAGATAACAGGCTGGAGCGCCTCCGACCTCTCCTCCCGTCTCCTCGAAGCTTCGCGCGAGTCCGCTGTGCTAGCTGCGTTCTTGGCGCATATACAAGTGACGGTGGGGAGGAAACCACATTCTCTGCTCGCGTACGCGTGGGTGCTGTATATGGCACTTTTTGCGGGTGGTCGTTTTATCAGGGCGTCGCTTGAGCGCGTGGATCCGCGGGATGGGTTTTGGGGGCCGTTGTTTATTAGTCCTAATTTAGTAGACGACGAAATTGGGGATACGGTAGACGGGGTTGGCAGGGAGAGAATGCCTGGCGCGTTTCCTTCGGGTTCTATCGGTGGGGAGGTGAGACGGGTGCAAAGTATGGTAGAGAAGACGGAGAAGGCGGAATATCCACTGTCGTTCTTCCGCTTCGACACCCCCGCCGACGGACAGGACCTTCGACAGGCGTTCAAGGCGCGGGTCGCGGAGGCGACGGACGTGCTTACGGCGGAGGAAATCGCGGATGTGGTCGGCGAGGCAAGGGAGATCTTCGAGAGGATGGTTGGGCTGGTGGGCGAGCTTGATGATGTGTGTGGCACGGAGTACGAGGCTGCGACTGCGGTGTAGGGCGCTGCGTCGCCGTTGGTGAGTCTACGGAGTCGGGATAGTGTGGTTGTGGAGAGGGAGAAGAGGGAGAGGTTGGCGGCGAGGGGGGATAGGGGGAAGGTTTCCGGACGGAATACCCCGGTGGGGGAGCTGGGACGGGATGGGGGGGTTAGGTTTCGGTAGGGGGTTTAGAGGTTTAGACTACATACCTACGGTAGGTATGGAAGAGGAAATACACTTGATGGCGTAGGATAGGAAGGCGATGGCGTATGGTGAGATGGGTAGGTAGAATGGATAGAGGGATACTGGCGCTGGGGATTTACTCGGGCTGATACGAGATACCCTAAATTACACCTTAGAGAATAGACTTGATTCTTGTGCCTGTAGTTCGATTTGGTTCGATCTAGTCTATTTTGTCACATGTGCTTGGAGTATCATATTTACTTTGCTTAGTCCGGCTTCACTTGTTCTGCTCAGATACTAGCACAACCATTTTCTTAGATCAGAGCCTGGAGCTGCCGGTAAGCTTCATGCTCACATTTTAGAGTGCTTACTTGTCTTCCTCGAGAATCCGATGACTTCTGCCAAGACGCTTACTGATCACTCGCTGCAGACTAATGAGGCCAATCATGATGCTTTTGGTCTTAGTTATATGACTACATACGTGGCATCCTCGCAGTGAGTTGGAAGAAGCAGAGCCTTGTGCGAGATGTCGGCAATTGGATGCTGTGATGGTAGTGATGTTCATGCGCAGTTGTCCTGAGGTGTTACTGCAGAGATCGGCTGCAGTCATCATCCACGACTAGCTCTGCGCGAGCCTGCTTTTACTTCTGATGCTTTCTTCATATAAAACATATAATATCGAAACTGCCCAGGTGAGTAATTGCGTAATATTGAAATTTCCTCATAAAAGACTATAATCTGAAATATGATATAGGATAACTGCATGATTGGGTTGTAATAACGATATAGGGTGAAGACTGATGGCGTAAGAATGTCCCCTCGTTCCCGAGGAGTAGAAGTTCTTGAGCAGCTCTCATCGTGATTTTCACTTTATCTTAGAATCATGCTATATGCGGCTATGTTAATTGTAGCATATGAAGCATTTCGCTTCCTCGGCAAGAATATCTCTCATAATATGCAGCTTAAGTGAGACATCTGGCGCCAATGGCAGAATGATAGTCGGCCTACTAGACATCAAGATCATCGATCATCGAGCAATCTTGAACAGATTGAACGAATTAAAACCAGCTTCCATATGAATCTCGGTCAGTCAAGGGCACTTTGTTTGATCTGGCCCTTGTCTCGCTCTTGAAAGTACCTACTGTAGGGCTGCATGCAGACATGGTTAGGTATGTAATGTATGTATGAGTTGCTGCGACATGCAGCTAAGTCGTCGAATCAGCGCACTACTCACTGTAGTCCCGCAGCTAACTCAGCTAGATACGCGCGATGATAGCAGATACTCAAACAGCTTGACCAATGTTCCGGTATTGTAAGTTCGCTCTTCGAATAGGTAGGAAATGGCTGTCGCTTCGAGTGTTTCTCTTGTAGAAAAGATCGTCACTTGCCGAAGACAGTTGGATAACCTTGGAACTCCTGATAATCGTGATACGGCCCTTTCATGCTAACAGCATGAAAAAAAGGATAGAACAAAAATCCGCGCAGCGTGTCTTCACCGCCAGTCCTAGTGCCGTTTGTTGCGCGTGTCGACAGTGGTAGTGGAGCGTCGGTAGTCAGGATTTGTGACGAGGCCGCAGATTCCGTAACCTACAAAATAAATTGACGGAGACCGCTGAGTGGATAGTGGATAGATACTTAAGCAGGCCGCATATTCGACGACCCAGAGCGGGGAGAGAGGGAGCTATATGTCCATTCTTGTCTTTTCTCATCTGCTATAGCGAGCGAATCGTTAAGTGAGATCCATGGATGATATATCTAAGAATGTTGCGTTTTCTAGCTCTTCATGCAAAGGACTTAACTACGTCAACTGAGAGGTCAGCTCCGTCATTTCCTAGTAGGTATTAATAGTAGAGCGTGGTTATAGGTTATCCATAGGATTAACTAGGTATTAATACAACCCACCCCAAATGAGAAAATCGGGTGGTTGGGGATCGGAAATCTGTCTCTTCTTTCTGGCTATTGGTCAATGGATTCCCCCCCAGCATCCTAAGCCAGGCTCCCCTGTCATCATCCGCGACACAGCAAACTGTGGATTTGCGGATTTGCGATGCGCGTATCCATTTAATGCCAATGGATTGGGAATTGACGATTATCGCATCGTCACTCGCGACTCGTGAGGGTGCAAAGTGAAAACACGACTACATAGTAGACTTCTAAAGCAGCTGCATCTTCGGTGAATACACCACATGGATATTCCAAGCGTGCTCCCGTAGCACAATGGTGGCTAGCCGCGAGATACCAGACAATTTCATACAAGTTTCTCCGTGCTTCGCCTCAGGCTATTCCGACCTGTGTCTTTACACGCCCCACGACTTAGGCTGTATGAGGATGGCTCAACTGTCTTAGACAGTATATCGTGGCATTAGGCCGCAAACTAAAAACCCGTAGCCACGGATGGGCATCGTCTTTTGGCCTGTCATTGAAATACCTGACGCCTTAACCGTTTAATAGAGAACCGAGGTAACCGATCACGTAGCTGTTAGAGGCGTAATATAAGATACGAACTGTCAAGATTGTTAGGGGATATATCAAGATTGAAGACTGTAGGCTTGATCAAGAAATAATAGTATCTATCATGATCTTCGATTTATCTCGATAATACAAGTCAATGGCTTAATATTGTGGTAATATAGTGATAATATCGTGGTACTATTCGTCGTGGCACTTAAAGAGTTGAGTTGTTTCTTTGGAATACAAGTCCGAGTATGGACTAGGATAAAAAGAAGGACTCGGGAACTTTGGAGAGGGAAGATTGTCGATTAAAGCGATTGAAGCGATTAAAGACGTTGATAATAAGTCCCCTAACCCCTAACCCCTGACCCCTGTCGTACCTGGAAATTTTTACATTTTGGGTCATTTTTGGGTCGTGTTTGCGCGCCGCGGCTGGACCCGTTATAAGTACAAAAAAGTAATTTCTGGGATTTGTTCGAAGCTGACTCCTAATTCTAATAATTCTAATAATTCGAATCCTACCGTACTTTTTCTTTGGTCAATCAACTCCCGTCTCTTCCCAAGTTTAAGGGTTTGGCAATTCGATAGGTTAAAAAAACAAAGTGCCTATGATCCTTAAACGTCCCGTCTCAAGAGCCTAATTATAATATTATTTATAAGTTACACAGCATTGTCTACTCGAATTTCCGGCTCGGACCCGAATTCCCTTCTAGGTCCAGTCCAGTGTCTAGTGTTTAGTTGTTGGACCTACATAGGACCTAGGACCGTGGACCGTGGATCGTGGACCGTAAAATCAGACCCTTCGTCTCGTTAACCTGTTCTGTTGACCCCATTCAGCTCTGACGGTCCCCGGGAGTTGGACAACTCATCTTGCATCAAAGTTGCTGCACGATAAACGGCCTCCCATTCGTCTGTCACCTACAGCACGTTCCCTTAAAGATCGGAAACTTAACTGTCTGTACCCGGTACAAGTACTACACAAGGCTCGTGGTATTTGGATATGGCTTCTTGACACAATATCTTCTCATTTTCTTCCCCGTCCTGCCCGTTTTCTCGACTTTGGGTTCGCGTTCCCCCAAGGTCCAGTTCAACGTCGCATCAAAAGAGGTCGAAGCGCTTATAAGGAAACGACCGACGCGGACGCGCGTATCTGCAACCGTACGGAGAGTGACAAGAGACAAGCTCTCTCTCTCCAGAGCCTACCTCTAGGTACCTTGTCCGTTCATGCAAAGAACGTTGTCCTGCAGCTGGAGCTCTCCTGAAAATATTATTTTTATTTTCCCTCCCACGCGGATCTCGCCCAGACATCCTCGTACATATGCATATACATGCATAAGCGCGAGCACACACAAAACATTATTTACAATCCAACGTGTGCCCCCTTATTAGTTATTAGAGGAGAAGAAGGAGCCGAAGCAGAAGCAACAGAAGCAGAAGAAGCAGCTCGAAAGAGGCTCATGCATTACCACCATCACCACCACCACCACTCACAACCACTCACAACCACCGCTCATAACCATAACCACAACCGCGTCTCATTGTATCAACTCCCTATTACTGAGAACCACTGAGAACCACCGCACCCAACGCTAATGTCGACTTACGGAGCCGCTTAGAAAGTTCGCGGGGGCCAAGAGTTTCTTCGACGTTATTTCAGTCGAATATAGCGGGAAATATCTCCACATAGTTCGAAACTGAAAGCCTGGAAGACTAACAAATTCGAGAACGTCCCGTTGTTGACCTCACACACCGCCACTGGTCTCCCTGGATCGCGAAAACAGTGCCGGTTCCAGTTCCCATTCCAGGTTCTCCCCCGGTCCCAGCCGGAGATCCTATATATACATAATTATACATATCATCGTGCACATTGATCAGCGCCCATACGATTAGATCAGCGGAGAAAAAAAAAAACAAGTGCGCGCGCTACTGACGTCGAAATGCTTCGCGATCGAACAGGCATCAGAACACCTACCGCCGCCATCCTCGTTGCCATATTTCAGCCTCCGTCTCTCACCACATTTCCACCACTTTCACGTTGGCTGACCCTTCTTTAAAGTATCTTACTATTTAATTACTGCGCATTCGACCCCGTCCGGAATATCGTGCCTGGGTCTGTCTGCTTTTGTATTACTTTCGCTGTATCATATTGGTCAGTCAGTTCCCTCCAATGGCATCACTGTGCCCCCCCTTCGTTGGTACGGATGTGGACCGATGAGCTCGCGCCAGCTAATATATGGTAACGCTAGTCTATTGTAATATTTTCGAATGTTTAATTTTGGTTGGCTTTGTATTTTCTTGGATCAGATTTTGAGTGGAAAATCCGTGTATCTCTATCGACTAGAGTTACCAGTTGCCTGCTTTTAACTTAACAAAAGACTGCTACGGTTTCTTGGATCGACGCTTTCACGCTCATTCACGCGGGCTCGATTCTTCCAGCACCGACTCCATCTCATGCTAACACTGAGGCTGAGTCGGACTGCTAGTCACTCGTTATTAAATTGCCTACGGTTTGTAGAAGCTGTTTGCCTTGCCAACCAGAGCCGACGATCATATCTTAGCCTCAGTCAGCAACCCGATCTGGTTCTCGTCTCGCCGACTCAATTCGATCTACTAGGACCTGATAGGTAAACTTGATCACTAGAATCGGCATAGGATCCAATCCTATCTAAAAACATTTAGTGCCTTAAAGTGGGAGTTTGCCATAAACAAACATCTACTCCCTAATCTTCACTCCCATACCCGAAAAACACCTGTTTTACTAAGAGAAGCGCATTATAACTACGTTCGGCTGGACAAATCCTAAGGGAGCTGTAGGTTTCTGAGGTACGTGAGTGAGTTCCTTGTCAAGCAGTGCTCATCTTCGAGGTTATTCCACTGCGTCAACACGTCAAAATATCTTCATAAGTTGGTTACGCGTGGAATGTCCAGTCTTATGAACCTCAAAACCTCTACTTCCCATCGCGACCTTTCATATTTTTCCTACATACACGTTTCTTTACATCACACATAAAACATCTATACCAGTTTCTCACCTATTTCCCAGGGTCGTGGCATCCGCCATCGCCCTCGACTCTATCAATGGCTTCCTCCGAGGTCGACCAGAAGTTCCTCGGCCGCCTCGCCAAGTCTGTCGAGCCGAACAACGCGCTTCTCGCGTCGATGCTCTTCAAGATCCTCGGCCTATCCATCAACGTCGCAGGCCAGCTCGTGAAAGCTAAGAAACAGCGTCGCCTCGACGCCACCCGCCTCACGCAATCCCTCGAGCTGTATTTCCACATCATATGGCTCTCACGCGAAGGCCTCGTCATGCTAGAGCAGTACGTGCTGCCCATGGTAGGCGACTACGTTGAGTTGAAGGTCCTCGCGTACAAGCTTCGCGCCTCCTTCTACCACATCTTCGTGCAATTCCACAACAACCCTCCCGTCTCCCCCCTCGGAATCGCAACAACCCCAGAAGCAGTCGCTGCCGTCGCGGCATCGATGCCGGCCCCGCGCGTGGATAAAGGAAAGGGCGTGGATCGAGGCGACCCAGCAGCAAGCGACTTCTCACGCACCTCCGTGCAACCCACCCACGCTCTCGAGCAAGGCATGCCGGCGCCTCCCCCCGGCTTCGAATCGCAAGCCCTGCCCACCCAACTCCCGACGTTCACCCCCGAGGCCGCAGCCGCGTTTCTGCTTCCGTACGTAGACTACCTACCCACCGCGCACCAGTACTTCCGCGAAGCATGCGCGCTAGCCGACGGACTGCTCTGGGGCTCGCACTCGCTGCGGCTATCGGTGAAGACGGAGTACGCGGCGTTCCTGTACGAGTGCGTGCACGACCGCGAGGGAAGTCGGAAGCTGGCTAAAGACACGATCGCGGAGGTATACGAGGCGAGTGAAGGTATGGACGACGACATGTTCAACGACGCGTGCGAGCTCGTTACTGTGCTTGGCAAGATGATGAAGCGCGGCTTAGGCAGTGGTGGAGGATCTAGGAGCGGAGGACGCCCGAGCCCGAGTGTTACGCTGGGAACGGGCACGGTGTCCCAGGGCGCGGAGAGTAGTGCTACGGTTGTGCCGCCGGTGCCGCCTTTGGGGATGGAGAATCCGATATGATTCGAGGGGTTTTGGGTACGGGGGTTGGATAGGCGTGTTTGAGACGGATGGGGGAGGCTGTAAATGCTTTATGCCTGGCGTTGCTGGGTATTACATACGATGGCTGACGGTCACGAGGACTGGAAATCCTGGAAATCCGGGGATATCACCAAAGCTCAGGGGTGTGGGAGGTTTCAGCTGTGTTTGAACAGACAACGCGCTCGACTGGCAAGATATCCGAGCTCAATCGCGTATTTCACCCGATTGCGACTACGATCCTACACGAAGAAGAGCTTTATTTGCATGCATTTATTCGCTGGTCATAACGAATATCTGGCACTATACATACTACGACTACTACTACTTTACTATCGAATCGAACCGACCGGATCCGTTCCAAAACACGTACACAAAACTAGCACGGATTAGCTGGCTAGATTAATAATTCTGGGAAAGGGGGTTACTGCGCAATCACGAAATACACCATCGAAATCACCTTACATACAACATTTCTACCTACACATACACGCCATATACCCCCTGATCTCTCCATCCCTCCTACCCAAACACACGAAAGAGACTCAGGCACACCCCCCAAAGGCAAACCAGACAAGCAGTAACCCCCCAAATCCCAACCCCCCAATTTTCGTTCCTAAAAAAGCATTTGATGATACCCAGTTTCGCACTGCTGGACGGACGGGGAAAAAACCCCGTCGTTGCATATTACATAGTACTATAACCTGCGTTCGTAGCAAGCAGGCAAGCAAGATATCTCGACGCTTGACGGCTCTGGCTTTATGAAGCTTCGGAGCCTCTTGCTCTTTGAGATCTTGAAAAAAGAGAAAGTTTTGTAAAGTTGATGTTGACTGCGTGTGGTTTGAATTATGTGATATGAGGAGTCTGTGATATGTACTTGCTCCTATATTCGTGATTCTTAATTATGGTTTATTCCTTGCTGACTTCTATATCCTTGGAAGCATTCTTGGATGAGAACTGCTCTGTTTACATACCCGGTTGTTGAAAGTATAGTAGGGTAACATACGACCTACCTCAATGTGATAGCTTCGAGTCATCACATGTACCTATCCAAGATGGTTATTAACCCGATACCTAGGTAGGTATTAAAACTCGTAGTCACTTCTCAAGTCACTTCTCAACAGCCATAGCAAAATCATGTGCAATAATATCAATTCGCGTATAAAACAGCGTCCCATTACCTTACTATGGAAAGGGGGTATACAGTTCCGCCTTAAAACTAAAGGCTCAAATGCGTAATGCTCGATGCCTGCTAAAGCCAACGCCCAACGCCATGCCATGCTTGCTTACTTGCTTGCTGAATGTACGAGTCATCTCTCCTGTCCTCACTTCCTTTTCAAATCCTCTACTCCTCATCGTCATCGGGAACATCCCAATCCTCCCCAACCTCCGCCCATCCACAAAGCCAACGTCTACCCTCGCCCTCACCTCCTGTTCTCAAATCCTCCGCGTCTGCTCTCCCCTCACTCCAACAGCGGACTAAGTAGTCATCTCCTACAGTGACAAGTTTGCCTTCGTTGGTCCAAGTTAGTGCGCCGACCTCACTTTCGTGGCCACGGACAAGTGGCGTTCCCTTCTTCACAATAGGAATATCGTCATTCAATCGCGCCGCAATGGCAACCGTGCTATTGGTTCTAAACAACGGCCTACGAACAGTTGGTTCGATAGGTGCAACCTGAACTGATTGCTGATTCGATGTGGCTATTGTCGAGTTCTCTAGGCTAAGAGTACCCATCGCGCCGGACAGGTCGTCCCTGAAGTATCGTTCTTCCGTGGGGAATAGCACGGCACAATTGTCGCTACTCCCAACTGCTAGGACTTCACTTCTTCCATCACGCGCCGGTCTCACGGCACATTTGACGTAGAAGCTCGATGCGTGCAAGGAGGGATGCCTGAAACCGTACAACGGGCCCAGACCTTGATGAGTTACGGCGTTGTGGCGACGTCGTGGCGGTTCGCCGTTTCGCGTAGAAAGCTCTGGCGCGTGACCTAGTATGAGATGGGCAGTCGAGTACGCATAAACAGTGTTGTCTTTACAGAGTGCGTAAAGTCGGGACCCGTCAGTGTTCAGTGCCAGAGACGAGATACCAAAGGGTCTCCAGTTTAGGTGCGATGAGGGAGGTGTGGTTGCCGATAATGGGGAGGGCACTTTCTGACGCGAGGAGTGAATTGATCGGATATCCCACAGTTTAATAGATGCATCTGCCTCACAGGCCGTGAGCAGTAGGTGCTCTTGTCCTTCAGGAAGGAACTGTAGAGTCGTGACAGACACGTCGCCTATACGGGCGGGTAGCTCACGACGTGATGGAGTATCCCCTTGTACAGCTGCAGCCTGTTGAGCTTGACGCGAGGTACGTGCGTGAGCGTGATAGAGACTATTCACAGCACAACCTTGCTTTGGAGGTGGGGCTCGGAATCGAAAGGCCGTCTCACGGGCCAGGGGAGAGACAAGAGTATCCTGTACCAACGGTCCTGAGCAGCGAAGGTCCCAGATTTGAACGCTACCATCACGAGAAGATGTTGCAAGCACACTGCTATTGGATTTACCTGGCTGGAATCGTACTTGCTTAAGAGAGGCAGTATGATGTTGAAGAATTGAAATTGGGGTTTGTGTCATCATATCGGTGACTCGTCCAGACTGATCGCCCGAGGCAGTGGCAAGACGATGATCATCGTCTGAGAAATCCATGTCGATGATAGCATTGTTGTGGGCGTCGAAATATAGATGTATTTTGCCAAATGGTTCTTCCTCTCCGCCAGAAGACTCAAGTAAGCGGACACGGCCTTCTTCATCTCCCACTGCGGTGAGACTATTTCTGTGACATGCGGCCGCGCAAAATGGAATACATCGGCCCGGACCGTCATGACTGACACACGGATGAGCATCATCTGGTCTGGAATAGAAGTCGGCGGTATGAACTCTCCAGTCGGAGGTCGGAAATGACATATATGAGCGTCCAGCACGAGGCATCCCTCCCAACTGTCTTTGTGCGAGCTGACCAGCAAAGCCGCGGCTAGTTACAGGAACTAAGCGCTTTAATGGCGCTGATTGAGGTGGAAGCTCATCCTCGCTTTCCTCTTGATCCGAGTCGATATTCTCCTGGATTGAGTGCAGAGATCTAATTGGACTAAGCAATGCCGACCTGGTACTTGGCGAAGGGCTCAGTCTCCCATTGTTCGGCTCGGTCATCAGAAAAGGTCGGCATGGTGACGAATCGGGCGTATGCTGGAATTTTCGTCTCTTGGGCAATCGAATATCTAAGTGATCCATGTTCTCATCCCGTGGATGGTCCTCAGTAGATGGCAGTAATGGGCTGGATGGAGCGGGAGTCTGATATCGGTTGTTGATAAAAGGGATAGCGAGATCCTGAAGAGCCTGTCTAGCCGGGCTTATTCGTGTGGGTACTCGAGAACGAGGAGTAAAGAATCGTCTGAATTTTCTTGGAGTAATAGACGGATTTCTTCTTTCCTTTCCATTGTTCGCTCGTGGAGGCGAGAGAAGGTGTGGATTCGACATATCATCCGCCATCATAAATTTTTTTTTTTGGTTTCTATAGTTACGGCCCCAAGCAACTCAAGGTACTTCCACAAGGAGAAGAGCTGATGCTCCTGATACTCCTAATGCACCTCGACCTTCAACACTTAACTTCGAGAGACGTCAACATGTATATGCGTATATGTGTATGAGATAATGTTCGTAATAATGGAAGATGATGAAATAATGTGTCAATGGAATAATGACAGATGGAATTGATTATGGAAAGAAGCAAGCAGAACTCGAAATTGTAGTGGGGAAAGAATGAAAGGTTGGTCCGCTTCGGAAGTAAGAAGTGGCACCAAGTGCTAAGGTAAGGACGACACGCCCGCGAAAAGACGCGCTCACGAAAAAAACCACTTACACGACCCAAAAGAGGAAATGACGTCTGGAGCTGGGCGTTAGCGTGGTGCGGACGCGTATTAGCACTGTGTTCCCTCCAAAAATTCTGAAAATCTAGTGGCTGCGACGCATGTTAGACCCAACCGTTACTAGATCCCGTAATAAGGCACGTCAATTTAACCAATCATCGCCAGCCATTTCAACCAATTGCACTTTCCACAGTATCAGAGTTTTTCGGTACTTAGGTACAAAGCAGAACGCGGATGGTCGCTGGATCGAGGTTCTAGACCCACTGATAAGCTTATCGGGCGAATTTCTCAAAAATTTCAAGATGCACGATCGAGATTCGAGACCGTGCCAATTGATGCGGGACACATGAACAATGAACATATTGCGCTGACAACAACCAGCGTCAAGTTACCTCGAAATATACCTTCTGGCCAAGCGCCAGCCATTTGAAACATAATGGCGATTCAGAAGAAGCACGGAAAAGGTCGTCTTGACAAGTGGTACAGATTGGCCAAAGAGAAAGGTTACCGAGCCCGTGCCGCCTTCAAGTTGATCCAGTTGAACAAGAAATATGGTTTCCTCGAGAAAAGTAAGGTCCTTCTGGATCTTTGCGCTGCCCCAGGAGTAAGTTGATTCTACGAGAAATATGAGGAGAAGAACAAGTTCTCAACTAACTTCATATCATAGTCATGGTGTCAGGTAGCGGCAGAGGCCATGCCGGCCAACAGTCTCATCGTTGGAGTCGATCTTTCTCCGATCAAGCCTATTCCTAAAGTCATAACTTTCCAAAGCGATATCACTACCGATAAGTGTCGCGCGACAATTAGGCAACACTTGAAGACATGGAAGGCCGATACTGTGCTTCACGATGGTGCGCCCAACGTTGGTACTGCTTGGGTTCAGGACTCCTTCAACCAAGCCGAACTCGCTCTTCAATCTATGAAATTAGCAACAGAGTTTCTAGTCGAGGGTGGTACATTTGTTACGAAGGTTTTCCGATCGAAAGAATACAACAAACTTCTCTGGGTCTTTAACCAACTATTCACCAAAGTCGAATCAACGAAACCTCCATCTTCTCGAAATGTCTCTGCCGAAATTTTCGTCGTATGTCGCGGTTACAAAGCTCCCAAACATCTTGATCCCAAGTTCCTTGACCCGCGGTCGGTATTTGCCGAACTCGCAGATCAGGCGCCCAACAACGAAGCCAAGGTTTATAAGCCTGAGATTAAGAAGCGGAAGAGAGGCGGTTATGAAGAGGGCGACTATACACAATTCAAGGAAATTCCAGCAAGTCAGTTCATCGAAACCGTCGATCCTATAGCGATACTCGGTAGTTACAACAAGCTCTCCTTTGAACAACCACGCAATGGTGATGTGGCGCTCGCAGCATTGGATAAGATGCCAGATACAAACGAGGAAATCAGGATATGCTGTGCAGATTTGAAGGTGTTAGGCCGGAGAGAATTCAAGCTCTTGCTCAAATGGCGATTGAAGGCCCGCGAGGCTTTTGGGTTGCCGACCAAGAAGACTGCGAAATCTGCCGAACCCGAGGAGGAGGTTGCAGAGGTTGAATCCATGGATGAGGAACTAAAAATCCAGGAAGAGTTGCAGGCACTAAAGGACAAGGATAACTCCAAAAAGAAACGTGAACGACGAAAGGAGAATGAGCAGAAGCAAAAGGAGATTGTGCGAATGCAATTGCACATGGTTGCCCCTATGGACATCGGCATGGAACAAGATGGTCCTGCCGGTCATGACTCCATGTTTGCTCTAAAGCCCATTGATAAGCATGGAGCGGCCAACAAAATCGCGAAGGGGAAGATGGCCATCATAAATGAGTCAAAGAAGGACAAAGATAGTGGCATCGGATCTTCAGGTGACACAGATGAGGAGGACGAAGAAGAAGATCGTCTTGAACGAGAACTTGATGGCATGTATGATCAATACAGGGAACGAAAAGCAGCATCGGATGCAAAATACCGGGCAAAGAGAGCTAGGAAGGAACACGATGATGGCGAGTGGGAAGGAGTATCAGGAGACGAGCAGCAGTCTAGCGACGAGGAAGGATTAGATGTGGATGAGGATAGTAACGATGACTCTGATGAAGATGAGGCCCCGTCAAAACCTCTCCTTACTGATCTCGATAACCAACCTGCAGCGTCTGGGGGTCTATCAAAACGAGCCACCAATTTCTTCAGCCAGGACATATTCAAAGATATATCAGGTATTCTTGATGAACCAGAAGCCGACGAAATGGACGTCGATGAGGATGGAGATTCTGACGTAGAAATAATCACCACGAAAAAAGAAACAAAGGCTAAAAAGGAAAAGGTCAAGACACCTAAGGGTGGTGTTCCCTCTGAATCTGAAGATGGGGATCAAGGCGGCTTTGAGGTAGTTAAGCAGGATGAAGAGGATGATTGGGAAAATGAAGACAAACGTCGAGCGGACGGAAGACTGGGTAAGAGCCAACTTCCTCATTCCTATCTACACTACCACACTTTCTAACAAGCAAACCAGATATCGACATCATCACCGCCGAAGCCATGACCCTTGCGCACCAGTTGGCAACAGGCCAAAAGACAAACTACGACGTTGTCGACGACGGCTTCAACAAGCGTGCCTTCCGAGACCGCGACGGGCTACCGGACTGGTTCATCGACGACGAATCCCGCCACGACAAGCCCCAAAAGCCGATCACCAAAGCCGCAGCCGCAGCGATCAAAGAGAAGACGCGCGCCCTCAACGCCCGTCCCATCAAGAAAGTCCGCGAGGCCAAAGCCCGCAAGAAGTTCAAGGCCGCCCAGCGCCTCGAGAAGCTAAAGAAGAAGTCCGACCTCCTGGCCAACGAAGAGGGTCTGACGGAGAAGGAGAAGGCGGACAGCATATCGAGACTCATATCCAAGGCCGCGAAGAAGAAGCCGAGCCAGCCGGCGAAACTCGTCGTCGCGAGGGGTCTGAATAGGGGTATCAAGGGACGTCCGAAGGGCGTTAAGGGTAGGTATAAGATTGTGGATCCGAGGATGAAGAAGGAGCTTAGGGCGCAGAAGAGGATTGCGAAGCGGAAGTAGGGTATTCATCTACATGCATGGGTATCTAGAAAATGGGAAAATGGGGGAGGGTTGTGGGAAAAGAAAAGACTTGTCTATGTATTGACGCTAGTTTGGTGTAGATAGACTTTGGAATACGATATACCCTCGTCGTAAGAACTGCTATATAGCGACTGTAATATGTGAAAAATCTAAGGGCTTGGTCATGTGTATAAACCTCGTTTGTTCTGTCCGCATGGCACAATGCGAGGCTCCTCGATTGGTATCTCTACGAACCTCAGCTAAAGACTAAATTCCGCGTATTAACCTAACCCTATTTTTCTTACATCCCGCGATGCACTTTTAGACCACCCCTTCCTCCCTTCCCCTCTCCTTTCTTTGCTTCTTGTCAACCTAGGTAGATACACTCATCGTCGCCCAGCCCCAGCATTCCTGCGACTTTTCCCCAACCTCCCGGCCGGCCTTCCTCCACCCCTCCCCCCACCACCAGCACCTCCCCTACCCCCTCGCCCGCCAAAACTGCTCTTCATGCGGCGCGCGTTAAAGGAGCTCAGGTCGCCAGAGCTGACGGCGTCCCCGGACTTGGCATTTCGCTTCTTGCCGCCGAACCCGTACTTTTCGTTTTTCTTCTGCCGCTTGTTATTTGGGCCTGAGGAGGAGGTGGAGCGCTCGCCGTCTTTGCCCCGCGAGAAGGCGCGCTTGGCGTTGTGCGCGCTGAGCTCGGCGTCTACGCCTACGTCGAAGAGGTCGGCTTCTTTTGCGCCGACGTCGGTGGAGGATTCTTGACGTTCTGGGGGGATGGGGGTGTTAGTATGTATGTACGTACGGAGAGGTTGTATTTGTGTGTGGAGGGGGGATGGGGGGAGGGATGGATGCTTACTCCTCTTCAGCGTCTTGATCTTCTCAAGCGTCTCGCGCTTGGCTTTCTGTCGCTCTTGTAGCTTGGCTACCTGGACTTGTTTGCCGAATTTCTTCAGGTCGCGCTGCTTGCGGGCTTCCGCCGACGCTTTCTTCGCGCTGGCTTCTTCCACGAGCTTTGCTTTCACTTTCTCCATGTGTCCGTCGTCCTTCACCATCTCGGCGAAGTAGTCGGTCGGTCGCGAGAACAGAACGCCTTCGGCTTTTAGCAGGGCGCGCGCGCGCTTCGCGGCGTCTAGGCTCTGCGCGTAGAAGGCAAGTTCGCGCTTTAGGTCGTCTTGGATGTCCTCGATGCCGTCGGCGGTGGGCTCGACGCCGACGATGCTCTGGTGCGTCGCGAAGGGCACTGATTTGTCGGTAGGTAGGGATATTCGGTTTAGCGAAGCGAGAAGTGCGGTGGTGTTGTTGATGGTGAGGCGGGAGTGCGGGACTAAGTCTTCCTTCTCTTCTTCAGGAAGGTCTTCGAGGTCAGACATAGGTATGTCCTCATCATCTTCCTCTTCGTCCTCTTCTTCATCCTCCTCCTCAACGGGCTTCTTCTTGTTGTTCTTCTTTTCTCCATTTGGCTTAGCATTTTTAGCCTTTAACGCAGATTTTCGCGGGCGCTCTATCTTTTCCTCAAGATCTATGGAAGAGTCGGAGTCGTTGCTTTCATCCACGGCTGCGAAGTCGATAGAACCCTCTTCTTCTTCTTCGTCATCGTCATCGTCGTCGACCTCTTCAGCTTCGTCATCTATAATTGATGCGCCGACCTCGACTTCTTCCTCTTCCTCTTCATCGACGGCCTCCCAGTCGCTATCGTCTTCATCGGCAGCATCTGGTTTGGGTGCCCCTCCATTCTTGATGCCTCTCTCTTGCCGCTTCTTGGTCCTCTCCTTATACTTCTTCTTCTCTTTCAATTTCTTGAAATCGACACCTTTCTCTGCTGCGAGAGCGACTTTTAACTTGCTTTTACCCATTGTCGCGGTTGCAATTGAATTTTGTTGTACTCGGTTGGTTGATTGGATTGAACTTTTTTTTATCTGATAAGTTTAATCTTCAGAACTTTTTTTCTGCCATTAGCTTGGCATATTGTGGCTGTTAGCCGTTGTGGCTAGTGAAAGCGGTGTGAGCTAAAAGTGGCATAGTCTAGATGCTCTGAGGTGGGGCAATATCCGTCCAACCAGTAATTACCAATAACTTAACCTCAAGGATTCGGACGGCTTCGAGGCAGAGATATACCAAATTTTGTGATAGATCAGTTTGGAGTCCTGACCTATCACGTAAGAGACAAGGAAGTTTATTAGGCAGACACTAATCAGATCCAAAATGGTACTCGAATTCTCACTGGTTCAAATTTCAGCAGGAACTGCGCCACATCCTTTGCTTACATCGTCACATTCATCGCAGACATCGTCATGAAATCCCGCTCAATGTTAAATCAAGTCTCTTGACATTCATGAAACCTAGGTAGATACTTATGCAGCTATTTAAATTCATATGTCGCAGCGAACTGTTCCTTCGCCTCTCGAGGTTCTATATTCTAGACCACACGACTCTACCGATGAGAGAATCGAGATTGAGTAGGATCCCCTCAGCCTTAACCACACGATTTTCTAATTAAGCATGAAATTGTAGCATAATTGCTGTTCATGGTCTCGGATCGAATGTGGATTGGTCGTGGATTTGGAAAGATGGCGTTAAACAAATCCACTGGCTTAAAGATCCTGATATGCTCCCCGCGGTAGTACCAAACGCTCGGATTATTACTTATAGTTACGAGTCGCGATGGCACGCGAATGCCCCTAAGACACGTCTTGAGCTCTGCGGCGAAGAACTAGCAAGAAGCATACATGACTTCCGGGCTGAGATACAAGACCGCCCCGTACTCTTCATTGCTCATAGTCTCGGTGGGTTGGTTGTAATACATGTGAGTTGATGGGGTCGGTTTTGACCTCCCTTCAAGGGTGATTCTGATATCTTCCTATATATAAGGCCTTGTTATACGCCAATCGAACTGAAGATTTGAAATATCTGCCTCAAGAAACGGCTGGTTTTATTGCCCTCGGGACCCCTTTCAGAGGCACTGGAATGCACAGTCTGGCGGAGACCGTCACACGATTCTTAACTCCTCTTGGTTCTCACGATGGGCTTTTCACCGATATGAAACTAGATGACAAGCATCTGGCTGATAAGGTGCATGAATTCTGCGAGTTGAGGAATAAATTAGAGATACCATCATGGTGTTTTATCGAACTACTCGAATCAGACTACGGGAAGAAAGTCGGCATTCCATGGGTTTTCAAAGGAATAGTAAGAAACCACGAATTCATCCAGCCAACAATAATTTGACCGAATCTTTTTAGGTAGTTGAAGAGGCCTCCGCCCATATTCCCGGTTGGGGTCGAACTGGTCTGAATACGGATCACTTTTACCTGAACAAATTCTCTGGTCCGGATGACGGTTCTTTTATGGCTGTTTCAAGGGAAGTTCGTCAAATGTATACTAGAGTATATACTAAATTGGGTCACCCTAGAAAGCCACTTCAATTTAGTAGGTCTAACCTATTCCTATAGGCATGATAAGTAGCTATACTAACTACTGGAAGAAGAAGAGAGCGGCCAAGATGACCTTCAGCAAATACCTACCGGTTCCGAGGACCGATTCAAGGAAATGCTCCAAGCTCTATATTTCGGACAAATTAATTCTCGGCGTCATAATCTTGCTTTACCTAGTCCAAACACTTGCACTTGGATTTTGGGTACAGCCCAGTACAAGGATTGGGTGAGCCCAACGAAAAGCCTCCTCCACGACAACATTTTATGGATCAAAGGTAAACCAGGAGTAGGTAAATCGACCCTCTTAAATTTCTTATACGAGGAGTCGGATAGAATGATGCCAGACACGAAGAAATTTTCATTTTTCTTCAACGCGAGAGGAAATCAGCTGGAGAAGTCAACTATTGGCCTTTGTAGGGCGATCCTGTGGGACATTCTCCGAACCTTCAAACATCTAATCAAGGTGTTCGATGATGTGATCTTGGATTATATCAAGACGGACGGGTGGAAAGAACAACATATATACAACTTACTAGGGCGAGCTATCGGGAGGCTAAGAGATCAGCCACTAGTGTGTTATATCGACGCGCTTGACGAGTGTCCCGAAGACCAAGTTCGATTCATGGTCGACCAGTTTCGCAAGATTAGCAACAGAGCCACGAAGTCTGGGAGCGGATTCAAAATATGTCTCTCCAGTCGGCACTACCCTAATATTTCTATCAGAAAGAGTCTCAGTTTAACCCTCGAAGAACATTATCAGCACGAACTAGATATGCGGTGTTATATCGACTCAGAACTCATCGATCAGGTCGAGAAAGTGGATCGGGAGCAAGCAATCCGCATCCAAGACAAATTACTAAAGAAGTCATCGAGTGTCTTTCTTTATGTTAAACTGGTAATCGGCAGGATAAAGAAAGATTTCGATAATGGGATGGCGAATGCGAAAACGCTCGAGAGGCGACTAGATGGATTACCTAAAGGATTGAGCGCTTTATACTGCGAAATGTTAGCCCGAAGATCCGAGGATGTAGACGATGACGAGGATGACGAAGATGTAGAAGCCACGCGCGTGTGCCTTCGATGGGTATTGTTCGCATTGCGGCCATTGGAACCAGTCGAACTCTACTACGCAATCCGACTCAACCTTCGAGATGACACTGCATTAGACGGCGAAGACAAACCCTCGAAGGAAACCATGCGTCGTTTCATACTGAGGTCTTCCAAGGGCTTCGTGGAAATTTTAAGTGATAATCGACGTAAACATACTGTACAATTTATCCACGAGTCTGTTCAGGACTATTTCCTAAGCGAAAGTGGGCATCGGGTATTATACCCATCTTTACGTGGCTCATTCCCAGGTGAAAGCCACGACGCGCTCAAGCAAGTGTGCTATAAGGGTATTAAAAAAGCGATGTGTAAGCAAGAGTGGAAAGGCAAATTATACAATCCGTTCCTGGCGAGTTATGCGATTCACGGTGCTCTGATACACTCCGAAAAGGCTCAGTCATTTGGCGTACAGCAGCGAGACTTCCTTTCCGACTTCTCGGTTGATATATGGATGAAAGCTTTGACCAATTCTCGCTTTTTCAACATAGGGGATTTTAATCGATATAACATTGAAGTCGAAGAAGGCGGATTTATATTAAATGAGGGTGAATCGAATACCCACTTGCTCTACATTCTTGCAATGGCAGACCAACCCAATCTGGTTCGTGCTCACCCAGATCGAGCACGCCATATGGAAGTCAAGGGAGGAAGGTATGGGGCCCCTTTAGCAGCCGCGCTGGCATTCGGCCACCAAGAGATTGTACGAGATTTAGGACTTCAGGTGAGTACTATATCCGTTGTTCCTCACTAACTTCCAAGGTTCTCTCAACTGAATTTTTGGGCCTTCTCCAAGATTTAGTTAGAAACTTATTACCTACCTAGTTACTGACTAGACCGATGGAGCAGGTATTTCTCGATCAAAATCTCCCAATATCATTTAACGAAGAAAATGATTTGCCAACCACGATCAGCTGTCCCTACCATCCTCACCGAGCAGTTGGGATCCCATTATATGATCTTATACACCTGGATTGCGTTTCCGCTGTAAAGGTCTTAGAATACAAGGGAGAAGACCTTAATCAGTACAACTCTAAGTATGGCAGACCGCTATCTTGGGCTATGCGAAACGAGGCTGTGCGTGTCGTCGAATGGCTTCTTTCGCGGAAGCACGTCGACCCGAATTTCCAAGACGAAGATGGAAAATCACCGTTGCATTATATATGTCAGGAGAAATGGCACTCCTGTTGTGAAGATTATAATATCCAAGTTGAGTTGCTTCAACGTTTCCTCAAAAACTCAAGAGTTCTCCCCGACCTTCGTGATAAAAAGGGAAGGACGCCATTCTCCTATGCCGCCGAAAATGGGTTTCTGGAAGTGGCAAAAATGCTCTTTGCGACTGGATCAGTGGACAAAGACTCGAGGTGTGATTTAGGGAGAAGCCCATTATCATATGCCTCGAAAATACAACCTCACGAGGTGAGGAATTCAATGAGGATGATCCAATGGCTTCTATCCCTGGAAAAGGTTGAGCGCGACAGTCACGACGCTTCTAATTGAAACCCATTTTCCCAGACAGGTTGATTTGGAGTTTCCGGTAGAATTTGGATAAGGACACGAAGATACCTAGTATATAGAATCTGGTAATTCTTTCGACATTGTATTGTTGGAAGCCGTCGACAGTCACCTTGATTCTTGAATAGAGCAAGAACCATTACATAATAATTACATAACTATGATTACGGCATCATCTGATTTACATAATCGATCTTACATAAACAATCTTACATAAACATTGTTACATAATTAATTACATACTGTTGGTTCAACAGCGCGAGGGTATTGATTACGTGATCAAGAAATAGGGGTGATTATGTAATGCACAGGCTTGAGCCTTAACTGCCAGATGCCTAGTGCTAAGCAGGTATTTAGAGGAATCTTGATTGCATATTATTAAGTCCTGTAAGAAAGATTGTTTTATTCCATGATGTCTCAGACCATGATTTTATACTTCAAATATGCATCATTCCATCCAGACTGTTGTTGAGGGTCCAAATGTAGCTGTATTACGTAAGCGCACCTTCATCGCATCTTGTCAACCAGCGGATATGGTACAAATTGAGGCCGAAATTGATATGATTGTGGGAATTATTTATTAAGGTCCTAATGGATTCCACGTAACACTTCCCTGGCGGATATCAATGGGCGCAGGTGGATATGGAAAAAGGGTTAAAATGTGGTAGACAGATGATTACGTAATATTGCTACATTCATGAATTATTTAGAAGTGAACGAAACTTATCAAATGCACTGTAAAAGCTTCCATGTTCATTGCATTTTATTTCATTGCCTAATAGGTACGTAAACTTGAGGGGCCTCATACGGAAGCCCTGAAAACATGCAAGCCCTCGATCGAATAGCGATCTATGGGAAGTCAATAGGTATCCATGATAGTAATATTAAAGAGAAAATCTTACCAGGTGTTATCATCCCGTCTGTAGCCATCCGAAACCACCAGCGAGACCCGGGTGTTTAGCTCCAGGAGGGCTCATATTTACTTCTGTCTCTTGGAGGCTGGATCCTCCGTGGTGTCCGAGTCTCGACGGGGGCGTTTCTTGGTTCTGTCGCCACCAGGAGCATCGGCGTTGAAGGCCACGTCGGTGTTGCGAGCGTTCTGACCAGGCTCGGGTCCTGCTTGAAGGGGTTCCTGTGGGGTAACATTGCTGCCGTGGTCTGCCTCGGGGCGGAAGGGTCCGCTCTGGACGGGTCCCTGACTGCCGGCATCCACCTGATGGCCTGGGAAGAGGAATCTTATTAGTATATCTTTCTATTCTCAATTATCATATAGAATCGAGCTTCCTTACCATCGTTCTCCTCGGCGTTGCGACGGGGAGGGTCGCGGGGGAGTCCCATCAGTGCGCGGATTTCTCGAATGGATTCTCGCCGTTCCGCTGCCCGTATTTCGTCTAGCTCGTGAACCCCTAGTAAGAAGAAATATTAGAACTTTTAGTCGTATAGCATAATCGAAACATGCTCCAAATACATACTTTCAGCCGCCAATTGCGAAAGCCTAGCGCGTTCCTCTTCTGCGTTTTCCGAGTTTCTTCCAGTGTGGTAACTGAAAGTGACATAGACGTGAAGAGGGTTCTTACTAGGCTCCATTTTGAGTAACTTGTTGATTGGAGGGAAATGAAGAAGATTCGGAGGGAATAAAAAGATGGGAAAGTGGGAAGGTTTTGTGTAAAAGGTGTTGGGAAGAAAGAAAAGTAGAAAAGTTCACAGGCTCACAAATATTATCTGTTGTAGACTTGATCGGCATCATAGAGACTCGGGTAAGACGACACAAGAGATTTGGGCTTATTTACGATGTTAATTATGAATATTATCATATGCCGGAGCTAATGCAGATACCGTACCAGGTAACAGGGCTTTAGAATCGACGAGATAACGAAGAAGGCCATTGTTATCCTTGGAACGATCAACTGGAAAGCGGTTGGAACTGTCCGTAGGTGTATTCAAAGAAAGTCAGCTATTTCATTATCGCGATCAATTTCACACAATAAGACGATTCACTCGCGGCGATATATCAATCGTGTTTATAACTGAGGAGTATACGCCTGGTGAAAGGGAAACGACTTGTTGGTATTCATGAGCTTCTCAACTCGAAAATCTCGTAGAATCAGCGCCCCGAACCATAATACATTGTGGTCAGTTAACCCCCCGTGATGACGGGCTCAACCAATCCATCCACATATCCCCGTCGTCCGTCTTCCCCAATGAAAGCTATCACCCACCCCGAGCGCGTAGGAAATTCGTCTAGCAATTTGGTATCATCTGCCAGAAGTTAGAATCCGTAGCAAAAGATTTGGATATAAGAATAACTTACCCGTCAAGATTTAGCTATTAGTGGCTATCATGTCCTGACCGAGACTCGAAGGCAGCGGCGCCTCTGATGGGATTCAGCCCATCTTCTGTTTCTTTGAGCACCGAACCTCCGGTTCCGAGTCCTCCTCTCGAGGGTGTGTTCTGGAGACTCGAGCTAGGAGATGGTCGAAGGTACGCAAGCGGTGGTGTAGCTCGCTGTCTCCCATCTGAGATTTAAGGACTGGAGGATCGCTGATGAGCCGACGAGGCCTCAGTCTTTTTGGAAGTGCTGTGTGAGGAACCACATTGCTTCCCGAGGAACTCAACATCGTTCCATGGCTCAATGCAGTCCCATGATGGAGACCAACGAAAAGCTGGGCTGCTGGCGTTGTAGATGGTGCTACTAGATATTTTACTGTTAGAAACCGGTCCACTTCGTAATATATTCGGATGAGCCAAGATACACACCTTGGGGTTCAGCAACAGCGCCAGTTCTGGTGATGTTTGGTTGGCTTTTCCCTGAGAGAATTGCTTGCAAGGCGCGAGATCGGAGACGGGCCCGTTGTGCGGCCGTCATCAAGGCTTCCGGCTGGGGCGGCGGTCCACAGATATAGTTTCTTGGATGACCGGTTAAAGACTGCTTAGGTGTCTCATCACCGTCGACTGTCGCAGGACTGTCGGGGCTACCCTCCTTGGGGGGTGCTTGGGTGTAATGAGGGCTAATGGTTTTGTCCATCGCGAGAGATATCTTGCTGAATAGTGAATAAGACGAATTTCTATCGATTGAGATCGAGAATAATGAAGTAGCTTTCTTGGTTGACTGAGAGCTGGTAAATTAGAAATCCTATGGTTCGCGATGGATATGAGAAAGAAAATTTTGAAAAGGTTCTTGAGGGAAGATGAGCATCTATATTCTAGGCGGGGGAAGTTCGAAGGCTGATAAGTAGAACAGCATCGGGAGAACGCCAGGCAGTGTAAAATTCATTACTACCTGATATTCTAGGCAACCACAGTATTATTTAGATATCGTTCAATTGATACAGTTTGATGATATTCGCTGTGTGAAAGTCCCCTCTCTATGCTTATTAACCCCTTTTGCCCCTATTTGCCCCACAAAACATGCGTACATAATGCACACAATCTATATCTTGTAATAGTTGAAGGGCGATAATGTGGCACTTCAAAAGATTCCATTGGTATCTATAATACTAGGTACTATTTTTTATTTCTATACTCATACGAAGAATATGACATAGAGTCAAAATGCGAAACTTCTGCGGAAATAGAAGTCTCAAAATGGGGAGGGAGAGAAGACGGTAAAACTTCGTGTATAAAATTTGATAAAAATATGCTCTTTAATGGTGTACCTGTCATTAAACTGTAGCTATCGCGTGTTCATTTTGAAACCTTATGTCGCGTTGAGTGTTACTCATCTGTCGGAGGTCTAGTCTGTTGGATGACTAATGGCAACTAGTTCTACTTCGTGAGATTTCCTTATCTAGGTAGGTAGGTAGCTTATGGAAAGTAAAGAACACGCAGATCTAGGAAGGAGAGTTCAATATAACAGGGCCGTGCTTGCCTCTTTGCCAGCCATAAGCTAGCTTAAGGTTTGTTGTCATAACAAGCTTCCAACTCTAAAATAGCTCTAGATAAGGACAATTTCCAGTGGGTTTTTTTGTTGATTCTCCATATTTGGTATTCATCAAAACTTCAACAAACAATCTACATTATCAAGAAATCGACGCGCCTCCCTGAGTGGAAAAATACAAAATGTCATCTTTATTACCGCAGTTCACCACCGATGAGATATCACCATCACCACGACCAGCACCGTTGCTATCACCCAATGAGTCCGCATCAACTCCATCGTCAGCCTCCTCTACCCGTCTTCGATCGATTGATCTTGAACTCCTAGCCTTCCTCAGCACCAGTCTCTGTATAGCTTTTTCACCAACCGCCACGGTAGTCTTGTTCTACTGGCTGGCACAAGGAGAGATCCCATATTGGACGTGTTTCATCATCTACCTTTGGATTTCAGGTATTCTCTTCGTGTTCGGATCGACTGCGGAAGCGCTCGCGTACGGTTTGTGGTGGCTTCGAATAAAGTGGTCAACAAAGGACGTTAATGGCTGTGCTGAGAGACAATTGTATGGGTTTCCAGTGATGAGGATCTATGGAAGAGCGTTTTATTTCATTGCCTTTAAGCCTATTTCTCGCCTTCTAAGAATGGTAGAGGATATGATAACTGCTTGTTGTTGTTGTTCTGAACCTACCTATATGATAACTAGAAAGGCGAGAAAAAGGAAGTTCTAGTCGAAATAGATAGGGCATGATAAGTCTATTTGACTGACTTGGAGAAAGGTTAATTCTACCTTGCTTCCACCATTTGGTCCATAAACCAATTTATCAGGTGCAAACTAATGACACCAGGGAGACTCCTGCCAACGCATACTAGGGACCTAGGTATATACCTCAATCGTTCTTAACTCCAAGTCACCTTTTAACTTATAATATATAAGGAAAGCGCTGCCTGTAACGTTTCAGCTTGACAGGATTAATACATTCAATTTTGTCTGAGCCATATTAATTTTTCTCTCTTTCGTTCCTCGCGAATCCTCAAAGTGTCTATGGAAACCGAATCATATTGTATCCTACCCCTCCAGCGCCCTGGGCGGCCCTGGTTTATTATCATAGTCACTTACCTCATCCTGAGTTTCTTCATGTCTACGTTCACTATGGGCGGTCAAATCTTGTTCGCGCTACTCATGTCGTGGCCTTTGCTGGGCATCATGAATTACATCAAAGTCATTGGCGGGTTGACCTTCGGGTTTTTCGTCTTGGCCTACTTGATGGATTTAGTGATGGCCCTCAAGCATGCACTCAGTATCGAACAAGTATCTGGACAGACTGAAGAAGTTGAAGACGGATATTTCATGAACGAGTACTACACCTTCACCGTAATCAATGCCATCAGGGTCTTTCGGGTCCTGAGGGCAGGATCTTGCAGTGATTCTGTATAATCTGGAAACAATATTGATCTGGGTGGTGCCCAACGCCTAGATCTCTATTGGTGATTATCTAGACTCCACGTAACTTTGGACGGAGCGGAGGAGTCGAGGTTGGGTGGTGGGCGGGCATGGGATTTTTCCTCTGACCCGAATTTTATATATAACTTCCTCTTCTTCCTCTTCTTCCTCTTCTTCCTCTTCTTCCTCTTCTTCCTCTTCTTCCTCTTCTTCCTCTTCTGCCTCTTCAATTTTACCCTTCCGAACCTCCTACGAAAAGTTTATACATAATTTGTCGATCAACCAGGTAAGTGCTCCTCTATAGTCGAATCATATTCGGTACTCCTCTATCGTTAATTCGCTGTCAGACGGATACGCTTCCACCAGCTACACTGGAAATTCGCTACGGAGCAGCCTTCTATTGCCTACTAGGTATACAAATATCCACAACCCTACAACTACGTTCGCTGTTTAGCTAATTAAGGTCCTAACTAGCCGAATCTGCATTCGTCTCTCGGATCGTATCCGCTGTTTTCCCTACGGCATACGACCATCCTTAGCGGAGGTAACCACTCGTTCCCTTGATCGATCTTGAAATCGAAGAACTTCCAAATGCGGTGAGTACTATTAAGGCTTTATATAAGTGTAGTGACTGATCTCTTACTCCCTTTACAACATCCTTCGTATACGACAAGTCGTTTCTTCCGGATTTCTAGCCACGTCGATATCGATAGACACGTAGTTTCCTCGAAAATCTGGACCAAAGCTACTTCGACTAGATTGTGTTGCGGAAGGTCATGTCACATGTCCTCAAATATAGGGTTCTTAGGCTTGGTACCCTATCGAAGTATTGAGGTATGTTTTCCAATAACTTTGCTAAACTCTGCGTGGTCCTTAATTATGTCTTTGGTATACCGATCGTTTGTTTCTTCCATGTCCTCGTATGCGCAAGGAGTTTGTTCGCTAGAGGGTCGAGCTTCGAGAAAACTAGCTAACAACGAATCCTCTAGACTGTCTTGGATGATTCACGGGGTTTCGATTCGTGGGGCATAATTATAGGGTTTCTTATCACTTCAACATCTATTATGACCTAGGGTAGACCGATAGTCTATAACTCCGCCTCAGTGGTGAGTCTTCTTGGTCAACTTAGGGTTAACACTCTCATCAATAGTTACTCAGCTAATATATATTTCCGCTTTAGCAGAAGCTTTATCCACGGGAACTAACGATGAGGGCCCACATGGGCAGGCCAGTAGTCCGTGAGCTCGCCGGAGAGGACTTATAGTTCAGGCGGAGGGAGGGAGTTAGCCTATGAAAAGGCCTGAGTATCTCAACTGATGAAGGACTAATTAAAGGAGGTCTTGTTTATGTATACCGTGTTCACCGGCAAGAAGTCGTCTAGGGTTCTTTAAGCAACAGTGTCATCTCCCCCCTACAAGGTACCTACCTAGTATCTGAGTTTTGTATTCTGACACTCTTCATGGCTACTAAATATTGAGTTGCCGCGTTATCCGTCGTGTTGAAATTAATGCAGGTTATGAGGATCACATTAGTTGATTACCTATAAGGTTGAGATTGAGATACTAGTTCTAGATAGTGATTCGTAGATAGTACATATATACTCCTTGAGTACAGGGCGTAGACTTCCAGCCACCTAATATTCCAGCAAAGAGCTTCACCTGTATGTATACCGTGTTCTCCATAGCGAGAGTGTTAGGAGCTCTTCGCGCAACAACGTCGTTGTTTCCTAGTACAACGTAGTTATCTGGTGCCTGATCTCTCGCATTATGAAAGGTATGATTTATTAAGGAAAAGGGAGCTTCGCTCCTAGAAGCGATCTGGTCTAATATATCCACCCTTAGCTGACATAATCAGGGAGCTCTTCCCGGGGGCAATCAGGTGACCTCAAACAGTATTACCTAATTGCCCTGCCACAATGTATGAACCGAAAAGTGTTTTTGGTTCTTGTTGAAATTCTGATCTGGATTCCTTAAGGAATTATTTCCGTGGGGATAATGACGATGATCCTGAGTAGAGATAGGAAACGCTAGCTAACTAGAATACCCGAAACAACCCAACCAACACGGCCATAGATTTCCAGCCAGTAAGATCCTGCCAGACGTCTGGTCTGGAGGAGGACCGGTAGATAAGGGTCTATGGTATCGGACTTAGCCCATGGAGGCCCGTGGAGTCCGTGAGGGTCCTGTTGGCCGCTGGTTCTGGGAGCAGAATAGACAAAGGGCTTCATTTGTATGTATGCCGTGTTCTCCATAGCGAGAGCAGTTTAGAGCTCCTCGCGCAGCAACGTCGTCGTTTCTTAGTGCTCCATGTCTTCCTTGGGACACAGTTACCCTGTGTAATTAACCCTAAAGCAATGTTAGTCAACAATCGATATTAATACTATAACAAGATAGGGAATTACCTCGGACACGGGCGTTCTTAGGTATGATGCGACGACCCACGCAGGAGCCTACATCTGTATTAAGATTTGGCTCCTGTATGTCATCACCGTTATCCTTGCTACTCTCTATGAAGAGAGATTAGGAGTCGCCAGAATATGTATTCCCTCCCTGAGCTACTCATCCCCCGGGAATTCTGTACGGGGATTTGATATCCCAGATGGCTATTAACGCTAGAAAGGTTGGTTGCCTTCTAGGTCTACCCCCTCCCCCCAGCTGGATATCCAGCTTGCTGTGGCCGGAATCGGCTCCGAGTCAACCTGCAGCTGAGTCCCATCCTGTTTGAGATACAGGAGGGTCGACCTCTTGGAGCCATTTCCAAGGCGAGGAAATAGCTGCAGGTCGTGGATGGTGGAGGGGAGGGGGGGTCGTATCCATTGGGAGGGCCAACTGCTTCATATCTTGGTTGTACCGCGATATGAAACGAGAGTTCAAGGGTCTGTTTACATTCTGTTTAGTATATGAACGTCGTATACATGGGTAGGAATAAAGAAATAGCGGGGTAAAGAGATATTAGGATAGGTACATACCTTCGTGGATTAACACGTTTTTTCTTGTGAAGGAATGTAGAGTAATACTCTTTCCCCAAGGCGACCATATCCAGGTCGGCCTCAACTGGATTAGGTGCCAGTGGGGAACGCGGTGTAGAGTAAAAGTATTAAGAAATTATTTTCGTAGAAGTGAAGAAGTGTGTTGGGTAATAAAAGGAAGTTAGAAATTAGGTTAATGTTTGCGCGGAATTATACGCGTGCATTGTTGGACGAAAGGGATGCGGCGAGTTTAGATAGCCCCGCGGCAAAAGCGTCGAAGTTTCCAGGGTTCTTTTATGCCGGAAACATGAGGTATTCTTTAGGAATGACCTGTTTAAGCCACGCCGCGCCGCCCCAGGCCATGACTTAGTTGGGACAGCGGGCGATAGTAGGCTGGAGTCAGCTGTTAAAACAGCGTGACTCTGTTATATAGCCCATATACGCGCCGACCGCGTTCGTGCGACGCCCTCATGTCTATTCAGACATGAGGGCAGTGTGAAATTGATGGGACATAGTGATGTCCTGGGAGAGATTAGGAGTGTGTATCGCATAACGACTCTATAAAAGAGGATTTCAGGATCTTCTGACGAGTAGATCTTTTGGATCCTAATTATCATAAAATTCGTCAGTAATCTTTTCAATTTCCTGTAACTAGAATATGGGAGGGTAACAAACTGCGTCAAGGAATTATTATATACTATTAGGTATATGTAGGTGGCAACCCATAGGAGTGTTGTCACTCATGGTTGCCAAAAGCGGCAGGCCATTGATAACCAGCCAGATTGCGGGTATCTCTCCCGCACCGCGCATACGATATGATTCGACGCGGTGGGGAGGTGTGAGCTGCTAGCCTTAATGGCCTAGCTTGTAGCACGTGGCACGTAGCATTTATGCTACGGCCTTTTAGGTGCTACATTATAGCCTACCTCGTTTTACGAACGAGGAGGCTGTATTTCCATTAGTGAATAATTGATATGTTTTGTTATGATATATCATGTTAAGACTTACCTGTACATTCACGTGCGAAGAGCCGGCTGTTCAAGTAGAGGTTGGACTTTTGGCTTTGTGCTGAACCACCCGCAGTGGAGGAGAGGTATTGGCATCATTCCTCACTCTTGCTGGCGAGAGTGAGGAATCGGATAACCGATCGTGCAAAACACCCAGGATAACTCACTGGGTGATTGCAATTCCGTTAGATTTTATGGTGTAAGCGAAATGAACGTGTGTTAACACGATTGAAGGTGTGTTGAAAAACAAAATAAAGAAAGAAAAGAAACGAGAATTGTGGGAGGCACAGAAGTTTTAAGTATTACCGTCAATCATTGAGCAGTAGGGACGGTGACGAGGGATCACCCCGCTGCAACGGGAATCAGGAACTGTCCACGCTGATTGTGTGAATACTTCAACCGTACTTAGGTAGGTACCTAAGTACCTGGTATGTAAAATTATTGTCACTATACCTCTTTTTGTCGTTGGGATCATAAATCGACGCAATTCATACGGGGCTACATACGATTCAGGGGTACATATCCCCTATGTACCTTGTACCTACCTAGGTAATGAATAAGGTACTTATATAATATTTTACTCGTAAATCATTTTGAAAACACTACTTCAGTTGATATTAATGGCTCTATATCATCTTGGTGCTATTATTCATACATGTATATTGTACTAGATGGGTTTGCTGGCGATAAATGCTATTTTTTTATGTACGTACATTGTCCATGTCGACATCAGATTGCCGACAGTACTTGTGTTTTGTCTACCTTCATGCTTAGGTACGTACCATTAATAAAGGCCACTGACAATATCCATTTATTCTAGTATCGTGACATATATTAACGACAGAACACTTGGTACTTGAGTTAAGAAAAGCTGACTAATCACTATTGTGAGCTTAGTAAGGATATGCTGACTAAGGAAAATTCAGGGGCATCGCTTAGTAATACGGTGATCCAGTTGAAAAACATGTACACGATTTCTCTCCCTCGACATTCACAAACAATACGTTAAACACCATATACAAAATTCTTTCTTATTCAAACCCAAGTACCTATCGTCTACAATTTCCCGCCATTAAATCCCCACCCCTACCTATTTTCCGACACTTATCCATTATAATAAATACCCTCATATTCCCACCCGCCCATAGCCATGTACTTCAAGTCTTCTCTACTTCCGCCCAAACATCCCATTCCCCATAAACTTCGCCTTATCAAAAGTATTCTTCACCCCGCCCGAAAAGAACGACGACCGCTGCGTCTTCAGCGGAGGGGGCGTCTGTTCCCAGTCCAGCCCGCTGTATTGCTGTTGTTGTGGTCCTGATGCGCTGGCGTAGTATCCCTGATGTTGCTGCTGTTGCCATTCTTGGGGCTTGTATGCTGGGCCTTGGTACGCGGTTGCTGTTGAGCTGGGTTGTTGCTGCTGCGATTGGGCGTACGAGTCTGGGTTGTACGGGGTGAAAGCGGGTTGTTGCGTGGGATACTGGGTTGCTGGTGCTTGGTATGGAGCTGAGCCGCTGTATCCGATGCTATTGCTTTGGTAATGGGAGGAACTCTGGGGCTGGGTTGTGGGAATTGATGATTGGCTCTGTTGGTATGAATGCGTGTTTTGGTACGGTGCGGAAGATTGAGGGGCGGAATCGTCGGGTCGATAGGGGGCTATTGTCGGCCCTTGACTGACAGGTGCCGATGGTGCTTGAAATCTCCCAGTAGATGATTCCGAGGGTTGCGGGGAAGGTGTGTGGTTGTATTGAGATTTACTCTCATAGGGCATGACTGGCGCCGGCTTCCTCTTGACGTAGTCTTGAGAAGGCAATTCGACAGCGTGTGATATTGGCTCGCTTAAACCTTGGGTTATCTGTTCAGTCCATTGTCCTATCCCGGTTTGTGGGGAAGCTTGCTTGACAGTTTGCGGAACCGGTTGTTGGTAAGCCTCTGTGCTCGTTTGTGCGGCGGGCTGGTAAGCTTCTTCTCTCTTTTCTTGGGCACCTGACTGATAATCCGATTCTTCGGCCCCAGCGGGAGCCTCTGCAGGCGACTTATCCGTGAACTTATTCCACATCTCTGCTTGGTTAGCTAAAGCGGTCTTGAGCTGCTCCGACATTTGGGCAAAGTCGAATGTGTCAGTCTCTCGAGGTTGTTCCTCAGTCGAATGGGAGTCGAAGAATGTTCCTTCATTACCACCGTGTTGCGAGCCTTTAGTATTGTCTTCATGATGATCATCAGAAGTGGTAGATTCTCCCCCATCCGAACCACTATCATGTTCATTCTCGCTATGATATCTCGGAGTTTCAGCCCCGCTTGGGAATCTTGGGGTCGGCGGAGATTCATCGTCGTAGTTGAGCTCTTGTGGCTTGCTGAAAGCGCTTCTGACAACACTAGTGACTTCAGCGTTCCCGGAGTCCATAGAACTTTTAAGATCTCTCAAGAGGATTGAGACGCGATCGATTAGGACCTTCAGGCATTCATGATTCTCGTGCTCGAACGCTGTCTGTATGGCGTTCAAGCTCCTTTTATTCGAATGCATGATATCTGCGCCACTATTAAGCAGAAATAAAACGGCTTCTTCATCGCCGCGGGATGCGGCTACAATGAGAGGAGTATCCCCATCATTATCCGCAAGGTTGATGTCAGCGCCGGCATCGAGCATCAGCTGCAGTGAGGACTGAGGCATATACGCAGCGGCACCAGTAAGCGGCGTACCCGAAGGATCCGACTCGCCGACGACATCTAGTTTGGCTTTTGCCTTGACTAGAAGCTCCACTATCTCCTCCTCAGCGCGCATCGCAGCAGCTACAATAGGAGGCTTATCAGAACCCGATCCTAGGTTTGGATCAGCACCATGCTCTAGAAGTAGTGCGACTATATCCGTCTTTCCCCATTCACATGCCCCTTGAATGGCCGTTCCACACTCGAAATTGGGGTTCTCGGTGCAAGCATTCACATCGGCCCCACGTTTTAAAAGCTCCTCGACAACATCGTAATGGCCCTCGGTAGCGGCTGTCTGAATTGCCCATCCCTCTGGAGCGTTTACGTTAGCGCCAGCGTCTAGAAGTAATCGGACGATGTTCATTGTCCCATCGTACGCGGCAGCAGTCAAAGCATTGCCATATCTTCAGTTATGTCAGCATTTATCCATGTATATCGCCAAATGATCTGTCCACTTACTCTTCGCCAGTCGCATTAGGATCTGCTCCGAATTTCTTCAGAAGCAACTCCACTGTAGATTCCTTCTCTCTATCAGTAGCATCGTATAGAGTCTTGTTGAGCATTTCCCGACTAATCGACCCGCCGGTATATTTCCATATTTCCTCGAGAAACTCATCTTGAGGTTCCGAGCATGTCGCTGCCTCATAGAAGACATTGTCGCAGTTGAGTCCGGTACGCTTTTCTAGAAGGATCGAGACGATATCCCAGTTCCAGTCATCTATAGCTGCTTCGAGAGCCTTTTGGAAGTATTCTTGGCTGTGCTCAAACTCAAGCAGCTTATTGAACACCTCGACTCGACCTGCCTCTGCAGCCTTGACGAAGGCCTTGCTGTACTCTTCAGCAGGGAGTTTATCCGCATATTTCTCAACTAGATATCCGAACATGGATATATCAGACAAGGACGCGGCATGTGCCAGGGGCGGTTGGAGATCTTCTCGCTCCACTGTCAACGAGACGCCGCGCTCTACAAGTAATTCGACACATGCTCGGTTTCCAGAGGAGATTGCTGCGTTTACTACCGGTCCGATGTCGTTCGCTATCGCGTTAGGATTGGCTCCTCTCAGAAGTAGCTTCTTCATAACTTCGACGTGGCCGTCAAACGCAGCCATGTGCAAAGCTGTTTGATCTTGCGCGTCGATTCCGTCGTCAATCTCGGCACCCTTGTTGAGCAACTCCTCGACAATCTTTGGGCGCCCAAACCCAGCGGCTAAATGCAACTAGAGGCGAACGTTAGTGATAAATAAAGTGTTTGGAATCATTTTATACTCACAGGTGTATTGAATAACGAATCATATATCTTAATCTGGTCCTGGTAGCCGTTCCTAATCAACGCTGCGACAAGTTCCCTAAAGCCAATCGAAGCGGCGATGTCTACATCCTCGTTAGTCAGCAAAAATCATTACTAATAATGGGCTTGAGAAGCATACGTAAGCCCGTCATCGTCTTGTAGTCGTAGTTTTCAAAAACGTTAGTCATCCGACAATGTTCAACAAGCCAGCGGTGTCGTATAATCGAATCAGGCTTCCAGAAGGATTCTTCGAGGCTCAAGTCTTCGGCGATTTCACGCGTAGCTTTACTGGCATGACGAAGCCAATACTTGACCGTATACGGGACTAAGATGATTAAGTTAGAAATGGTTTCCAATCGACATCTACGATTCAGTCAATGCTGGATTCGAGTAATTGACTTACGAGCCTTGTCATAAAGGATATCGGCCTCAGGGTCCTGTTCTGCCGAGCTGTCTTCACTAGACCATTCGCTCCCACTATCTTCTGACTCGTCATCATCATCCTCCTCCTCTTCTTCCTCGTTATCGCTGCCTTCGTCTTGACTCCCTTCACCATCTTCGTCATTATTTTCTTCGTTTTCAGCTTCTTCTGGTTTCTCTGTGATGGGGAAGTCAAAGCTTTCATTCACATGTGAGAATGACCGGAGCGCAAGAACACCGTGCTGCCACTTCTTTTCCTCGCTCGACATTCCGAGTAGCTGGTTAGCGTTCTCCAGTAGATGTGTCTTGACAACGACATTCATGAAACTGATTGTATAGCTCGTTCGTTTGATAACCAAAAGTGGCTTGCACTTCTCCACGAATTTCAAGAGTTCAGCTTTCTCCTCGTCGCTTGAGGAGAAGCCGGCAAGGACACATAATTCCGCCTCGGTGGGATCTTCGTATGTGAGGACAAGGGCTCGTAGCATCTCCTTGATTTTCTCAACATCTGCTTCGTTGGTCTTGAAAATTTGGAGCCATGCATTGTTCAAAAGCATCGTCAGATCTTGAGGCATGTTTTCAAGTACCCGTCGAACTGTCAGGTCACTTTCAGCTTGCGGGAGTTCTTGGAGTTGAATACATGTAATGTCGATCCACTGGGTATTCTGAGCACGCTTTCCAATAAGACTGCTTGCGAAATACGCAAGCGCCTTGTTGTAGTTCTTCTCCTTTTCAAGCGTCGTAATTCGCTCCTTCGCACGTTTTCGCAGAGCCGTTTGGACTTGGTCACCATATTTCTCGTCCTCGAGGTCAACAAGACGGACACCCTCAACTTTGAGCGCTTCTCCAATGTTGTGGGCCTCTCTACTAGTGATCATCCATCTCGTCGTAACTCGCTTCGAATCAAAGCCATTGGTGTCGGTCTGCAAGTCCTTCTTCAAGTAATTCATCAACTTAATGGTGGAATCCCAGTCTTCAGGGAGCACATGTAAGTTATTCAAAACGAAAATAACCTTACTGCCGATAAAGTCGTCGTTAAGCATATCTTGAAGGGTTTGCCACAGGTTCTCTACAGTCACCCGCGCTCGCGACAGGCTCTCTTCGCCCTTCTTCTTGGCGAATGATTTCGCATAGGAGGCAAGCATCTCCTGTTGGTTTATCAGCTGCGTAATAAGACTCTTCAGAAGGTCTTCGGCTGTGGAGTAATCTGTTGCTGGGTCGCAGAAGAAGTATGCAAGAAGAACTGGCCCTTCGGAGGTGTCCTTCTCCCTGATTCTCTCAATCTCATCAATAGCGGCTAAGGAAGCACTGGTTTTCCCTCTACCCTCTGGTCCGCGTATCCATAAGCACTCCACATTACGAAATACGCGGCCATCGTCATAGTTATCGGGATCGTATAGCCATTCCTTGTATTCGGCTTCCTTCGTAATCCAAGAAGATGGCGCAAATGTCTGAGCTAGAGTCCTGCGTTTCTTGGAAACCTGTGCGCCATCCAAGACTTCCATGATACCGTTGATCATTGATCGATCAATGTCACGAACGGAATTCAACCGATTCTTAACTGCCAACTGGGCACCATGAATTATTTTCTTCATGGGGTCCTTGACAAACTGGCTCCACATGTCGTCCTTTGGTCCATCGAACTTCACAAGATCTCGATGATTAGCTGCTAAGCCTTGCTCTTCAACGCCCGGGAGCGTCGCAGAGTCTCGCGTAACGAAATCGGCGTACGATTTTGGAATCGCGAGTTTGCTTAATCCGAAAAGGCTAGGCAAGCCAGCCATCTTGGAGAAATCGGTCGGTTGCTCTTCATAGAAGCACAGCAGTTCAATCTTGGGGTTAAGTTTCCCTACAAGGCGCATGAATTCGTGCTTGAGTTCTCGTAGTCCTTCATCTCCCGGTTTCATCAAATCTAATAGTTTGGAAGAAGAAGCCGCGCCTATCTTCTCGGCATAATATGCGTACATTGCTGCTGCAGAAGCAGCGGCTGCGCCGTTAAAAGGCGTGCCGAAAAAGATAGCGGCCGCGATGGCTTCGAACATGACGGGGAATTTATCCCGCCGAGAGTCGGCGATAGTAATGGCTTTCGCAATTACAAGACCACCCATACTATGACCAATAAACACGATCGGCCGCCGTTGTATGCGGTCCTAGTATTCCTAGATTAGCATAAAACAGGTAAGACAATTCTTCAGATTTTTGCTTACCTCTCTCTTACTCTTCAGCCCGTTGAGCAAGGTCATCGCGATATTGCTCATAAACTGCTTCACCTTGAGAGACCCAGTCCAGGCTGATTCGTACATGTAGAGCAAGATACGCGCCCGCGGGAAATCCCTAACTAGTCCATCTGTAGTCCAGTTGAAGCCAGTACTCTCAGATTTCCAGCTATCTTCCGGATTCGCTCCCAACCCAGGTACGAATACGATACTATGAGCGGTCAGAACCGAAACTCCTGATTTACATATCTTCGCGCATAAACTCACTCAATTTCGGGCTCGACATTTTGTTTATCGAGAGGATAAAGCTCTTTGATTCCTTGCTGGACGATATCGTAGTCCTTCCTCCGCCTCGCAGGCCCCGACGGGGGTTTCCGCGTAGTAGCGGTACGCTGCAGCGACATGATTACACGACAACAACAGCAAAACGAAAAAGAAAGACAGAAACGATTCAACAAATTCGAGCCCAGAGGCTCTGCGCCGGGACATCATAAGTTATACCCCATGATGACAAACCCACCGCAGACGATAGCCAGTGGGACGGCCCCCAAAAGTCCCTAGGGCTAAGGAACGGTAGCTAATAAGATGGCGCGAGCATGGGTTCATTCCGCGTGCGGCTGATCGTTTCGTCCCAAAATTGAATACCGCTTTTGCCGCCTGTCAGCACTAAAAAGACCCGTCAGATTATTATTATTAAAGCCCTGCTAGGCATCACTAGCTTCTCTTCGTCGCGATCGCGTGGATGATTCATTCTTCTTCACGTTTTCTTCGCGCCGCGCCGCTGATTCATTATGAGTACGTCTTTCGATCGTGGTTCAACGTAGGTGCTTTGCTACTGCAAGTGAGCAAAGATATTACCTCAGCCTTGAATGTTTCGACATAACAATGCATAAGATGACTGCACACCAGCTAGAGATGACTCGTCGGTTTACAGGGCTGAGGGGGTAAACGAAGCTTGCAGCATTGGCATAAGATAGGAAGGGAAATAGTAGGACAGGTTAAGATCAAATCAGGTGGAGATCCCCAACTCTAGAAGCCCAAGCGCTGCGGCTAGGGTTGCAGCCGATATTATTAATAGGCTGGAACCCCTGTAAACGGCAAGAATTAGAGTGGACCATAAGGCCGTATCCGCCAACCCGCCAATTCAATTAATGTATTGAAATGTATACAGTATAATACAGTACAAATACGTACAGTATTATAGATATTTCACACGGTGCCCTGAATCTTACAGTGGGTCATAGTGCTACAGGGCGCTGAAAGCCCTATAACTTATAGGCTTTGTAGCGCATTAGCTCCTTATGACTTATGGGTAGCTTTTTAGGTATGTAAAAAGCCCTAAAGCTATTATCGATGTCTGAACCTTTTCGAAACGAATTAAATTAATGGATTGATCTCATTTAATCGACTAATTTAATACAGTTAAATGCGTAATAAGTAAGTAGATATATAAATAAAGATATACGCGTAAGAGTTCAAAACGAGGGGTATCACATGACATGCGCTGAGGCTTATTCAGAGGTAGGTATGTAAAAAGGCTATACGCTATAACCCCTATAAATTACAGGGGCCTTCAGCGCCCTATAGCGCTATAATCCCCTGTAAGATTTAGAACACCGTGTGAAATATCTATAATACTGTACGTATTTGTACTGTATTATACTGTATACATTTCAATACATTAATTGAATTGGCGGGTTGGCGGATTTGTTCTTATGGTCCGCCGTCAGAATCTGCAATATTATTCGATCTCCAGCTATGATATAGCCCCAACGAAAGCCCAATGGAAATGAAAGGCTTAGCTGTAGCTGGTCGCATACAATGTTACGTACAGTAGCGTAAGATCTATGCAAGCAAGGCTTTAGAAGTCCATATGAGCAGGCTCTAGCCCATCACGATGAAGATGAGAATCTTTTCCGCTTCGTTTTCGAGACTCGAGCTGCTAGACGCCGTAGAAGGAGATTGAATGATCGTCGCGATTCTCGAAGACCGATTCTCAAAAGCTGTTTTCTAATAAATTAGTTGTCACGATGGCTACATCGACTGCTCCTTTCACGACTCCCGTGCTTGGGTCGCGAGAGCCTCGCGAGGGGCACCAGTCCACAGGCTTCGCCGCTCTCCTTCCAGCATCTCATCGCAATAAAGATGACCATATTGTTGTTCCCCGACCTGACCTGGAGTTTCTAAAGCGAGAACTTCTTGTTAAAAGATTAAACGATGTCCAAGATTGGCTTTGGATCTGCGGTCGACCTATGCCGCCTCGCCCATTACGGTATGTGATCGAGGAAGAGTTCTGACAAGGCTACAAGCCTGCCTTATGAATAATAACGAGTACTAATCCGCGTTTAGTGAGTGTTTTACCTCTTCTTTACCCCCAACCCTTCTATAAACCCCGCTATGGGAGACTCCCAGTGGGGTAATGGTAATGCGTAACTGAGACATGCGCCTAAAAGCCGAACTTTATAGCGCGTTGCAAGATGCTAACCAGCAACAGATCACCAAGTTCTCATCTCTCGAGACATCATCATAACCGAGGACCCCGAACTCCATCTCGTATGGTCGAAAAACCGCATCTACCTTAAGCCGATTCCACTATATCTCCTCGACCCAGAATTCTGGAAACATCATATCCACGGCGACGATTTAATAAAATGCGCCCGAGGTTTCCTCTACTCCTACACCGCGCTCATCGCGTACGAAAGCGACTTCAAGCTTGCGACCACTAAGGGACTGCTGCCTGAGGACATCGACTGGGCGCAATGGAAAACACTCTCGAGGGAGATCCTAACGAGTCACCACTACGAGTTTATCAACCCGAGATACTGGTACGGCGAGCTACGCCTGAGTCGACTGAATAAAGTGTACCGAATACGGCAAGGATTTGTCTTGCGCGGCTACTCCAAAGTCGCGTCTCACGCGGTCTACGGGGACCTAATAAGCGACAACTTCGGTGCCCTAGCAACGATACTAGGATACGTGGTCATCGTGCTCACTGCAATGCAGGTCGGTCTCGGCGTGGAAAGACTCCAGACCGACGAGGCATTCCAAAACGCGAGCTACGGGTTCACGGTATTTTCCATCATAGCGCCACTAGTAGCGAGCATAGGGATCGCGTTGGTAGTGGTGGTCATGTTTGCCAGTAATTGGGTGGCCACGAAGAGTTACGAGAAGAAGAGGTTTCGCGTTATGAACGTGGAGCCATTCTGGAGAGCACCGGAACCGAAGGCGACTTTCTCGTCCGTTAAAAGTAATCAAGCCAATCCGAACGACCATAATGTCTAAGAAACGGGAAATGGGAAATTGGATTTCATATATTACTCTCGAATCTAGGGTATGGCTGCATGTCGTCGTCTATCAGAATGTCCGTTACACCAACGCCATTTCTTACAAGTTCGTCTCACGATAGTTCACTGCGGCCGAGCGCAGGAGGGTCATAGATGAGATCAAGCATAGTTGGGAGGTTTGTGAGTATAGGCTAGCTCAAGTCCTACTCAAAATAAGATTACTTATACAAGGAGGTGGACGTTATGGTATTACTTGCCAATATCCCTTGCTTTCTCTCAAACCATAATGAGCACCAACAGCAGCGACGCCTACTCTTTTCGTCCAGATCATAGTTCGTGATACCTGATATCGATATATCACAAATGAAAAATATACTAGGATTCATATGTTACCATTCCAATTCACCATGCACGTTTCATCACTCATCTAGGTGAAGTAGCAGAAAATGAACTTCGGACGATAGATCACGCCGACATTATGAATATATATACTAGATAGAATACCCGTTTTCCATCTACACTATCTCTCCAAATACCACTTCCAAGGTTCGTATCGGCATTACCGCATAATCCCTAGAGTTTCTTCAGGCTTAACTAGAAGTTAAAGCCATCACCTTTCATCAAGATGTTATCACTCGCCCTTCTTCTACTCCCACTGTTCGCCCTCGCCGCGCCGTCTTCTGAAGGCCAGCTAGCGACTCGTTCCACACCTATCAAGCCTAATAAAGCTTATACCTGGATCCCTACGGAAACAGAAACATACGAATACATATTTGACGATGGCCTACGGTGTAATTTCCTTGCGGCCGACAATCAGACAACCGCTAATTCCGACGATTGTGTAAACTTGCAAACCGACATTTTCCATAATAACGGCGTATGGCAGAGTGAGTAGACCACTTCTACACGAACCCCAACACCCCCGTGCACGACACAACATCAAGTCAACCTGCTAATCCGACATGATATCATAGTGGACGGCATAACCAAGCCCGACGACCCCAACGACTGGAACCTCCTCGGGATCAACGGAACCTGCACTATTCTCGTCCAGAACAGCAGTCCCACCAAGATTGCCAACGGGGATGCAAGCTTTTGCATGTCTATGGGTACCTGGCAACAAACTAGAGACCGCGACTGGATTGAATACAAGTTCTATCTCGTCAATGATGAAGGCACGATGATCGACTTCTGGGTTCGGAACACGGCGGGGCTGGACCTCAGCAATATTGTTGGGCAATGAGTCTAGGAGACAGAGCTCGAGGATTCCTACGCCGACGCGCGGCGATGACAGGAAGCGATCCTATTAATATTCTTTTTCGAATTGTGCCATTTGTCACGAGACATTTCTTCAAAAGTTAACAGGGGAGCATGCGACGGGAAAGTGTTGATCGCAGTTTATATTTCATAATGTCTATCCCTCACGCGCTTAGACAAGATAATTATTATACCAACCTGGGAGTTGTTAATACCAAATCAATATTTCTTTTTCATTTGATTCATCACCACGCCTCGCAGAAATCTCCAGCAGCACTTTTTACCAGCTGCACAACTTCCAAACCCGCGCCAAATACCATCGCCTCAAAATCGCGAATACGGTAGCCTAAATATCCAACGTCAGTAACACCATAAACCACCGCATAGAAACCAACTCACCACTTCCCCCTCAACGTAATATTAACCCACGCCACGCCCTCCGCATCAACCTCCTTCTCGACCCTCGACGAGAACGCAATCGCGCTCATAATCCCATCTCCAAACTTCTCATTCATAACCGCCTTAAACGCGTACCCATAATTCTGCACAATCTCATAAAGCCTGTACACCAGGGGTTCCTTCGGGGGCATCGGGCCGACATGTCCGCGGTTCGGGATATGCGAGATCGACGAGGCCTCGAGCATATCTTTCTGTATGCCGAGGAGTTTCGACAGCTTTTCGATGTCCGAGGGGGAGGCCTGCGCTTGGCCCAGGAAGAGCGCGGCGACGGCGACTTCGCTGCGCCCGAGCTCGGTGGCGATTTGCTCGAAGGTGATTTTGTTGACGGTTTTGGCGCCGAAGAGCAGCTTGGAGTACGCGGGGAGGTTCTCGGCTAATGTCTCCTGAGGCGTGGATTAGTATGGCTGGGTTTGGGGAGTGAGGGAGCGCTTACGTCGAGGGTGGCGAGGTTTTGGGTTGACATTTTGATGATGACTTTCTTGTGATTACTCCTTTTAAATGAGATTATAATGAATATACGACTTTGGTATTTCCCAACACAGTTTCCGGGAGAAAGACAATTTATTTATGAGCGGACGAGAAGCTTACTGAGACGATGACGTTAGGTAATAAGTACCTATTCCGATCCATTGACAAATAACCCCGCGCAGAGCTTGGAGCTAGCTAGACGCCGTCTTTGCGCCTACATAGTACCCCGACAATCTCGGCACGGGGATAAGCCGGGAACTCGGCGTCTGCGCCAGCACGGCATGCCGCTGGTAATAAATACACCGATTCGGCATCCCCGAGCGCAGTTCAAACGCCGTCGAGCTTATACCCGGTAGCAGACGGGTCCGGACTTGATTATTTGATGCTGACTAAGTCCGAGGAGAAGGGACTTTCTGCGATGCTTACTGAGGTCGTATCGTCGATCGGTGTTGAGAAGGGCAACCATGACGCTGATATACCTATTCAGTTTGAAGAATCTTATTCATTATAACTTAAAGACTTAATCTCATATAATATGTAATATCAATACTAAAATTTTGTCAAGGATGAGCGACTGTATATTTTAAGAAGAATTTTCCACATCCCGGCTAACCCCTATTCCTCGACCCCTATTATTATTCAATAGCAAAACAACACCTCAATGGCTATTATCTCTTAGCATCTTACTATATACCTACATGCGTTAAACCTTTGCTTGTGGAATGTTTCCGTAAGAAACACGATGTTCTTGTAATGTGATGAGGGGCAAAATGAGTCGTTCATCTTAGAAGAACTCCAAGATATTTCGTTAATACCTACCTAGGTATTATTAATTCGTATTCAAGTAGACATCGCTTTTGTTTTTCGTAGATTGAAAGAGATTCCAGTTAGAAAGAGGATCACAAAGGAAGAAGTTATTGTATACCTGCTGGAACGTCTTTGTTCCTATCGAAACCGACAGCGTCTTTCTTTTTTGGGTGCATTGGACAATCCAAGCCTCTAAGACAATGAATTTCACATTATCAACTACCATTTCTCGAAACGTACCGTACTTCCATAATTGTTCTATGCATAGTTTCCGTAGCGTGAAGCCGCACGTACTTAGGATATCACAACCAAGACCTGACATCAGCAGCCATCATGTCGATACCACTTCGTGAGTATAAATACCACATATAATTATGGATTGGTAGTAATCTGTCTGATATCTAGTCCAATTATTCAAGCGAGATACTCATCCGGAAGTGAATCTGACATTTTACGATGCCCGAGAAGCGTACCGCTTTACCCGACAGTACTTTAACACTCATGCAACTCGTATAGAATTTCAAAAGGTCGGTGGATTCGGTTCTTCAGGAATTATAACTATTTGGTCATTGAAGGATAGATTTAATCGACACACGCAAGATGTTGCGGTCAAACTGCCCGTCCAGATATATGACCCGCACTTCCGCATGGAAGTAAGTTGGATGGCGGTAAGTGTACCACTCGTATTCTCCCAGGACGTTAGTTTGGTAGAGTGGCTAACAACTGCACCTAGGTGACTTTTAAAGCATGTGAACATTTTGTCCAGCTTGTGAAGCTCTCGCGCAATATCTTGGACCGGGGTAGATACAATGACTATGAGAATTTCGAAGACGCTTCCGGGGCTGTAATGATAATGGAATATTACTCTAGGGGAGACCTAGGTGACCTTTTGAGTCGGGTGAACGACGCGGCTAGGACGAACGCCAACGTCACCGACGACGAGAAAAAGTTGGAATATATACCGCTTCGTATTATGTGGAGGATGTTCCTTTGCAGTACGACACTAATCTATCCTGTAGAAACGTCAAGTATCTCGCTAACAAGTCTTATTAGTTGTCAGAATGTGTATAGGAATGGCCTACCCGCCTCCACCAGACAGGGACATGAATACCAGGTATAGGGAAATAATCCCGGGGGATGACTACGACATAACGCCAATCATTCATTTTGATATGCATCCCCAAAATAGTATTCTCCCATACCCAAATCTAGGTTAGAAGAGGCGCCTATGCTAACGCCTCCTAGTTTTCATGGAGAGACCTGGTAATTTTTCACACGAGCATGGATCTGCGCCCAGGCTTAAGGTTAGTTTTCATCGCTGACCCAACTTTGATTTCGATCCCTTGCTAACAGTGAACCTAGCTGGCTGATTTTGGGCTTTGTGCAGAGTGGCAGGAAGACGTAAGTCCCGTGGGGATGTGCCTCATCTACATCCATAGCACTCGAGTCTACAGGCCAAATTATATACTTCAAGAGAAGTTGCTAACTGTTTGTAAAAATGACAGTGGACCGAAGCAGAGTATGTTATTCAATAGGTGCTTGAATAGCGCCATTTTTCTGATAGTCAATCGTAGGAAGATCTCCACCGCCAGTGTTGGAAAGCCAGGGTACCAAGCACCTGTAAGTCACCTCTCTAATGTAGTCAGCGAAGACGAAGCGTTACACGAATACTAAATATTTAAATAGGAACAACGTCAACGAGACCGGATTCTTGAAGAGTATGCTTTTGGCGATCATACCAATGTATGGAATGCGGGATACGTACGTCTGCTCAACAACCCAAGCTGCCGTCTACGGTGATAAGAATGGACATTTAACCCATTTCACAGCTTATGTTTAATATACTAACCTTCTACTTCACGGACGACCCGGATTGGCAGGCGCGAGACTGCGAGATGCAGATGCCAGACGGCGAGATGAGAGTGGTCAGAACGTGGGCACCTTACCTCGTCGGCGATCCAGTCTACGACGAATTCAAAAATTACGACATCGAGATGCGCACTTTGATAGCCCGGTGCATGGCGGACGATCCTGACGACCGGCCGCCCCTAGACGAGCTCGTCGATGCCATCGAATATTTTATAGGGCAAGGGGATGAGGCGGCAAATGAAGAGTCTCGAAGGTTGGAAGAGATGAGGGCTCAGAATCAAGAACCACGACCACCCCCCATAGACGTCAAGAGAGCGCCTGACGTCGAGTCCGACGAATTGCTGAAAAGATGGGCCAGAGAGTATATCAATGAGCCGCTTATGAGACAGGATCCCTATGCCGATCTGTGGGATTCATAGTAAACCTTCGGGGATAGTAGAGGGTGCATATCGGGATCATATGGCGCTGAGGCTTTTTTGTTCTTTTATTCGTTGTTCGGAATTAGAGGGGACGTGCAGTTGTAAACTCCGTAGCATATTTTGCTTTTTGAAAATGAGGAACTACTCTCTAGAAAGACGAGTTCGGAAACTTAGATATATATATATTAACTTCAATATTGATGAAAATAGGATGCGATTTTTGAAGAATAAAGGAGATACCTTAGAGAATTAAGGTAAAAATGAAGTTGTAAAGTTGAAGTTAAGTTCAATAGATCGGTGTTTAAGTTGAGCTGAAAAAGGGGAGAATAAAGAAAGTTCATCTAATCTAATCGATAAGGAGCTGCGGGGCATGAGTAAGAGCCGTTTGGTGCATTCTAAGCTTCTTTTTAACTGGGACTGACGCAATCACTTCAAAGCTTATAATATATAAATGATGTTAAAGCTCTCACTCCCATTTCTCCGAGGATTTTCTTTAAGATATTATATATTTAGATGGCTGTCTACTTCCAGGTAGTTATAGGATATCTCTCTAATAATTAAACTAGTAATTCTTCCTTTACTCTTTCGTCCTAGCCATGAACGGGTTCACCGGTACCAATGAGTCGCATGACACAAATGAAGATCAACATAGCCAATACAATGACCATTACTCAAGCGCAAGCGACGAAGACAATGATGCAGTTGAGGTATGTCAGACAACTCGTCTTAGCCAGCCAATAATTCTGAAATTTAAATCAAATAGGTCACATTTGATCCATCGAGTCTCTACCGACGAAAAAGCTCCTTAATATATAGCGAAACCGACGGTCCGAAATTTGCGGCGTGCAAATCAAAGGCGGGAGCCACCCAATGTTTAGTTCACCAATTTCTTGAAGGATATAGAAATGAAAATCGTAAAAATACAGATAGAGAGCAGAACGATAATACTCATGTCACTACTACTGGCTTGGATTCGTACGTTGAACCTAAGGGCAAACCTGCAAGTCCACAAGTAAATGGGTCTCCAAAAGATCTGGACAGCGATGCTAGCACAGAGGCAGGGCAACCCGACCAAGAGTCGTGGAAGAAAGCTCGGCTTGGCTTAGATCATAACGAAGGCCTTAACAGCCGCCTACTCACAAAGAAACAATTGACAGATATGGCCTGGGGAGTCCGAGAAATGAGCCGAAGACTAGGAAGCATACGACTGAAGTTCAAAGTCAGAAGCGTCTTCCTACTAACAAAAGCTTACGATCGGGAATTAATACCAAAGACGAGATTAGTAGCGAAATGGCTACTTAGTAAGGCCAGAGAAGTTCGGTATACCGTTTATGTGGAAGAGAGCTTGAAAAGCTGCGAAGAATTCGATACTCCTGGGTTGTTGCAAGAGCTTTGCCAAGAACACAACGATTCCGACGGGGTAGACAAAAACGCCACCAAAAAGTCATTAGAAAATCGCTTACGTTTCTGGACCGAGAAAATGTGTCGCAAGCGTCCACATACATTCGACTTCGTCATCACGCTCGGAGGCGACGGGACAGTCCTCTACGCGAGCTGGCTATTCCAACGAATAGTGCCACCAGTCCTCAGTTTCTCCCTAGGCAGCCTAGGCTTCCTAACAAAATTCGAATTCAACGAATACTCCGAGATCCTATCCACCGCATTCCGAGACGGCGTAACCGTAAGCCTGCGTCTGCGTTTCGAAGGCACCGTAATGCGCAGCCAGCGGAAAAAGAACCAACTCACGCAAGACGAATACACGGACGACGAGGGAACGCGGCGGAAACGGGATTTAATAGAAGAGCTGATCGGCGAGGAGCGCGACGACGAACACACGCACAAGCCAGACGGGACGTACGAGATCCTCAACGAAATCGTCGTCGACCGCGGGCCGAACCCAAGTAAGTCCGCCCCGCGCACCCCCAACTCGCACAGCGCTCACTCACGCACCCCCACAGCAATGTCCTACACCGAGATCTTCGGCGACGACGAACACTTCACCTCCGTGCTCGCCGACGGCGTCTGCGTCTCCACGCCCACCGGGTCTACCGCCTACAACCTCGCAGCCGGCGGCTCTTTATGCCACCCCGACAACCCCGTAATGCTCGTGACCTCAGTATGCGCACACACACTCTCCTTCCGGCCCATAATCCTCCCCGACACCATCGTTCTGCGCGTCGGCGTTCCCTACGACGCGCGCACGCACAGCTGGGCCAGTTTCGACGGGCGGGAGCGCGTGGAGCTGCGCCCAGGGGATTATGTGACGATCAGCGCGAGCAGGTTCCCGTTCGCGAGCGTGCAGCCGCAGGGACGGAGGGGCGAGGATTGGGTTAAGAGTATTAGTGCGAAGTTGGGGTGGAATACGAGACAGAGGCAGAAGAATGAGGGGTTTAATCAGTGGAATCGGTGATTGTGGGGATGGTGGATAGTAGAAATGGTGGATGGTGGAAATGGTAGATAGGAAATGGAGGTTTATAGGGAAGGATGGGATGGGATGGGAGGAAAAGTAGGGTGCTTGGAGTTTTTGGGTCGGGTTAGCGCTGTGTCTTTCTTTTGGTCTCGGATAGAGAGGGATGGATGGTTAGGTTTTTGGGGATCTGAGGTGCTGCGGAAGTAAATTCTGGGCATTATAGGATGCTTAGTATTGCGCAGATATAGGTACAGCAAAGAGGTAAAGAATTATGTGTCGGCGATCAGGTGTAGAAACTGAGATTTCTATTGGGATACCAAGCCTAGGAGATCACCGAATAGCTTCACAAGTCCGTGCAGTGGATCTCTTGGTTCTCGCAATTAAGCCTTATCCAAGCATAGGCGCCAAGTACATATCGCATCTCCAAAGCCAAGGACTTATTAGATCCATATCGCAGAAGGAATGTCTGAGCCGTTTCGTCTTCGCCATTCCCACTACTCATCACTCAATACCCATCCAAAGCAAAGAAATCAAGGCAGGACAGGTATGACAATGTGGGATATGCAAGCAAGCAATTCGCTAGCGTAGGAGCCGGCAGTTATGTTCGCGGAGAGCCGGAGGATTTCGATGCTCCTTGGCGAATGCTTCCTTTTTGGCCTCTTGGCCCTGTCGCAGCGTTGTGGAGGCTCGCGTTGAAACGCTCGGGTCTTTTCATGGGGGTACGTATGCGCTTCTGCTTTTTCCCGGGACGGAAATTCGCGCATCGTGGATCACATTGTGCTCGGTTTTTTTTTGTTAGTCAGTGGGAAATGTGATTCTCGTTGGGGAGTTGCTACTTGTCATGGGATTTTCTACTTGATTTCGTGGAATTGTTTCAAGTGTCTGTAAAGTTATACTCATAGCTGCATTCACGATATCCTGTAAATTTTGTAGTCACTTCGAGAGAATATCATTTCGTCCGGTCTCAGCCCGAAATAAACAGGCCGGTCGTTGAATTGTTTATACTACTGACTACCGTAGATTTTATAAGCCAAGACAATCGCTCCAAGAGAGATCACCGTGACCACAGATGCTAAGAAAATATGCCGCACGTAATATGTAAATGGATCGTCCCAACCGTCAGTCCCCTGCCCCCATACTCCCGAAAATGGTATCAAGAAAACGACGATGATGAAAATGCCTTTTTGGTACAGAAAGCAGATAGAGTGTTATACTAGGTAATAAGGTAATAATTATCGATATTCGCCGATCGTTTTTATTATTCGTTCGTTCCTTACTCTTCTGTCTCATCTATCGCGGCATCATCGGCATCTTCTGTTGTCTCGACGAAAGTCATCGTAAATCCTTGCTGGTCGTCGACGTTTAGGTTGATAGAATCGATGACGTCGTTTGAAGTCGAGCTCTGTCGCTTGGCCACAGCTGGAAGATTCACAACGGGGAGAGATTCCACGGAGCGGGTCTCGAATTCACTAGACGTCTGGATAGCTTTCAGAACGGTGCTAGTTAGCATGCCATGTAGTATAGAAGCCGAAGATGCAACATAGGGGTTTTACTCACTGGCAGGGACACCGCGCTTGACATACATGCGCGTGACCTTGGTGCGTCGGCGTGGCTGCGCGGAAGACACATCACGCTTGGCAGCCTCACCGACCTTGCGGCCGTTGTTGTCAACAATAATACCAACACCAGCACCACCCTCGCCAGTGCCGAGCTGGATGGTAGGACCCTTGGTCAACGCCGCCTCGGCAAATTTGAGAGCTCGGTCGAAGCCGGCTAGGTCGCGCTTGGCCTTGGGGGCCTCATCGTCACGGGGAGCGATCTCCTTTCCCATACCCTGGAGGCCGGAAATTTGAGTAGCTAATACTATATTAGCATATTGCTTCCTTGCAAGAATGTAGGTACTGGTGAATATTTACCTTGCTGTTGCAAGTTCGGGTCTACGTTAGAAGTAGTAGCGGCGGACGCAACGGGGGCTTTGGCGGTCTCAGAGGCTACGGGAGTAGCGGCGGCGGCAGCGACGTTGTTGCTTTGGGCGGCTACAACAGTATCCGCGGCAGCAGGAGTAGCGGCAGCAGCGACATTTTCGGTACCGGCTGCAGACGCAGCAGCAGCGTTCCTGGTAGTTCCAGTGGCAGCGTTGACTGCAGCACCCTCCAATGCGTTCATCAAGTTCGTTACATCTTGGCCCCCGCCGAATGAAATCTCTCCATCACCGACTACCCTGTATACAAATTAGATGTCTTGGAAAGCTATATGTCTGCCATGGATCAGAACGTACAATGCGGGGGAATATGCGCCAAGGTTGATGTTCAAAGGAAGGGCGCTGACGCTAGCTAAGAAGCCGGCAACGGCAATCATTCGATAACTGACCATTTTGGCGATTATTGCTTGGCTTGTTGCTTGGTATGGAAAAAGCTGGTGTATAAAGAGCGAGAATAGATATTACAGTAGTATAAAACGACCAGCGGCGACCAGCGGAAGAATAAAATACAGATTAACTGTTGCGAAGGAAAATAGGAAGAGACCGGAAACGAAAACTTTAGGACGATGACTTGAGCACAGCTGAGTGATCCCAAAATTTGATAATCGGGGCCGACGACGACCTTCATATACGTCGAAGACTGAATAACCCAGGTGACCGGATATTCCCAATCATCGAGTCGGGACCTCGAAAGCCAAGCAACCGACGCAGGTGGACGACATGGGGTACCCATTCCTCTTCGATGCCAAGGTGTTTCTCCTTGGACGTACATGTTAAAAATATCTCGAGCAAGGTGTTTGGTGTGTCACGTAGGCGGAGAGAGAGATCTCTCGCGGGTATACTCCAGCTCGTCCCCCATTGGAAGTCGAGTCTAAACATTGTTATCAGTGCTTGAAACGGAAGTGAACGACCGGGGTAGGAAGAAACAAAATCACGGATGCAGCTATGACCGTTCTAAGTACGTGACAGTGAGGCTCTTGGCTGAACCTGCCAAGTGCCATAGGTCAGTCAATGCGACAGCTAAGAGATACTGGCGTAGCTGTAAGAGGCAAAAGGCGAATGTGTGAGATGAGTATCAATCCAGGGCGGATCAGTCAGTCTTGAGACCTGCCAAGCGACCAGGGTCACATTCTCCCCACGCCTAGCACATACAAGCTTGCCCAGAAACAACAAGCTTCGCCGCCTAGAGATTTCTGATTCGCTCATCTTGTACAATTTACCGGCGATCTAGATTAGGTCTTAGGGGACTCTCGAGGGTCTTTGTCTCGAAAGCGAACTTGCTAGCAGTCTAGCACAGCCAAGGCTGCAAGAGACGCATCCTTTTGAAATGAGTGCCATTGGACCTTGAAAATTCGAGAGGCTGTCACTCGTGGGCAACGCAAGCATTGCTGTGGATTGTTTCGGGCTATGACTAGATCAATAATAGCGAATTGCTATGAGCTTACAAAGAACATATTGTTCTTGTTTATTACCCGCTTAGGTACGAAATAGGAGGTAGATAATAATTAAAGAGCTAGTTTCATCAAAGAAACGATGTAGAAGACTAGCATTATGAGATGAAGATGAAGATTGTAAAAATATACACAATACCATTAATTATAATGCGTAGATCATACAAAATGTGTCTATTTCTGGGTGTTGCCACAAACTTAGTAGAGTCCTGAGGTTATTCATAGCCCCGGAAGTTTGGATGAAAGGGTAGATCACGGACTGGGTCATAGAACCATGGAAGGATAGAACCAGACTTACAAATTATCCAAGAAATTGGCGATCTGAAAAAATTGAGCTTGATTCAGATCAAGCAAAACTGCCAAGTTCAGTCAAGACCGGATCTCTCACCCACTGACCTTAGCCGCATCGGGATTGTCGATGAAGCAAAGCCAAGAGATTGGTGCTGAACCAGCTTAGGAACAGAAACGCGTCTCTTTTTTCTTGGCTATCTTTAGGCTTTTCGCAGCACATCACCACGTGCGCATCTCTTTCCTTTTTAGAATCTCGTTGGCCGAGGCATGTCTCACATTTTCTTAAGTCTTAACGTTTATGATATGATCGGGTACCGCCTTTTCTCATTAATTTCGGACGTCGTTAAACTTACTTTCTTTTCGATCTAGCCGTTTTCGGCTAATAGAATTTGGGGTAGATTTAACCACCCATCATTAAATTTTCCACCTTTTTTTTTATTTTATTATTATATATATATAATATTATTATTTTATATTAAATTAATAAAAATCGTAAAAAATGATTATTATTAATTATATTAAAATAATTTATATATATTACGTTTATTATAATTATTATATATATGCGAAACGTAAAATTAATTTATTTTTATTATTTTAAAAGTTATATTCGATTTTAACGATTTTTTTTATTTTAATTTTAACATTACGTATAATTTTATTTTACGGTAGTTTTTTTTACCGAATAAAATAATTAATATATTAATTATTAATAACGATAATAAATATCGCGGTTAATTAAAAAAAAAAAGTTTAAAAAAGTTATTTTATTAATTTAATTTAAAATTTATAATAAATTTTTAAATAACGTTAAAATTACTTATACGATATAAAAATTAAAAAAATATTAAAAAACTTAAAATTTACGATTAAAAAATAATTAAAAATTTAAAAAAAAATTTAATATTATTAAATATTAATTAATTATTATTATATTTTTTAAATTAATTATTTAAATTTAAATAATTTATATTATTACGTAATAACTTTATAATTAAATTAATTTTTTTACTTTTTTAAATTAATTATTTATTACGTAATAATAATTTTAATTTTTTATTAATTAATTTAAAATAAAAATTTTTAATTAAATTTTTTAAGTTTTTTATTATTTTATTTTTATTCGTATTTATTTTTAATTTAAAAATAATTAAATTAATTATTATTATAAGTTTAATAACGTTAATAATTTTATTTTATTAACGTAATATAATATAAAATTTTTCGTATTATTTTTTTAATAAATTTTTAATTTTAATTAAATTATTTTACGATTCGTTTAAACGTATAAACGTATTAATTTATATAAATTTTTTACGTATAATTTATTAATAATTAAATAATTAAAATATTTTAATTATTTATTAAATAATTATAATAATTTTAATTTTTTAATTATTAATTATTAAAAATAATAAAAATAAACTTTAAATTATATAATAATTTTCGCGATTTTACATTTATAAATCGTTAAAATTACGAAATAATTATTTAATTAATTTATTTAAATATATATTAAATATTTAAATATAATTAATTATTTCTTTAAAAATTATTATTAATAAAATATAAAATTTTTTAAAAATTCGTTTTATTTTTTTAATATTATAAAATTTAATAACGTTTATAATTAATAAAATTTTATTTTTTATTATATAACGCGTTAATTTATTTTATATTTAATTAATAAATATTTTTTCGTTATTATACGCGTACTTATTAAATAATATTAAAACTTTTAATAAATATAATTTTTTTTTTTTTTATATATAATATTTTATTACCGTAAAAAATAATTAATAATTTATATATTTAATTATTTATATTTATATAAAATAATAAAATAATTTAACGTTTATTTTATTTATTTCGATTAATTTTAATTATAATCGTACGAATTTTTTTAATTTCGTATATATATTTATTGAAAAATTCGAAAAAAATAAAAATTTCGTCGAAATTTAATACTTTTTAAATAAAAAAACGATAAATAATTAAAAATATAAATATATTATTAATTTAAAAATATTCGTTATAATTAAATAATTATAAAAAATTATTTAATAAAATAAAACTCGTTATAAAAGTTAAAAATAATAAACTTTATAATTAATTTATAAATACGAAATTTTAAATTAATAAATTATTCGAAAAAAATAAATATTTTCAAATAAAAAAATAATAACGAATATATGTTTTTTTAACTTTTTTAAATGTTTTATTAATATATTTAATTATTTAATAACGAATAAAATAATATTTTTTTAAAAAATTAATAAATTAATTAAAATTAAATATAAATAAACCATTAAAATTAAAATAAATTTCTTTAAATAAACGATTAATAATTAATTTAAATTACATTTTTATAATTATTTTATTAATTATTTTTTTTTAAATAAATTAATCGTATAATTATTTTTTAAATTCGAATTAATAAAAGTTTAACGTATAAGTTTAATTATAATTACTTTTTAATATATTATTTTAAAAAAACCATTAATTATTTATTATAAATTTAAAAATTTTAAAAAAAAAAAAAACTTTTAAATAAATAAATTATTAAAAACTTAATTTTAAAAATTTAAATTTATCGATTAAAATTTAATAAAAAAGTTTAATAAAATTTTAAATTATTATTAATTAACTTAAAAATATTCGAATATATATAAATTAAATTAAAATTTCGATTTTTTTCATTTTATTAATACGCGATTTATTTAATATATATAAATAAAATTACTTTATAACGCGTTTAATAAAAAATTTAATTAAATAATTACTTTTTTTAATAATTAATAAAATAATAAATAAATTATTTATAATAAATAATTATTATTAAATTTAAAAATAATTATAAATAAAATATACGCTTAAATATTTTAATATTTAAACTATTAAAGCTTTAGCTTTTAATTAACCATATATGGTTAAACATGCTAAAAACGGCTAGATCGAAAAGAAAGTAAGTTCAACGACGTCCGAAATTAATGAGAAAAGGCGGTAGTGATCGAAGCCTCCTGGGGAAAAAGTGAATATCGTGGAGAAGAAAAGGAAGGATTTCCATATTTCCACTCAGTCCGAAATGAATTGGAGACTTTCCACTTTCCAAACCCACTGCGGGGGATTTGGGGTAAAATCAAGACTTAGTCAGCACAGTAGTTGCGCATGTATTTTTTGAATTCGCACGGTAGTTGAGACCCTGTACCTAGGTAGGTAGTATCCATGTTGCAGCCTTCGGCGAATCTTCGCAACTTGATGATACGTACCTTGGTATGCTTATGTACGACATACATATTCGGCCTTTCCAAATCTAACCTGAAGGTTTCTTACACTTGTCTTTCGCTTTTATATTCAACTTCTTGCGAGTTGAAGGTGTAGGCATCTTGACGCCACTAGGCGCAGGTCTGAGGCACAGTAATTAGACCGATCGTCTGCGGGGAGAAAGGAGGTTGGTGTGTTGCACGCGCAAATAAAGTAGCCAATCCTTCTCGGCTTCCTCCTTTGGTTGCGCGTCGCTCTCCAATCGTCTCCGTCAGTGGCTGCCTATCGGTCGTAGATACAGCAAGAAGAGCAAGCCACAGCGTTATCTGATCCCTCTATCGGATTTTTACTTCTTTCAGCTCAATTCCTTCTCTCGCAAGGCAGCCGTATTCATTCAATGTGCTTCATGATTCCAATCTCCAACCATTTCCTTATGAGCAACTACTGAACGTGTCAAAACAAATGTCATCCCTGGAATCATCCATGTCGCCTCTCTTTGAAGAGAAGCAAGATAGAAATTATCGGTCTGATGTCCGACCGCCGCCAAGGCATCCGAACCGGGGCTGGGGACGTCTGGGAGTTGTGTTATTGGCTGTTGTATCTGGCGTGGGAATTATCAGCCATTTTGGGCATGGCCGTGTCAATTATGGCTTTCGTTTTCCGAGTCCGGGGCATAAGGCGTCGTCGTCGTCAGAGGCTCCAGAACCGTCGGACGCTCCAGAAGGGTGGACAGAATGGTCAACCGTAAGCCCTCTAAAGAAATCACACGCTCGTGTCCACGCCCGCGTTATGAAAATGTAGTTGATATTGACATTGCGATCTCTCTCGCCCTTTAGATTACACCGAGCGAGAAGCTCATCTGGCAGCCATGCTTCCAGCTCTACGGCCCTGACTTCCAATGCGCTCGACTAACCGTACCTATGGACTATCACCGACCGTTGAATGAGTCAGCAGACCATCCCAAGGTGCACCTAGCCCTGGTCTTGAAACCCGGTATTGGTCGTACCGAGGATCCGTCATCCTTCGGGCAGTCTCCCTTACTTATAAACCCCGGCGGCCCCGGAGGTAGTGGAGCTAACTTTGCATTGACGGCTTCCGAGCTGCTTCAGACAGCGGCTGGCAGTGACCTTGACATTATTGGGTTCGATCCACGAGGTGTTGGATCTACCACGCCCAAAGCTGACTGTTTCGTGGCGCCCGATGATGATTTCGGACTCGACGGGAAAAACGTTGCGTATATGCAACGACTAGGCTGGCTTACTTCTGGTCACGATGTGGGTATCGTAAACTCCAGTAATGTTGCCCTAAGCAAGCTCAACGCCCGATCAAAGGCGTTATCGAAGCTCTGCAAGCGCGTCGACGAAGTCGAAGGTAACAACAGTATCTTCCGGTATTCGAACACTCCCAATGTTGCACGGGATATGCTATCAATCGTCCAAGCTTGGGATGAGTGGCGATCCGTTCCCGACGTCAAACCTGCCAAGTCTAGCCAGAAACAGGAGATCGTTGACGAGCAGACTGTTACTAAAATAGAAGCTCAGGATAGCACCCAAGGCAAGTTAGTCTATTGGGGCTTTTCCTACGGGACTTTACTTGGAGCCACATTCTCCTCTATGTTCCCTGATAAAGTTGGTCGAATCATCTTAGATGGTGTTGTCGATGCCGACCACTATGTTAGCCCTATGTTGGATAACGCCATATTTGACACCGATGCAATATGGGACAAGTTCTTCTCCTATTGTGCCGAAGCGGGATCACAATGCCCACTCTTCCAGCCTGGAGAGAAGCCCGAGGATATCAAGAGACGTTTCGACGACACTATGATCTCGCTGGAGAAAGAGCCTGCGATTGTTTTACCCTCCCGGGAGAACGTGCCTATACTGATTACCGCCAGTGACGTAAAGATGATTATATTCTCGGCACTTTATTCACCAATTGTCATGTTCCCTTCCATTGCTATACTTATAAAGGCCATCATCGATGACAGGCTAGATAACATCGTAGGTAGCCCGGCACCGACAATGCTTTGCCACAATTTGACCCTACCTCAATGGCCAGACGACGCGCAAAAGGTGATCGGATGTAGTGACAAACGGTACAAGGTATGGAGCTCCGTCGAATCCGACAAACTCGCCTTCGAGATCAGTTCTAATATGCACCAGCTCAATGACGACCTTGATAGTCTACAGACGCGTTTCGAGGCGATGGCTAATTTTTCTTCGTTCGCCGATGTCGTGAGTAATGCTTCATTCCAAATACAAATAGTACCCTCTAACTGTTTTAGTGGATGAACGTTGGCTTCAACTTGGGCTGCAACGGGTGGGATATCGAAACGAAGGACCCGCCCATGCGCTGGGATGACCACCCAGCTCATAAGCAACAACCCATCGAAACCAGTTTCCCATTGCTTTTCTTATCTAACCATTTCGATCCCGTTACACCGCTACGCTCTGCTCTTAAAATGACGCGCAAGTTCTCACAAGCGAGTATCATCGAGCAAATCGCAGAAGGCCATTGCACTGTATCATGCTCCTCTCTCTGCACGATCGGACACATACAAGCATACCTTAACAAGGGGATCCTACCTCCCGCACCAAAATTCAGTTCAGATGATGAGGGAGAGTGGACGACTTGTATTTGCGATGCGAAGCCCTGGAAGAACTTGATGGTAGAGAAAACAGCAATGGGAACTAATAACTTGGACGGTATGACGGCTGAACAGGCAAATGCTATGACAGCGTACGGCGGTCTACGAGACAAGTTTGCCGAGTTTACAGCAGCTCAACAACAATTCGAATACGGCAACCCAATTCGACTCCCGCGGATAAGGAGCTCTTTGTTTATGAATGACGAACATCCTACTTGTAGCAAGCCATGATTCTTGTCAAGTCGGTGTCTAAGGATATTTTATAGCGTTCCAGCCGAGCAAGCGTCTTGCAAGTTTATTTCTATAATACGCTACCTAAGTTTGCGATCCGGCTAGAGTAAATAGCTGAATTTACAACTATCTACCTAGTATCTAATACCTGGTATACTGTTTATACATTGAGAGGTGACATTGCTTATTCCAAATAGCCACTTCTCGTCAAGCAAGCTACCTAGGTAGGTACTTTATGGTAACAAGATTTGATATGAATCGCCTACTCCACGTCTTCACATCCCTTACCGCTACGCAGTAATACGAATAGGCCTTTCTATAATTTCTATTCACCATCTTCGGCAAATGCCGTCGGCTGAGTTCCGGCCATGTGGCTAGTCCTTCCCACGTTACTGTGCCGCATCATGCATATAGCTCGATCCGGGACAGCTGCGCATGCATTTCCCTATTCGCTCTCCGAGGGCTAAAGATTGTTGTTTGCGAAATTCGCACGCAAACGGCATCAATCCATGCAGGTACCAAGCTTCCTCCTCGCGTTCTCTAACCCAGATTTACTTGCCCTGCTGCGTATGTGCCGTATACTACAACAAATCAGGCCCTCGCCTAGCTAGAAATACCAACGCCCAAGATGCCGAGGAACGTCGTCCATGGCTTTTAACACTCGGCACCCAATCGCTTAGGTAATTATAGTGCGGCGATGCATATGAGCGATACCGATACCGATCTATCTATCGCATCTCACCCCAGAGTCTTGTCTTGCACAGACATTGATGCGGCGCACGCGACAGGAAAAGCAAGACGACCGACTATATTCGCTCGGTCAGCGTGTGACAGCGGACGGAGTACGGGCTCAAAAGCATTATAGCGCGCGTCACAAGCGGCCATTAGCCCCAGCATTTGGAATGCAACCATTGCGAAGCTATCTACTCCGCGGGCCGTCCCCTAGTCGGATAATGTAAGGGCTACATATGATTCGCATGCGCCGCCGTATAGTCGCATTTATGAATCATATATTCCTATACATTACAAAATCCAACGTGTATGATATGGATATGACAAATAACCCAAATTCCCACCAACCCACGACATCCCACCCTCACAAGCGGGGTCAAAAAACCGATGAAGAAAAAAAAAAGATCGTTCCCCAAATGCCCCAAATCTGGCTCGGCCTCTAGGCATTCGTCTTTCAAGAACAAGCGAGCTGCACGTTGGTGCGAGATGCGTCCCAATCGCATCATCCATGCATGGCTAGCGCGCGTTGGTTCCGTCTACCTGGTATCCATCAGCCCATCCACCCCAGAAACGAAAAAAAAATACCGGGGACCGGGGTATTGAAAAAGAAAGAGATCTAATGTGAGAGGACCGCGATACGATTATATAATAATGTAGGTATACATCATGAGCCGGGATGCGGGTGTTTTCGTTGGGTGTATTATACGGCGAGATATAGGTAGTGAATAGGTATATACCTGATTGTACATACCTAGGATGAAATAGGTACGGATGATGACAAGGTAATACGCCCTTACGGTGACTCTTCGTATGACATATATATGTCGATATTCCGAACAGCAAACCTACGTCTTCATTACAATTTGATAACTTTGCACTCGCCTACGTAGCTCGACCGTTCTCCCACTCATCCATCCAAACAGCAGTCTAGACCAACCTTATTCCCATAGCGGGACCGAACTAAGAGAGACAGACCGCCTAACCAGCCCACCAGATTTACCTACCTACCTAAGCAGCTCAGCTCTCCTATCTACCTACCTACCTATGCCAGGCACCACCACCACCAACCCACCACAAGAAGAAGAAGAGCTTCCCAAGAAAAACAACAATGAAACCATGACAACCCTCGACACCCTCGTCGTCTTCTACAACCGGGACAAAGTCATCGAATCCGACGAATCTCCCGAAACCGAAACCTTCGCCGCGCGATGCCACTGCGGGAACGTGAATTTCACCGTAACCCTGCCGACCTCCTACCTGCCCTTAAACGCGTACATCTGCTCCTGCACGCTCTGCCGCTACACCCACGGCACATTCGGGAGCTACCACGTGTCGTTACCACAAGGCGTGGCCCCGGAATGGACGAGCAACACGCTGAACCTGTCCGTGTACAAGACCCCCGGCAGCGGGGCAGGCGGACACGGGCAGCGCATCTTCTGCCCGACGTGCGGGGCGCATAATGGACACTACGAGGCGTGGGCCGGGCAATGGATCATCGAGCCCTCGCTCTTCGACGCGCCGATATTCTGGCGTTTCCGGGGCATTGGGTTTCCTAACTCGGCTGGTGACGGGGGCGTGCTGTCCTGGCTGCCGGAGGTGGGGGGGAGGAAGCTGACGCAGGTTAGTATGGACCACGACTTTGCGCCGGACTACGAGGCTGAGGTTGGTGCGGATGGCGGGGAGAGGTTGCGCGCGGAGTGTAAGTGTGGGGGAGTTTCGTTTACGATCCCGAGGCCGGGGGAGAAGGTGAAGGGGGATGCGTATTTGAGGCGGTATGTGTCGCCGACAGATCCGGGGAAGTGGAAGGCGTTTTTGGATTTCTGCCGCGATTGTAGGTTGGTTTCGAGCGCGCATGGGGTGCCGTGGGTGTTGGTCCCGAGGACGGTGCTGGAGCCGGAGGTTCCGCCGGACTTGCGCTTTGGGACCGTGAAGACGTATAAATCCTCCGAAGACGTTACGAGGGGGTTCTGTGGCGTGTGTGGTGCGACGGTATTTATAAAGTGCAAGGATAGAAGCCCGACGGAGGAAACTGAGGTGCTTAATATCGCGGTTGGTATCCTGAGAGCTCCAGAGGGTGCCAAGGCAGAGAATTGGGTCACTTGGAGAGCTGGAAACCCGGAGTGGGTGGAAGATGCGATGGATTATGACCCGGAGTTTGTGGAGGCTGTTGTAGACGGCCACAGGGAGTGGGCGATTGAGAAGTATGGGGAAGCGCTGGATTTTGATGTTATGTAGGAGGGGTTTCTACTTGAGATGGTAGATAAGTTGTATCCATATCCTCCACAGGACCGCATAGTCTTAACGTGGTATGCATTGGATGAGCACAACCTATGAGATAGTAAAGTATATGGCTCATGAATGCTGTATATTAGTAAGATGGTATATATATCCAAATCTAGCAGTTATATGAATTGATCGATGCGAGCTCTGTTTTGAGAAGTTACCTGTATGTATTAAGCATTTAGACGATAGATGTTGAAGTTGAGTTGATGAAATTCAAGAGCTCCTCCAACCGGGTGTATCAGGGTATTTTTAATTTAATCTGTTGGCGATTGCCTTCGAGTTATCTGCAGCTTCCAGCTTTGTGAGTGGCGTACGGACCCGTAGAAGCATTGACCAATCCCGTTTAACCTTAAATTCAACGCCGCTGCGACTAAATTCCGCAAGTGCGGATGTTTCAGGTATCCGATACTTAAAATATGGGCGAGACTACCCCTCTTATCGAGTACCTCATACTCTATCAATGATGATTCGATAAGGAAAGACGGGTCCTTACAGCCAATCAGAGTAACGATGTAACTTCCAATGAAATTTTTAGCTGTTAGGAGCTTTTTTATCTTCAGACCACAGGTTTTTAATCCCACCTGGAAACCCTTTCCACGACTTTTTATTACCAATCCCCCCTCTCCGTCTCGACTGGGATATTTCCTTTGGCTGCAGGGCGGTTTCAATCAAGATGTCGGCGTTTTCGCGAACACTGGCGCCATTTTTGCGCGCCTCGCGGCACTCCCTCAGAACCGGCAGCGCCGCCAACCCTTTACAATTCGCTGTGCGACAGCAAAATGTGGTCGCAGCCCTTAACATCACAAGATCATACGCAGTATTCGAGCGAACGAAGCCTCACGTAAACGTCGGTACCATTGGTCACGTCGATCACGGCAAGGTATGTCTTTTATAAAGAGTATATAACATAAGCTCCGGAGAACCCCTCATCTCTAACTATTTATATAAAACTAGACTACTCTATCCGCTGCTATCACAAAAAGACAGGCCGAGAAGGGGCTTGCTAACTTCCTCGAATATGGCGCTATCGACAAGGCGCCTGAAGAGCGAAAGCGTGGTATCACTATTTCTACAGCACATATCGAATACGCCACGGAGAATCGACATTACTCTCACGTCGACTGTCCCGGTCACGCCGATTACATCAAGAACATGATTACTGGTGCCGCCAACATGGATGGTGCTATCATTGTCGTTGCTGCTTCCGATGGTCAGATGCCTCAAACGAGAGAGCATCTTCTACTTGCCCGCCAGGTCGGTGTTCAAAGGATTGTCGTCTTCGTCAACAAGATCGACACCATTGACGACCCCGAGATGTTGGAACTCGTCGAGATGGAAATGCGTGAGCTGCTATCCCAGTATGGCTTCGAAGGAGATGAGACCCCCGTTATCATGGGTTCTGCCCTGATGGCTATGGAGGGTAAGCGGGATGACATCGGTAACCAAAAGATCGATGAGCTTCTGAAAGCCGTCGACGAGTGGATCCCTACCCCCCAGCGTGACCTTGACAAGCCCTTCTTGATGTCCGTCGAGGACGTCTTCTCCATTGCTGGTCGTGGAACCGTCGCCTCCGGTCGTGTTGAGCGAGGTACCCTCAAGAGGGACCAGGATGTCGAGTTAGTCGGAAAGGGTCAGGAGATCATCAAGACCAAGGTTACTGATATCGAGACTTTCAAGAAGTCTTGCGAAGAATCGCGTGCTGGTGACAACTCGGGTCTGCTTCTGCGAGGTGTCAAGCGAGAGGATATCAGGCGAGGTATGGTTATTGTCAAGCCTGGTACCGTGAAGCCTCACACCAAGTTCCTGGTCTCCCTATACGTCTTAACCAAGGAAGAAGGTGGCCGACACACCGGTTTCCATGGAAATTACCGACCCCAGATGTACCTACGAACTGCCGACGAGGCCTGCGCGCTTTACTTACCCGACGATGTCGAGGACAAGAGCAAAATGATCATGCCTGGCGACAACGTCGAGATGTTGTGCGTTCTGCACAACCCCCTCGCCACCGAGATCGGTCAACACGTCAACGTCCGTGAAGGTGGCCGAACCGTCGCAACGGGAATTATTACACGAATCATCTCTTGAAGCGGCTCACGGACTGTTTAGGACTAGTCTAAGTGTGCAAGGGGGATAGAACGGGCTATTCGGCTCTATATTTGTATAGCCGGATTGGGGAAAATCGGCGTTGCTCCTCTTGTGTATAAGGGAATTCGGACTATGTATTATATTTTGAGCCCATGTACACCTGGCACCACCCCAAGGCTCGTCTAATCTCCCCTCTACTCTAACGCGTCTTTTCATGTAGCTGAGTTGACTATAGAGAATGATGAAATGTAAAACAACTAACTAGACTAATGAGTTACTTGCATGAAGAAGGAAAATATTCCCAGTGTTAAACCCGGTCTTGGGACATGGAATGGGGCTCTTGCTAGCCTTACTAGTGTGCTTCTAATATTACAAAAATACCCCTTTCATGGCAGCTAAGTATAACTAAACAACTCCACATCTATTACCGAGCTTCACGAAATTAGGTCAACTAATAATAAACACATTTCTGAATAGGGCATCAAATATAGTGACTATGAGTTTTCATAGTCCTCGTACGTAACTTTAATGCGTGGCATCGAGGTTTACATATGCGTACTTTTGCATACGCACACGATGCTAGAGTAGGTATACAACCCCTGTGGTTTCCTTGTGATTGAGATCTATTCATACCCGGCCCTTCTCATCCACTTCGGCGGTTATCCACGTGTATCTAGAGAAGATGGCCACTTATCTGTCACGGCTAAGGGGGCGTCGATCCACTTGTCGATGTTGAGTGTTTACTGCTCTAGCGTCACAGCTACCCAACCAACCAGGGATCAATAGTCCTAAATTATCGGATCTTGTGGTTCTCCCAGTGATTATCTTTCCTCATCACAGAAATACATACTTTATCGATCTTCAATTTTGAAGTTTATGGTGGAATATAGTTTGTTGGTGTTTCTTTGTAGGCTGTCGTAGGTAAAGCAGAATAACACGATTATCTCGTGATGTTTTCTCAGGGGAAGGTTGCTGATGGCAGGCCTCCTATAATTAGGAAAACTTTTATTAATATTAAAAGCAGGCATACGACCCAACTTTTTCACAAGGCATTGATGCCCGATGAAATATGAGTCAGTACTGATAATAAAGGAGCATTCAAAAACCTATTTTCATCAGTAGCCAAATCGTGGTTTATACCGAGGGTAAAGAAGCTCCATGACTCCGTCCAACCGATCGATCCAGCCGAACTAAGCTAGTTCGGGGTTTGCTACCGCTCGGGCCAGGTAATTCTTACGCTGACAAGCTTCGGCGGCCAACGGATGGGATCGCCGAGACGACGGGAGCCTGCGTCATGCTAGGCTAAGACACGCAGGTACTTTATCTATTCGAATAGGGATGATCTTACTATTTTCAAGTTGTTATCGAAAAGCCATCCTCAACCGTGTAACATTGAGGGCTCAAAAAGAAAAGTCTATGATGATGAGCCTGTTATCGGTGTAACGGGTAACATGGTAACATGGTAATGTGGCTGGCGCAAATCGTAGAAGGACGCATTGACTTACCCAACTGTGTACCCAGAAATGTCTAAGACTCTACCTAAGTCCTAGGTAAGCATTAGGTCATAGCCAAATCGCAATCTCTTCCTTAGGTCGCTCACCCGATGTCGCTATTGTAAAAAGAGAGGCATTTTCCAACCGCCAAGAACTCTCATCTCAATACAGAACGTTAGGATAACGCACAGGTCAGCAAAGGATCAACCCAACACACACAGAACGAGGAAGCCGTCGTGGGCTACCCGGGCGTGGTCCCGTCATTCTATTATCAGGGGCCCACACGAGACGATTAGCGTACCGGTTCAGCCCGCTCAGCTTTGCCAAGTGCTGTGCCGTTGCCGATAAGATATGGTCTGCTGTTTTTTTTTGAGGCCTTGTGGTCTACCAAGATTTCAAAACATAAAATATAGCCAAGAAATAAAATAAAAATACAGAGAAGAAAAACCACGATGCTACCGATGACAACCATGAAGATACATTTCTTCTCACATCCTTAGTTGCAGACACGATCAGTCGTCATTTTACTATGTTTAAGGCTCCTTTTTAAAAAGTCTTAAATAGGAACGAAATGAAACATCGACCTGCAAATGAACGCTAGTAAAATCAATTCACTGGCTTCCGTTCTCTCGGGTCTTACCCTATTAGGTAAGTGCTTTAACTGAATTTTCCTGTTTTGTGGACACACAAGCCTGAAGCCGTAATAGTGGGACCCCTGAGAGTTTGCGGCTCGAGACCCATTAATCGAATGTGGTTCAACTCTTTTGAGTCTTTTCACAACACCACTCAATCTCCTTTTTTTCCTGTCTTCTCACCGTAACGAGCTCTTAAGGTGATTCTGGTTGGCGTTTTAGTTTGGCAAGTAGATTCTTATCTAATTCAACTTTGTTAATGTCTCTCAATCGATCTCTATCTTCTCTAAATGCTCTCAACTTCGAGGATCCCGGGTCTCGAAATCTCGCCGTGTGGCTCCGAATTTACGGTTCCGGGCCTGTGGATCCTTTCGAACACCGAGATTCGCCGAACCAACTCCCTCGCCCTAAACATTTACTCGATTCGCGTCCTCGCGCCTTAGAGTAAAAAGCGTGTAAAATAAGCTTTTACTGGCTCCTGGCTTGGGCACTGTCATTCCTACACGGGCCTATCCCATTACTCGTAACAATGGGGGTTGACCCGAATAGGAAACCAAAGTGGTTCCGCCATCGGCATCGGTCCAGTACATTCTCGATTTCTCAAACAATTCCATCAACCTTGTGTTGGCCAATGGCGTCCCTTACCAGGTTAACCTGTTGATCAGAGGCAATAGCCTAGAACTTCAAGGGTGACTTTCCCTTCAGTTATATAAGGGATGGATCCCGCCCCCTTACACCTCTTTATGAGGTCCCATTCTCACTAGTATATCCCTTCATGAGAGACGTTTTACTTAAACCTCCTCAAGGTATTAATTAATAATTATTTCAAAAAATAAAAAATAAAATAAAAAATACACAATGGATTCAAACGATTCCTCCACCACAGATGTGGAAAGGCCTTCCACCAAGGCTAGCAGTAGCCACCCGGACAACCAAGTCAAGTATGGACCAGTCAACCCTCCCGGTTTGGCTCGTCGTCCTACGAATCCTTTAACCCGTAATGCCACCAAGGAGACGATTCGAGATCCTAACTTAGATGTGAACTTACCGTACCGAACGCTCTCCAACGAAGCCAACCTTACAGAATACACTACAGAAACAGAACAAGGACAAATACCTGGACCACTAGAACCTGATGGAGAGCACCGTTACAAACTCGTCACCTTCGTCCCGAACGACCCTGAAAATCCTAAGAACTGGTCTAAGGGGTACAAGTGGTATTGTACTATGGTCGTGGCCGCTACTTGTTTCGTCGTAGCTTTCTCGTCCAGTGTCGTCACCGCGGATATTGTTGGTGTGGCCAAAGAGTTTAATGTCAGCGACGAGGTCGCGTTACTCAGTATCACTTTATTCGTCGTCGGTTTTGGTATTGGTGAGTGAATCCGCGCAACTCACTACGAGTCATTCGGTTAACTAACAGTCGACAAGGTCCAATGATATTCGCCCCTCTATCCGAAATCTATGGAAGACAGATTATTTACGGCACGACACTATTGGTCGCCGTCGTTTTCATTATCCCTGGTGCCGTCGCGAAGAATATCGCTACTCTCCTAGTCGCTCGTGCAATTGATGGCATTGCCTTCTCTGCGCCGATGACACTTGTCGGCGGTACGCTAGCTGACTTGTGGAGATCCGAGGAAAGAGGTATTCCTATGGCTGCTTTCTCCGCTGCCCCTTTTATTGGTCCTGCTAGTAAGTTACCTACTAAACTCAACTTAACAATAATCTCGATTACTAACATGTTATCCTAGTCGGTCCGCTCGTTGGTGGTTTCCTATCTGATGCCGCTGGCTGGAGATGGCTATACTGGATCCACTTGATTATGGCCTTCATCGTCTGGGTCTTGATCACATTCACCGTACCCGAGACATACGCACCCACCATCCTAGCCAGGAGAGCCAAGAAGTTGCGCGCAGAGACCGGCGAACAAGACTACGTCACAGAAGAGGATATCGACAAGCGACCTTTCACTGAGCGTCTGGGAATCTTCTTGATCCGACCCTTCCAGCTTCTATTCGGTGAATTGATCGTCTTCTTGATCAGTCTATACATGTCCGTCCTCTACGGTCTGCTATACATGTTTTTCGTCGCCTTCCCCATCATCTTCCAAGAAGGCAAGGGTTACTCCGCCGGTATCACCGGTCTCATGTTGTAAGTTGAAAACCCCTCCCTAACTCACACCTCAACCCAACCCACTAACACCACCCAAGCATCCCCCTAGCCGTCGGCGTCGTCGCATCCGCCGTCTGCGCACCTTTAGTGAACACACACTACCGAAAGCTGATTTCCAAATACAACGGCCTGCCCCCACCAGAGCTGCGTCTAATCCCCATGATGTGCTCCTGCTGGTTCATCCCAATCGGCCTCTTCATCTTCGCCTGGACCTCGTACCCGCACCTCATCTGGGTCGGACCCGCATTCGGCGGTTTCCCCATCGGCTTCGGCTTCATCTTCCTCTACAACTCCGCCAACAACTACCTCGTCGACGCATACCAGCACCAAGCGGCCTCCGCCCTCGCCGCCAAGACCTGCATCCGGTCCTTCTGGGGCGCCGCCGTCGTTCTCTTCACCACCCAGATGTACGCGCGGCTCGGCTACCAATGGGCCAGCACGCTCCTCGCCTTCATCAGTCTCGCGTGTTGCGGTATCCCCTTCTTGTTCTGGACGTACGGCGAGAAGATCCGCCAGCGCAGTAAATACGCGTACGCCGGCGAGGACGACGAGAAGCTCGCGGGCGTGAGCAATGGCCCGCTTTCCCGTGAAGACGATTCCGAGGACCAGGATTTACGTCGTGCTAGGAGTTATGTTAGTAATCCTTGAACGGCCGTCTTGGTTAAGGGCAAAAACACATTTACATACGGATTAAAAATATATCAGTCCAAAGTTTCTGAGAAGGAGACTTTGATTTATGGACTAGACAAATGAACACCAACGCGGCATACGATATACTGCGCCAGCGGTGTCGGTGGAGCAAGCGTGCAGGCCACACAACAAAGAAAGGGGAAAGTGGCCCTATCATTCCGTTCTATAACAACAGTACCTAGGGCGGGTTTGGTTTGGTTACAGCACGGGATATCAATTGCCATGAGTGGAAGTCCGGTGCCGGGGTGCACCAAATGCATATGTAGAGGCGTATCTGGCGTTAAAACAACATCATTTTTGCGATTTACAAAACGGGGGGAGTCAGTCAATCAGTCAGTTCAATGCCTTGCCTTGGAGGATGTCCGCGTACGAGAGATACCTTAGAAGATTAGATGAAAGATGCGGATGAGGACAACCTTATACATACGGATGATGCCCACTAGGTATTATATTGGACTGGATTTGGATTTGGATGTGGGCTTAGAAACTTAACGCCCCTATAGATAGATGGCTTTGCATAATAGATTAATAGAAACAAAATTGGATAAACATGTATCTCCTCCACAGTGGCAATGTTAGGCATTTATGCTAGGAGTTGGATACCGGTATGTCAAGTTAAGAGCGTTATAGATGTGAACATGTGAAATCCATTCCAAAACTGATGAGGTCTCTTTACATGCACTTCTCCCATTCTACCAATACATCGTAAAATCCGCCATATTCATACCTATCTTATATGTGTGATATATACCTGTCCTACCCTTCATTGCCTACCTAGGCAAATAGGAATTTCAAAATCCCCATCGATCAACCCACAGCTTCACCCACTCCGTATTCACCGGCTCCAGCTCCCTCGCCGTCGGACTCGCGCGCAGCGTATTCTCCACGCGCCACGTATAATCGTCCTCGCCAGCGCCCTCTTCGCTCGCTCCATTTCCGTTCCCATTCACAGCTCCGTTACTCTTACCCCTCGGCACAAGCGACTTGTAAAAGTCCAACAACTTGACTGCGGGATTATCTTCCGCGCTAGTCTTCCTTGCCGCACGATCGTGGCTACTGCGCTCGAGGGCGTCGATCCATTCCTCGAACGATGTCTCCTCCTTCGCTATTCCTTTCTCTTTCAACGCAGGGAGTAAGTCCGCGAAGGTGACGGGCGAGGGATTGACTAGGTTATACACCTTCGCGCCTTTACTCCCGCTTTTCGCCTTCCCATTTATGCCATTCGTTTTAACAGCTTCCTCATCCCCGACATCTTCGACGACCTCAAGTATAATATTCGCAAGCTCATCAACCGGTACCCACTCGACCCTACTACTCGTCCCGAGCGTCTTCGGCAACTTGCCTAGAAATTTGCTACTGCGCACCAGGCTCGGAAACCACTCCCATTTATTCCACGTTCCACCTAACTCCACCGGCCCTGCGACCTGTCCAACACGCAATACTGCAGCCCTGCGCCCAGTCGCCTTAACATAGCTATCAAGTAAACGTTCCCCAACATATTTACTTCTAGCATACCCCTGCTTCAGTACCAATTCCTTGGGATTATCCAGCACTTCCTCGGGGACCTGGGTCTCGGCGCCCATAGCCGCCGAAATACTTGAGACAAAGAACAGCGCGGGGTTCTTTACGCCATGTCTCGCTATCTCCAACAAATTTACAAGCCCTGCAATACTCGGTTCGAAGCTCTTAAGCGGGAGCAAGAAATTCACGGGCCATGCATTATGAATGATAGCTGTAGCCTCCGCAACAAGAGCATCGTAGTCCTTACTATTTAATCCAAGGTGTGGTGCGCCGAAGTCAGACACGGTTAGGAAAACGACGCGCCCAGAGTCTTCATCGGCCGGGGGCAGGCTGCGGGACTTGAGGGCAGAGGCTTGTTTCGCGGAAGCGTCGGTAGCGCGATTCAGGCAGAAGATGCGGCGAACCCGGGTGCGGGGCAGGGCTTGCAGCGCGGATAGTAGGTATGTTCCTAGACTACCGGTGGTGCCTGTCAATACGACAGTCTGCGGGGTGCGCGGGTTGCGGGCGTGAGGAATGTATTTATCTAGCATAGCCTCTACGCCACCATCTACCGCATGCCCCTTCCCCTCACTTTCGCCGAGTAGATAAGACGATAAAGTATTAGCTAAGGATCCCGCCGTAGTTGAGCTGTACATGAGTCCGATATTCAACCCGCGTAGTGTATCTTCCGAGATGCCGTAATTCCTAAGCGCAGCCTTAAGTCTCGAAATCGTAATCGTAACGCCATTTGAATCTAGACCTCGCGCGAAAACGTCGGTCTCAGCATCGATATCTTTTGTATCAAGTGCCTGTTGGAACAACTGCGTGAGTACCGGTTCTAGCCCCAACGCATCCAAGGATTTGATAGGATCCAAATCATTAACCAAGATCCCACTTTCGACCCGTTCGTATAACGCGTCGATTTCCTCCTCGTAAGCTTGTAACGTAAGCTGTCGTTGAATCGTCCCCTTGCCCGCTCGCAAGAACGGCTTTTCCTTGGATGTGAATAAGATAAGCTCACTCGGGATCTGGCCAAACTTGGGTGAAGTTTGGTTCGCCTCGTGGATCTTGGGCCATAGCTTATCAAGCGCAGAGTGTGCCTCTTCGGCGTTAGTCGGAACAAGGTGCTCGTGTAACTCGAGGAGAAGACAAAGCCGGAAGCGATGCGAGCCACCCACGATAACGCCACGTACGTCAGGATGAGACGATACTATAGCCTCGAAGTCAGACGGATCCATCTTGTACCCATTAGCCATGGCAACCCAATTATCAGTACGCCCACGGAAGCGCCACCACCCGGGTTGCCCAGGAACCGGGGCGAACAGGTCTTTAGTACGATACTCATCCGTCAGATCCGGGTACGAGCGGAAGTACGAATACACCTTTTCAATCGCCTCGGTTTTCGGAAACACAAGTTCGTACAGACCCGGAAACACTTCCTCCATGCGTTGCCCTACATCTACAAAGCGCAACGCATCCCAGTTCTCGCTATTAGGGGAGTAGTCCAAGTGCAATAGTGCGCCCTCCGTACTGCCGATGAGACTGTAGAGGTGGGGTGTGATCTTGGCGATCTCAGCACCATGCACTGGGTTGATGGGACCTCCAACATACCCTACGTGCTTGAGGCGGGTGAGTGCCTCAATGCCATCCGGAAACTTGAGCATATTCTCAATGGGGACGGGTGGACAGATTAGACTGTTAGCGCCAGTTTGGTGGATGACGGTCGCAATGTTGGCCGGGATTATGGGAACATCCGGATGCATGAGAATAGCAGTCATAGGGGAGTGTAGAGAGACCATGGTTATGTACATTGCACCAGCCTATTTGGTTAGGTACATGAGAGTTTTTCTATGAGGTGATATATGGTCTTTGATGACTTACATGAGACTGAGACCCGACGATGAGAACGTCATGGTGAGCGAGAGTGCTACATGTCGGCCTCTCCACGTGAACGCCTTCGGGGAGGACGCCCTTCTCTAATGGCGAGAACAGGTTCTCGAAGTGAGCGTGAGTCCACCATATTGGCTTTGGATGACCTGATCAATGTGAGAAGATTGCTCATACCATTTGGTTATATATAAGTGAGTTAATTGTATATTGGACACTTGAGAAATCATAGAATAGCTCTTGAATACATAGTCAAGTCAAAATAAAATAGAAATAGTATAGATAACGGAAGCAATATCTGACCTGAAGTTCCAGAGGTGTGAAGGCCCATAAATCGCTGATCCTTGATCTCATCGAAGGTTTTATCGAAGGGGTAGTCTGGGACGAGATCAGGGGACAGGATATCCTGGAGTAGTATTCCTGGTCTGGCCGCAACGGTTGGGCTAGCCTTGCCAATGAGTTCGGCGAGTGTTCCCGATGATTCAGGACCGTAGAACATGTGCTTAGCTCCGACGGTCTCGAATAGTCGAAGATTGGCCGATACTCGATTGCTCAAGGACGGAAACACCACTACCTTGCCGGTTTTCATGGCAGCAATAGCCCATATTATGTACCGAGCGTCGCTTTGCGACATCCAGATGAATGTCTCTTCATCTGGCCCAAGGTTCTCGGTGAGAAACCAGGCTGCCCTATTGACGGCATTATCGAGAACAGCAAATGTTACATCGACAGCATCGCGATCGGGATGACTAATTTTAAGAAGAGGACGGGTTTCATTAATCCTTCTCTTCACCACGTTCGGGATCAGCTCATGGAAGCCAGCCATGGTTTGTAGTTAGAGTGGGTGATAAGAGGGAAAAGGTAAAGGCCGAGTTTGTAAACAGCAAACAGCAAATTGCAAACTATAGGACACCACCACTTCCGCTCTCTTTGGGTGAGAGCTTGAAACGTCAGGAACTGACACATCGTTCCGAGGTTGCAACTGCAAATTATATCCCTCACAAAGCAACAAAGTTTCCGAGGTTGTTATCCCTTTTACCTGAATTTCGGTTTAAACGTCCTTTGCAGTTGCTTTGTTAGAAGCGCGGAACCTTCTATGGTTCCGCCCTTTCACTTTCCAGGTCACTTCCTAGGACCTCGAAGCAAGGGCATTGTTCCTTCTATGTGCGACGTACTGGGATGATATGCATGTAATAATGATCTCCCATCTACCCCTATAGTCAAATGAGCGGGGCTTATCCATACACACACCATTTACATGCCGCGTACATATACGATGGGGCGTAGTATTTCGGTATGTGACGGCACTGCGACATTGTGGTGGCCAGGCTGCATTAACATCCGCGTTTACGTGGGTTGTACGGGACGTAGGACTGACTGCTCCCTTGCCAGTAAAGACCGAGCGATTTCCCGAACTTACTAAGCTTCGCATCACCCCATTCGTTATGTTGGCCAATCTCGGTCGAACCGTATGAAAACGTTGCATACCCACCAACAGCAGCCTGCCTACCTTACTTCAACTACTTTTGTGCAACAATAAATCCTTAAGAAGCAGTGAAACCCAAAGACTGAAACGTAGAGATCCTCGATGCACGTGGCCTGCAGTCTTAGAGGATCGTTAAATTTGCGGGAATAAAGAGGAAATAAAAGCCGAATAGGTAGTGTGTGTAGTACCTAGGTACGCTTATACATCAGTGACAGACCGTCCTCTTAGAATCTTGGAAATAATTACCATTCTCTGTCTTAGATCAATATGAGCCAGTGGCTTCGGGAATGATATGAAATTTACGCCAAGGGGTAAAATGACAAAAGTGGTTTAATCCCGACGACGAAATCTCGAATCCGCAGCGCGGTCTTCTGGCGATCTACCGATATCAAGCGTAATGCTTAGGTTAACAGACAGTTGGGCAGATTCGAAGTAGAGTCTAGACTACAATGCTGGGCACATAATGCAGATAAGCTGTCCTTTACCGTTCGTGATAATTCCTCGGACCTTGTGTCCGTCAGCAGGTTTTCTGAAATGATTTATGAAAATCCCAGAATGGAAGCTTACGAATGCAAACAAACCTTGGCATCGGTTGTCTGCAACCGCAGCTTCCCTCTAATGTTCTGTCCAAGGAAATATTCACATCCTGAATTCGATGGATGCTGCTGTGCCTTCATTTCAAACCAAGCCAAAGGCCCTACGCGTAGACCGTCACATTTCATGGGTGTGTAAAAGTAATTATCGAATTCTCGTAAGCATTGTCGTGGTGTAGTTGACTAGTCGAACTAAAAAGCCATCTTTACTCGTTCCCCTCCACGCAAGCCTGTGCCGATGTCTTAAGACAAATGCGAAACCATGTTCCCTAATGAAAACCCAACTCCATTTCCGCGGTTACGTCGACGATGCTTTGCGAAGAAATCGTGGTAGGAAAAAGCGACATTTTTAAAGGCATTTATCGGTGCTAGGCATGAAATGTTAGTCTCGTTGCTGTCCATCCTCGTACTCGAGTGTGTTGCCGATGAAATTCGTACCTTGACAAAGCCAATGTCGGAGGACTTCTCACGGAAGCACTGACGGCAGATGTTGAGGCCGTACTTGCGGATCAGACCAGCCTTGTGAGTGCAGACACGGCTATAAGAATGATGTCGCGTTAGCTATTATCCTTGGCTGGTTTGGTTTGATGAAACATTTAGAAAATATCAAGACGTACCAGGCGCGAGAGCCCTTGCCGTATGTTCGCGGGCGCGAGTTCCAGACGGATTCGTGAGACATATTGTCGGATGTGGTGTTGCGATGTGAATTATCACGAACTGTCGGTATGCGAGGAAGTTGCTAAAAGCTGTCTGGGGTTGTGAAAACTTTCGCGAGATTTTGGGGAGTTTTGGAGTTGAGAATGCGAAATTGTGTGTGGTTCGGTTGAGGGTTGCAGGGGTAAGAATGAATTAGGAATGGTTAGCCCCGAAAAACTAGCGGGCTACATATGTATTTATTTAGCCACACTATCGAAAGTAAGAGTGCGGAATTGTGGCTTAAAGTTCAATGGTGGATACTCGGTATTATGTAATATCGGCATCAAGCCTTAACTATCTCTTATCGATAAAAAGATAAAATTTACAAGGATCTTTCAATTAAGCTATGATAGCTGCCGCTTGCCCGCATCCATTTCATTGCAAAGTGGCATCTTCCCAGGTCTGCTTTGTATTTCAAAGCATCCATTGATTTTTAACCTACCCTCCCTATTAACTCAACCAATTTGCAATACTCGATATCTTTTCAAGTTTATCATTTCCCAACACTCCGTTTTCCAATATCCCGTCACTGTGTCAATTTGGTTTATTCAACTATAACGACCTGTGTGGCGTTGTCGTTATCCCTTACTCTTGACTGAAACATCCAAAAGTAACAATGGTTCTTGTTAAGAGCTTCGTGCTCACAGGCCTTGCCGCCGTTGTGGCAGCCAAGTCTGCTGTCCTTGATCTCATACCATCCAACTTTGACAGTGTTGTCCTCAATTCGGGCAAGCCTACTCTTGTAGAATTTTTTGCTCCCTGGTGTGGGCACTGCAAGAACCTTGCTCCCGTGTATGAGGAGTTAGCTCAAGCTTTCGCTACTTCTAAGGATGTTCAAATTGCCAAGGTTGATGCTGATGCCGAGAAGGACTTGGGGAGGAAATACGGAGTACAGGGGTTCCCTACTCTCAAGTGGTTCGACGGCAAGAGTGACAAGCCAACTGATTACTCGGGTGGCCGAGATCTAGAGAGCTTGACCAAGTTCATTACAGAACAGAGCGGTGCTAAGGCCAAGAGAAAGCTGGAGATGCCTAGCCATGTAAACATGTTAACGGATGCTACCTTCAAGGAGACCATTGGGGGTGATAAGAATGTATTGGTTGCGTTCACCGCTCCCTGGTGTGGTCGTATGTGTTACTCATCCAACCCTAGCAAACATTAAAAGGGCTAACATTTCATTTATCAGACTGCAAGGCCTTGGCTCCTACCTGGGAAACCCTCGCCGAGGACTTCATCAACGAGCCCAGCGTTGTTATCGCTAAGGTTGATGCCGAGGCAGATAATAGCAAGGCAACTGCTGCTGAATACGGCGTTACCTCCTACCCGACCCTCAAGTTCTTCCCTAAGGGCTCGACCGAACCCGAAGCCTACTCGGGCGGCCGAACCGAGAAGGACCTCATCGACTTCATCAATGGGAAGGCTGGCACTCACCGTGTCCCCGGCGGCGGTCTTGATGCGACCGGCGGTACCATCGACGTCCTAAACCACATTGCCCTGAAGTACGCTATCGGTACGGAGAAGCTAGCCGACCTTGCGGCCGAAGCTAAGAAAGTCGCCGCCAGTCTGGCTGAAGATGCGCAATACAAGTACGCTCAGTACTACATCAGGGTGTTCGACAAGCTGTCGCAGAATGAGGGTTACGTTGCTAAGGAGTCGGCCCGCTTGGACGGTATCATCAGGAGGGGCGGTCTAGCTCCCTCTAAGTTGGACGAGCTACAGGCCAAGACCAATATCCTCAAGCAATACACCCAGCAAGCCGCCGAGAAGGTCGCGGAGAAGGTCGTGGGCAAGGATGAGCTATAGTATAACTCCTAGAGGAAAGAATAAGCCAAGCAAACATTTTGTAACGAATAACGAAAAACGAGTCTCTTAATCCGAGCTACGTATTATGATCATGGTATTGGCCATAGTCATTCATCCTAAGCAAACCATCGCAATAGATGTACTTATCAATTCTTCCACAACGCCAAGCAATGCCTTAAGTGATGTCCCAACTCTAACTTCGTCTAATTTAGCACTACTGCTGTTTCGAGGCCGCATTAGATAACTTCTCCTCACTCGCTTGCAGCGCAGATTCGAGGCTATCCAAACGTCGCGTCATCTCGTCCACTATAGCCAGGTAAGGTGACGTTAGACCTTTGTTGAAATACGAGGCGCTGTCGCGCAAATGTGTAGGTTGTAGGCTTATATGTACTTACTTTTCGCGAAGATTTCGGACGAGACAGTAGTAAACTTAGTAGAAAGTGAATCTAAAAGCTCTTCGACGACGGCGGTGAGTTCATCCGAACCCTGTGTAATGTTAGTCAAGCTATGGTTACCTACGTACTAGAGCGTCCCGATAGATCGCTGTAACTGGGACGATCTTACGTTACCCGGCTCTTTGCTAGGCTCATCAGTCTTCTTAGACGACATGTCGCTAGTTGAAGATAAACCTGTGATCGTAAATTGAATTCGGCGTAAGAAGCTGGAATGCGTTTAGCAAACAAGGGTTTCTCGATCTTTTTGCGTAGAGGGTACGGGGTATGAAAATGGCACAGATAGCGATTGCGCGACGCGTACGGAGTAAATTGAAATCTAGCGTATGGCTACAAGCGGCAAAGACCTCCAGGGTTTGTAACACTTATCGATTACCTGCTACAAAGGCAGTTACCCGCTCCCACTATGGCACGTGCGTCATGTTGCGACATAGCTCCAACACTGAAAGGGCAACTGCAAATGGCATCCATATGTTCCTACGTAACAGTAAGCTACTTCCGGATATTTTATTTGTTGCATTTACAACTTTCGAAACTTCCAACTTCACAAAGTGCAATTTCTAAATCCCTTCTCTATTAGATAATATCTACCTACCTAAGGGATCGGGTACTATGTCACTTATTTAAACACAATGGAAATAATAAATTGCTATGCCTCAGCCGCAAGATAACGCACGCGCCATCCTCCTCATCATCTTGATATTCTGGCTTGCCACAAGTCCCGACTCAGGACCAGGCCTCATCGCAGGTCCAACCCTAATAAAGAGCCGACTCGCACGCCAGCGACATGCGCTCGGCGTCCTAAATAGTACGCAATGGGGCGACTTCTCACCACGTCTTGCCGATGACCCGCCCGATCTACCCGAAGATCCTCCTAAAGACAACCCCGAATCTGAGACGGAAACCGAGTCGAAGTACAAGTATCTGAATCTAACGGGCTTTCGTAAGGAAGATAAGTATGTGTGGGAAGATTTAAAGCGATTTAAAGACCGATGTGAGGAATGGAGTACAAATGCCGTAGGAATCCCGGAGGCTGCGGCGCCCGTATGGCAAAATGCGACGGGCGTGGTTCGTGGGTGGTGGCAGAGGACGAATACGTCTTCTCCGAGATATCATTCGGGTTATAATCTAAGTGAGATCAGTCCTGGAGTTACATGGGCCGGGTTAAACTCCGACTGGGGTAGAAATGCCACCGGTGCGGAGGGAAAGATTAATGTGCGACTTGAGGATAATCAAGATGCTGTCACGGAACCAGAAGAAATAGATAAGATGGTATTGGAGAAAGCAGTCATCAAGGCACGAGAAGTATCGGGGACGGTCACTATTGACGATGTCAAAGGCACCGGGAGCAGCTGGGAAATGCGACTCCATGGTGTTCATTGGCCTCGTCAGGGGTCAATGCTACTTACGACGACCAGCGAGAAATTTGCCGGCATCTTCGGATTACCTCATCTAACTACCCGACCAGATTTCTTTGAATCTAGTAAAGCATTACTAAACAGGACCCTAGAGAAGGCTCTCACAAGAAAGGAACAGCATACCTTTACAGACCAAATCGATCCTTGGACGTCTACTGTAGATTCTCCAGGTGAAGCTTGGAACCCAACTCCCCACTGCGAGTACTTGCTATATATCCAAATCCACCCCTTAGAGCAAGACATTCTAGGAGTTCAACCAAGCCTCACAGGTCCAGAAAATGTTGCCAAGGCGATTCAAGATATCGAGGATGAACTTCGCTTCCCTCAAGGTACGGGGCATCGGAGAATACCGAGGCTTCAGATGTCGGCCGTCGTATTCTCTCCTGACTGTGGCTTCTTCCTTGAAACCAAGGGCCCCCCAGCTTTTGCTCCGGTTGATGGAAAACATATGATCGGTGTTAAGCAAGAAATCTTCCTTCACAGCGTCAGCAAATTCCTTCTAGGTCTTGCATTAGTCGTTTTTGGGCAACTTCAGTTGCTTAAGCTACAGATGAGAGAAACTTCTACACCTTCAACCCTAGGTCGAGTGAGTTTCTACACTAGCTGTATGATGTTGCTTGCCGATGGCATGCTCTTCACCGGAGCAGCTGCTTGGAGTTTCTCGGCGTCAACTACTTTGCTACCTTCCCTTGCTATCACATGTGTTTCGTTCTTATCTATGGCCGTTGGGACTTTTTTTCTAGCTGAGATTCACAAGGTGCAAGAGCCTGAATGGCGACGGCAAGAACGGGAAAGAGAACGACAGAACACATCTGCAAACCCAACTCCTCCACGCCCAACCCCTTCATCTAACACCCCCAGCCCATCACCTTCTCCCCCCATTATCATTCCATCAGACCAAGACATAGATGCCGAAATCGCTGAGAACGAAACTAATAATAACAATGCCACCCTTCCTGCTCCAGTAACAGCAACTACTCCCCCAAGTGCTCAAACTATTAGAACACAATTAAGCAACATATTCGGACGCCTCCTATTCATCGGCATCAGCATCCTCTTCCTCAGTCTAGCGGCCGCGAGCTGGCGACCTAGCTTCCGCTCTGCATACTTCAACATCCTACTCTTTGCGTACCTATCTCTCTGGTTCCCGCAAATATACCGCAACATCTACCGCAACTGCCGACGCGCGCTCTCGTGGCGCTTCGTCGTCGGCCAGTCTATCTTTCGGCTGCTACCCATCGCCTACTTCTACGTCCTGCCGAATAACTTTGCATTCACGGAGCCGGACCTCACCGCCTTTGCCGTGCTTGCCGGCTGGCTGTGGCTGCAGATCTGGATACTAGCCGCACAGAGCATTCTTGGCCCAAGGTTCGGCGTCCCGAGGGGCTGGATGCCAGAGGCATGGGAATACCACCCCGTGCTCCGCGAGGATAACCTCGAGGCAGGCGGACTGCCGATCGGTCTCGTCTCGGCACCGAGTAGTCCCACATCACCCAATCGGTCGCGCTCCGGCTCCAGCGGGGACAGTGACAAAGACAAAAAGCGGACGAATACACATGTCATCGACTGCGCGATTTGTAGGGAGGTGTTAGAAGTCCCTGTTATCAAGGCCGGGTTCGAGGACCCGACGGCTGGAGGCGTGGCTGGCGTTTTCGCGAGGAGGATGTATATGGTTACCCCGTGTAGACATATATTCCATAGCGAGTGTCTTGAGGGATGGATGCGGTTTCGCCTGCAGTGTCCGATTTGTAGGGAGGAGTTGCCGCCTTTGTGAGGGATGGGAGTGTAGAAAGGGGATAGTGTTAGGGGAAGGGGAAAGGGAAGGGGGACAGAGGAAGGGGGGATTAGAGAGTGTAGATTTAGTGGTTGGGTTGGTTTTTGTATATGGATAGATATTGATATAGAAAATATGTAGCTGCTATATTAATTCGTCAACATAATAGAAATCACTCCTAAGTATCTAAATTAGGTAAGGCCTTAGCACGTGAAGAACCAGGATCATTCACTGCCATTAATAGTTAAGGTGCGATGAGTAATTCAAGCAATATCTAGGAATAGGAGACCCTGACACAGCTAGAGTTAAGTTTATAAATGAACGTAGGTAGGTAGAAAGCTCCCGTAGGGGGCTCTCGTGCCAGCAACACTATCATCTCCCCTAAACCCTGTCGAAAAAAACACTGCGTAGGTAGGTAGGTAGGTAGGTACCTACATAGTATCACATCGCCTTAAGATTAGAGCAGTGTAACATAGACATGCTCACCATCTTCCTCTACAATCACCTTCTTCCCGCTAGCAGGTATGTCATCGGCATCATGATCCTCAATTCCTTGGACCTCTACATCCCAATCCTTTTGTCTGACTATCCCAAGCACTCCGCCTTCAGCATCATCCTCATCTTCAACCTCAAATTTCTGACTGACAACAATTTTTCTAATCCGGAAGGCAAACACGAAATCATCAGACCCATCGAACTTGAGCGTAGCCCCATTCTTTCCCGAGATCTCCAACTCTGGCCCCTGAGATACGGGGGTCCCCGAAGAAATCAAATCGACGGGAAACTTCACGTCCGTCGAATTCTCCTTTTTCATTAGCTGTTTGATAGTAGTGCCATTGACGGCCTTAGTCCCGACGACGAGATAGACGGGTTTCTTGAAGTCGGTCCATTGTAGATACTTCTTAACAGGCTCCGTCTTAACCATCTCCTCGACGTACTCCCTGCTAGGAAACGCCTCCTTCGTGTGTATATTGTCGAACGTATAGTAGTCGTGGATCGACGTGGTGTGCTTGTGCCCAAGTCCGATACTAACGAGCTGGTTGAGAAACATCGTCCACACGCCGAACTTATTCTCCTTTTCGCGCTCTTGGATCCACTCAAACCCATGCTTAGTCGACTTATTGATGTCTTCGTCGTTTGGTACCGCTGTTGCGGCCATCAGGGGCGGCACCATTCTCGTCGGTGAGCTGACCAGGCTCCAGAGCGCGATTGTGACGCCTGGCTTGGCGTTAGGGGAATAGTCCCAGCTTGGGGCTAGGAAATAGTTTTTTACTGCATTCGCCATTCCGTGAATTGCTGACTAGAATCGGAGCTGTACAGGGTTTTTCTCGAAGTTCCCTAGGGCTTGGTCGATGCTCTCAATTATGTGTAACTATATTGCATCGGATGGAAGGCGAGGCCAGCCACGATCTTTACTTGGATGAACCGGATAGTGGAAGTGCCGCAACGAGGGAAAACTCTGTGGAATATCCTCGCCGGTCCAATCAGAGGTTCAAATTGCTTTCTTGACCAAGCCACATAATTCAAAAGCCGATCGCGGGTACCTAGCAAAGTGTGAACCCCTTATCAAATATGCTTATGGAGGCGCCGAAACCCGTCTGAGATTATAGAAGGGTCCCTTTTAAAGGAGAATGCCCCCCCGGTGGGAAATCATATCACCTCTACATCTCTATATAGAGCTTCGCTTGTATAGGTAGTTTCTCAAACAGGCTTTTGGCCCAGTCCGGTCGGTATGGTTGGGTTTTGATTTGTGTTTAGTTATTTCTATTACTACAGCTCTTAAGGAGGTACCTGAGACATTTAATGCGCCATCATCTATACAGTATACGTATATGTAGGTATATATTAGTACCTAGACAATATGCACATTCTATCAAAATGTAAACAAGCTCATAATTTGTTGATTCAGTCGTTAACTTTAAATATAGCTTCTAATATACCTAGCTTTTATAGTGCCTACCTACATGAAATAATTCGAACAGGATGAGATGTTATATCTAATATAGGGAAGCAGAATTCGAACAAGCCGGAACAGGACGTAAAATTGCTATCGCGGTACACGTCACGCTTTCCATAAAAGTGAGCTCCATTAAGAACTCCATCTGGTACGGGTATATAAAGGTCATTCCAGCGATCTTCTTCACCTTCACTTTATATACCTACCTAATCGAATCTCTCTCAAATCAGCCAGACCACTCGATTTCCTGGACCATGTCTGAATCGAGAGAAAGAAAGAAAAATATGGGTTTATTTCAGGGAAATAACTACCTAACCGCGAGCCACAGCTGCAGAAGTCGAAGCATAACGAAGGCTCAATAAATCGAATTGGTAAGGTTACCTACCGTCCCTAGGTAGGTAGAGGGGTTACGCAGCCACCCGGCAGCTGCGTCGTACGAATACTTATTGCTCTTAAATAATTATTTAATAAGATTGGATGCTTCTTATAATATCACGATATTTAATAGATAGAACGACGGCGGACCATAAGAATAAATCCGCCAACCCGTTAATTCAATTAATGTATTAAAATGTATACAGTGTAATATAATATAATAACGTATAATCTTATACTTATTTTATATAATGTTTTAAAACTTATAAAAAGTTATAACGTTATATAATGTTAAAAGTTTTATAATTTATAAAAATTATAACGTATATTTTTTTTTTATATATTTAATTTTAATATTTTAATATATAATTTATAATTTAAATATTTTTATACGTTTTAATTTTCGGTTATTTATAAATAAAATAAATTTATTTAAAAACGTTTTAAAAATTTTATATATATATATATATTTTATTTATTTAAAATTAATATTTTTACGTTAATATTTAATTAAATTTTAAAATTTATAATACGTATTATTAATATTTATTTAATAAAATTTAATATATATTACGTAATATTTTTTATTTATTTATTTATTTATTTATTTATTAATAAATACGTATTTAATTAATTTAAATTAATCGATTAAATTAAATTAATTAATTAATTTAATTTATTTCGAAAAAATTAAAATATTAATAATAATTTTAAAAAGTTTTAACATTAATTTTAAAGTTTTTTATATATTTAAAAAATTATTTATAAATTATAAAAAATTAATGCGTTATAATATTTATAAATTATAAAAACTTTTAACGTTATTAAACGTTATAATTTTTTATAAATTTTAAAATATTATATAAAATAAATATAAAATTATACGTTATTATATAAAAAGTCCTCGTGCCGGGAATATATATCCCGAATTTTAAACTTATTAATTAATTTAAAAAATTATTTTAATTATTTTAAAAATCGTTAAATTTTTTTAACGTTATTTTAATTTTAATTATTAAAGTTTTTTATTAAATATATTTATTAATATTTAATATTTTAATTAAATGTATTTTTTAATTTTTAATTATGTAATTTTTTTTTAAACGTTTTAATTATTAAAAAATTAATTAAATAATTAATTAATTTAATTTAATTAATTTAATTAGTTTAATTAATTTAATTAATTTAAAAGTTAATTTTAAAATTAATTTTAAAATTAATAAATTAATTTTTAAATTAATTATTTAATTAATTTAATAATTTATTTAATAATTAATTAAATTAAATTAACGGTTATTAAATTAATCGTAATTTAATTTTTAAATTAATTATTCGATTAATTTAAAAGTTAATTTAAAAATTAATATATTAGTTTTTTATTTAATTTTTAAATTAATTAAATAATTAATAAATTAAATTTTAAGTTAATTTATAATTTAATTTTTAATTTAATTTTTAATTTAATTTTTAAAATAATTTATTAATTAATTTTTTAATTAATTTTTTAATTAGTTTAATAATTAATTAAATAATTTATAAATTAATTTAATAATTAATTTAATAATTAATTAAATTAATTTTCGATTTAATTTTTAAATTAATTATTTAATAAATTTAACGGTTAATTTAATATTTAATATATTAATTTTTAATTTAATTTTTAAATTAATTCGAAAATTAATTTTTAAATTAATTATTCGATTAATTAAAACGATAATTTAATAATTAATAAATCGATTCGTAAATTAATCGTTATAATTTTTAATTATTTTTTATTTTAAATTTATTTATTTAAAAGTTTCGATTAATTAAATCGTATCGAAAAGTTTATATAATTTTTTTAATTTAATTAAATTAATTTAATAATTAATTAATTAATTTTTAAATTAAAAATTAAATTAATTATTTAATTAATTTTAAAATTAATTTAATAATTAATAAATTAATTAATAAATTTAATTTAATAATAAATTAAATAAATTTTTAATTTTATTTTTAATTTAATTTTTAAATTAATTTAATAATAAATAAATCGATTAATAAATTAATTTTTAAATTAATTATTCGATTAATTTAATTCGATTAATTTAATTTAATTAATTTAAAATTAAATGTTTTAATTTTAAAAAAAATAAAATAACGTTTTATATAATTAAAAAAGTAAAAGTTTAAAAATTAAAATAATTAAAATGTTAAAATAATTAAAAAATAATTAAAAATTAAAGTGAAAATTAAATTTATTTTTTCGATTTAATATTTAATTAAGTAATAAAAATTTTCGAAACGTATTAATTATTTTAAATTTAAAGTTCGAATTTATTTATTATTTTTTTTTAAATTAAATTTATTATATAAAGTTTTTTTAAAATTATTTTTAAATTATTTTTAAAGTTAAATTTTTAATTTAATTTAAAAAAAAAAATTAAATTTTTAATTTAATTTAAAAAAAAAAATTAAGTTTTTAATTTAATTTAAAAAAAGAAATTAAGTTTTTAACTTAATTTAAAAAAAGAAATTAAATTTTTAATTTAATTTAAAAAAAAAATTAAATTTTTAATTTAATTTAAAAAAAAAAATTAAGTTTTTAATTTAATTTAAAAAAAAAAATTAAGTTTTTAATTTAATTTAAAAAAAAAAATTAAGTTTTTAATTTAATTTAAAAAAAAAAATTAAATTTTTAATTTAATTTAAAAAAAAAATTAAATTTTTAACTTAATTTAAAAAAAAAATTAAATTAAAATTTATTTAATAATTAATATATTAATTTATTTTAAATATTTTTAATTAATTTTATAACGGAATAAATAAGTAAGCGTTTTAAACGAAATAATAATTATAAAATTAATTAAAATTAAAAAATCGTATTATTAAAAAGTTTTAATTTAAAAAATTAAAAATAAAACTTTCCGGAATTTTACGATAATAAATTTAAATAATTAAATACCACGTTAAAAATTCGGTTATTAATCGCGAAATTTTTAATTTAATTTTTAACTTTAAACTTTTTTTTTTTTATATTATTATTATAAATTTATTTAATTAATTCGATTATTTAATTATTATTTAACCGTTCGAAATTAAAATAATTTACGATGTTAGTTTTTTATATTATTTTTTTTTTTTAAGTTATTAATTTTTAATAACATTGTTTTATTATTTATAACGACGGGATAAATTTCGTTTAATAATTTTTTAATTACCGCGTTAATTAATAATATTATTAACGTAATAAAATTTATTAATTATAATTATTAATTATATTAACTTTTCGTTTTATTTAAATTTTATTAAAGTTAATAATAACGTTATAATTTTTAAATTTTTATTTTTTCGTTACCGGGGTTTATTAATTATAAAAGGTTTTCCGGGTTTTTCGGTGTTTTTTTTTTTTTTTTTTTTTTATTTTTTTTTTTTTTTTTTTTAATTTTATTATTTCTCGTTAATTTTACCATTATTATAATTACCCGCGTTATTATTTTAAAAAAGTATTTATTTAATGTAAATTTAAGTTAATTTTTTTTTCGTAAATTTTAAACTTTTTATATAAAATGTTTTATTAAACGTTATTTTTATTTTAACGTTTAATATATCGCGGAAAACTTAAATTCCCGCGTTTACGTTATTTTAATTTACGATAAATTATCGTTAAAATCGATGCGTTATTTCGCCGTTTTTTTATTTTCGTTAATTTTATTAAATTTTTATTTTATTATTAAATATTATTTAATAATTAATTATATTTTCGAAAAATTTCCGTGATTTAACTTTTAAATATATAAATAAAACTTTTTTTAACGTTAAAATTAAAAAATTAAAATAAAGTTATTTTTTATTACGGCGGATAAATTTTATTTTTTATAACGTTATTATTAAAAAAACGCGCCGTTTTATTTTTATTATCGACTTTTATCGTAAGTTTTTTTATAACGAAAGTTTTAAACTTTTAATTTTAACCGAGTTTATTTTTTTACGCCGGTTATTTATAATTATTTTAAACGTTTTTTTAATGCGTATAATTTTTTTTTTTTTTTTTTTCATATTATTTAACCCGGATTAACATTAACGCGTTAACGGTTTTATTTA